GAAAAGTTCAGCAAAGTTACTACATTCACGCGAAGAGCGGCTCAAGATATTGTCGAGAACCCCAATTTGCCACCACAAGTGAGACGACTACTGAGGAACCCAGAAGTCCAGACTCTCCAGGATGAGTTCGACAGCGCCAGAATCTACCTAGCTCGATGGGCCATGGGTATCCAGGAACAAAGTGATCGCGATCGGAGACAGCGGATATGGTCCGCAAATGACGTGATGGAGCTCGAGGACACCGACGTTGGCGAGTTTGAGCTCCTGGAAGGTGCCAGTAACTTGTCACTCGAAGAGCGCCGGAAGGTTGTGACGATGAAGGAATGGAACACCTTTTTCGACTCCACAACCGGTCGGTTATCAGTCACAATCGAGGAAGTAAAGGAGCGAGTTTTCCACGGAGGCCTAGATCCTGACGATGGAGTCCGAAAAGAAGCCTGGCTCTTCCTTCTTGGTGTTTATGAGTGGTATAGTACCGCCGATGATCGAAAGGCGCAAATAGCCTCCCTGCGTGATCAGTATTATAAGCTCAAGCTGTCATGGTGGGAGAGACTTGATGGCGATGGAGGTGAGGGTGAGACAGGAGAGTGGTGGCGCGAGCAAAAGTCACGAATCGGTAAGTTGCTCACTATCTATCGATCTTTCTCCACCAGGTACTTTACTGACCTTACGATTTCTACAGAAAAGGACGTTCACAGAACAGATCGTCATGTGCCCATCTTCATGGGCGAGGATACACCCCATCCTGACCCAAGTTCGCCTTTTGCTGAAGTAGGCACCAACGTCCATCTGGAGCAAATGAAGGAGATGCTCCTGACCTACAACGAGTACAACAAGGATCTTGGTTACGTTCAGGGAATGTCGGATCTGCTGGCACCCATCTACGCTGTAATTCAGGATGATGCTGTGGCCTTTTGGGGCTTCCAGAAGTTCATGGAGCGCATGGAACGCAACTTCCTACGTGATCAATCTGGTATGCGCAACCAGCTCCTGACGCTTGATCAACTCGTCCAGTTCATGGATCCTGTACTCTGGAACCACCTTCAAAAGGCCGACAGCACCAACTTCTTCTTCTTCTTCAGAATGATTTTGGTTTGGTACAAACGTGAGTTTGAATGGCTAGATATCTTGCGATTATGGGAAGGGTTGTGGACAGACTACATGAGTGCCAACTTCCACCTCTTCATCGCTTTGGCAATTCTAGAGAGACATCGCGATGTCATCATGGAGCACCTGCAGCACTTTGACGAGGTGCTCAAGTATAGTGAGTATTAACACATCGCTGAGCGGATTGGGCGTACACTGATAATGTCTAGTTAACGAGCTGTCCACCACAATCGATCTCGAAGCAACTCTCATCAGGGCAGAAAGTCTCTTCAAGAGATTCCAAAGGCTCGTCGATGCAGTCGACAAGAAGCAAAACTTCCCTGCTCCCCGTTTCAATCCTAAGAACTCTTCTGGATCTTCGGAATCAACAGGGTCAGGGCCCTCAAAGGATGGCAAGGCATCCGCCAAGGGCAAGGCTAACGAGCCTGCGGCACCTCCACAGCCAAAGACCATCACCCCTGAGTTGCGCAAGCTGTTGAGTAAGGAGGTAGAAGTGCTTCCTAGGACGGCTGTGGCTCAAAACGGTGACGGCATGCCGAACCAGTAAGCTTCAGGGCTGAGATGTACATCTTTCGTTGGTTAGTGGTGTACTTTTACGGTTCAATGGGTTGTTTTGCTGTGGTGTTAATTAATTCATGCAGGGAGTTAGTGGTATTATGGGAAGTAAGCACCTTTCACTTATCTTTGCGTGGCTTTATTACCAAGGGTATACTATCATATATTTCTACATTTTATTGGTTCAAATATAATTACTGAGAAAGTAAAACTCCATTATTATCTCGTAAAACGCCTTTCTATCCTTTCAAGAAAAGCGAATGCCAGTCATCCAACAGGCGGATCTCCGCTCTCCGAGCCTTGTACGCATATGTCGTCTTCTTAAAAGCAGGCCCCCTTTACCTGTAGCCTCGCGGTCCACTAGGCAATCCTCTCCTCAGACCAGCGTTACCACCACCGCCGCCGCCGCCACTGCTTGCCTGGTCATACATTCCGCCTGGTCCAAACCGGTCCTCATAACCGCCTCCACCACCTCCTCCATTGTTGCCAGCTGGAGGTTGGAATGGCCCTTGACTTCCAGCTTGTGGACTCGTCGTACGGGATCCACCACCCCAGAGCCTTTGTCGTAGCCTATCCTGTGCAGATCCTCCTCCAGTAGCAGCACCTCCAGGCGGGACACTGGCTGTTTCGGGCCTACCGAATTGACCGCCTGTATTCTGATAGCTTCCTCCACGCTGCTGACTCGGTAATGGTCGTCGAGATACATCGCCGCCCCCTGGTTGTAGCGACGCGGGTGTTCGCCCACCTCCGGCACGAAGACTCTGAGGTGCTTGTTGCTGTTGTTGCTGAGGGCCGTTGTCCCACAGACTGCTTAGGCCTGCATGCTGCTGCTGTCCTTGGGCACCCAAACGCTGACCCTGGGGCGTCATCACGGGCTGAACGGGTTGCTGAGCTGGAGCCTTGGGATCTGGTGGCAGCCAAGAGGGAAAGGGGCGGCCTTTTTCGGTGTAATAGCCACGGAGGACGCGGCAGACATGTGTGTCATCTTCGGTATCACCGTCTTGTTCGCCTGATAAGAGGTTCTGGCGGAGAGAAGAGATTTGAGAAGACGTCTTTTGGACGAGGTTGGAGTACCAAGATGCCATGATGTAATATGTTTTATCTTATGGTAATGATTCCGTAGACAATACAACCGAGTGTTTTCGCATCGATAAAGTGCTTAAAAGCTATAAGTTGAGCGTGTCGCGTTGTGTGTGGATTCGTTCGCAGTCGGTTTAAGGAGCGGTATCGATGTCCTAAGCGTAAGATTAAGTCGCAGCTGAAGCATGCGACGATGAGCGCAGTTGGTATAAGGCTTTCGCAATCGGAATGGATACGCAGCCAGCTGCTAACTATGGGTTGGCTATAAGAGGAGGACTAGAGGGTTGTTGCAAGGGTCGAGAAAAAAGGTCAAGGCTGGCAAGTTTAAAGAGGGGAGAGTTGAGTTGGAAGTGAAAGTGACGCAGGGATTCTTGGATAATGCAATGCAAGTGGGCTGAGGGAGTTTCACAGCTGTCTGAGCTAATCATGCGCTGCGCTTGGGCGGGGCATTTCAAAGGTAAACGAACATAATACTCGGCGGTGGATCAAGGAAGTCCTGTGTAAGACTTTTGTTTTGAGACTTTACATTCGTTTGGCAGTGATATGTTTAAGCTGTAAAGAGCGAAACCACAATTAAGTCAATGAGATAATTAAATGGCAGTCTATTTGGTGTCTATAAACTACCAAGCAAACCAGCTCAGCAGAAATGAAGTATTGTACCGCCATGTGTCCCATATAAGTGCAACGTAGAGACCATCATGATGCTTTTTTCTTTCCTTCTCCCCGTTTTCATCTTGCTTAGGAAACGCAAACTCCGCAAACGCCGAGGCTTTACTTTGTTGTAGAAGAGCAATTACCATGACAGATCGTTGGTCAGCATCAGCTTCTCCTTCTCCTCCTGTCTGGGCTTCTTGTTCTTCATCTTGATAGCCCGTCCGCGCTTTCGCTTGTTGCCAGACTTCTCGCTCTCGGACTCTTCGCTGTCCTCCTCCTCCTCGACCTCCTCGTCGTCGTCGCTGCCGAGCCACTCCTCAAGGTCGCCAAGCTCGTCATCGCTCTCGCCAATGTCGGAAACGTACTCAACCTCCTTCTCGAGGTTATCTTCCTCCTCGTCATCACTCGACTCAATCTCCTCGCCGTTCTCATCGAGGCCCTTGTCCATATCCGTGTCACGTTCGCCCGCGCCGTCACGCTCCATGGCGTTAAGGACCTTCTTCCAGATGTGCTCGCTGACGTTGAGAGGTTGGTCACCGTAAGCACCCTGTCGTAGGCGTTCGACGAGCTCACGCTCAATGGTGCGTTCGAGTTTGGCAGCTGCCTCGGCCTTGCGTTCACGAGCCCGCTCACGATGCTTGATCTTGGGTGCCATCTTCGGCACAAGCTTTTCGCCTAATCTTTCATCCTCGGCGGCAATGCGACGCATGCGGATTTGGACTTGTGTCAGGCGTGTGAGACGTTGCTTGCACCTGTGGATCATGTACTTGGGCCAGTAGATCAACAACTCATCCAGTTGCTTGAGAGCTTCGTTATAAGAACGAGACAACAAGCGCTTTTCCCATAATTTATTTGGTAAATGCTGTCTCTCAATCGTTTTAATACAAGCGTACAGTTTTCCGCCCTCTTCTCTTATCGTGGCATAGCGGGAGTTGGCGAGAGGACACGACTGGCGGTTACACAAACCACTGTGGTTGTATTCGTTACGACAGAACGCATTTTGTGCTTTCACATGTGGGGTTCTGTTGTGGAGGTTAGCATGCTCTTTTTCTTGTAACTCAAGTGATCTTGTTGAGGTTGGAAGACCGAGGGCATCATGTTGTCCATGTTGTGTCTTGTTGAGCCTCAAGCCCTAGGGAGGGAGAAGGGCGTGGAGAAGAGAGACTTACTTAAGTCTGTAAGAGCAGAATCCACCATTTCCGTTGATAATGTTCCAAACGATCTCGTCGGACGCCATTGTGAGAAATGTTGAAGTTGGCGATAGTTCGCGATACGACACAGAGGAGTTGGTTGGTGTTGATCGAAATTCTAGCGCTAGGAAGTGCGCAAAGGAAAGAAAACTCCGAATAAAGATCCGAAAGACCCCAGAGACTCAGGCCCCGTTCAAAACCAAGAATGACTGAGGTTTTGAAGTTGGTAGAAGTTTGCGATTTGACGCAGCGAAGGATGGCGAGTAGAAAAATTTCAGGCTAGTTTACTAGAATTTCGTCCCGCTATCTTATCTCTGGCTGCTCCAGCGTTGGCGCTCACTACGCCACATCAACAGTGGGCCAATCATCTATCCAATATTCTCAACCAAAACGCTCGGCAGCGCAACACCCATCATGAGTATCATGACTCTAGTCAATACTTCCACGAAACCCAGAGCAAGGTTCTTCGACTTCCAGACAGTTAAAGGCCCCTACAGGTCTATGGTGATATATGGGTTTTCCATAAGTTACAGTATGCCTCTGGTTTCTTTCTCCTCCAATTGGCTAATCACTAACATGACACAGAGCGTGGCTGGTGTCCCGGACGCTGGTTTCTCCGGACCGGTTGCGCCGCGGCTCTGCGTCACCTGTAGTACGTACCATGACAGCTGCGATAGCATCGCCTTTGGAACTTGGCCTGCTTAGCCGCGTAACGCACCATCAACAAATTCTCGTTTGTCAGATTCTACGAACTCAGTCGTTTTGTCGCCCCCCGTCTCGATCTCCCCGTTTCGACCGATAAGATCTCTTACTCCTCTCCCCACGGGGAGCCTCGTTCGTCGATATCGTTGCATACCAGTCAAACATAAACACCATCGCCCAAGATGTCTGCCGGTCTCAAAACCATCATCGCACTCTCCTTCGTGCTCGCCGTCGGATTTCTCCTCGTTATCCTGTCTTGTGCGCTGTGGAAGGTCTACTATCCTCTGCTTGTTGTCGCCACATATGTCATTGCGCCCATTCCCAACTGGATCTGCGGACACTGCGCCAACCCCGATGATTTCGTCGAGAGCTCCGGTGCTGCAGTTCTAGATCTTGGACGTTTCTTTACAGGATTCTTTGTTGTTATGGGAATCGGTAAGTCTTGTTACTCCTGGCCGAACTGGTGTTTCGACACGGGTCCTGATCGAACGCCCACCTGAGATTGTTTACGTGGCTAACCCTTACGCAGCTCTACCTGTCGTCCTCGCACACTCCGGCCTCATCGAAGTCCAAGCCATGGTTATGTCCATAATCGGTGGTCTACTGATTTACGGAACCATTGTCAGCTTCGGTATGTTCTTCCACGAGGAGCAGGATTTCTAAGTATGCGCGCGCGTGGCACAAGCGAATTAAGTCAGGATTAATCGAAATCTCGGAATAACAACCGAAGAGGCATGCAGCCTTGCGGGAAAGAGGAGGGTAATTGTTAGCATCAAACCTGTATAACGCGTGTATGATCACAGGAGACAAAGGAGTCACATTGGCATTCAGCGGGGTTTAAACAGGGGTCTCGGATATCGCAAAGGGGGTTCTTTGACTTCCGGCATGGCAATAAGATGGCCATAGTCCGTCGCCAGTGCTATATCTTTGTGGGAGCCATATAAACCGTATTATTTCTGCTCTTTGTAAATGTTTGCGTTCCCTGTCTATGTTGTTGAAATCCAACCCAAAACTCCGACGATGTGTACGTTGAGGTATCATGTCCAAGATCAAATACTACGCCTACCCTTCCCAACCGTCTAATCCAGTTTGCATTTTCCCTTGAGAACTAGCACTTAAGCCGCGTCTCTAAATACGCCCATGGGACCAGCAAGTTTGGTAAACATCTCGTCCCTTTCCCCCTCAGGGGTACTGAGAATAGTTACCGCACCTCCAGCTCCGATCCTCCAAACTTCCCTGGGCTCAGTCTCGCCATTTTCAGCAGGGACCTCTTCGTCATCCCATCGGAACATAGTCCGAATTGTAACACTCCAGTCCCCTGCACCAGTGACATCCATATATCCAACGACACCAGAGTACAGACTTCGCTCGTGGTGACCCTCAATAACCTGTAGAAGCTCGCAACTGCGCTTCTTTGGCGCTCCTGTCATACTTCCAGGAGGAAGGGCTGCAGCAAGAGCATCTAGACCGGTGTATGGACAGTGTGAATCAAAGCTACTTCGGCGAGCGCCACGGGGCTTATTGCCATTACGTCCAGGAAGTTGACCGTTAACGACCGTGATCATCTGGAAGACGGTGGCATACTCTTCCACCTTCATCAAATCAGGGACTGTAACATGGCCAACACCACAGACGCCATGCAAATCGTGTCGTACGAGATCAACGATCATGAGATTCTCGGCCACTTCCTTGGGCACATGCAGAATCTTCTCAGCCTGCGCCAGCGTCGAAACAGCTTCCGACTTGCGAACTGTACCCTTCATTGGTCTCATGGAGCAAAGCCCGTTACTGTCGTGGCGCATGAAACGCTCAGGGGAGCAGCTGAGCATTGTAGCGCTACCAAGCCGGATAAATGATCCGAAAGGGGCTGGCTGTCGATTTCTGAGTGTCTGGTAGATATGCCAAGGGCTTCTCTCATCGTTGCGAGAACGAGGCCTTTCCATAGTTGTTTGTGACGTGAGGCAAAGTTCATACGACTCTCCTGCTGCGATGAAGTCCTGGCACACTCGAACCTGCTCTTCATATCTGTCGGGCTGTGGTGTTGTGATATTGACTTGCTTGTGCTGAACAGAATTGCCGTTGCTATGCCCGTTGCTTGCTTTTGATGGTCTTTGGGGGAAGCATCGTTGAATTCTTTCCGTCATCTTTTCGAGCCACATGTCGTCTGATCCTTGAGGTTTCAGGTTTTGGATGTGTGCCACACCAGCTCGATGATCCAAAACAATGCTCTTGGTAATCCATGCCAAGAAGATGTCAGGTCTCGCATGACCCCTATTTTCTGGTACCATCTTCTTCTCAAGGCCATGCAGACCCATCTCATAAGTGATGAAGCCCATGAAACCACCTTTAAAGGCGGAAGTTGACTGATCAAATCCAGAGGGATTGCTTCGTCTCTCCCAAAAATCCGAAATGATTTCCCAAACCTTGACTGTGCCATTTTCAAGACTGACGGTCTCAATTCTATCGGTATCGCCAGCTGCTGGTAGTCGGATTGTCACAAAGTCATCTAAGACATTGTACTCAACCCGCAATGCCTCTTCGACCTCTAGAGCGACAATACTGTTTAGAGCCAACGCATCTCCGTTCTTTGAACTCGATGAGTCGAGAATGACAGATTCTCCCTCGGCCAATCCCAGCGTTTCGACAATCTCTGGTACGCCAACTCCTTGGGGTAGAGGAATTGTGTTGTGTGTATACTCTGCTGTTTTTGCAAAGTCCCTCAAGGACGTCGTTTCGCCACATGACGTTGACCACCAGTCCCCTGGCAGTCTTTCCTTGTGTGCAGCCGCAGACTCCAGATGGTTTGGTGGTGAGAGAGTCTGAATCTCCAGCAACGGCCCCTGTACATGTCGTCCGTGGTTCTTGTTCCATTGAATGGCAGCCTGAAACCAGTTGATGATTACACCATGTGCGTTCTTTTCGGTGCACACGGATTCCGGATGATATTGAAGACCCCAGAACGGTTTTCTGAGATGTCGGACACCCTGAAGAATTTGCTCACGTCGACCATCGTCTCTGAACTCTGTCGCCCAGGCCAGAGGTGTAAACTCGGAGGTCGGGTTCCAGCGATTCTTCTCCTGCCACCCATCGTTGTACTGACCAATATCGACACACAGGCTGTGATATAGAGTAGCCTTGAAAGGTGGCACTTCACGAAAGATATCCTCTCCCTGGTGCTCAATCTCTCTCACCATACCATGAATGCCCCTCTTCAACCTCCTCACAGCTCCGCCATGCGCAGCCAAAAGGCTCTGGAAACCAAGACATATACCCAAAACGGGCACCTGACGATGCTCAGGGAGATTCCAGAGCAGATTGAAAGCCCCGACATCCTCTGGGTTAAGCGGAGATCCGGGGCCAGGGCCGCAAACTACTGCGTCGAATTGTGAGAGATTATCGAGAAATTCTTGCTCTGCCCATCTTGCAGGTGTATCGTTTTCATCCAGTCTGTCGATGACCGAAAGATCAATCCTTATAAGAAATATCTCTGCGCCGAGAAGTGTTCGGAGAAGGGAGACAATATTATTTGTGAACGAGTCATAGGCGTCAATGAAGAGAATCCGCTTAGGCTGTTTGGCCGACGGTTCAGGGCCTGTGGCCATATTTTAGGAAGAGAGTCAATGTATCAGAATTATTTAAGTGAGTTTAAAAAGGATAAAAAAAGACTCCAGTGAAGGTGTTGCTGTGGATAGAAGATAACAAAATCCAATAAACTTCGTTCTCGGCGTTCGATATAAATTCGAAATCTTTTGCCGCCACAAACCGGAGCTGACTCGGAATCGACGCCGTTGAAGCCACAGCACTTGCAGACGTTAAGTTAGTTGATCATCAGGTGATCGGATGGCAAAAGTACTAAAGTTCGACTTGCTGTTACTGTTGATTTGACTTTGGTCATTTATGCCAGAAAAGAATTTAAACTTGTAATAAATACATATTAATGTGTTCGTAATCGCGAAAGAAAATGACTGAATTTCTTATCAATGCAGGCACTGAGGTATGCAAGGGTCCCTGCTAATAACGGTCCAAAACACCATCGCGACCTTCCAGCTTAGTCTGTCTTGCCTGCAATACTCCTCTCGAGCATATTTTATTCATTTCTCTGAAAATCCAGGCCGGATCGACTCTTTCGTTACGATTTTATCTCAAAACATTCAGCACATCATCATCGTATCGCCATGAAACCTATTGTCCCGCCTTAGTATGCAATAGAAGGTCGCCCTTGAACCCCGACAGACGCGCCGCAGTTCGATCTTTATCGATTCCTTTCTCATTATTCGTTCACTACTTTTCTCTGCAGTATTATACACCCGTCTAGGACTTTGTCGTGTGCCAATATTGCAGTAATCTAGCTTCGCGTTCCTTTGTATTAAACCCCCATCCTTCAGTGCTGTCGCTATATTTGATGGTTTCTTTAACGCCAGTGCTGCTGACGCCAGGACCAATCGTCCGCACACTGATTGTTGCCCTTGTCAAAGCAAGTCGTCACAAGATCTTGCTTTGATTTTTGAGAAAACAGATTGGCCCTCTTCACATTTCTGATATTTGCATAAGGACGAGGCAAGATGGAAACTTGTCCGAAGCCTTCGCCTTGCAATTCGTCCTCAGCCATACATCCATTCCCGTCCCCAAGGTATATTACGCTTTCATCTATAGAGGAACATCATACACTGCGATGCAGCATATCAAGGGGCAAATGACGGCGCATGGTTGGACAAGTCGGTCAGATGAATCAAAAACGCGAATATTGGAGCAATTGCGTGACATGGTCACTGAGCTTCGCTCTGTCACACCCCCAGAAGGGACAAAGGTTAGCAGTATCGAAGGCGGGCCTTTCTACGACTGTCGGCTGCCGTCAAGGCTCTACTGGGGTCCCTATGCCAGTGTTCGCAAGTTCCACGAAGCGCTGGTCGATAACATTCCTTGGGACGCTGAATATACCAACTATCCTGATCTTGTTGAACTCTTTGAATTCTACCGGCAAGTAGAAAACGAGATAGTCCTCACCCATGGCGACCTGAGCAGTCTCAACATTCTGGCTCGTGGAGACAGAGTTGTAGGTATAGTGGACTGGGAGACGGCAGGATGGTTCCCGGCTTACTGGGAATACACCACAGCAAGATATGTCAACCCGTAAAACCGATTCTGGGCCAATGCGGTCGATCAATTCATAACGCCCATGGCGGACAAGTGGAATATGGATTCCATAAGACGCAAGTATTTTGGTGACATAACAGACATTGAGTCTCGTGTATGATTTCGCCGGGCAAGATCCTGTGAAATATACAAGAGCTTAAACTGGGGATCGTTCCCACTGGACTAAAGAATAGAAGTAGAATGCTGGAAGTTAAATCGCGGGCCGGTTCCGTCTTACAGACGACCGAACTAGTGGGGGTTTCAACATTACCGAAGCTGTCAGAAAGACCGATGGTGGGGGCCGACGCCGAAGCTCCGAGGTGATGTCAAGATAGACGACAGTAACCGTCAACAATTGCCACTTTTGTCAGCAAATTGTCACAATTTATCACCATTGATGAGGCAATGGGACTACGTCTTTGAGTATATACTTACAGCGAATGATTCCAAATGCATGAATATTTCTTTTTAACGTCACCTTCTCCCTGCATATAAATTCCTGCCATTGATGCTCTGTCGCAACGCCCTCCGCAGAGCTGTACCGCGCTCACAACCAGTCTCACATCTACGACGAATCAAACAAATGGCTACTCACATTTCCAATGGCAATGGCGCATTGTCGCCTGCGTCTGGGTACGAAGGCGCAGCACTCGAGGACCTACCCAAGTCATGGCATTTCACCGAATCCCTTCCTGCCGATTCTATATTCCCGACACCTGCCGACTCTCACAAGACTCCTCGAGATCAGATAGGCCCCCGACAAGTGCGTAATGCTATATACACCTGGGTGCGCCCCGAAGAACAGAAAGACCCGGAGCTTCTGGCTGTCAGTCCAGCCGCTCTGCGCGATCTGGGGATCAAGTCCGGAGAAGAAACGACAGACAATTTCAGACAGATGGTAGCGGGCAACAAGTTGTACGGCTGGGATGAAGAAAAGCTCGAGGGTGGCTACCCTTGGGCGCAATGTTATGGAGGATTCCAATTCGGACAGTGGGCTGGTCAGCTTGGTGATGGCAGAGCTATTTCCCTCTTCGAGTCAACCAACCCTGACTCTGGCGAGCGATACGAGCTTCAACTCAAAGGTGCCGGTCTGACACCTTACTCGCGATTTGCCGACGGAAAGGCTGTTCTGCGATCCAGTATCCGAGAGTTTGTTGTTTCAGAGGCGCTCAACGCTCTCAAGATTCCCACTACCAGAGCGTTATCGCTCACGCTGCTGCCAGATTCCAAGGTTCGCCGAGAGCGAATCGAGCCAGGTGCTATCGTTTTACGGTTTGCGCAATCCTGGGTACGCCTTGGTAACTTTGACATTCTACGTGCAAGAGGAGATCGCAAGTTGATTAGACAGCTTGCCACATACATCGTAGAAGATGTCTTTGGCGGCTGGGAAAAACTGCCTGGTCGGCTGGAAGACCCGGACAAGCCTGCTAATTCTCCATCACCCAAGCGTGAGGTAGCTGCTGACACCATTGAGGGCGCAGATGGTTCCGAGGAGAATCGCTTTACGAGGTTCTATCGCGAGGTCGTGCGTCGCAATGCCAAAGTGGTGGCTCACTGGCAAGCTTACGGATTCATGAATGGTGTCTTGGTAAGTAACATGTGTTGACATCCTTGACATGGTGCTAACATATAACAGAACACAGACAACACCTCCATCTACGGACTGTCGATAGACTTTGGTCCATTTGCTTTTATGGATAATTTTGACCCTGCATACACACCAAACCACGATGATTATGCGCTCCGTTATAGTTATAGAAACCAGCCTACCATTATCTGGTGGAACCTTGTTCGTTTTGGCGAGGCCATTGGCGAGCTGATGGGAGCAGGTGCAAATGTTGACAATGAGACCTTTGTTACAGAGGGCGTCAAGAAAGAGCAAGAGGAGGAGATTGTGACAAGAGCTGAAAAGCTCATTACACAAGCTGGAGAAGAGTTTAAGGCTGTGTTCCTTGCAGAGTACAAGCGACTTATGACCACTCGCCTGGGTCTCAAAACGCACAAGGATACTGATTTTGAGGTGCTTTTCAGCGAGGCCCTCGACACAATGGAAGCTTTGGAGCTTGACTTCCACCACTTCTTCCGCCGTCTGAGCAAAATCAAGTTGCAGGATTTGGCCACCGAAGAAGCCCGCAAAGAGAAGGCCTCAGTTTTCTTCCACAAAGAAGGCCCCCCGACCATCACAACCGAAGAAGATGCCCGAGCACGCCTTGCCATCTGGCTAGAGAGCTGGCGGGGGCGCATTATCGAGGATTGGAAGGAAGATGGAGACGATGTATCAGACGCAAAGGACCTCGAGAGAATTGATGCGATGAAGAGGGTGAACCCCAACTTCGTGCCTCGCGGTTGGATTCTTGATGAACTCATCCAGCGCGTAGAGAAGGACGGCGAACGAGACGTGCTGAACCGTGTCATGCACATGGCCCTCAACCCGTTCGAAGATCGCTGGGATGGCGAAATTTTCGACGGAAAGACATACAACGGCGACAAGGACGAGGAACTGCGATGGACGGATGATCCCCCTCAGTCTGAGCGAGCTATGCAGTGCAGCTGCAGCTCATAGGCAGATAGATCAATCCCTAATAAATGAACACACACGTACAGTTGCGTGGTGCTCAAAATCTACAAGCTATCCTAAGATTTGGTGGTATGTTACGACCGGCGGTAAGAGGCAGCGGTCATGGAGATTGGTTACTCTTCCATGCTTCCATAAACGGCGTAAAAATATTCATCTTGAACACAAGATAGAGGTAGACTCGACTGAAGCAACAGTTCTGCCGAAGCAGTCTTGTCGCGCAAGCTCACCTACAATAAAGTGTGCCCGTATACAATTTAATTTGGTAGAAGAAAGGAAAAAAATTCCAAAATCTCGGCGCGAATTGTGGAATAAGTGGTATTGGGTCTGAGGCTGCGGCCTGAGGCAGAGAGAAAAAGGCGCTGACCAATGAGCATTAACGTAAATTAATCGCGGGCTAGCGCCACTAAATCCATCACCCGAACAGCAGGTTCCTAGACGTCAACGACTGAGCATATATTCGCCTTCAGCGACCCTGTAACCATTTTCATCTTCCCTCCGTCAAGGCGACGCGATGCTCCGAAATACTCTAGCACGTTCGGCTTGGCGGACGAGTCGGCGGGCGGTCAATGTCTCGCGAACCTTCGCGACGACAAGCCAGCGCCCGGCCGAGGTGGAGCTGACAATTGGTGAGCATCTTTGTGTATAGAGCCATTGAAGGTTCAAGGAAGGCTAATACTGTTACTAGATGGAAAGAAGATCTCTATTGAAGGTATGCTTTAATGTTTGGGCGGCTTGGTCGACGTCTTCTGACAGAATTGTAGCTGGTTCTGCCCTTATTCAAGCCTGCGAGAAGGCAGGTTCAACAGTTCCTCGGTAAGTCAAGACAGTCGTGGCGAGTTTGGATGACCTGGCTAACTTTATCTAGATACTGCTACCATGAGTACGATGCCTCCGAGTCCTCCTACGATCGATCTATCGCTGACAATGCTTCAGGAAGCTTATGATTGCCGGTAACTGCCGAATGTGTCTGGTGGAGGTTGAGCGGGCACCGAAGCCCGTTGCCTCATGTGCTTGGCCCGTACAGCCCGGTATGGTTGTCAAGACCAACTCTCCCCTTACTCACAAGGCCCGTGAGGGTGTTATGGAATTCTTGCTGGCCAACCATCCTCTCGACTGCCCTGTCTGTGATCAGGGTGGTGAGTGTGATCTTCAGGACCAGTCTATGCGTTACGGAGCGGACCGAGGCCGATTCCACGAGGTTGGCGGCAAGCGAGCTGTAGAGGACAAGAACATTGGTCCCCTGATCAAGACTTCCATGAACCGATGTATTCACTGCACTCGATGTATTCGATTCTCCAACGATATTGCTGGTGCCCCCGAGATGGGCTCCACCGGACGTGGTAACGATATCCAGATTGGCACCTACCTCGAGCAGAACCTGGACACCGAGTTGTCTGGTAACGTTATCGACCTTTGCCCCGTGGGTGCCCTCACCTCCAAGCCATACGCTTTCCGAGCTCGTCCCTGGGAGCTGAAGCACACCGAATCTATCGACGTTCTAAACGGTCTCGGCTCCAACATCCGTGTGGACTCCCGTGGCCTCGAGGTCATGCGTATTCTCCCCCGACTCAACGACGACGTGAATGAGGAGTGGATCGACGACAAGACTCGATTTGCTTGTGACGGTCTTAAGACTCAACGACTTACTATGCCTTTGGTCCGCCGCGAGGGTCGCTTCGAGCCCGCTGACTGGGAGGAGGCTCTCACCGAGATTGGCCGTGCTTACCAAATTAAGAACCCCCAGGGTAACGAGTTCAAGGTCATTGCTGGTGCTTTGACTGAGGTCGAGTCTCTGGTTGTTGCCAAGGATATGGCCAATAAGCTTGGCTCTGATAACCTGGCCCTCGATACCCCTACTGGCAGCCAGCCTTTCGCCCACGGTGTTGATGTTCGATCCAACTTCCTTTTCAACTCTCAGATCTGGGGAATTGAGGAGGCCGACGCTATCCTGATTGTTGGCAGCAACCCTCGGCACGAGGCTGCCGTTCTCAACGCCCGTATCCGAAAGCAGTGGCTCCGATCTGACCTCGAGATTGGTCTTGTTGGTGAGACATTTGACTCCACCTTTGAGTTCGAGCACTTTGGTGCCGATCACGCTGCTCTCAAGACTGCTCTCTCTGGTCCCTTCGGCGAGACCCTGAAGAACGCCAAACGACCTATGATCATTGTCGGCTCTGGTGTCACTGACCACGCTGATGCCAAGGCTTACTACGAGACCATTGGTGCCTTCGTCGACAAGCACGCCTCTAACTTCCGAACTGAGGAGTGGCAAGGTTACAACGTCCTTCAGCGTGAGGCTTCTCGTGCTGGTGCTTTCGAGGTTGGCTTCACTACTCCTTCTGCTGAGGTTGCCCAGACCAAGCCCAAGTTCGTCTGGCTTCTTGGTGCCGACGATGTCAACGAGGCCGATATCCCCAAGGATGCTTTCGTTGTTTACCAGGGTCACCATGGTGACAAGGGTGCCCAGATCGCTGATATCGTCCTCCCTGGTGCTGCTTACACTGAAAAGGCCGGTACTTACATCAACACTGAGGGTCGTGTTCAAATGACTCGAGCTGCCACTTCTCTGCCTGGTGCCTCGCGAACTGACTGGAAGATCCTCCGAGCTGCCAGTGAATTCCTTGGGGCTCCCCTTCCTTACGATGACGTCGCCATGGTCCGAGACCGCATGGTCGAGATCAGCCCTGCTCTGGCCGCCTACGACGTTGTTGAGCCCGTCGCCCTCCCTGCTCTGAGCAAGGTTCAACTTGTAGACCAGAACAAGGGTGCCAAGGTTTCCGGAGCTCCCCTCAAGAAGGTCATCGACAACTTTTACTTCACAGATGTTATCTCACGAAGGTATGTGAACTTGATTCATTGTGTACCGGGAGCCCCCGCTAACAATCTCTCTAGCTCTCCCACAATGGCTCGCTGCTCAGCGGCCAAGGCCACTGGTGATGCCAGGACAAACTTTATGGCCCCTGGTATGGAGGAGGATAAGCCTATGGGTCAGGTCGAGTATGGCGTATAACGTGGTGGTTGTAAAAGAATAGAAAGATCTGCTTTGTTTTATTGCGTCTGGGAAGTTCGTAGTATGTACATATTGGACGTCTGACAGAGGGCTAAAGGTAGATAAGTTGAATACCTAATTCCTTCGCTACGATGTGCACTTCCACGGAAATTGCCGTTTCACATCTTCCTCTTTCGATTAACGTTTGGAAGGAACATGAACATGTTCCTGTCACGGGCCTCCTTTGATGCCCCGTCGACGTACTTGACTGGTGAAAGCTGGGCTTGTGGTGCAGGTCCATGAGCCGGTTCCTAGTTGGCTCTGCGAACCTGTTCCTGTCCGAGTTGTTCTTTTTTTATTTCTGCTTCGATCTTTGCCCGATATGCTACTAAATCTGTATCACGAGCTCCTGCCATTTGGGCAGACCGCAATACAAACCCCATCATAGCGTTGGCCTGACACTCGCGCAGTGATCGATGGGGCCCTTCAAACGATGGTTGAAGAATTTGTTGTGGCGTGTCCGGGTAAGTGTCCGCCGGATGTGGCTTCGCTTCCATGTTTGCGATCATGGTGTTCAGATGTTCGGGCTCAACGCCTCGTGGGATGTCTGGTGCAGCTGTACCCTCTATATCTTCGAGGACTTCATAGCGCCGTCCATCTTGAAGGATGCGCTCGCGCTCGCGTATACACAGCGCGAGGAAGTTTTCGTTGGTGCTGATGGCGTGAGCATCAAGGCCTTCAAGCTCTGCTTGTAGAAGCTCGAGCTTGGTTGTCGAAGTGACGTCGCATAAGGCTTCATCCTTGCTTATAGGACGGAAAATGGCGGGCGCGAAGGTCTGTAACGGGGGAATGATGGCAAGGCCGTCTGGATCAGGAACATGCTTGGGATATTCTAGGCGCTCCGGGCCTGAGCCGCGACGATCAGGCGGCTGCGCCATCCTTCTTATTCATTTGTTTGTGGATTATGCGATTCTTTGAAGAAACGGGGGCATCAAGGCGTGGTTCATTTGTGGCTGCATGTAGTTGACGCTACACAGCAGGCGATGTTTGAGATGAGTGGGTTAGGAGGGACGAGAGAAGGGTCGGTGTAACATAAAGGCGGATAGCTGCATCTGCACCTGCAGAAATGGAAGTGGAAGAAGAAGGATTAGCGATGGGGCTAATGCTTCATAAACAAAGAACAACCCAAGCGTCAACGAATTCCGAGGGGTACTTAGGTTGCCAGGCAGAAACATATGGCTCCTTGAAGATAAAATCATCCTAAAATTAATAATTCCGAGAACACATAATGAGCGGTAAGATCGGCTCTTGTGAATGTATAAACAGGGTTGAATTAAGGTAGTGGTTTCGTGATAATATTCCAAGCATGGTATCTACTGGGTACATGTCCTCAACACACAATAACCACCCATTTCTCATAAATACAATGCTAGCCCAATACTCCTTTAAGCGCCTTATACTTAATGTGATTAACTTGTATCCAAAGACAATTGTAGTTTATGTGCTTGTCTGGTCTGAACTCGATACCAGCTGGCGTCCAAATACGCCTAACAATCCATGACCGCATACTGGGCTAGTCAGAATAACCCAGAAGAGCTCATAGACCAAGAGATCATGCCGCGAGATAGCAATACTCTCATATTGGGAGAGTGTCACCGATGCTGTGCCCGAAAAATCAAACGAGGGCTTTGTTCGGTGTGAATTTTGAGAGCAGGGACCGCCGGACGACATTCTACCCGAGCTATCACCCTCGTGACGGCAGAACATTTCGAACGTATTCTCTTAGTAGCCTGACACCCGCTCTAACAAGGTCTTCGAGTCGACGATCCTTGCGCTTCCTCAGCCATAATAGAACGACAGACAAAATAACAAGATCGGCAAATATGTGTTTGACTAATAACCAGGCAAACCACTTCACCCATACTTGGAGGCTTCGTTCCTGCTTCGCTCGCCACTCTCGACCCGTTGTAATTTGTTCTCGTAACGCAGCTACCTCAGCGGACATTGTGGTTAATGCTCGTTCCACCTTTCGCTGCCAGCGACCACTGCTTCGATCGCTAGTTGGTACATCAATTTCGGCATCTTCAAGGTCTACTTGTCGCTGAGACCGTAGTTCCGCTTCGTCATACTCGCTCATCGGTCTTAATTCTTTCAGGGGGCCTTCGCCATCGCTCGCTTGCTCGGGTTCTTGTTGAGGCTGGTGTGCGCCGGCGCCAGTCGATTGGTTGGCTCTCGGCGACGACAACGACGAGCTTGGACTGTTATTTTTAATCTGATTCCAGACGAATTCGAGTTCTGACACAAGTTCCTCAGCGTCACTGGCAGACCCACGTTAGTTGATCCTGTGTAGTTGGAGTTGAAGGATAGCGCTTACGGTGTCGTCGCATATCGATGCATCGTATCTATCAGCGCCTCGATATATCTCCTCTTTGACTCTGTCCGGCTTAATCCTTTCTGTAGATTCCACGCATCCCATTTATCTTTCTCGCGCTGTAGTTCGTCGGATGCCAATCCCGAGGCAGCAGTCGGACGTTCCATTACACCATCAACATCACCCTCCATTGCCTGCTTGTAGAGTCCATAAAGTCGGAGTCGATCGGTCGGCGGTGGTCTCGATGCGCCAGTTTTGGGTATCTTTTTGACGGTGTTGAGAGCGTGTACAAACACGCGATCTGATTACACGTCAGCCACCACGTTTGAGCACCGGTTATACAATACGACATACCCACTGAATCCGCCATTTTGGCGGCTATATTTTGTGTTAAAAAAAACTAAAAAAAACGGCTCGCGACACGCAAGTTGCGGCCGATGAGAGGGAGTGGCAATGGCGTCGAGGTCCAAGTCGAGCTTCGATATGGGGTCCTTTATCGGACCTTGAGCCGTCCGGACCGCGGCTTGATGGCCGAGATAACGGAACCCCACAAGCCAAGAATGGAAAGGAGAACAACAAAGTCGAAGTTGAAGGAAGACGATTGATTCTGTGTATCAAGAAAGAATTAAGTAACAGAGAGAGAACAAGTGTTAAGATAGAAGGCAGCCAAAGAAACGCCTAGTCGCCCGTGTATTATGACTCCATTGGGAAAAGAAAGGAGGGTCTTCGAGACTAAGATGATGGATTAACGCTCGATCAGAAGCAATTGGATGATGAAATGATGCGAGATCTTGCCCTGGGCCGGGACCTGTGGAGGACCTCGGCGCCCACGGGTAACGGGCAGTTACCAATGGATGGAGCTCGGAGGATACGCTTTCAGGGCCGTCTCCACTAGAAAAGGCACGTCCCCAGGGGGAGGGGATGATATCTGGGGATTCGGTAACAGTATAAAGATGATGGATCTTTAATTAATGCTCCGTATAATGAATAGCATGGCATCTATTATAGTTCGGTGCAGTATAGAATATGTGAATTGTGTTTCTGTATACGTGTACCTTTGCTCATCTCTCATGGACTTTCCAAGATCTCATCGACACGGATACCTGAATGTCGTGTTTTACCTTGTACCGAGCTTATTCTCCCCTCCTTTGAGCGGTTCGAGATATCGGGATCTGGAGACCAACCCCTGCATATGTTCCTAAATATGAACCGAGACACGTGAAGATAAATTGTAAAGTGGTCGATTAGGTTGGCAGGCTTGCTACCTAGCTTTAAAGACTTTGTAACTTTAACTCCATTAGTAAATATCGTTACCAAATATTACAAATGCAGCATTACTAGCTAAACATTTGACAACAGAACTTGGCTAAGATCAAAACAAGAGAGCTGTTACTTTATTCATATTCCACAGGGTATCAGAAAGTTGGCATGCAGCATTAGCTAAACATTTGACGAGTCTGCCCCACGGGCTTTTTCCTCCATCCATTGCTTCTTCTTAGCTTCGTATACTTTCAAGAATTTCCTATTTTCAAGCACTTGCAATGCTGCCTTTCCACCTGCTTCAGCCTTGCGCTTACCAACACCACATGCCATGAATTTGCCTGTTTCTCCCCACCCGTCAAGATAAACTCCAATAGCAAACAGTGGGAGGCCTGTGTCCTTGTCTTTTTTCTTGCATTCCATATCTTCGTACCGAATTTTGATTCCCGGCACCGCTATCGCTGCGCTCAGACGACCTTTGGCATTTTGCTCTGTCAAGGGTATCACCTTGGCTTCGGGCTGTGTAGGTTGTTCTTGAGCGATATGCTGTGTTTGAGCTATTGTTTCCAAGCAACTTTCTGCTTTCTTGATCTGGTCTTTGATTGTACGACCCCACAGCATCTTGAGCCAAGTAACGGCGTTTGCGTTTCCCTGCGGATGCGATTTGACGACTGCTCCAACGTATGCCTCAAAAACATCGCCTTGAAGCTTGATTACGTCCCTGTTATTCTTCTGTGTTCGTAGCAGGACTGTCATCTTGCCGATGTCTTGGGGCAATTGCGTTTTGTGCTCCATGCCGTACTCTCGATAATACTCAGCAAGTGTGCTATTTCGAACTAGCTGTTCACGGATTTGGCTGCACCGGCCTGCTGTGAGATGCGGAAAGGTCTCGAATATGAATTCTGTAGAGATCATCTCAAGTGTCGCGTCGCCGTACCATTCCAATTTCTCCCAGTTTGGGCCTCCAAGTCCAGGGTGCCTGAAGACTTGCTCTTCAAGATCGGGACGGATTGGTGGGAGAGGTGGCAGGCCGTCAGGTATTTCTGTGGAAGACCATCGCGAGATATCTGGCGCGACAGAGGCAACAGCAACCTGCACGCGCTTGCGTGGCTCCTTTTGTGAGCCCTCCTCTGCCGGTCTTTTTGACATATTGTAGCCTGTAATAGAAAGGTTAGCCTCCTAAATCCCAGGGTACAAAAATGAATAGTCTGGGAACTATATACTAAGTAGTATAACGTGACCTACTAATTTCGTCTCTTATACTTCGTGGTCAATTTTTCTGCTGGTCTGAAGCCGAAGCAAAGGTTTCCGTAGACCGTGATCGCGAAGTCACGTGACCTCGAAAGGCAACCGCGAGATTATCTCGACGTCAAAGTAATTGACTACGAACCGGCTAGTCGGTACCAGAAACTTTGGTCTCTAGGTAAGCTTTAGGATATAAAAATAAATAGCATAAGAAGTGTTCTAAGCAGCATAAACTGACCTACTAATTTCGTCTTTTATGTTCTTAGCGGCCAGTTTTTCTGATATCCTGTGTAGTTATGAACTGCTCAATGCACGATGTTCAAGAATTGCACTCACAAATTTCTTATCAAAGACGAATAAGTTGACTGACAGCTTGTTGCCTTGGTATTTTTTGGGTTATGCTGAAGGAAGAAGAAGTGGGCTGCTGGGCAGGTATTGCTTTTGTATTGTGTGAGAGTAAGGTTGATTTGAGCCCTATTTTATGACTCAAAGTTGTAGAGCGAGGGAAAAAGTCGATAATAGACTTCAGAAATCGTGTAGAACGACCAAATATCAAAAACGAATAACACTTGTGGAGTTGTATTTTCATTGGTCCGTTTGGAGTTGCTCTCAAAGCTTTAAACCCGCTTTTTGATTGAAGTGGCCAATCGGCGGTTTTGTTCAACTTTTGCGTAGACTTCATACGAGACGTCAATTCAAGCAGCAGGAAAGTTAACAGGAGCAACATTGAATGTCAATCACGTCAAGATGAGTGTCCCACGCGCGCGGATATTGGATCTGATGAAGGTAATTCTATCGAGCCCGAAATGGTCTTTCTCGTACTAACATTCTGCAGGCGCAATGCCAGGTCTTTGCGACTTCCTACAACCCTGAGGGCGTCCGCATGGGCAACAAGATCCTGCGACAGCGACTACGAGGACCAGCCATGGCAGCATACTACCCTCGAAAGACAGCGACGATACAGGACCTTAAGCGCGAATTTGGGCCAAACCTGGCAACCTGGGATGAGGCGGAGGAGGACCGATTCGAGTATATTGAGGAGTAAGCTGGAAACTGCAACCTTGAAATAGGTGCGAAAGTGCTGACAGTTCGATTTCAGGCTCAAGCTTCGTGGAAAGAGTGCTCCTAAGAAGAAGAAGGGACCCCCAGGTATGCATCTGCGACTCACCATCGCAAACAAGTCGCTAACAACTTTCCAGCTCCTACCGGCAAAAAGCGATAAATCAGGCAATGAATCTAATGACAAATTTGATGCCGATCATGGCGACTTAGAAAATCTTCGGAATCGCCTGTAAAGTGGGCGACATCTCGGTTTTACGACTCCTTGTGTATGGTGCTGTGGCAGCGATGACGAGGAAAGCCAAGTATTTGTGGTTTTCTCTTCAGTATGTACAATTACTTGTATTACAGCAAAAAAAAAATGCATTGTTCAATTCCCAAGTAGGAAAGTTTGTCTGTACTTTGACCTGTTGCTTGTTCGATTGCTAGATCACAAGTCCGTCCGACTACGAAAACGATATCCACGTCTTCATCCGCTGAATAGCCCAGCCACACTTCTCATGAGTGTTGGAATATCTTAGGTGTTGCGAGCAGCAGAACGGCAGTCTCAACATCCTGTGGCATTTAAGTAAAGTCGGTGGATACAATGCCGAAGCAAGAGCTCTTTTAGACTCGCAAGCATTGTCTTACAATCTGTGTTCGAGTTGTTTGTACTTGGCAATTCAGGCTGATGCACTCATTAACGTTTTCTTTTCCTAGTCGAGAAAGAACTTCTAGCTGACGATCTCCGTGTATAGGTAGGTAAAAAGGTAGGTAGGTAATCCATATTAACCATTCGGTGAATATCATGAATGGCATGAACGCTTCACATCCATGATGGATAGCCTTCCCGAGGAAGTGTTTCCCACAAGCGCGCTATACAAGTGCAGAAGACTCGGCCCTGAGATGCCCAGATATTCAGAGGAATAGAAGGAGTATAAAGTCACGATGACTTCAAGCTTCAGGGCATCACACCGTGCATATTAAGATTATGGGCCCCTATTTTGACTGCCAGTGCCAGCTGCAGGTGAGATTTTTTAGCAAAAGTGGAAGGAACAGAAGTGGCCAGGCTGCTCCTGTCGGCTGTTGGCACCTGCCACTTTACGCCCCTTCCATCTTCACTTTCCTTCCACTTGGCCTGCCGAAAAAGCTGCGTCAGTGATTAACCTCCACTCCCCTTCCGTCACCATATCCTCTTCCTTTCTTCCACCTCTTCACTCTCTTCCTCTTCCTCTTCACCATTCTCCCCTCAACACAATCAATCAGCCTCTTCTTGGTTCGTACATTCAGTACATTCACACTCTTTGTCTCACATCGCGTGTTACTTGCGTCCATTCCCTCTACAATTCTTATCCGATTGCGGTCTCTCCAAATTCATTGCATCGAAAGTCCAGCCCAACTGGTGCAACATCATGTCTTCACCTGGGTATTCTCAGGAATCACCTGAGAAGGTTGGTCCTATCTTTACTGCTGTTGTGCAGGGCGAGACTTCAGGCAATTTCCCACGTTCCTCTCCGGTCAGTATACTTTTATTAAGTTTGTCGGCTCTATGGATTCGCTATATATTGGCTTGATATCTCATACCGTTTTTTTCTTATGTCTTTTCGTGGAGAATAACTTACTAATGCAAACCACAGAAGGAAACAGGTAACCCCAATCCTGCAAAGAAAAGCATATCGGCCCTCACAACTTCAAAGCTTGCGAATCAAGGCCACCCAAAGGTGAAACTGACCGTGTGACTCACGGTATACAATTTACTAACCATTATAGAAGATGAAAATCAGTCACGATGACTCGACTACGGAACAGTCTTACCCTGTGGACAAGCTCCTTGCCAAGCTCTCTGAGCAGGTTGTAGACCAGCAGCCCGATTCCCTCAAAGCGAATAATGAAGTAATCAACTATGCAAGGATATTCGATCATGCGTCATCAAGCAACTCCCTGCCCGTCACTCCTGCTACTGATGTCTTTCCAAGCACGGCTCCTACTACACGACCCGCCAGTGCTACTTTCGACGATGCTCGTAACGAAAGCGAAGAAGTGGTCCGTCTGAAGTTGCAGCTCGCCCAAGCAGAGAGCAAGATTTCTAAACTTGACCAAGAATTGGCGGGAACCCGTGTCGTCACGACTATGCCCGAAAACTCTGCTATTGGATCCAGCAACTCGTTGTATCCTACTCGCGGAAGTGCGTGGAGATCTCCGGACGATGCTCATTCCGACACAAGCGATGCGATGTCTGCTTCTACCTTCAATCGTACTCGAGAGATCTGGGGAAGCCACCCTGGCGGCTTCACCAACACGCTTCAGGCTCCAGTCCCTGAACCAGCTCCTGGAAAATGGCTTGGGGGACGCGGTTTTAACCCACCATGCCCAGAATCTAGTGGTTCGCCTTATCCCGTGATGGATGGCTTCCGCAGTGAGCGTCTGACCCCAGATGCAGAGATGATACGACCCAACTACGGACGCCGTGGCAACCGTATGGATAGTCGATTCAACTCCCCCCAGCCGTTTGGATCTGGCTACGGGGGAGGCTACAACAGCCCTGCCAACCAATCCGACTACATGGGCAGCCCTGTTCCTGTAGCACCTATGAATGCTCCCCAAGGACTCGGCCCTATGGGTGTCTACCCTCCCTATCCACCTCCCGCCGGAACACCTCTGTCACCTCACGCCTCCGAGTTCACTGCTGGCTCCGGATGGAAGAATGAGGCTGGACCGCATCCATTGTACCCACGCAGGGGACTGGACCCAAGAGATGTTCTGTCGCCCGAGGATCAGACGTATCTGCCCCCAACTGAGCCACTGAACTATCGTCGTCTCTTGGACCGTAATGTCAACTGCAACTGGAAGTACATTGTCGACAAGATCGTCTGCAACAACGATCAGCAAGCCTCTATCTTTTTGCAACAGAAGCTCAAGGTTGGAACCCCGGAACAAAAGTTTGAAATCGTGGATGCGATCGTGTCACAGGCATATCCCTTGATGATCAATCGGTTTGGCAACTTTCTGGTACAGCGATGCTTTGAGCATGGCACACCTGACCAGGTGATCCACATTGCCGAAGCTATTCGAGGCAACACTTTGAGTCTCTCTATGGATCCTTTTGGTTGTCATGTTGTTCAAAAGGCGTTTGACTCAGTGCCGGAAAAATACAAGGCCATTATGGTTTCCGAACTGTTACGGCGCATCCCAGAGACGGTCATTCATCGTTACGCCTGCCATGTTTGGCAGAAGCTTTTTGAACTTCGCTGGACTGAGTCGCCCCCACAGATCATGAAGTATGTCAACGAGGCACTGAGCGGAATGTGGCATGAAGTGGCTCTTGGGGAGACTGGCAGTCTTGTTGTGCAGAACATCTTTGAGAACTGTCTTGAAGAGGATAAGGTATGTTGAGTTATTCTTGACAATGCTATTATACTAACTCTTTTAACAGCGTCCTTGTATCGAGGAGGTTCTTGCCAACATTAACATTGTGGCTCATGGCCAATTCGGTAACTGGTGCATTCAGCACATCTGCGAACATGGTGCTCCTCCTGACCGCAGCCGGGCTATTGACCACGTCATTCGTTATGCTGCAGAGTACAGCACTGATCAGTTCGCTTCCAAGGTTGTCGAGAAGTGTCTCAAGATCGGGGGTTCAGAGTTCCTCGGTCGCTACCTAGACCGAGTCTGTGAGGGTCGTCGTGACCGTACACGCATCCCACTCATCGACATCGCCAGCGATCAGTATGGCAATTACCTCATCCAATGGATCCTCAACAACGCCTCTCCTCAGCATCGCGAGATTGTTGCCGCTCATATCCGAAAGCACATGGTCTCCTTGCGAGGTTCCAAGTTTGGCTCTCGTGTCGGTATGCTCTGCACCAACCATGCTGTTGCAACTCGTCCCGGCCCTGGCGCCGGTCCTGGAATGAGTGGACGCATGGGACCTGGCCCACGCTACAGCAACGGGTACCGCTAAATTATTTTATTCTTTGCCAACCGATCTCTTTTATCGCCATAGACATGCTTCTGCTAGAGTTGCAGAGCTTTCCCCATTGCACTTTTTGTTTTCTTTTCTTTCATTGTCATACACGTCGAGGAGCCCCTATCTGAATCACCGATCCTTCCACTCGTCAAGATCACGCAACAAACCAGAAGAATTTGTCGACCTTTCTTAAGAAACATCTTCCCACGCAAGTAATTTACAGATCACACGACATCCTACGCCCAGCTGGCTACTGCCTTCTCGGGTGCATTGGACACATTATGGTTATCGATTTTGCAATATGAAGAGGATGGTAGATACTAACCACCGGCAGTCCTTGCAGAACTGACCTGTATCACACCATCTATGGGCTGCCACTCTCGCAGGATGAGCGGAACCATGTCTCACGGGGTGCCATGGCCATACTTCTTCAGTCAATCTACGGGTATGAATGATGGTGGTCTAGAAGGGCTCGCTTGGAGGTCGGGGTGAGTTTATGAAGTTGTATGTCGTTTTTCTATGCGGATGCTGGGTTCAGGCGTCTTCCTATAGCACACGGGTTGTTACTGTAGTCATTAAATTCCTTTTAATAAACGATGATGCTTTTATCACTCTCAATGGCCCGATTGTGCGCCGCGATTGGTGAGTGAGATAACCAAAATCGCACTATCTTAATCATCTATCTATCTTGCTCAAATTCATAATGAAGCATGCCCATGGTTGCATGATCCGTAACGCCACCAATGCTATGTAAACGACAAGGCAGTGATTCTGTTTTTACTTTTCGTCTCGCGAAGTTTCAGCAGCAGAGGAAGCAACAAGATCGTCGTGAAGGGGTGGGAACTCGGTGTCAAGCGCTTTTGGTAGGTCTACAAGAGTGGAAACATCGGGACTGACATCCTTCTCCCATGGCTTTCTTGGGGCAGCTCTGGTCCCGACAGGTTTCACGGCCTGGGCATTTTTCAGTAAAGACAACTGGGTAGAAGGGTTGTTCTCTAGAGTTGGACTTACGGGATCCCTGATGATGGTGTTTGGTATTTGTCGAATGCCCGGCACAGGCTTGCCCTCTTGGATAAGTTTGATCATTTCGGCAAACCCCATCGGATAATTAGGCTGATCTTCTGAGCTAGATTGAGCTGCAGCGGCTTTTCTGTCGATATAGAGGTCAGTCTTTGGTGCAGCCTTCTGCCAGTCCAAGGCTGAGGCTGAGGTGGCATTGGCCTCTGTACGTTGACGGTATTCCTCTGGCAAGACATATGGGGGCTGGTAGTTTGTTTTGATTGTCAACCAGCTTTTATAGGAACCAAAGTCGATGTTGACACCAATGCGCTGTGCATAATAGAATATGCGAGCGTGGATAGCCATATCTGAGAGAGAGGCTTCGGGGTCTTGCTGACCAGGTTCACCAAGGATGGAGCAAAGGCCTGACTAAAGAGATATCAGTAAGTCTCGGAATAAAAATACGTAATCGGTTTACCATGAAGCTTTTGTCCTTGGTCCATGGATATGTATCAAAAGCAGTGAATATTGCATCGTCATCCTTGAGAGCCCTGATGCGATCAGCTCCCGAAAGAGACTGTGAGGACTGCTGTTGGCTCATTATGTGGACTGGAGGTACTCAAAATCTATTAGATCTCAGTAAGCTTCACATCCAAAAACAGGTACAAGTATGGAATTTCATCGTGTCCATGTGCAAGGGGATGATCTATGTACTAACATGTGAGAAAACAATCCCGGGGTTGGTTAAGCTCACAGAGCTAGTAAAGCTTGGCCTGTTCAGGACTTGGGTCAATCAGGTAGACCAAAATGCCTGAAACAGCAGCAAGAGGTGAACCTCGGTTGAAGTCGGTTTTTAGATGAATGAGATTAAAATCAGGTCGGGTGCTATGCCTTTGGCTCACGTGGGTCGAACGGTCTAAGACGTGACCAGGCGAATGTGAGATATCGGGATAAATCGCTATGGGTAGTTCAAATGTAGTTGATGAGGTTCAATAAGAGAGAGTGGAAGAATATAAAATCCCATCAACATAACTCATTCAACTCCGGTATTCGCAGTGACTTATCAATTGCTGCAGTCCCAGAAGGGAAAGGTTGCGATAAGATAGTGTCCTGCTTCTCCAGACCCACACAAGAGCAGTTCATCTACCATCACGAACCTCTGCTATCCACCCACTCACTCACTATCTGGTCTAGACTACACTACGTATAGATTAATCTATCACTGTCCTAGCTTCAGTGCAGTACTTCGACCTGTCTTCTCGCCCTCCCATGCAATCGCGGTCGTTGTTTCCTTTGTTATCGGCCATTCCTTGACTTGGGTATTTAACATCTCTTTTGTATCAACCACCACCCTGCCAGGTTAGCTCCAAGCTCCCCTGCCCGCCGCCCCGATGAATCGAGCTGCAGTCAAAACCATTCGGACGACCTCACTTTCGACCGTCCGCGCCCTTGCTCGAACCCCGCGTCGTGGTTTCTCCGTCTCCTCGCCAGTATTTTCTCATCAATCTCGATCCAAGGCCGTCGCGCACGCTCGGAACGCTCATCGCAACTCGACGAAAAACATTCCTCTAAGGTCCTCTATGTACTTCCGTCGCCTGCCCACCGCGCTGCTTTCCAGTATCATCGTCGGATACGGCGCTTGGTACTCCTACAATAACTCTGACATTGCGCCTACTTCCACCTTCGGTGCTAACAGCCTCACCTCCACCCAAACGGCCGATGCGGTACCGACTCGCACCGTTCTTGTAGTGGGCGCTGACGAACTCAGACAGGGCACCATTGTTGGCGAGGGGCCGATCTCCAAGGCTACTAGTGACGACGGTCGTCGCATTGTCGAGATGTTGACGCCCGATCAAGCTACACAAAAACTACGTCGCCTTGAGCAGTCTTACTCCGTCAGCCGAGGCCAAGGTGTTACTCGTTATGACTTGGTCCAACTACCCAGTAACGATCCAATTGAGGATGATCACGCCGAGAAGATTGTCCAGGTTCCTAGCAGGTCTTCTGTCGAGACTGACAACAGTGACTGGATGTTCTGGGGTGTCTTTGACGGCCATTCGTAAGTACATATACGATACAGCTTGCACAGTGCAATATCAGGGGCCTTACTTACACGTTTTAGGGGATGGACTACCTCTGCAACATTGAGGGAAAGCTTGATCAACTATGTCGCCCGTGAACTCAACGCGACCTACAAGCAGGCTTCTGGTGAGCTACCTTCTGAAGACGCGGTAACTCTGGCCATCAAGACTGGATTCAACAACCTGGATAACGAAATTGTTCACAAGAGCGTCGAGAAGGTGTTCAAGGGTGGTTCCAAGACTGTCGCCGCCGAGTTGTTGCAGCCCGCTTTGTCCGGATCGTGTGCTCTGTTGTCATTCTATGACAGCCGTAGCAATCTCCTGCGCGTTGCTTGCACAGGTGATTCCCGTGCTGTTCTAGGTCGTCGAGCGGCAAACGGAAAATGGACTGCTACTGCTCTCTCAGATGACCAAACCGGTAGCAACCCTCAGGAGGTTGAACGCATGCGCAAGGAACACCCTGGAGAGGAGAACGTCATTCGCAATGGCCGTGTTCTTGGTGGATTGGAACCTAGCCGAGCATTTGGCGATGCTGTCTACAAGTGGAGCAGAGACGTCGCATACAAGCTGCGTGAGAATTTCTTCGGTCGCAGCCCATCGCCTCTTCTCAAAACCCCTCCATATGTCACAGCCGAGCCTGTGGTTACGACGACCAAGGTCAACCCCGAGAATGGCGATTTCCTTGTTTTGGCCACTGACGGTCTATGGGAGATGCTCACCAATGAAGAGGTTGTCGGCCTCGTAGGCAAGTGGATTGAATCCGAGGGACAGTCTGGGAGCAACTCTCAGTTTGATGCTGCCTGGAACAAGATCTTCGGATCGTCAAAGACACCTCTACCCGTGGAGGAGAGTAAGACTGCTGGACCTGATGGCAACAAGACCCCTATTCGTGTTCAGCAGTGGGGTATCGACCCAGATGCCAAGGATCGTTTTACAGTGAAGGACAAGAACGTTGCTACACACCTCATTCGAAATGCTCTTGGTGGCAACAATGACGAACAGGTGTGCGCTTTGCTCACCCTGCCTTCTCCCTTCTCGCGACGTTACCGGTAAGGAACCTCGTTCATAAAAATATGTGCCGTAACTAACAACTGTGTAGTGATGACCTGACTGTGCAAGTCATCTTTTTTGGCCATGGCGAGAAGACAGGTGAAATTACCGTCAATCTCGAGGCCACTGCCGGTGAAGGCGTCAAGGCCAAGCTGTAATACAGTTGTGTGTATGTGACAATTTTTGGTGTATCTTGAGTCAGGGTGTCAGGGTGTGATAACCAAAATATTTTGACACTGGAGTTTGGGGGCGTTTCGGGGGTTCTCGGCAAGCGACTGGCGATACGTTTTCTTACCTTGCATTGTTTGGAGGTACAACATTTGAGGCCATATACGCAGAGCAGTGTAGATGAGGTTTAGGGGATCCTACCGAGGAACCAAATTAAAGCATCTTCTCCATGCCAGAGGAGTAGTCCCTCCGATAACGCGGAAACGTGTCAGCCCAATTTGATACACATGAACCAAGGCTGGAGTGACAAAAATAATCGATTATAGTATTCATCTATGTTGATTCTAATCGAGAAGGTCGCACAATTCCCAACAATGCTGAAATCCGTGTACCAATCTAAGCAAACCCACACCAGCCGCTGAAATCAAAATCGCTATGGTTGAAGAAAACAAGCCTACGAGGCTGTGTAATTGTCTATTTTTCATCCCTGGGCCAAAGAAGCTTCTTTGTTTTGAAACTCCAACACATCCTTGCAAAGATTATGATCCAGACGATGATAATAGCAACAGTCATGACAGATGCAAAGATGTGAAGGCCATTATTGTCAAAGATCTTACCCATGACGCTAGTAGCCGTAACCTGAAAATAAAACAAATGAAAATTCGTTCACGAGAGGTTGAGGGAGGGTGCTTACAAGAGCAGTATTGGGAAAGACAAATGACCACCAGGTCATCTGAAAGGGCATATGGTGGCCTGACCTAGTATATTTCCACAATGCGCCGACGCAAACGAGGAAAAACCACAGGGCAAGGCCCCAGAGCCAGAGACTCACAAGAATGCTTATGACTTTAATAATGTCTGCAACGTGTGGAGCGCCCAGGAAGTTTTCAGGGACGAGCAAGTCTGCTTGGCTACCGAGTTGGGCTGCGGCTGTTAGATACTCTAACCTACCTAGTCTGCGGGATCAAATATTACGACATACCTATACCAGCAGCGGTAAAGCCATAAGGACCAATTGACATAAACTAACAAGGGTCAATATACTAGACACGAATGCAGAATATTAAACTTACGATACCGGGTCTCTGGTTATCCCGCGGAAGCTTCTGAGTCATTAGGCGGTAAATAAAAGCAGAAGATATCATAAAGGCGATTAAACAGCCGGTTCCTTGAATCGCAGTAGCTCCGAGTGCCATAGCCACGGTATCTACTTTCAGTTTATGGCCCGAAGAGTCCGCAGCAGCGATAAGGTTTGCTGCGAAGGGTGCATTGAGAAGCAGAGGATATGCGGGAAAGACCCATGTAGGTGTCATTGTGTGAACGGGGAAGATCCTGAGAATGAATTGTTAATATCGAAGGCGTTTTAAAAGTAAGAACTGGGAGATCTCACAGCGTGGACCATAGAATCAGATATAGAAATGCGCTGACAGAGACGCTGAGGGCGGCATATACCCAGAACACCCACTCCATGGTGTTGAGAAGCCACGGGCCTGTATAAGGAACACCATATTGACAGGTATTGATTAATATTACAGCAACACTAGAATTATCAGAGCTGTTTGAAAGTATATTGCGGATGTTTATCGCTTACGAGACTAACTACTGCTTGTTAGTGACAGTCTTGTATAATGAATGATGGGAAGCCTACAGAAGCTGAGATAAATAGCGATTCTATTTGATCGGTGAAGGAGTTCATGAAGCTCCCTGGGCGAAGATGAAATCTTGTGCATATGAGAACACAGTTCATAATAAATAGGACAATGTTGAGGAAGAAAAAGAAGAGGCCGATGCCTCGTAGCCAGGGAGCTGTCCATTTTACTAGTGAGGGTTAGCCACGTTCTTTTGGGATTGGAAGAAGGCGTGTTTACATGAATGAATAATATTGGCAATACCGCCGGTCGACATTGTCTGAAAGATGTCAGCCAGGCCATAATTGGGTCTCGGAAACGCCTACCAAAGTAAAATAAGTCCATTGATAACAGGCAATGCGATCTCTTAGACCGACCCTTCGGTTTTGAGACGTCTTTTCCACCGTGGCCATAACATGGTTTAAACTGTGGGAAGTGATCGTAGAACTTTGGTTAACGAGCCGAGGGCGACTTTGATTATTACCATCGCCATCATCAGGAGTAATAGCGGCAATGTACGATGGTCGTTGAGTTAGTGGAGGTCGTGGTGCAGCAAGACGCCTAGGGTTTGAATTTGCCTTCCCGTCAGGGGCAGCAGGCGCCGACGCTACAGCCGAAAAGAAGGGCGGATGCTCTTCTGACGGAGACTCGTAGCCTGTAGTCAGTCCAGTCAGTCCGGAGGCCGAAGCCGTAGACGGAAGACCGGCTACCACTGGATAGCCGGAGGGGGCCATTCCGGAGGAGGGCCGCCAATATCGTCGGCGCGGCGGGCGAGAAGCTTAGAGAAACAGTAGATAACCGCGAGGGCGCTGGGCTCCATGTGAGTGAAAGCAATGTGGAAGTAGACCAGGTGAGCGACAAAGACGAGATGGTGGAGAATGAGAGTGCCGAAGTTAGCGAGCGGCATGATCGGAGTGAAAGGCGGAGGAGGAGGCGAGATTTAGTCTAGATCAATGCCCTTGTTCCTGGGGACATAAGGTAGGGAGGGGAGGGGGGAGTAAAGAATTTCTTGTTTTGGCGGCTGATCAGTACCAAAGTCAGATTGACAAGTGACTTTATTTGGAGCCGCGTGAGCCGCTTGTGGATGGTCGAGTTTGGTGAGAGGGTGAGGTTGATTCAAGGTACGAGAGAGATGGAAGGAGGTTGACGTGATGATTGATGATGGAGTATGAATATTCTTTGTTAGAGTGGTGTCTCTGCGATTGCAAGGCGACCATTCGAGAATTTAGTAAGAAAAAAACATATTAACTTTTTATTAATTAATCAAGAATTATTTGAGTTGAAATTCAATTGGATCTCCATCTTGATATTTGGCAATGCTGGGCTTTGCATGCTTGGCGTTTATTTCGTGCCCAACTGGAGTTCAGTCCACTGCAAGTTGGAAGCTAGGCTAGTCATGTCGGTTGGTAGCGTGACGTTACAGGGGCACGACTTCGAAAGATCTATCTATTCCCGTTCGACAGATCGAGGTGCATTACTGGAGTGGCTAACCATTATGAAGTGTATATTACCTGCAAGTTGATTCGAGGATCTCGGTGCGCATCGCGACATCTTGCTTGATTACCCTTTGGACTATTGTGAAGCACCCTATCTCGATCTACTTGATTTGGTCGTCGGCAATCTTTGTCTCACCTACCGTACGTTATTCATAATATACTCTATTAAGAACCGGACGGTTATACTGTGCTAAGCTACATTACATATGTGTGTAGCTATAAGTTAATCCCTTTAGACAGTTGGCTCTTTACCCTGTAATAGCCCATCGTCTTAACCGAAATATATTGTAACAACGTTTGATTAGAACGACGTCAGCGGGGTCAATCATGCAGCATACCCCATAATTACCCGAGTCTGCACGTGACATCGAAATGCCACCTTTCGCATCGCAAATAGCTCCTAGAGCTTCATCTGGAGCTTGAATTCGTGTCAAACTTGACGTCGATTACATTACGGTCTTAGATAACACGAATACGTTTGTACACGAAAGGATAACCCGAAAATTGCCTCGAACTATGATACCATAAGCATCGCAATCATTTCCCAGCCCAGCCCAGCGCATCATGTCCTTTACCAATACGCCCGTGACCCGCCTCGGTGTGGTTGGTCTTGTCGCCGGCTCTATTCTAGCCAGTGTCCTCGACGTCAAGCACTACTTCTACATACTGATCGATACTCACATATGGCGCTACCGCCAATTCTGGAGGCTTCTAGCCTACCAGCTGTGTTATGTTAACTCAACCGAGGTCCTCTTTGCTGCCATGTCCTTGTACAACCTCAGAATCGTTGAGCGCATGTGGGGTTCTCGCAAGTTCGTTGTAAGTTGTTCAATGGCATTTCCTCGTCAACGTCACTCACAGTTTACTTTTAGTCCTTCCTGGCTGTCACTTATTTCATCACGTCCATCATTCCACCAATCGTCTCGATCGTGCTGCGACCTCTCACTGCCGGATATCTAAACTACATCCCGGCCGGCCCTACTCCCATCATTTTTGCCATCCTTGCTCAGTATCATGCCATGGTTCCGCATATGTACAAATACCGAGTTGCAACGTCTGAAGCACCACCAACAGACCGGCCATTCGTGGGACTTACATTCTCTGACAAGTCCTACAAATACGCCATTGCTCTACACCTTGCACTATTACAATGGCCAGGTTCTGTTCTGGGTGCAATCACCGGTTGGGTTATTGGATATTCGTGGCGAGAAGGGCTTCTTCCGAGTGCCCTCGTACGCTGGCGAGTGCCGGGTTGGGTAGTGGGACTAAGTTCGCAGAGGCGAAGCGCTGAGTTTGAAGGTCTCCGACGTCGTCTCGAAGATGAGAATTCGACGACGGCAGCCGCAACAGGAGCACAGGGTCAGGCGCAGGGACAAGCCGAGCGTCGAAGAACCATGGGACAACAGATCATGGATCAGGTACGAGAAGTACTTTAGTGCGATTGATACAACAAAGACATCGACCAGTCATTCATTGCATACGATTCAGCGATATGGTCCGAATGCGAGACGTGCGAGTCTCACAGTGCATTCCTCCTCCAACTTGTCTCAACTCAGCCTACATATAGTACACCAATAATTGCTCGAGTATTGTCTGGCGGAGGAATGAACCTTATGTGGCAACCGTAGACACACCTCTGATGTGTCAGGTCGGGCTGACAGTTTCGTGTATCGAAGGAGGGTATCAGCTTGGGCAATCGGAACTCGTCCATGGCATTGTCAGCCACATCCGTCAACTGTCAGCATTGCTGCGGGATCAGTGGACACAGCCATGGAGGTAATGACAGCAACGCCAGTAAAAGCCACTATAAAGGGAGCGTTAATGTTTATAAATAAGGGGATGGGCTTTCAAGGATACCAACTTAGCCTCTAAAGCTCTGTAATTATCATGCAAGTCATAATCACCTAGATAAAGAAGAAAAAGAAACTCGATATCCATTCTGTTCTCTTTTTTCCCTTGTTCTCTCACAAGACCATTCTCGAAACAGCGGCTCATTCCTACTGGTTAATCTATCAAAGAGCTAGGAACTCGATAAAGACTAGTGGAAGGACCCATGCCTGAGCAATGCGGGTGCGCCCCTCATGTGCCTTGCTCCAACCGCCGAAAACCCCTAGAAAACGGGATTGCAGTGGCCTGAGTGGTAGATCTGCCCCGAGCCGGTACGTATCTGTCTACCTGACTCGGTTAGACTCATCAGCTCCGCCGCTGTAATTCAACTTGCAGTGGAGTTCTTCACAAGGGTCCCACTGGACAACTTAAGGTAATTAATCAACCGTATTCGACCTCTTGGGTTGTCGATGGGTCTCCTTTTCTTCTTAGTCGACACCGACCTCTCCTTTTCCCTCCCCAGCATTTGGAATAACCTCAAGGTTTCTGCACCGACTCTTTGGCGGTAGCAGTTCAGAGCCTCTTGCAGGATTGCTCTTGACGTTCTGCGATTCCCTAGCCCCAACCGTTTCTGGACGCGACGCCCCTTTGTTGTACCATCCAGCAAACAGTCAACCACCTGTCAAACTTTCTGAGATTGACCAGCCATCGCTCTCTATGGCTTCTGTTGTGTTATCTTGACCGTCAATTCCCATTCGAGGATCATTCCATGCTCTGATACTCAACACAAAACAATCATAAACTCGTCAAAATATGAGTGCATACGCGCGAGAGGGTAGCCCGTATGGGTTCGACTCTTCCAGGATGTCGCCCACGGCTGCAAGTCCTCGTGGAAAAACCTTCGTTGAAGGTTATCGCAGCGACATAATGAACGGGTTCGAAAAGGATCAAGGACTTTATAATCCGGTATAGTCATAATCGTCGAGTTTTCGACTTACAACCTCTAACTCATGACATAGATGAATCCTGAACGACCACAAAGCTCCGCGCTTGTCGACCTTAGAGACCCGATCCAAGTACATCTCCTCACCGAAACCGCTCTTTCTGATAGTAAAGAATACGCGATCTTGTCGCAAGAAGAAGTAGACGATCTTAAGAAGCAGTGCCAGTCTTTGTCTCAACGCGTTGAGTCGACTCGACAGAACCTGACAATTCAGTCCAAATACCGAGATGCAGCAATTTCAATGGCGAGATTATATAATCCCGGGAAGCTGGATGGCAAGCGGAGGAGTCTTCTGGGTCGCAACAGTGGCGACCACGCTCGCGCAAAGGAAGCTGAGACTGAGAGGCAGGCGAGCGAAAGGAAGTGTGAGGAGTTGGCAGCGGAGCTCTTTAATCTTGAGAAACGGCTTATGGACCCTCAACGACGCCTACTGGAACACACTGCTGGTATTCTTCAGCTCACACATAAAGCATCAAATAAGAAGAAGGACATGACCCCTACGCTTCATCCAATGAATGGTATGCCCGGAAGTCCAGAGAGCCTATATACTTATACGCGCAACAGTATGGATCGCGCCGGCGATGAGCACTTCTTTCACGATGACAACCACTTCGGCCAAGCGAATGGAGTATCTACCAGGGGACCTCCTCGCCAACAGCCTATCGAAATACCACTCAAATCACCAATTCGAGAACAGCACAGCCAGCTGAAAGATGAGATGGAAAAGATTAAGGATGAGAATCTGCATCTCAAAGGCCAGTCTGATTCTTTAGTTACGTCGATAACAGAGATGGAAGCTCGTCTAGAGAACCTGAACGGGTCATTACGGGATGCGATCGTTCGCTTCAACCCTTCCAAGAACGAGGAGTACTACGACCCTCCATTTGGTGTGCCAGGAATGAAGCCAGGGGAGCTGCTGAACAATCAGATGGATTATCTCGAAATGGGTCTAAACGCCATCGAGGTCGAGCAAGAAGAGTCTTCCGGCGACAGTGGCAAGGTTGACAGCTCCATCGACAAACGCATCGAATCACTAAACCAACAAGTTCGCGATCTGTTGGTGACGGTGGATCCCGAGTACCCAGCTGCACCTCAGTCTTCACAAGATAGCATCGAGTCGAAACTTACCTATCTCGAGGATGCGTTATGTGCAGCAGATTCCGAATTAGAACGTGCTGTTCAAATATCTCGATCAGGCCCACCAGAGAAGCAGGATGATGAGCAAGTGGAGCGAATTCTTATGAACCTCTGGAACATGATGCAGACAGGCTTCACCAAGATCAAGAAAGAGAAGGAGGAGCGTCGAAGAACCCGCATTGAGAGGGGCTACGAAGACGAGGAAGTCTCTGATGATGAGTTCGATATCGACGAAGCATTCAGTCTTCCCGGGTTCTCGAATAGGGTTCAATGGCTGTACTCTCAGGCTACTACCCTCAAAAACCAAAAGTCTGTACTGAAGCGACAGATCAAGCAGCAGCGAGAACTGAACAACAAGTCAGACGCTGAGAAGGACGAGGAACTCGCGAGAAAACAGGAAGAGCTGGATGAGACACAAATCTTGTTGGCTCGAGCTGAAAGAGACGCCATGAGTGCGCAGGCTATGCTCGAACAGACCTTGGAGGAACTTGAAGGTACTGGTGTTGCACGCAATATCGGCGCTCAGAAGGCCCAGTCGGAGGAAAGCACCAAGAAGATCGCTGACCTGGAATCTGAACTGAAACGTCTGCAGAGCGATCTGGCCGGTGCAGCGGGAGCAGCTGGTGCAGCACATGCGCAAGTCGAAGATCGGGAAGACAAGATTGACAGCTTGGAGAAGGAGCTCGAGAACGTCAGATCTGATCTTGCCGATGCGACGGCTGCTGCTGCCGCAGCCCAGGCTCAGATCAATGATCGCGATAACAAGATCACTGCCCTTGAATCCGAGTTGGCCTATCTAGAGACGGCTCAGAGTGAGATTGAAGAGCGCAACAAGAGGATCGCCGCGCTCCAGGCTGATCTTGAGCAAGCCAACGCCGCCCATACTCAGATCGACGAGCGCGATGCAAAGATCGCAACCCTTCACACTGAGATCCAGGAGGCCAATACTTTTAGGGATCAGGTTGAGGTACACACTGCTACCATTGCTACCCTCAAGGCTGAATTGGAGAAGACCAATGATATCGAAGCTCGCCTCGAGGAACGTAATGCCAAGGTCGCCCGCCTCGAGTCCGATATGGAACTACTCCAGGTAGACCTGGCAGGCGCTGCAGGTGCTGCAGGCACCGCCCAAGGTCAGCTAGAGGAACGAAACAGCAGGATCGCGGCTCTCGAGGCTAGTGTTAAGCAACTCGAAAAGAAACTAGCCGATGCTGAGTCTTCCAGCAACAACAACCGTAACCAGCTGACTGGTGTGGATTCAGTTATTGAAGCCCTCAACGCACAGCTGGACGAAGTCAACCGATCCAAACAAATGGCTGAGAATAATGCCAGGTCCCTACAGCAACGTGTCGAGAGCCAGAAGGATGAGTTGGCGGCCAAGAAGAAACAACTCAAGGAGAAGGAGGATGAACTTGAGCTTCTCAACATGAATTTTGTAGAAACAAAGACGGAGCTCACCATTGCTCAAGCTGAATTAGATGGTGCTTACGGTTCCCGTGCCGAGAGGGCCGCCGACGTGGCAGCTATCAAGACTAGCGGCGAGGTGATGAAGCTCCAGAATCAACTCACGAGGCTCAAGAATGAGCTGGCCGGAACCGTCCAAGAGCTTGAGGATGTCACAAAGGAAACACTCAGCGCTGAACGTGAGAAGATCGAGCTTGAGAACAACCTTCAGGATGTCCAGGTGGTGAGGAGGCAGCTTGAAGGAGAGGTGGCGACACTGCGCAGGCGACTTGAGTCAGACATGGAGGAGGCTCGTGGGCACATCACCAAGCTTCAGGAAGACCTTGATAGCGAGCGTCTCAAGGCCATTCCGCCAAACGGCGGAGTTGGCAGAGGTGCCTCTGTACTGAGCGAGCAGTTCAGGGCCACAATGCGTGAGGAGAGGAAGAAGTTCCAGGATAACATCAGGGTAAGCCTACATCCCCGCCACACAAATCTAATGACAGCAATACTAACAAGTGCCAACAGGAGGAGCGTGCTCGAACACGTCAACTCGAAGAGGAGCTGGCCAAACTGAAGCGTGTCCCGACCCCAACCAAAGTACCTCCAAGTCCTCAATGAGCCAACCCCTGAGAGGAGAAGCTTCGGGTGCGAAGCTTCGAAGTCAAGTTAACTTCAAGCTCAGCGTTATGTTTCACGATGTACAATAATTCTTTTCTTCAGTGGTGTTGGTACTTTCCTTCTGCCACCACTTAATTCTGTTTGAAAGCACTGATTGAATGTAGGGGGGCCGAGAGTGGATGTTGGGAGTATATATGCATACATAAGGAGTTCATGTGAAGGATGAATCAATGATTCCAAAAAAACGGGAGCTGAGAAGAAGGTTCTCTTCGATAGATCAAGGGGAGGCTGATGGTCAAATTTGTTAGCGATATCTTGTGAATGGGACATTATCTAGACTTTGAGCGAACCATGTCGAATGACAGGAAGCTATATTGACTTTATTCTCATAAAACCATACCGGTGCTTCTATATTTTACGTGCCTATGAGCGGTGGATGAACAAGGCTTTGCTGATGAGGCACGGTTCTTCATGTTTCCCTAAGCCTTTAGACAGAAATACTCCTCTGAGATACTTTCCACATGGGAAACGTAAGGTATAAATTCTTCATCCATTTATAGAACGAACAAAGATTGTATTCCGCAAACCTATCTCAGAAGCTCCAACTATGCGTGGTTGTGTATTAAGCTTATGAAGGGGCTTTAAGCTTAAATATACATATATTGATGCCTTAGTTTCAACTGTACATCAGTTGATACACGACGCCTTTACTAAGGTCCGTTGAGTCGGCATGACTCAATATAGCGTTATAAGGTATCACAGGTCGAATATCACGAAACAACGAATAATCGAGTTGACTTGAAAGGGGCGGCTTACGCGTACAATGTATCCAAGCCGCGAGACTGAGTAGTAAGTATAACATTGTGCCTTAAAGCATGCGCCTCAAAGCGGCGTTGTCAACCAGAGCCTGTATTCCTTCTTCTCGAACGTCTATTTAGCGAGAGCTTGTATTGCCATTAGATCAGTCTTACCCTGTCCTTGGACTAACAGGTTACTGGTTAGTTGTCAACTGATCTATGATATAGTCTCACCATATATACATGATTAGTCTGGTTGAAGGTTTCGTCTATGTTTTCGAAACAGACATTTACAAACAATTTGTCCATCATATCAAATCCAAAAGTCATACTCTGTTATTCAGCAAAGACACATACATTTAATATCATTTTAAGTTCAGTTGTCCAGGGCAACAATCAAGCAACAAAGATTCAGTTGGTAAAGACAAGTGGCCACTCGGACCATCTCGCCACATTCGTAAGATATATACTACTATGTATATATGCACATGGTATTTGAAGTCATACACCGAAAGTCTGACGGCAGCCAAGCTTAGTTATAAGTTTTCGAGAGTGACAGCATGCTGCAGACAGATGAGTTCTGTGGTGGTTGATGTAGGTCACATGGATGATAGTCACAAATTAAGGATCAGCTGGCCAACAGTCTAGTCTCAGTCTCAGCACAGTCAACTTCACAGTCAGCTACAAATTCGGGAACCCGGGGAACTTGATCAACTGGATCGAAATGATAAACCCTAGTTGTCATGAGAAAAAGGCAGAGGCCTCAGGGCATCGGAAGAACTGGTCGCTAGAAACATAAGAGACGAAGTTGGTAGGTCAGCTTATGATGTTACCATACTTCTTTGGCTGCTAATTTTTGCACCTTCAGACTTACCCAACGGACTAGACAGGATGGACAATAACAATTAATCCTTGACTTGCACCACATCTCAGTGTAACATAATACCAAACGTAACAAGGAAATGTACATTAAATGCACCCACCCGAGCAATCGGGTAGTAAATAGGCGGGGGGACTTGTGAGAGTAAGTTAAATCTTTCTAGTCTTTCTTTGTCTAGTCTATGCCACTTGTTGCGCCGTGTATGTACAGTACAGAAAGAATATCCGGTATATGAGCTCAAATATGTGCGCCTGATCTAAATGCGAGTGAGCCGTCCAAATGTGGACAACTTAAAACCAAAAAAAGTCATGTGCTTCCATGTACTATGCTGTGCTACTTTAAAAAAGAAGCACGGGTGTACTTTGGGATAGCCAAACACCGAAAGCGCCGCTGCGTCAAATCAAAGGACCGCGTCCAACCTCCCAAAACTAGAGAAACTCCTTATAAAGCAAGGCGCAGAAGACATAATGAAGTATTCAGGAGTGAATAAATAGTAACGCCGCCGCATACAGAAGCTTAATGCAACGGCAAAGCCTTGGTGCAAAAGCTTCTAACGCCGATCAAGTGATGTAAGTTGAGTTCCGGACCAGCCAAGAATAGTCATCGAGTTCCGGTCGAATTATGTTGTATCCCGAAGCCAAGCTGGGTAGTGTGTAGGTTAACCATGTATCGATATTAAAAGATGGTAAATGGGGTATAGCGAAGTGGTGACACGAAGGGATACACGGGTGCTCGTCTCGATTAGTCCAGAGACATATCATCCTCGTCGACATATGCCATGCGAGCCCATATCCTCCAGTGGACAACGCCAACGTGAGCAATGCGGGTGGCAATGTCTTCAATGCCGCCTTCCTGCTGACCCATACGGATAGCTGCATCCAAGTCTCGGTCTCGTCCTGCATCCAGGCTGCGGCTGCTGGCTGGCACACGGTTACCGGTGGCAATCGAGAACAAGCAAACACCGGACAGCGACTTAAAGTAGCGTACACGCGTGGCTAGCTCGGTAACAAGTCGATTGCGGTATGCCTCCTCCATCTCTTGATAAATAGGAGACGAGATGCGGCAAACGTTCTCGGTCAGCTTCTCCTCAAAACGAGTAAGCATATCCATGGGGGCATTGGTGAAACGGAAGATCTGCAGAGCCAGAGAGGGAGCCATTGCTCGCCATCGATCGTGGTAGTGGAGATCATGTGGCGCCTGTTGAAGTAGTGCTACTAGAGTATCACGAAGATTTCGGGCTCTCGACTTGGACTCGTTGGTATCTGAGGTCAGGTATGCAGGGAGGACCAGGGAGGACCGCGGTGATGAGAAGTTCGAGCCCGAGGAACTTAGCGCGACGCTTGAAGGTCGAGAGTTTGCTGAGGGAGGCGTGTTGAAATTGAACTCGTGGTCATCTGGGACAGCACTGAGGCAAGCGGGAGGTGACTGGAGGCGTGAAACCCGCTCCAAGTCTTCATACATGCGCATGCAGACATCTAGGTTGATAGCATCGAGAATGTCGGATCTAACACGCCCCAGCCGGTCTTCGTCGAAGAAGAATGTACCAGGCAAGGGCTTCTCGCCGGCGGACGGAAGCATCGATCGTGACAGTCCCTCGAAAAAGACACCCATGTCACCAAAGTGAGAGGGCATTTTCCCAGAGCCATTGTGATAGGTTCTAGCAGCATCCTGATACCATGGCTTAGCGTCGCCGATATCCATCTTGCGATTTCGCAGCTTCTTCATCAAGAACTTTTGTTCAAAGGCTGTTGTCTCTTCAATGAGGGCAGGTCGAAGGCAGCGAATCTGGTGGTTTGCAACATCCAACTTCATCGCCTCAAGGACACTAAGCAAACTTCGCATGCCATTAACGAGCTCCTCGACGTCGTTGTTGCTGTTGCCATTGCTGAGTTGCTTGTACATGGAATCAACCCACTCATCTCGCATCGGTGCGCAGTGGGATTTGAGAACTCGTGAAAGCCATGAAGCAAGCTTCTCCAAATCAGCGATTCCGCGGTGAAACTGCTGCATCAGAAGTTCGACGTTGAGGCCCTCATCGAGAAATTGTCGGTCGCGCTGCGGTACCAAAGTCTGGATAATCTCTTTCACGGACTTGAGAAGCTTGGGCAGGCACCAGTCGTCGCCTGTGCCGTGCTTTGAATAGAAACTATCTCGGTCCACAATGAATTCAAGGAGTTCCTCTTTGAGGGTTGTCCAGAAGATACTAGCGCGGTCGTGTTTTCTTCGGCCCTTGTCACCTTCGACATTGGGTCTGAAATGCAGCTCAGGGTCGAAGTTGATATCGTGCCTTAGTTTAGGGTTGTTGATGATCTTAGAAACCTCAAGCTCACCCAGACTTGATTTTGTGACAGGGGGTTCAAGTGGTTGGCTTGGGGCAGGAGACCTCCTACTATCAGGTCCTGGACTTGATGTGGCTGAGGTTGTTGACATTTCGGAAGGGTTTCGTGAGAGTGGTGCTGCTGCTGGCGCTGGTGCATTAGAGACATTGTCATACCCGCGCGGTAAGACTTGTGATGATTGCGTGGCCTCGTCCTTTTCGTCGGCTGATGGTTTTCTGGTTGTCTCCTTCTCTGGTCTGGTCTCGCCTTCACCATTAGGCCCAGGGCCCGACGTTGACAAACTCCGTCTGGACCGCTCAACTGGGCCTCCAAACCCTTGATCTGCCGCCATCGTATCGTTTGTCGATTTACCGAGTATTTGTTGATCAGTTAATCGATTGTAGCCAGGTTCAAAATGGTGATACTCGAAAGTTAACCAAGAAATCTGGTGTATTTAGTTCGCCAACTGTTCAGTAGTTGTTAGTAATGCAATGTCCCAGCAATAGAAAGCATCTCGGGAACACGAGGGGCGCAGGCTGAACAATCAGAGCACACGGCCGGCTGCAGACCATTTGGTAGGGGAACTGTTTATCAACCAAATGCTGTGCACTAGTTTTTAAGTGCAGTCGGTGCGTCTTTGTTTTGTGTCCAAGGCCGTATGCAATGTTGAGGTGTTGCGGTCGACTTACGAGAATGGTATGAGCTTGGGCGGATAGTGACTGTTTTCGTGCACCAAGTATTGCGTCTGTGTGACAGTATATGATGTATTCCACTTCTGTTGCCGTCACTGTTCCTTATGGTGGGTTGCTTCGCAGTTCGTTTCGGCTGTATATAATATTCTTTGTATGTGACCAATCGTCTCGTGGGTGCTTGCGTCGAGTAAATGAAGGTAGGGAAAAGCCCAAACTGATGTTGAGTGTTCTAGAAGCCTAACAAAACAAAATCTTACAAGTGAAAGATAAATATGTCTTCAACGCTCATGGCCTTAAAGAGGGTCGAATGATTCTAAGTATGGGGAGACAGAAATAGGAAACGGATCAAGAGGAAGGGAAGAGAGAAAGAAAAGGGGACGACAGTGACGGGAGACTGGGATATTTGATATGTGGATAGAGTCTGAATAGTGTGTGGCACTTAGACAGACGAGACCAGGCTAGTGGTACACTGGCTCCTCTGATGGGCTCTTGAGACAGGTCTTTTTCCACCGACTTCAACTCAAAGTCGTCTCCATAACCGAGTCAGAAGAACGAAAGCCTTTTCTGCGCTGTGCTTGGAAATTTAGGGGCCAAGCGCGGCATCGCGTGGCATGGGCTGGCCTGCCTGGGGCGGTGGGCAACGGAACGCCATGCATGCAGAGGGGAGCCCGTGTAGACCATTAATACTGTACCTAGAACGAGGCAAAAATCCGTTAAGTACACCCCCTAATGTTTTCACTTCAACATCCCAGCTCCTCCAAGTCTATCTTTCTGACGTGGAAGGGCCCTGCATGAGTGGGGTGTGTCAGAATTTTGGGTGTGCGCATAGAGTTCCAGGTTGGAATGCAGTAGTGGTGAGTGAAGGCCAAAGTCATGTACACTGATGTATCCTCGTACCGGGCTGTAATTAGGTGTCCTGCAAGGTTGGTGGTGGCCATAAAGCGTACTGTATTTCCATGTAGGATAAGTTCATCGGCAATGGCGCACATATTTGAACCTGTGAAAGGTTTTTTTTAACTCTTGCCCCCAGAATCGGGTGACAAAGCTCAGAAAGCCTAATAGACATCATGTCTTTAGTGAAGATGGTTCGAAACTTCAATTGAAGCGGTCGGCACCAGTGGTTGTTGTGCTCTCGGCTTTACAGGTCAGACAGAGTGGCATTCAGTCCAGCAAGTGTCCCAGTCAGGACAGGACATGCTGGCGGGGATTGGAGTGCAATCTTAACACTGCAGCGACAGCGTGACCCTCTGATGTTGTGAGCCGGAGCTTGTTGTTGCCATCGTCTCAGTGCCTCGTCTCTGTTAGATGAGTAGGGTAGAGAAGGTCAGACGCTACTTGACTCAGTCTAAAGGGGGTATCACGGGGACCACTCACTCACCGTGATCGATCTTCCTTTGTCCGATGAGATTTCTTTTGTTTGGTGACAGCGACATACATAGATACAGTAAAACAATCACTGTATTTGCGTACTGTATTGTATTGCACGATAGTTTCCGCCTTGGAAAAAAGTTGATGGTCAAAGCGAGAAGAGAATTGTTCCAGTGGACGAATGGTTCTCAATCCTGGTCTAGCCATGCTGTACTGTGCTGTACTATGTACTGTAGCAGCGAAGTAGAATGTCTCCACAGACTTATTAGTACAGTGCGTGATCAAGACATTCGATGTATCGAGTGGGTTTTGTCATGGATGTCATTTCGTAGGATCCGCGGGATGAGATGGAGATGGAAATACCCTGGGGCCTGGAGATGGAGATGGGCAGTCCAAAGTTGGCAGTGACGAGTGGATGGTACCTTCCATCCTGTAGGGATAAGAGAGAAAAAACGGCTCCTTCCCTTAAAGAAGGACGACGTGGTCCTCGTTGGGAAAGAGGTACCATACATACACCTACTAACAAACCTTCAAAAATAAAAACTTAATACCTACTAAGTACTAGCATGACACTCAGTCAGTCCTCATCTTGCAACATCAACAAAAATAAACAAAATAGAACAGGGTCAGAATTCGACTTGCCGAAGACGGATCGAATTCCAGGAACATTCGACCCAAACAGGCCAGGGAATAACAAACTTGGCCTGCCGATTCGTCCAACAATTTCAGGGGATCTCACTTATTCGGGACCAATGAAGGGCATCCTGCACAGTACAGTTAGTACATTAGTACTAGTACTCGACATGCCACGCTGGAAGAAGGTACCCTACCGTACAAACTGAGTCCTGGCGCCAACAATAACCCCAACAAGGGACGGCCCAGGGCCAAGTACTCCCCATTTCCCAGGGACCACCATCGTCATTCCATCGCACTAGCACACCTCGGGGGGGTCGCAGAAAGATCCATCCGCCGCCGCTGCTGATCTAGAAACGGACCAGAAGCGTGCAGATTTCGGCGGAGTCGCTGCGCGACTAATGAGCCGCCCCAGCATCGGCCACTACGAGTCGTCCTGCAACTCTCGCTGGTCCAGAAGCCAACAAAGCAATGCAATCTTGATGCTGACTGACTCTCGATGGAAAAATCATGTTTCTTGTGGCAGTCTACTAGTGACGACAGTTGCATGCTGAGCCTCGGCTGGAGATTGTCTTCTTTTGACTTTACTGTATGTAACCTTTGCATCTATGGTCTCGCAACTGCCGCCACCACGAGTGCCGTCTTGTATGTATTTCTACACATTTGTCAGAAATCTTCACTTGCACCTCGCCACAGACAACAACTGCGGACATGATATGTACTGGGTCGGGAGCGGTGACTTGTATCGATGCAGTCAGTCAGGCAGTCGTGTCATTCTGCAATGCAGCAAGCCATAGCCAGCCAGTCTCACACAAAATACAAGTTTGCCGAGGCGCTCGCAAGTGGATATGAGGTTGTATCCGTACTCCGTTTTGCCCGTCCGTTATTACAGCCTTCACAGGCCTCTCGGTGCACTGTGACCAGCCAACTCCAAGGCGAAGGGCATTTCGCCAATTTTGAACTTGCCAATTGGTCAGTATTACTGATAGTGTATCCCAGCCTGGTGGTACTGGGATGCTTTTAGCTATATCTAATCTCTCATGGTACACCGTCCCGTGCAAGCATATTCCATGCCAGGAAGCGTGCAACAGCCTCGGGACCCTTGATTGTTTTACAATGAATTGTATTGGTGGAGGTTCACAACATAACAATATCTTGGGAACCTTGGATATAGTGAGCATCCCAGACCACCAAATTCTATCCAGGGCGGGCAGACCAGGGTTCGTCCACGCTTCGGCCATTTCGATAGAGGCTCAGCACCTGCCAGAACGTCCATGCGTGCAGGCCCTGGGGCTGCATCTGCGTCGAATGCTAGTGGTGTCGTAGTGGTGTGTTTGGCAGCAGAATCTTAAGAGCGGACCTCGTCGATTCCTGGTCAGACAGGGTAGAGCAGGGAGCAGTCTACCTATGCACCACCAGTTCGACAGAAAGAGATGATGGGTTCATTTCTCGACAGAAGTGTGCCAACCCTGACAATCGCCCTCTGAGGCCCAGGGCTTTGGGCATTCGTTGTTCCCATTGTTACTCACACTCTTGAGCTGCCAGCTATTATTTGCCCACTCTGCAATGCAATAGCGTTCAGCAAGGCTCGCCCGCTATGAGTCAGGATTGACAACAACAACCAGGAAGGACTCCATCCTTCATTTAAACATCAAGAATCAATCGCAAAACACCATCGGTGTGGGACCACATCACCATCCACCCAGGACACGAAGTGGCCAACGCATCAATGCACCTGTGTTCAAAACCACAGCCCAAAACTTGGCTCTAAACTAATGCTGTTCTGCCCAAGATGCTGCAAAGCTATCAATGCAGATGGGAATCTTTCACCGCCGTAACCGCAATGGCAGTCATGTCAGTCTCCAATGCTGCTGTGGTGGTGTAACAAGTTGTGGCTGAACTCATGGCACCTCATTCTGATCCATTGCACACAAATCTGATTGACAAGCTCAGCAGCAGACTGCCAAGATGTTCTGGTCATTTCCACATGGCCACCTTCAAATCTTATTAATGGCAGGATTCGACGCCAAACCTGAGTCGGAGATGCCGTCTGTTATTGGAATGGAATGCTTTTCGAAGGCAACTCTATTATTATTCAGGAACGAACATTTGTATCCAAGTTTCTGACTAAGACCTTCCATCAGCCGCTTCGCCCCAAGTCCATGTTCTTTCAGCTCACCTTGTCCATGCGGCGACGGCGGATGGATTCCTTCCTTGTGTCACGTCCCGTCCGACCGTTCAGGTCCGAAACCACCACATCAGACATCGGACATCGGACATGGCGAGGCTGCAACCATGTATGGCATAGTGACAAAGTAGCTTTCCTTCCATTGATTAAACCTCGGGTTCACGAGATTCTACCACAATCGATTTATTTTACCCTGTGCAACCAAACGCAAGCAGCTAATGCCCAGCAAGCGCCCATGACAAATGATCACGCGGGTTTGAAAAAAAACTGTCGATACACTAACATAAAGGCTGTTTGTTTGTCCCTCGCCTTTCTACTTGACCGAAACCACTCACTGACTGGGAGACTAACATGCCTGTCAAAGAAACGCCAACAAAAGGACCAGTCAGTGGCACAAGCACACCCTACAAATTCGAGAATGAATCATTGGGTTTAGGGTTAGTAGAGAGTTTCTTCGTCTTGCATGGCACTACCGACCTTGTCGCCCCCAAAGCCAGCCAACATTTCTTTCTGGGCCATGATGCTCGTTCAACGAAACCAGATGCAGGGCAGCAAGACCGAGTTTAGACGATGGATTTGAATCAGGGACATGTTGCCACTGAATCTCCCTCAATTTCTGGACTATAGTCCAGTACACCGTAATTATTAGTTGGGTGTCTTATCTCCATCTCGAATCACCTAGATTCGCCTTGCATATGCAGACTTTTTCGCCCATCAATTATCTACGCCAACCACACTCGTACAATATCTGTTAACTAATGGTTTCGTATGTCCCCTTTTCTGAGGGGGAGGGGCTTTTCCCAGACTTATACTTGAAGGCGCCTAGCTTTATAATGGAGTTTCATTTCGAATGCAGCTGTGCTGGTTTCACCTCGCACTAGGAATTGCAGCTCATTTTACGGATTGAGCAGGTGGTGGTGTCGTGACGAGTCAGAACTGGGGGCCACCTCAAGCTTCAGGCCGAGTTCGGGGCTAGAAGCTCGGGGCCGGAGCAGATCCACGATACGGCAATAATAGTGACTGGTATTAATAGTGTAGGGCCAAGATTCAGAAGCAAGGAGCGGCCCAAGGTTGCATTTCGGGTATGGTGGTTTTGATACTTCTACAACAGAGTAGTCTACGGTCGCAACCAATACCATTTGTTTTGTTTTGCTTCGTAGTCTGCTCTGTTCTTCTTTCATTACTTCGATTTGTATCATGCGCATGTGGTCAAACGTGTTCTTAACAGTCTACTTATCGTATTCATGCGAGAATTACGCCCATGTCGCACACATATAACAGCACCAGGCTATCAAAGTTTGCAAACGACTGATTATTTATGACCAGCCTAGCCAACTTGAGTACTTCTATGCGTGTTACTGTGCCATTTGATTGTTTTCATGTCTTACAATCAACTCCGTGCTTGGGCTTGGATCGCCGCTACTAACAAAACATACCAGTCAATCTAATCCACTCACTCTTTTACCATGAGACATAAATAACAAATTTCGACACGGCTGAAGGGGTTTCTCAACAGATCGGCTCTTGTTAACCCCAGATTCTGGACCTGCTTGTTGTCCCGTATTCCTTTTCCCTGCGCCAATCACACCCATCTCTTTGCTTTTTGTAAGACGGGAAGGTTTATTTCAAGCAGCCAAAGATTAAAAAGGCAAAGGCTGGCTGTTCCGGACCCTGTGTGTATGCATGTTGTAATCTTATCGTGGTGGATGAATGTGACATCCCTCAACAACGTACAAAATGAATTGAGCAGGGCGCGCTGCTCCTCGCATGATTGCGGCAGGCAGTGTTTTACTGCATGATTGAAAGCGCATGGACTACATCCGTATTAAACTCGGTGTCTTGTCTATAGGTTAGGATGGCAAGATGACCATCAGCTTTTTGATATACCTAAGCAGGAAAGCCTGTACCAAAGGACTCAAGATACGGTGCTACGCTCTTCTCTCAAGCAACGTCAGATTATTAACACCCCATCATAGCACGACTATATTATTTAGGTCATGTGGTATTGAGCGTACCAGCATAGACCGAGGTTCGTTACGTGCGGCTCCGCTTTGAGCCATCGTTGCGTTCTGGTGTCACCTCGTGTTACTCGCTTTGAGACTTCCCCGAGTGAATGGGGAATAAAACACTTCATGTACTTGAACCCCAATTTTCCTTCCATGTTTCAAAACTGCCGGATTGCGTGGTAGATTCCTGAACATGTAACGTAAAGCACACTTCTTCACGATCGTGCAGGGTGCCGCTTCGCTCAAGTGCAGGCAGGGCATAGCTGCGAACGACAAGGTCGAATGATTTTATCATCATAATCTGGAGGATCTGTATATGTGACAGACAGCGCCAACACTCCGCCCAGTGGGTTCTTTTTCCCCTCTTCCCTTCAAACTCCTAGCCTGTCGTGATATCTTTAATGGTAAAAAACAAAAACAAAACATGTCGTTGCGAATATGTGGTTTAGTTGAGGAGGATGGAAACCTGTAGTCCAGTCAGCCAAGTCAAACAAACACAGCAAGAATAAGAACTGTGACGTACGGCCATGAGGACACAGCATATACTTATATACGGGCTCAGTCTTTCGCCTATCCTCGCGCATTTCCAAAAGATGCCCATGAATCTAGGGTTGTGTCAGTCTCGTCGCACATCTCGGGAGTCGTCGCATTCCGTACCCGTTCTTATTTCGGTCCATGATGCCTGGTGTAAAGTGGTGAACGTATGCGCTCGTGCATATGAGCAGCAGGAGGACGAGTAGGAGGGACTGGAAGTTGAAGAGGGCGGACTGGAGGAGCTGTTAGCATGTAGATTTGACAACGAATAGGCAGCGTGCATACCATTTTGACGATTCAAGAAGCTGGTCCTGTACCAATTAAAGGATTTCGAATAGGATATCTCGTTTGTATGTCTCGACGTTAAGCTCGACGTTGCCTTATCGATTTGTCCTTCTGCCTTTCTCACATGCGACAAGTGTGCTTAGGGGTAAAGATTCGCCGAAGCCGCGACGTGTTTCTTTGAGCACTGAAGCCCAGGGGTGACGTACCTAAATCGACCCCCACAAAAGTCATAACCCCACTGAAGGGACCCCGGACTGAGCCTCTAGCTTTTTGTCGCAAGGCTGCGCCGAGCACCTGAATCTTTTCGCAATATTTCAACTACATCTCTACCGCGAGGCTGCGCTTCTCTTATCTCCAAAAACCCAATCATCAAAACTCAACCCTTTGCATCTAGCATTTCTTCTATCTTTTCGCATCTATAATTTGTAAGCGCTTAGGCGCCAATAGCCACATTCATCATGGAGCCCAGAGCGCGTGCCGGCAAGAATGTCGGAAAGATGAACTTTAGCCATGCAGAGCGTACGTCTTGATTCCTCCATCTCCTGATTGCTGATACACGCTAACTCTTTCATAAGTGGCACAACTTCTATATGCACATGGCGATGTTCAAAACCCACTCCCCGAGACCGTCCGCGTCCTCGACGAGATCCTCACGGACTTTATGCAGTCCATCGCTTTCGAAGCGACACGAGCGGCTAATTACTCAGGTCGGCAAAAGATCAAGTACGAGGACTTTGAATTCGCGTTCCGCAAGAATCCAACGTTCCTGGGCAAAGTACAGGAGGTTTTCGAGAAGCAAAGGGAGATCAAGAAGGCCCGAGAGATTCTGCGCGACGGAGAGGACGAGATCATGAAGGATGCTGCGGATGAGGAGAAGAAGAGAGAAAAGACGGATACCAGACATGGAGGATCAATCGTAGGCGGTGGTGCTGCAGCGTCTGCGGCGTCAAGAGCAGAGGAAGAGCTGGGTGAGGCTGATGATGATGCCGAGGCCGAGCTTGATGCGTTGGGTAAGAAGCGCTGATAGTGTTTCTTTGGACATTATAAGGCTACTAGCAACCTTTTTCTTTTGGCGCAAATACGGCGTTCTGTAGAGACGTGGGCATGGATGGGTTCTGGCGTTTAGAGGAATTACTACGGCACATACACAAGACTGGAGTTATGGGTAGGGACACAGAGTCAAGAGCTGCCTCACAGTATGTAGATATCAAGACAATACTTTTGAATCCGCATTGAAAAACCTAGTCACCCAGCTGATTCAAGCAATTAAACTACTTACACTCACAGCTACTTTTTGTTCTTGAAGTTATGGCTATGAGCGGTCAGAACGAAGCCTTGTAAGAAAGCAAATATACCTACGCAATGCCGTTATCCTATAAGCCTCGATTAAGTGATACTCTTGCCTGAGTATCAAATATGTTATTAGATAGGTATTTGATGGGGGCCTTCTCAAAGTTTAATTGATCAAGGCGATCAGATAGGCATGTACTTTGGTGGTTTTACGATTTTCAGATACTAATACCTAATACAGATGGGAATGTTCTTGTAGTTCAATTGGAAAACTTTGGTAGCAGGATGACCCACCAAGTTTGTTAACTTCACAAATGAGGAAACACCTGGCATCCTATGCCATTCATGCTATTACAATTGGTGGTTTAATTGAAACTCTAAGTCATTATTGTAAAAGCAAATTGGAATACTATGTCTGCCAGCCAAGTTGCAAAACTCAATCAACGCTTACCCTGCACCATGGTTATTCGTTCTCTGAAGTCAATTGCCTTGTTTCACAGATACACCAATCGTTAGATACGACTCTAACTATAAACAAAATGTTCCGTTGGTTTCTTGTTATTCTACTACTGTCTCTTCATAATTGTGTTTGTGATGTTATCTTCTACTCCATTGTTTAAGATTAAAGTAATTGGAAATGACAACTATTCCCGGACCCACTTCGAACCACAACGGGCATAACGGTCCTAACGGATCTCCATCCTCGGCCAATTTTGGCGATATACCGACACCGACGTCGGAGTTCTTGCAGAGCCAAGAGGTGATTCGATATAAGTGGTGGCTTCTGGCTTCTTCGTCTGGTTTAAGCGCCGACTCATTTTTTCTGAGGCCCTCGCCACTGGAACCTTTACTGGTCGCGTGACAATGTTACTACCAGCAACGCAGCACTACTTTGTCTATGTTTTGATAACTCAAGTACTGGTCTGCTGATATTGAGCATCTGGAAGAGTGCCTGACTCGACATGACTGTCTCTTGAAACCCAACTCTTGTAGAACTAATGTTCCCGTAAACCTTCACTGATTGTCCTCGTCATCAAGGGTCTTGTCTCTTAACAACTCTTTACCGGGGGTTAGACTTGGGCTCCGCCCCCACTGCAAGAGACTGACTCCTGTTGGCTCAGAGGTTGGTAAAGGCGAAAAGAGAACCACCAAAAGAGGATCCATGATCGATTCAGTGGGTTCCGGCTGCGGGGTGGTTGGCTCTCAATGGTTGACGCTCTTGAGTTGTCGGTTCCCGTGGGATCTTTCCTCATTTGTAAGACTCTATTCGTCTTTTCTCTCTTTATTTTACTCTGGCTGTCATAATCTGTTTCTGTTATTCGTGAGTTTGTAGCAGCTTCATGGAAGAAAAGTAGCTGCTCGTTATTACCTTAGTTAAAATGGACAAAACCCCTCCATTATATGATGATGTTCCTCAGACCCCCTCAGACAAGCTGATACCTAAGGAGTCTTATGAATCACATCAGCACTTGCTGCCGCCGTCGGTCTCACCTAATATCATACCTTACAAAGCTGGCAATACGAGTTTTGATGACTTTCGCCGCATATCTTCAAGTCCATCTCCTTGTCCATCGCCTGTCCCTCTGAGACAATTCTCACATAATGGAACCGACTTTCCAACCGAGGCTCCACCGTCGAAATGGAAACAGTTCTGGATCAAGAACAAGCCTGCTGCATATGTCGCCCTATCCCAGTTCTTCGGAGCTTTGATGAACCTCAGCGCTCGTTTAGTCGAACTCGAAGGTGATGGCATGCATCCCGTCCAGGCTCTGCTCATGAGACACTCGATAACTGCGCTGTGCTGTTCAACTTATATGTGGTGGAACAAGACCCCAGACTTTCCCTTTGGCAAGAAGGAGATCCGATGGCTCCTGTGGCTGCGTGGTGCAAGTGGCTTTTGGGGTATATATGGCGTTTGGTACTCGATGATGTATATCCCTCTCGCTGATGCCACTGTTATCACGTTCCTCGCGCCAGGTGTTGCTGGCATCATCTGCTGGATTGCTCTCCGTGAACCCTTCACCCGAATTGAACAGCTTGCGACGCTTGTTGCTCTTCTTGGTGTTGTGTTGATCGCTCGGCCTACCACCTTGTTCTCTCACTCTGATAATGATAATTCCTCGACGACTGAGTCACCTGAGTCAGGAGGTATACCTGGTGCTGATCACGAATCCACACCCGAAGAACGTTTGATAGCCGTTGCTGTGGCTTTGCTGGGCGTTTTTGGAGCAGCTGGCGCTTATACGACTCTTCGAACCATTGGAAAACGAGCCCATCCTCTCATTTCTGTCAATTATTTCGGCGTCATTTCCACCTTCATCGCACTGGCCATGCTTATCCTCGGACCCATTCTCGACATCCAGCAACCAGGTCTCCGATGGGTTACCCCATCAACAATAAAGCAGTGGGCGCTCCTCCTTCCACTCGGCATTCTTGGATTTATCATGCAATACCTCCTCACATCAGGTCTCGGAGCTGACAAGTCGAACCGTGCCAATTCCATGGTCTACACACACATGCTCTTCGCCGCAAGCTTCGACCGTTGGGTTTTTGGGCATCGAATGGGGCTCATGAGTGGCGCTGGATGTACTCTGATTCTTGGAAGTGCGATTGGCGTTGTTATGCTTAAAAAGCAGCCGCCTCCAAAAGTGCCCTCGGATGATGTAGAGAGGCATGGGAATTTGGAAGGCGAATTGGAGGGTTCTCCCATGCTTGTGGCGGACCCGGGGGCGTCAGAACAGTTTAGGCTTTCAAGGTAGATTGGATAAAAGTTTGTGCTACTACTTGTTTGTACATGTCCATAGGTTCATAGGATAAGCATCAACGTTACAACTGTACGCACACCGTTGAAAGTGCTAAAAGTCACCTGGTGATTGGTTATGAACAACCGTTGGAGTTTATTGGGGACCTTGGACACAGATCAACGGTCCTGTAGTTGAGATTCCTGAAGTTTCGTTGATTTCGCCTTTGATAGAGAATATGTATTACCTTCTTCTGATATGCTCTCATTGAGGAAATGTGAAGCTGGGCTCCTCGAGCAACTCCATCATCTGCTGGCTGCTATTAAACCACTCACCCAACTGCGCCGTATTTCCCATCCACATCATGGTATTGGCACCTCTCTGACCCTCAGCACCATCAAGCATTCCCATATCTCCTAGTGTCTGTGAAAAAGCACCAGCTTGTGCAGCGTCCATCGGCGAGGGCTGTTGCCCTCCATTGTTGAGTCCAGCTGGTGGGAAACCAAGTGCTGCGAGATATGTGTTGAGCTCAGCGCTTGCCTGCGTCTGGTCCGCAGTGGGTGTAGTTGTTCGAAATTCAATGTAGCGAAGTGCTACAGTGTAGAGGACTTGGAACAACCGATGCATTTTGGCTGCCGCGTCTGACAGTGTTATCGTGGTCTCAACTGATGTGCAAAAGTTGTGCAGACGAGCTAGATCACTTTGGTCTTGAGTTTCGATGGCTTGACAGAAAACAACAATAAATGGGATGAAGGGAGCGAAGAGGAGAGTCCTGGTTTCATTAGCATTGATTTTTATGGGGTTATATGTACAGAAACCATACCAGTGAACATAGGACGGAAAGTACAAGGCATTGTCGCGTCCCAAGAGATCCATGCAGTCCTGGTGACGTTGTAGCGTCGCGCGTGCAGCCTCGATACACTCTGGGATGAATGTTCCTCGAGACCCTGAAGGAGCAGGAGTTGCTCGGTAAATAAGAGTGAGGAGCGAGAGCCGGAGCACGTCGTCAGATATGATGATGAATTCTATGAAATACTCTCCAAGCTTCGTTTTGACCTCTTTCTCACGATTCTTCTGAAAGTTCTGTATGAGACAATGACATATTCGTTGGTATCAGGGGTACTTACAGCTAGTTCTCTACTTCTTCTACCAATGTCTTGCAAATCGCACACCAGTTTCTGGGAGCGGAGCCTCCTCGCATCGTCTAGTTCTTCCATCGAACCAGGACTGTACAGTAGCTCATATATTTGTCCTTGACATCGAGCTGTGGCTATCCAAAGTGAGATGAAAGGGGACAAGGGAGTAGCATTTGCAGGATCCTCGGAGAACATAGGCACAGTGACGTCCCAGTCTTGAATAGTAGACGCTCTTCCAAGACGGAGAGAAAGACTCTTGTCGATGAAATATGTATTCCAGAAGAGAAACTGCTTGCGCTGCGCGTCGCGAGGCTTATCGTTCTTCATAGTTGATACACGGTGGTATCCTAGAGTTTGACATAGCTCTGATGCTTTGCATGACAAAGCCCATGACAGTGATGGCTTCGATATTTCAATGGCATAGAAAGCCTAGGGGTATTATCAGCACTGTATATGGTGAGATCGGCAGGGTGGCAACATACTCCAAGTAGCAGGGCAGAAATCATGTTGGAAGTAGCGGGCAGATGGAAAGGTAGATTAGCTAGCGCCGTCTCTGCGTTTTGCCGGAGTGCCTTGGTGTACTCTTCGTTCTCTTCAAGCTCTTTCTTGTCCGTTACTCGTTGCTGGCGATCCTGGAACATGTACATTAGGCCGATATTCACGAGGATGTAATCAGAATCTGTGATATCCTCAGAGAAATACACGTGCAGGCACATTCCAGAGAAGCTTTCCATCGAAAAAAACTCCCTTATCCAGGCTGAAATTTCTGAATTCTCGGCTATCAAAGAGTTTGATCAGTATAGTATATCAATATGGGCAACAAAGTGAGAAATATAGAATCACATACTTTCGCATTCCCGTATGAGGGCAACGGCTGTTTGAATCGGTGGCAGGCTATTAGTTTTGAACGGGGGACGTGGCACCGGCCTGGCATATGGAAAAGACATCTCCGTGGCAGCAGTTTGTTGTTTCAACGAACTGACGATATGGTGAAGTGAATCTAAAGTCTCACGTAACTCAAGGCTAGCACCTTGTAGAGACTCGGTACCGACAGCATTCTTGAGAAACTCATTTGCGAATTCGCCATGGGCAGCCAAAGAAGACTCTCCCTCGATGACAGGACTGTCAGCAGTCAATTGAGCAAGGTGTCCATAATGTGTTGAGGTTGAACTCTGGGCTGGCGATTGACGTGGAGGATCAGAATTTGGGGTGGTATTCTGGCTAGGTTGAGAGTTTGCAGATGACATATTCGTCTTCATATCTCGCATAAGTTCCGTGAGTGTCTCAAGACGACGATCGATAATATCAATCTTTTTCTCACTGCAGTTTGTTCATCGTTTGATCAGCTGATTTGTCCATGCCTCACAGCCAGGATAGTGAGTGAAGTGGAGGATGGATAGAGATGGAGAATGAAGTGGCTAGTGACACCAAGATCTAACCCGGGGTAGCATGACATACTATTGGGCTGAGAGGAGGATCCGAGTTCTCTTTTCCCTTGGGCGAGTTTCATGATGTGTGCAGGGTATCTTTGCGTGCACACAATGAGAGCAGGGCGAGTTTCTGTCGCAGCGGATCTATACAGGCAATGTTACTATATATCTAGCTATAAAGAGAATGGGCTTCAATATCAGTAGATTTTGGTGACTATAGCCGCCTCCACTATATGGTTGGTCCCTTGATGCGATGCACTTGCATTGACTGACTGATTGATTAGATTGATTTGATATGTACATACCTTGCGAGTCCTGCATGCATCGCACTAAGAATTGGTGTTAGTTTGTAGGAGCCGTGGGGATGGAGACAGACACAGGGAAGGACAGGGCTGTTTGTGGTTATAAGTGGCACTAACTGCTCGTCGAATAGTCAAATTAGAGGTATTCTGGGGTCCATCGGATCCCTCATCGGGGCCGTCAACGTCAGGGTCCATGTGGGCTTGGGAGTCTTCAGTCATGATGTGTTCTCACGGATAACATTGGACAAGACCAAACATAGATGGCTGTAGGCCGAATGCGGGTGACAATAGTAGAGTGATGCTGGGTACAGCAAGTCACTGAAAGAGAGAATGTTTATGAGAGTGTCAGTGTCTGTAGCCTAAACTGTGCATCACTTACATGGTATGAGGGAAATGGAGCGGAACGCGCGGGATCCGGAAGAATTGAAACCGTTGAACTAAACCAGAAAAGTGGAAACAAGAAGATGCGGCTCCCGAGAACACCGCAAACCCGAAAGAGCCAATGAGATGATAGAAATGCTCAAGTTCATCCAATCTCTCAGTGCAAGGATCTTCTTTTTCCATCATGGCTTCATCTCATGGCTGCAGTTTTAGTAGACATTGGAGATTTACCAAGAATATTTATTTGCGAAAGAGAATACGAACACTGAGTCATTCCTCATACAAGAAGTCATCAATTATGCACTTCAACACCGAATCAAATCGAATGGAGTTTCTCTTTCATCATGAGCCAAGACTTCAGCAGAGATGAGGCGGCATGATATCCGATGAAAGACCCCTGTTATGGAGTAGATGATGCATGGTATGTACTCATGTTGACATGACGATCAGTCAACCTCAGTCTCGGTACAGCTACTCCGTATAGACACAAAGAGAAACAGTATCATCAGATAAACCACTAGTCTCTATAATGACCAAACTCCCTCAAGCCCTAAATCTCCGGCATCGTAAAACCAATCTTGATCCCAGTCTAGATAATTCATTATCAATCTGTGCCCCACTTAGACCACTTTCTAAGGCGGATCTGATAAAAACGCGAGCTAAAGTGCCAAGGATCACCACTAAATATGGTCTGTTCTACCTATTCTGGCTACGTACTTTTCACTTTTCACTCCACCCCCCGGGTTCTTCTTTTCAAAAAGTTCTTTGGATCTTGTTCAAAAAGGACGCTACCTCCCCTCTTCTTGCTCGAGAAAATGGCATTCTTTCTTCTTGTTTCCTGATCTGTCATTCCTCTCTTCGTTTCTTACAACTAGGCTTGAGGCCTTGAAGCTTGAAGTAGCCTGATTCTTCGATATACTAGAATCGACAAAAAGGGCTCAGTTACCATTATACCCTGGGCTTAACAGCCCGTCGCGGTAAATCCCGTATTCGTTTAGGGACTTTCAAAAGTCATCATGACTTCAAGCATCAACGAGAAGGAGAACGAAAAGGTTGTTGGTAGCAGCCAAGCTACCTCAACTCCCGAGGATGTTGTCATCAACACTGAAAGTGGCGATGCTCCCACTCCAGGTGAAGAAGGAGAAATCGAAGGTTCCTGGAGTGATTACAAGGTAATTCCAACCAAGTTCTATTCAGTCAAGGTCTGCTAACACTGTTGAAGCGCATTCTTACGTTTGCCGGGCCTACAGAATACCTGATGCAAGCCATCGCTCTTGTCGCTGCCATAGGCTCAGGTGCTGGTATTGCTCTCCAGAATCTCATTTTTGGACAATTCATCACCATTATCACCGACTTCACTTCTGGGGTATCCGAGCCCAGCAAGTTTCGTAAAGATGTTGAAGATCTAGCGTGAGTATTACAAACTCAAGGTACCCGTGTTAACCTTGCTAACTTGCCATGAAGACTGTACTTTGTATACCTCGGCATTGGCCGATTCGTTCTTTCTTACATCTGGAACGTCTTCCTCACTTACTCTTCTTACCGCATTGTACGCAACATCCGAAAGGAGTACCTCCGCGCTGCTCTTCGTCAGGAAATTGCCTACTATGACTTTGGTACTGGTGGTTCCGTCGCCACTCAGGCTACTTCTAATGGTCGCTTGATCCAAACTGGTATCGCCGAGAAGCTTGGTCTTTTCTTCCAGGGCATTGCCGCTTTCCTCACTGCCTTCATCGTCGCCTTTGTTGTGCAGTGGAAGCTCACTCTCATCTGCTTGTGTATCGCCCCAGCCACCATCATTGTCATGACTGTTGTTGCCACCATGGAGGCTGTTCACGAGATGAAGATCCTCGAGATACATGGCCAGGCCAACTCGCTTGCAGAGGGCATTCTGGCCAGTGTCCGAACTGTCCATGCCTTTGAGATGAGAACTAGGCTTGTTGACAAGTTCGACAAGCACCTCGAGGAGGCCCACACTGTCGGAAAAAAGATCTCGATTCTCTTTGGTCTCATGTTCTCTGCCGACTATACCATCATTTACCTTGGCTTCGGTCTAGCTTTTTGGCAGGGTGTTCGTATGCTCGCAAGTGGCGAGATCACTGACTCTGGTGTCATTTTCACAGTTCTTCTTTCTGTCGTCATCGCAGCTGTTCAGCTGACCCAGCTTACCCCTTACACCATCGACTTTAGTCGTGCCATGTCTGGAGCAGCCCAACTCTTTGCTCTCATCGACCGCGAATCGGCTATTGACCCTCTTTCCAAGACTGGCGAGACCCCGTCCGAGACTATTGGACACGTAGAGTTGAAGAACATCTCTTTTGCTTACCCCACGAGACCAGGAATCACCGTGCTTGACAATTTCTCCCTCGACATTCCTGCTGGTAAGGTCACCGCTCTAGTAGGCCAATCTGGATCCGGAAAGAGTACCATTGTTGGCCTTATTGAGCGCTGGTACAACCCCAAGTCTGGCACTATCAAACTCGACGGTCGTCCTATCAACCAGCTGAACTTGAATTGGCTCCGTCGAAATGTTCGCCTGGTCCAGCAAGAGCCGGTTCTGTTTGAAGGATCCGTATTCGATAACATCAAGCACGGTCTGGTTGGAACCGAGTGGGAGAATGCATCAACCGACGAACAGATGAGGCGAATCGAAGATGCTGCTAAGATGGCTTTTGCTCACAACTTCATCATGGAGCTTCCTGATGGTTATAACACACAGATCGGGCAGCGAGGTGGCCTCCTCTCAGGTGGCCAAAAGCAACGAGTCGCCATAGCCCGTAGTGTTGTGTCTCAGCCCAAGGTTCTCCTCCTCGATGAAGCTACAAGTGCTCTTGATCCTCACGCAGAGAGTGTCGTCCAGAAGGCCCTCGACAAAGCATCTGAAGGTCGTACCACCATTGTCATCGCCCACAAACTCGCCACCATTCGCAAGGCCGACAACATCGTTGTCATGTCCAAGGGTTCCATCATTGAACAGGGCTCACACGACTCTCTGATCGCCCAAGATGGCGCTTATGGAAAACTCGTCAAGATTCAGAGTCTTGCCGTGGATAATGAGTCGGCGCACTCGGCAACCGAGGAAGAAGAATCTGTTCCCGAAGTGGAAAAAGAAGACCTTAGCATGACCAAGACTGTCACTCAATATGAAACTCACGTCCAAGAACGCCTCGAGGCCGGTAAGGAACATGGCAACTATGACAACCACAAGCAGCTGGGCATCTTCCATGTAATCTATCGACTCATTCGAGAAAGTCCCGAGGTCGCATGGTCGTACTTCTTTGTTCTCGCGGGATGCCTGGGAGCTGTCGCGGCATTCCCTGGACAAGCCATTCTTCTTGCTCACGTCGTGGATGTGTTCACTCTCACCGGCGATAGAATGAGGGATCGCGGAGACTTTTATGCCAGCATGTTCATCGTTCTTGCTGCCGGTCTTCTCGTGTCGTATTTTGTTCTTGGTTATGCCACTAACACTGTTGCTCAGTTCCTTAGCCACAAGCTTCGCAAGCAGAGTCTACAGGACATGCTTCGACAGGACCTCCAGTTTTTCGATCGTGAGGAAAACAGCACTGGTGCCCTGGCTAGTCGCATTGACTCCAACCCTCAATCTATTCTGGAATTGATGGGCTTCAACGTTGCCCTCATTCTCATTGCCATTCTCAACTTGGTTGCTTGCAGTCTCATGGCTATCATCCACAGCTGGAAGCTAGGTCTGGTGGTCGTTTGTGCCGGTCTCCCTCCTCTGGTAAGCTCAGGCTACTTCAAGATTCGCCTTGATGCCAAGCTTGACCGGGATACTTCCAAGAGATATTCTACCAGCGCTTCGGTCGCATCTGAGGCCATCACCGCCATACGAACTGTTTCATCTTTGGCTATTGAAGAGTCTGTTCTAGATAAGTATGTCAACGAGCTGAACGGAGCTGTCTCTGGCTCAAAGAATGATCTTTTCAAAATCATGATCTTCTTTGCCCTTACTCAATCAATCGAATACTGGTTCCAGGCTCTTGGCTTCTGGTACGGCTGCCGTCTTCTGTCACAGGGCGATGTCTCTATGTACAACTTCCTCGTCGCTTTCCTTGGCGTTTTCTACTCGGGCCAGGCCTCTGGTCAGCTTTTCCAGTTCTCTACTAGTATCACCAAGGGAGTCAACGCTGCCAACTACATCTTCTGGCTTAACCAACTTCAACCTAATGTTCAAGAAACCTCTGAGAACCGCGACAAGGGCCCCAAGTCAGGAGGTCCCATCGTGTTGGACAACGTTCGCTTTTCATACCCACTGCGACCTCACGCTCCCATTCTCCGTGGTATTGACCTAGATGTCAAGCCTGGGCAGTTTGTGGCCTTGGTGGGCGCTTCAGGCTGTGGAAAGTCGACCATGATTGCCATGCTCGAGCGATTCTATGATCCATCAAGCGGCACCATCAGCATCGACAACTCTGCTCTTCCCAGCCTCAATCCTCGGCTCTATCGTCGCATCGTTGGTCTCGTTCAACAGGAGCCAACTCTTTTCCAGGGCACAATACGAGAAAACATCGCTCTGGGTGTTGACGACCCTGAGACTGAAAAGAATGATCCAGCCATATCGGTTTCCAATGACCGAATCGAAGCAGCTCTTCGCGCTGCGAATGCCTGGGACTTCGTCTCGTCCTTACCTGAAGGTATTGATACACAAGCTGGCTCAAACGGTGCTCAACTATCAGGAGGTCAAAGACAGCGAATCGCCATCGCGCGAGCCCTTATTCGTGACCCTAAAGTTCTTCTTCTTGATGAAGCTACCAGTGCTCTTGACACTGAGAGCGAGAAGGTTGTGCAGGGTGCCCTTGCTGAAGCAGCGAAGGAAGGCGATCGTATCACAATTGCTGTTGCTCACCGCTTAAGCACTATCAAAGACGCTGATAAGATTTGTGTGTTCCTTGGTGGAAAGATCACAGAGACAGGAACCCATCAAGAGCTGCTCGCACAAGGCGGACTATATCGTAAAATGTGTGAAGCACAAGCTCTGGATAGTTAGTGTGTTATATTCGATATGAGTAATAACTTGGAGCAAAAGATATAGTATTTAATGATAGTATAGATAATACCCTTGAATATTGAATGATTTAAGTCGAACTGGAAATGCTGTAGGTTTAGTCCCTTTTTTGTGATGGAATTTGAGACTGCCATGGCATGTAACTGGTTGCCTGTCCACTGAATAAGGAATTTGCCAACAATGTAGCAGGGATCATTTCCAACCGTATCCAGGGCATCACATGGTGTTTGAAGTAGTGTTGATTTGTTACAGTCAGCAGATGTTAATCAAAATTTGGATGGCGAATTGTTCAGGTCTAGATTCCAGTCCTTAAAGACAGGATGACTTACAAGGGACGGATAATCCACGGATGATTACGCTGTAGTGATTCAAGGCTTGCTCGGGTCCTTCCTGTCTAGTCCATGTCCAGTGCAGGGTACTTAAATTTATCAAATATTAGTTGCAGATAAGATCGTTCTGTCCTGATGATGGATTTGTATGACATTGTGAATAATATCCTGCGACTATAAATAGAGGTTGGGCAAAGCTTCAGACGGTTTATACCCGTTGTAGCTATCGGAACAGTTATGCTGCTCCGCCTCTGGATCTAGTCATCATTCGGTAGGTACTAAGGTACCCTATTCCTCCAAACTCCGTGCCATGAGACGGGACAAGTCTCCATATTTCTAACATGCCAACTTGCATTTGCGATCTGTACTGTACTTCCAGAACGTTTCCCTTCCAACTACAGTAACGCCTCTTTCGTTCCTCAGATGAACATGGCAACCTCGATTTTTAATTAACAGCAACACCATTCAATTCACTTTTGTTCTTTGTATACTAAGTACGTGACTTATTACTTCTTTCTCCTGCTACTGCCGAACTGAGCCCCTCTACCCCCCCTGAAAGTCGCGAAGCAGTCCAAGCTCCGCGCAGATTAGCTCGGCAGTAGCCCCTTTGTGTTGAACCCGTTCCGCTGACACGATCACACAAAGTACTCGCTACTGGCATTGAAATTCGGTTCCTTCCTCATCATAAGCCAACGCCTGGATCGGCTTCGCCATGGCTTCCGAATCGCCAAAAGCGACAGATCTGGCCACGATGCAAGACGATTCCGATGCTAGCAGCAGCTCCACCGAGTCTCCTGCGCCTGCGACGTCATCAACAACAACAAAAGACACGCTCGTGCAACCTGACCAGTCCACAACCCAAGACATCCCGTCGCAACATGACCACGAATCGCCAGAGAAAGGTGGTGCTTCCAACGCTTGGCTCTCGCAGGAGGACGAAGACGGTGGCGGCAATGACTGGCTAGCTTCCGACGATGTAGTCCCCGAACAGACGCAACAAGAGGAGACCCCTAGCGAGGCCATTCCTGAGAAAGCAGATGTTAAGCAAGCAAGCACTGAGAATGAAGACGCTGAGCAAGAAGATCTCGAGCAAGCAGAGATTGGGACAGCGGAGGCTGAGCAAGTAGAGACTGGGACAGCAGAGGTCGAGCAAGTAGACCCTGAAGCTGTTTCAAAACCCAAAGCACCGGTATTTCAGCATTCAAGCTCAAGGTCGTTTGCTCGTACAGTGTCCCACGAAATCAGCTTCGGTGACGATGACGAGGGTGAATGGACACTAAACCGCACCGATACCGACCCGTTCAAATTCATGCCTCCTAGCGATCGAACCAACTCTTTCCCTCCAGTCCCACCCGCTCATTCGACTGCAGAGGTGGATGAACAGCAGCCCCTTCCCTCTAACCAGGCTATGGATGTGCTGGAAGAAACAGAGAGGGAAGCAGATGAAGAAGAGGAGCTATATCGGCAAGAGGAAGCTTCGCAGGGACTAGATGCACCGAGAAGAGGTCACTCTTCGTCTATTTCTATTGGCGGAGATTTGAAGAGCCCGGAAGGCCAGGATTCTGATGAAAGATATGAAGAAGGAATCCCGTTAATTCCACAACCCGCTCAAGAAACCAACGAGGTGCCCGTTGCACAAGATAACAAGACTGCAAGCGACCTTTTCGAAGAAGAAGTCGACGAAGATGCTGATTTTTTCAGCCAGGTTCAGAGCTCTGAACCTGTATCTGAGGAGCAGCATGCCCCGACCCTGGAACGAAAGTCCACGATGCAAGTACTGGATTCGATGAACGCAGGCTCTGTTTCAAAAAAGTCGACGCTTGAAGGGACTCCTGAAGAGGATGAGGAAGAAGACGACTCAGACTCGGACTCAGATGACAGTGAGGAGAAGGGTAAGGAAGAAGAAGAAGAAGCAGCAATGGCCGAGCCAACAGCTTCCGAGCCAACACTTGCTGCGTCTGATCCAGCGCCCATCAAACAGGAAGACATCGCTTCGAAATGGGAACAAGCATTCGCTGGTGACGAGGATGAGGATGATTTTCTGCTCGACGACAACGCCGAAGAGGAGAAACAAGTTGACCCTGCTGCATTTTTTGGAAGTGATGATGAGGGTTTCCTAGAAGATGTAGAGCCAGCTGCAGATCCAGTGCCTGTGCCTGCGCCTGCGCCTTTCCCTACATCACGTCAAACTTCTGGGCCAAATCCCTACATGCCACACGCACCAGCCGTTCACCCAGCACCATCACCTTACGCCCCTGTTAGTCAGGTGCCTGGAGTAGCTGCTCCCCCAACTCCTGCATACAACGCCCCGGCGCCCGGCATGACTTCTTTCGGTGCTGCTCCTCAGTATGGCCAGCCAGCTCCACCGCGCCCAGATATGTCCAAAGCACAAAGCTTTGCTGACAAGTCAAAAGGTGGGTATCACTCACCATACGATCTACCGACTGATCTTGTCACAAATCTGGTGAAGCCTCGCAAGAGGGCAAGCATGCAGCAACTCTCTCAAACCGAACAGCTTCATGCTCCCGTCCAACCGCCGCCTAGAAGCGCGAGCGTTGGTATGCCGGCTCCTCCTACCAAACTCACGCCTCCCTCTTCTAGCCATGGGCTGCCTGTTCAGCAAGCAGGACCCCCGAAGCCTGCGGCTACTGGTGCCCAGCACAAGGAGAACTTCTTTGAGGAACTGCCCATGACTTCTAGGCCGCGACCAAGCTCACGAACAAGCCAGAGGGCTGCTTCTCCTGCTAGAAATCCGCCTCCGGTCCGCGCACCTCATGTCCCTTCACCACTGGCCCCTCCTCCCAGCGAACCTTATGGCGAGCCTTCAATACAGGCACCTGTCATTCCAGGAGCTGGTCTCGTTGCGCCTGAAAGGGTCAGCCCATATGCTGCTCTGACTACTCCTGCCAACCACATGCCACAACCTCCCTCGGCCAGCGCCTCTCGATACTCTCCTGCTCCCGGCACTAGCCATACCGCGCCGCCGGCTCCTGTCAATAACCGCTATTCACCGGCTCCTCCACCTATCAAAACCCATGGATCCTACGGAGCCGTTGCAAATTCTGGTCCTGGACCAATGTTGCCGCACCAGCCTAGAACGTCAAGCCCATTGACCCATTCTGAGACTGCTCACTTTGAGCCCAGATTGAGCCGAGTTTCGTCTCTCCCTCCCACTCGAGAGGTGGATGAAGAAGATGACCAACAGACCCAAACAAGGTCTGTGAGCGCTGCTCTTTCTCCTCCCCCTCGAGAGTCCAGATACAACCCAGAATCTCCTGAGCTCTCTCGTCAGACACCACCCCCTCCCAGCTATGCTGGACAGTTGACTCTGTCACCACCTAAGCAAGCGGGCCCATATGCACCTATTGCTGCGTCAACGGCACACCCTGGCTTTGTGCCTCCTCCTCGAGCTCAAACCCAATCGCCGAGTGCCTCCTTCGGGCATAAGCAAACCCAAGGATCTTCAGACTCAACGCGCCGCCCTTCGTCTGCCCATTCCCACTCGTATCCTTCCCCGGCAGCCGCAAAACCAGCGCCTTCGCCTTATGCCCCAGTTGCTCCTGCCGCTGGTGTCTCAACTGTTCGAACTCGTGGGCAGTCTATCACTATGAATATGATTGCGCCCACTGACGGCCGTGAGAACGATGAACTTCAGCGATGGAAAGGTGTACCTATCATCTCGTGGGGTGTTGGTGGCACTATTGTAACATCATTCCCCAAGAGTGTTCCCCGATATGGCATGGGCCAGGCTGTTCCCATGATTGTACGCACACCTGGAGAAGTAAAAGTTCAGAGTGTTAAAGACCTTGAACCCCTTCACGAGCACGTGGCTAAATTCCCCGGTCCTTTAAGGGGCAAGTCCAAGAAGAAGGAGACAATTTCGTGGCTTAATGCTGGAATTGAGTTGCTGGAAAAGGATTTGCCCGACGTCTCATTCCACTCTCAGCTTTCCCTCGAGGCAAAGAGAGCTGTTGAACGCTTACTGCTCTGGAAAATAATGCGTATTTTCGTTGAGAACGATGGCATCCTAGAGGGTAACCCTACCGTCGATGCAGCTGTCAGAGATGTTCTCTCTCCCGGAGAGACTTCACAGGCCGCGGGTGATGATGCGCTCTTCCCTGCTGCCAGCAACTTTGCTGCAGGCATTGCCTCTGTTACCTCGATGCAGGCTGACGGTGTCGACGTGTCCACTATGGATCAGGTTCGACATCATCTGTTGAGAGGTGACCGGGACAAGGCTGTATGGGCCCTCGTTGATAAGCGACTTTGGGGACACGCCATGTTGATATCACACACCGTTGAAGGAGACCTTTACAAACGCGTGGCCCAAGAATTCGTCCGAAAAGAGGTCAACTATCCTGGCCACGCCAATGAGTCTATGGCTGCCCTCTACAAGATCCTCTCTGGTAACTTTGAGGACTGCGTTGACGAACTTGTTCCTGTACACGCACGGGCTGGCCTCCAACTCGTGTCTACAGATGCAGGTTCTGGGCCCTCTAAGGACACACTAGACGGATTAGATAAATGGCGTGAGACTCTTTCGCTTGTGTTGAGTAACCGAAGTACCGACGATATTCAGGGGCTCAATGCCCTTGGAACCCTTCTGTCTAGCTATGGACGAGCTGAAGCTGCCCACATCTGCTTCATCTTTGGCCGCCATTCCTCAATCTTTGGCGGACTGGACGACCCCAACGCAAATTTCGTGCTTATTGGGGCTGACCATCGACAGCAGTCTGACCAGTTTGCCAAAGAGACAGAGGCTCTCCAGCTAAGTGAAGTCTACGAATATGGCTTGTCTCTTGCTGGCGGAGCCCTCGGCTTGGCAGGAACACCTCATCTGGCCGCTTACAAGCTCGAGCATGCCATGACCCTTGCCGAATATGGCCACCGAGACAAGGCTATGCAGTACTGTGATGCTATTTTGACAGCTATGTCCGCTCAAACTAAGCGATCTCCTTACCATCACCATATCCTTGAGACCGCGGTTGAAGATTTCATGTCAAGACTGAAGTCAGCACCAAAGGAAGAGAGCGGCTCGTGGATCTCGAAGCCAAGCATGAACAAGGTCTCGGACAGCATGTGGAATAGATTTAACAAGTTTGTTGCTGGGGACGAGACCGAGGACAACACCGGAGGTGCTGGAGACGCTGGGCCGTTTACACGTCCCTCAGGAGAGTTCAGTCGATCACCTTCAGTGTCGAACTTTGATATCTATGGTCAGCAGTCGCCTGGTTTCGGAATGACGCCTGCCCAGACGCTTGCGAGCGCTGCGCCATCAAAATATGCACCGGCCACCATGACACCTGCTTCTAACCTGAACCCCTACTCTCCTACTTCTCAGTACACACCTGGACGAAGCTCGATGGAACAAACCCCTGCAAGTTATGGACAAAATCCATATGAACCCGCCTACCCCGGTGCTACTTCGGCGAACCAAGGGGACAGTTACATACCATCGGTTACTCAGCCTGAATCGAACGACGCTGGGCTTGGTGGCTCAGGCCTTGCTCCTGCTGCACAAATCACACAGGGCTACTCTCCTGCTGGATACCAGCCATATGGAATGCCAACCCCGACACCAATGAATGGCGACGAGAAACCCGCTGACTCTTCTGCGCAAGGCTTCCAACCTCTCAGCTATGGCTACGAGCCTCCTCAAATGTCTTTCAACCCCCCTGAACAGGCAAGCGAGGAGGACAAAAACGAGAGTAGCAACGGCGGCTACGAACCTCCTTCTTTCCAGCCTTACGGATACGAGCCACCATCTTATGAGCCTCAGTCTACTGCAGAAGATGACGGCGAAGCACACCAGCCCAAGAAGAAGAGTATCATGGATGACGACGACGACGACTTTCCTTCTATGAAACCTGCTGCGAAGTCAAAGTCGGACAAGGACCGAGAAAACGAGGAAATGTTCCGCAAGGCTGCCGAAGAGGATGGTAAGTTTGTTCCTGTCAAGATGATGTGATATATCACTAACAAAATGAACAGCGAAGCGTGCAGCTGCCCAGCAGTCGTCCAAGAAGGGATGGGGTTTCGGCGGGTGGTTCGGAGGAAGCAAGAAGGCTACCCTCGAGCCGTCCTCATCTGGTGAATCTTCACCAGGCAAGCCCATTCGTGCCAAATTGGGTGAGGCCAGCAGCTTTATCTATGACCCTGATCTCAAACGATGGGTTAATAAGAAGCCTGGCGCTGAAAACACACCGGCCAAGACTGCTACACCTCCTCCCCCCAAGGCAGGTCCTCGCTCTGTATCCGGAACCCCTCCCCCGCCTGCAGGCACGCCGCCTCCACCTTTGGTCTCGAGCAACAGCGCACCGCCGCCGCTCATGCCTCCAAAGTTGCGCGCCGGCACACCTGAGTTGATGAAGCAAGCGTCTACAGAAAGCCTCGGCTTGGCACCGCCTGTTATGACTCGATCAGTTTCCAACACCAGCAATGCCAGCGCGCCGCCTAGTCGGCCAACCACAAGCATGAGCAATGCTAGCAGTATCGATGATCTGCTTAGTGTGGCACCTCGCAAGGCCGGCGACAAAAAGAAGCCCCGAAAAGGTCGCTATGTTGATGTTATGGCTAAATAGGACGAGTGTGAGATGTCTCATCGTTAGGATTGGAATTATTAAATCCACTCCAGGCGTTCTTGTGGGGATTCGTGCTAGAAACGAATCGGAATGTATTAATAATAGATTATTGTCTTGTTTTTCGTGATTTGGCAAGCAGTGGGATTGTAGAAGCGTTGGCCTGGGGCTATAATCAGCGTTTGTACATGTTATTGGTGTGGAGGCCAAGTTGTAATGTATTGGATTAGCAGAGGCATAGAAGCAACGATACTACCATCGAGATATGATTATGACTCGAATGGATTTCAATGCAGAACGATAATACGATAAAGAATGCGTTGCATGGGGTGCTTGGCCAACACGAGCCATTTATATTGAACCTTGATTTGCAGGTGTCTATCATTATTTCCCTAACTCGAGAAGTTTAACACCGAGATGCTGTGATGAGATTCCATCTGTGTTTGTTTTACACACTGTACGACTGCACATAATACTGATACTTGTTAGCGTGGTCCAGTATAGCTTGACAGCAAAAAAAGAAGAAGAGGAATAGACTCACCGTCACGACAGAGTCGTCGGCTGTAGCATCGTCGTATTGGGGTACATAGACGTAAAGGATCAGAGCATGGTCATCCGCAAAACAAGCAATTACCCGGCCTTCTAAACGACCGACACTCAGGACACGACTCCAATCCTTGCCATCCACACGGACTGTCGCCCAGCGCTCGGGGCCGTCTTCTCGGAATTTTGTACTTGGATGCTCTTCGACGGGACAGTCGAGTTGTGCCGGATCCAGCTCTGGGTTCTCGAGGTTGGACCACACGCTACATATATCGGTTGTTTCAGTAGCGATTCGCAGCCGCAGACCGCCATGCATGTTGGCGCTGATTTCAAGCTTGGGCGATTTGCTGTTGTTATTAACTGAGCCAGTATTGGAGGCCATGGCAAGTTTAGTAAAGCGATCTGAAATGGCCTTGAGTTGAAGAAGCGGTGGTAGTTGGATGTGAACATCTGGTTCCCGTACTCGAGGCTGCATGATGGTCTCAACGGTCTCCGGATGAAGAACTCGTACGGGTATATCTTGCGTGATGATCTTTTCATGCTCTCGCCGTAAATTAGTTTCGAGATGTTCGGGCTGAAACATCTCATCGTCATCAAATGGGTCGTCGCCAGTAGCTGTGCCTGAAGGTTTCGCGGCTCCGGGCGGGTTGGCAGCTGACGTGGTAGTTGTGATTGTCATGGAAAGAACTGGCAAACCATCCTTTTTTGTGAGACGCAAGGAAGCAGACATGCTGTTGAGTGCTGACTTGAGAGCGCGCTGCAGAGGCTGGAGAGGAAGCTCTAAGTTAATGGTGTTGCCTGCCTCTGCGGATTGAATGTGGTAGCCGTCGAAGATGAAATCCATAGCAAGTGAGCTCGATGTTTGTCAGTCTTGAAGTCATAAAAAAGAAAGAAAAGGCATACGCCCAAACTTGGGATCCCATATCTGGGATGACTGTGAATCGCGCCGTGTCATCGCTGAGGCGCAACCAGGCGATCTTCTCGAGAGAGCCAAGTGCAGCTACAAGCTCTAGAGATTCACGGTTAGGAAGTGTCATTAAAAACAGTAAGAATGACGCAGAGACGGGTGTTTGTAAGGAAAGAGAACTGACTAGCAAATGTGCGAATATTCTTTAATTCTGTCCGAAAACGCATTATGATAGGAAATCGCGGTAGTCTAATGACGAAGGAGAAAGGTACTAAGATAGTTGTATTAGATAGGAAGTGATGATGTCGAGGTTAAGAGTCGTAAATTTTGTGGGGCATGAGATAGGCAGCTCAAGTTCACTGGAAGAGGTGTATTAACCATTACGTTCTGTTTCAAAAACACCTTACCTACATAGCTAACCTTAGTGATTCTGTACAAATTTTCTGAGAACCGTTGATTTAAATATTAGGTAGTTCATGTTGTATACATAGTTGTCTATCCATTTTGGTCTTACTCTACACGCTGACTTACACGCTGATCCGCAACAACTCGTCAAAGTGACTACCAAGTCTAGAAGCTGCAAGACTCCATGATACTAGAAAGCCATATGTATGCCTACCTAGTTAGGTGTCATCCGGGGCACTTGATATACTCATGTCAGTTCTTGTCGATCGATAGCAAGTCGCAGCCCGAGCTATTTGCTCCTAAAGGGTTCCATGTTCAGAGTGTAGGAAGGAATAGAAAGGTTGAACTCTTGGTTTTCGGAGCCCATCTGAAACTTAGTGAAAGGTCTAAAGAGAAGAGAGAGGGGCAAAGAAAGAAGATCTGTGCTTTGGCAGACCGAAGCTTTGCCTACTAACCTACCTATGATGACGGAGCCAGCTTCAGGGTCTTTCACTTGAGGTACCTAAGTAGGTAGTACTTACCTTCCTAGTGGGTGACATAACCTAACGTTGGCCTTATGCCTTATGGTACAAAATAAGTAGTCTAAAAACCACAGTCTAAGGAGCATAAGCTGACCTATTAATCTCGTCTCTTATGTTTCCAGCAGCCAATATTTCTGATGCCCTGATGCCTTCCCAGGCACTTGCCTCCTCCAGATAGGAAGGTGTCGTATTCCATATTGAACTTGCTTCTCTAGCCCGCTTGCACTTGACTGTCTCAGTATCTACTAAGGTAGGTAGGTGCCTATAGTGATTGTCCTCCTGACACCAGCAGACAACAACTTCTTCTACTCTACATCACACACACACACACACACACACACACACACACACACGCATAGACAAACACAAGCTATCCGTATCTATACCATTTTACTTCTTTTGCCGTCATGGGCAGCATCAATTTAAAAATTGCACCATGGGACCACGTTCTTTTTCACTCTCTCGACGGCAACGACCGGATGAGACCCCTGAGCTGGTCGAACTGCCGCCTCAAAGGACTCGGACCATAGTCCAAACTTCTTCCGCAGGAGCAAAAGCTCGCACCAATTCGAAGGGAGAACCACTATCGCGAATGGACGAACTCTGCGAGTCCTCTAGACCTCTGATAGATAGGATAGACAGGAATGTGCGTCACCCCAGTGTTAAGTACTCGCAGCTTTACTTTGGTGGCAACCATTGTGTCATGTGCGGTAAACCATACTGCCATACAAGTCAATCTGGTCAACTTTCAGCGTGGATGGAGTCCGAAGCTCGAGCATTCCTTCCTTGTGGCCACCACTTTGGGATATCATGCCTAAAGAAGTTCTTGAGAACAGCCGCGGATCACAATTATCGATGCCCCATGGGAAGCTGTCTACCTATCCAACACAGGTGCCAGCACGTTGCCATTCCAGAGTTGCAGGTACCTGCGCGAGTCCATTTGGATATGGAGACTGGTCTTAACCACCTGCCGTTCGATTGCGAATTCTGCAACACTGCGAAAGCAACGAAATCAGCAGAGACTGCGGACAAGCATTTCGCTCGAATGTGTGATACGGAAAAGACCAAACTGATTCGCAAATACTATGACCTGCGTTGGAGGATGACGGGGCCGAAGAACCGGCTTGGATACTACATGTTTAATCAAAAGCGGTTTGCCAAAAGCAAATTCCACACCTTCAAAGACCTACTAGATGTCGTCATGCGAGGGGGTTGAGTGGAGGGTGAAGACGAAAGTGAAGAGCACCCGTAAGGATTCTGGGGTGAAAGCCCGGGGACATCAGGAGGATGCATTTTTCAGCGACATGGTTTAAGCGGTATGTACTTGCCAGTTAGGCTAGGTTTGGGCTACAAAAACAAATAGCCTGAGAAGTATAGTCTAAGAAGAATAAAGTGGCCTAATAATTTGGTCTCTTCCAACTTTGCTGGTACCCTGATGGGCGCCAATGTCTTTGCAGTTACACAATATGGTGTTCCTGTCGAGTACTGAGGGAAACGTCCAAAACCTGGACCTCTCCATCACCTTTGCCGTCTCAAATTCAATCTCCTTGAGATATGCTATTATGGTTGGCCCCTCTTCTTCGGCCTTGAGAGATGGAACTTGATAACTACCATCCGGAGAGCCCCCTCAAGCGGACGACAAACGGATTCCTCGCATGGCCCGGACCATAGATACTTCAGCCGGCTTTGCATGAACATTTGGTCCTTTTACGCCACTTCAAAAGTATATGTCGATATAGTGAAATCTATCATCGACAGTACGTATGATAGCCTCGACAGCCTTAATTCGTTATTGAGGTACGTCAAAGAAAAAAAGAGAATAAAAAACCCCATCTCGTGTAGGTAAGCTGTGATATCACAGTGTCAAAGAACTGTCACCTACCATTATTTAGGTAGGTGTTAAGTTTTCTAGCAAGTATGGACAGCGCTTTCTTGGGGGCAATCATCTACCTCTAAAAAGAACAAAACGGTTTGTTTTATTATGATCTAAAGTTGTTCCTTGCTAGCCGGTCTGGTTCATCGTCACTATCGTCCCTAAATCCCTCTTCGAGACTGTACTTAGTTAGCAATGCTTATGGCATGACAAATGTTATGTTCTCTTTGTGGTCGCTTACTCTCTACTCAACCGCCTGGCATTATCTGGCCGGGCCGCTCGGGTATCTGCCTCCATCTGGCGCCAGGTAGCCTCGTCAACATTTCCAAGCTCTTCTCCATCATCACCATCCAGTCCGTCATCAAAGCCGTCATCAGATGCGAACGTGACATCGCGGTTGGAGCGCCACGCAGCGACGCGGGCCGTTATGCGTTCGCGCAAGGAAGACGTATGGGACGATAACGTGTCGAGAGGAAGGTATTGACTGTAGCGAGCATATCGACGCCATAACGGAATAAGAACGTATGTTAGAAGAATGAAGAGAAGCAACGAGATGACGGCGGGAACAATGAGCGTCTAATTGTGATCAGGTGTTAGTATCATACCGCCATGAATGCCAAGAATATTGTTCAAGTTGTCATGATGAATGCGTACCTTGATGACCGACATTGTCGCGCCCATGTTCTATCTCTCAAGGACTTAAGGGGACGATACTGGAGCTTGTTTCAGCGTAGAATGTAAGTTTCGATGGTGCAGCGGATGCCATGAGGTCTGAGATCCGACGTTGCCTTGAGGTTGCGACGGGATGGCCCTGACTAACAATAGAGTAGAGGCTGTAGGCTGCCCTAGAAACGTGGCTGAAGCCACAAGTACAAGGGGCCCCGTGGGAGGTGACGACGCCGAAGATCCCGCTAAAAGGGGTTGACCAACGGAAGGGTTCAGACTTGCAAGGGGGTAAAAGTGCCAATATCGACGACGTTGGAATCTATCAGAGATTAACTACCGATTTATGTTTCCAATTCATTGTTTCGAGACCAAAGTGCACAAAGTACTGAGTGGTATTTTCAATTGAATATTAGCTAAAGATATCAAGATAATTCCATAGCATCATATCACCCACCTATCTGTACATATCATTTTAATCCATGATCGGTAAATTTCCATAGCACGCCATTCAGTTGAGCGGGTCATGTAACATCTACCAACGGATACGGTACAGAATAGTACCTTTTATCAGCCTTTTCCCTCGGCCTGCACCGTCATGGATATGGGCTCTTAGTATTACTCTGTATCACAAAACTTACCAAGATATACTCGCTCAACGGATAAAGTAATATAGTCATTTTGTGTTATTTTTGACCTGATCTTTGATTACCTATTTTTTCCCGTATGCAAAATTTGGGACTTAGATGTTCGCCCCTAATAACTTGGTTGTAATTAGCCTACAGAGATGGTTGAAACGTTGTACGTTATTCTCGTTAAAGTCAATGGCTTGTAGATTCACGCTTATGATGCCCAAATAGTTCAAGTTCAATAGTCGGCAGTTGAAAGCAAAGGGAATGGGTTAAATGGAGGCCCTGAGACAACCGACCTCGCTTAAGAATCAAGGATGGAGAAGAGAGATCTACTAACTAATATGTCTCGTCTCGAAATAGTGGACGGATACGGACGGACCCTGAGACAAAGGAGAAGAGCTGCACGCGGTTCAAGGGATAGTTGAGACAGTTGAAAGAATTACATGCATATGTACAATGTGGGAATTTCAGCTAAAAGAGTGACACTTTCGTGACAACCGGGCAAATGTGTAACAGCTAATATCACCTCATAACCTCGAGTGTAACATGAAAATTATAGTTGGATATGTAGTAGTTAGCTGGTTGCATGAACTATTTCCAAGCATACCATCAACTTGGTACCCGTAAGGATTTATAGTTAGTACTCCAGCAGTGTGACGTGCCGCATGTTGGTGCGAGGGTTTACTGTAACTCAAAGATCTTGCAGCACTTCCATTGTGATTGATTATACATGAACAGTTTTAGTTCCCTAGAAGCTGCCAAGTTACCGTGGACACGTATCTGTACCTATCCTTCTTTACTTCTGATAACGCTTGAGACTTCTGAAATATTTTGGTGAATGTAGGCTGGCAGTGTCTACGCGTCTTTAATCTAGAAAGCCCACTTCCCCTGATAGGTCCCTTGATTCTTGGAAGCAAAAAGCTCCCCGCCTGTCGACGGGTCGTTGCTAAAAAAGCGTCTATCCCACGAGATCGGGCCAGCGCCCAGTCACAGCGCTTTTTAGGGGTGTAAATCATTGAAGCTTGGGTGAACCATATCCACTTATGATGCCCAATGATAGACTGTGTGGTAAATCTTGGTCTAATGCGTAATATTCTCATGACATCTAACAAATGTATACGGCGTATTGATAGGTTTCAACATGACCACATTTTGTTAGGGCTTCTGGGGCGTATCTGAGTGCTCTATTCCATAAGGATCCATGGATGATTCTCGATGCCCGTACACTACTAACCCAGTAGAGGTACTCCTTGGCGCTCACAGCGCTGAAATCGCTCCTAGCTTAGCTTCCTTAGGTGCCTACCCGACCTCTAAGCGGCGGCTAAGCAATACTGGATCCATCATCCCCAAAGACACTCGAGCCAATCCGCATTCGTCTTGCCCGTGACCATCGGTTTGGCTTGAGCAGCTAGAAGATCCCTGACAATAGAGAAAAGGATCCAATCCAACCAGATCATCCCCGTCTTTTGGACACCCAACTGACGATGATTAGGTCGGATCCAATACCTTTACTTTACTTTACTGCTACGCTACGCTACGCTACGCTACGCTCCTTTATGCACACCACCTTGAGTTAATTCGGTTTGCAGTTCGATTCGTTTCATTCTGGCACCACTCCTTTAAGCAGCGGCATCATCCGGTCGAGCTTAGGCCTTTTCTTTGTCTTTTACGGGTTTACCTTGCCTTTTTTTTTTTTTACCTTTACCCCCCTTCCAGTTCATTACACTGCAGTATCTACATACATTTCCTTTCTGTCAAAAGCAACTCCCGGCAATCAAGGTTTCAAGCCCGCCCACAACGCTCACGCAGCTTCGATTTGGAGATCCTCCCGCACCCCGAATAGCCTCCCAGCGTTCCATTCAACGTCGAATACTGTGCCCCAAATGAAGCGAGCGGCCCAAGGCCAGCACATCGCCAACTTCACGTGTTCCAACTCGTAACCGTTGGTAGACGATTGCGAGCCCTCAACCTCGATTTCTCCTTTTTGTTTTACTTGTACACGCCAGCTCGAAACCGACATTACTTTCGAAATACGATTCGCAACCTAAATACTCGGCTCCGACGACTGTCGCGGACACGACCTTGCAGTCGCCATGTCTGACAAGACCAGACAGTCCTCCGGTGGCCGGTCTCTCTTCTCGCGAAGTAAGCACAAAGATAAACGCTTGAATGAAGAGCCGAGATACCCCGCAGACGATGCAGCGAGCTTTCGGTCCTCGCGCCATAAGCGAGAGTCGTCTGCTATCTCGTTTGACGGTCGCCCAGAGTCCTCCGACGGCGGTATCAACCAGATGGCCGGGGTTATAACTTCGATCCCATACGATACTATCGGGGGCGGGTCACGCTCTCCGGTTCCTGTAGAATACCTACCCAAGGGCGAGCAGATACCAGTGCGCCGAGAACCTCTCCCACACCACCTCAATCAAAATGGCCTAGACTATCACCAATATCCAAGCTGGGACGGGTCAGGCCAGTCTGGGGCCCGTTCTCCAGGGCGCCAGCCTGCTGGTTTCGGTTATGGCAATTCAAATGTTACCATGGCTTCGACAGGACGCCAGACCCAATATCAGCAATGGGGCCCTGCCAGGGGCAGTTCGTCTCACTCAAATAATGCTCCTAACCCCCGATACGACTCGTTGATGTCTTCCACTGCTCGAGGCTCAGCTGACAACTTGAGCATACAGTCAGGTAATTCGCGCCACGTTCATACTATGATATCTCGCTCACCAAACACAGCAATGCCCAGTGCATCTTCTCAAAGCTCTTATGCTGCTTCGCAGTACTCAAACCGTGATTCCCACCGATTCACCAAGTTTCCCTCGGGACCTCCTCCAGGACAAAGCGATCCTCAGGGTGGTTTCTACTTCCCGAAACCCGACGATGATAATGTAGTCGAACAAATGTTTCTTCAACTGATGCAGAAGCGAGGATGGCACAACCTCCCTGAGCAGGCCAGGAGGCAGATGATGGCCTACCCAGCCCAGAAGAAGTGGACGCTGCTCTATCAAGATCGACTCACCGAGTGGCAGGGCGAACAAAAGCGCCGACAAACAGCACGACCGACCCAGTATACTGCGACCCCCGATATCACGACTTATTCCGACGAGGAAGGCACCCCAGAATGGTATGTTCGACGAGTTATGGAGGACCGACTTGACACGAAGGGCATGGGAAGTCTGGAGGTAAATCTAAGGACTCAGCAGATTGGTTGGGTGAAGAGATTTGTCGAGTGTCAGGGACAGGTCGCCTTGATGACCTTGCTGCTTAAGATCAACCGCAAGACGGCACAGGGACCTGCTCAAGACAGTGGTCGCATCGATAGGGGCCTCGACCGCGAGTACGACATCATCAAGTGTGTGAAGGCCTTGATGAACAACAAATTTGGTGCCGATGATGCCTTAATCCACCAGAAGGTCATGGTGGCACTCGCCAGCTCGCTCATTTCTCCTCGACTCACCACACGAAAGCTTGTCAGCGAAATTATCACCTTCTTGTGTACATGGGGAGAAAATGCCGAAGGCCACTTGAAGGTTATCCAGGCTCTCGATGAGGTCAAAGTCGCATCCGGAGAGAATGGGCGATTCGATGCTTGGATGCGCTTGGTGGAGGTTACCATCGATGGTAGGGGTAAGATGGGAAGTTTGGTCGGTGCAAGTGAAGAATTGAGGACTGGTGGTATTGGAATGGAGAACTTGCTTATGGAATATGCCGTCGCGACCCTCATGCTCGTCAACATGATAATCGATTCGCCCGAGAGAGACTTGGAGTTGAGGATACACATTCGAGCTCAGTTTACAGCATGTGGCATTAAGCGAATCTTGACCAAGATGGAAGAGTTCCAATACGAACTCCTGGACAAGCAGATCGAGCGATTCCGAACAAATGAGGCCATCGACTATGAGGATATGTTGGAACGGGAAAACAGCAGCATCAAGGACGATGTAGAGGGCGATGTCAAGGATCTCACTGATCCCGTCCAAATCGCAGATGCTATTCAGCAGCGTCTCCATGGTACCAAGACACAGGATTACTTCATTTCAGCTCTGCAGCATCTTATGCTCATCCGTGCCAACGATGGCGAAGAGCGGCTACGCATGTTCCAGCTGGTCGATTCAATGCTGAGCTACGTTGCTATGGATAGGCGATTGCCGAACATGGATCTTAAGCAGAGTCTCAATTTCACGGTCCAAAGTCTGCTAGACAAGCTGCATACAGATTCAGAAGCCAGGCAGGCACAGGATGAAGCGCTTGAATCACGACAGATCGCCGAGGCCGCCATGGCGGAGCGCGATGAGATGAAGGCTCAGTTGGAGCTAGGTGCCGATGGATTAGTTGCCAAGTTGCAGAGGCAATTGGAGGAGCAAGCACGGTTTATCGATGCCCAAAGGAGACAGGCCGATGGACTCAAGGCTGAGTTGGATAGCATGCAAACTATGCGAGCCAAGGAAGCACAGCGATATGAGCTGGAGACAAGAGAGCTGTATCTGATGCTTCGAGATGCTCAGGATGTTGCAGCTTCCAAAGCTATCAAGAGTGCAAATGCTTCCAGCAAGACTGCACCTCCCGAGGACCCTGCCCGCATGCAAGGTATTCTGGACCGCAACCGTCTCATGGAGCGGCTGCAGATGCAGATCGAGCGACAAAAGACCCAGTACAAGCTTGAGGGACGTGTGTGGGGAGATGCTGTCGGACCCTCAGATCGCCTTCGGGCTCTCCGTGAAGAAATGGATGACAGGCCCGGAACACCCCCTGGCGGTGGAACGCCTCCCCGAGACTTCACAAACAGTGTATTGGGCAGCATTAACCGGAACACGAAGATCCCTCGCAAGCCTCTTAAGAGACGTTCTGATGGCGAGGTGATTGATGAGGATGATGAGACCGAAGGCGAGGATGGCGTTGTCTACGAGAAGCCCAGAATCGTCGAAATGAAGCGACCGACGATTGACGCTAAGCAACAAGCTGGTCTGCTCGGAGAGATCGGCTCCAAGGTCAAGAAGTATGATGGTAGCGACTCCGAGGACGACACAACCGGTCCTTCACACCCCAGTATGGAGACTTCGTCACCCATCACTCCTCCAGGCGATGGCGAAACACCAAAGATCGAGGTCACTGCTGCCGGTGCTGCTCCCCCTCCTCCGCCGCCTCCGCCTCCACCACCACCTATGCCTGGTCAGATCCTCGGGGCCCCACCACCACCTCCTCCACCACCGCCTCCCCCCATGCCCGGCCAAATCCCTGGAGGGCCTCCCCCACCTCCGCCGCCTCCTCCCCTGCCAGGCATGCTTCCCGGTGGACCTCCTCCGCCTCCTCCACCTCCCCCAATGCCTGGTGCTGGAGGTATGCCGCCTCCTCCACCTCCTCCAATGCCTGGTGCTATGTCTGGTCACTTTTTGTCGCGACAACCGGCTTTCGGGGCTACCCCAGGCATTGGTTTACCTGTTGTCCGCCCCAAGAAGAAGCTCAAGGCTTTGCATTGGGAGAAGGTAGATGCCCCTGAGACCAGTCACTGGGCGGCACACACCCCTTCTGCTGAAGCTCGAGAGGAGAAGTATCAGGAGCTCAGCAAGAAAGGTATTCTTGACGAGGTTGAGAAGCTGTTCATGGCAAAGGAGATCAAGAAGATTGGCATGGGAGGCTCCTCTAAGAAGGACGACAAGAAGCAAATCATTTCTTCTGATCTCCGTAAAGCTTATGGTAAGTCAATTGGTTTTTGGGTAATATGGAGCTTAGTGCTAACAAAATGCAGAAATCGCTTTTGCCAAGTTTTCACAACACTCTGTTGAGAAGGTCGTTCAGTCGATCATCCACTGTGACTCGGAAATCCTTGACAACGTCGTCGTGATGGATTTCTTGCAGAAGGACGATTTGTGCAACATTCCTGACAACACATCTAAGCAACTGGCTCCATACAGCAAGGACTGGACAGGCCCCGAAGCCAAATCCCAGACCCGTGAACTCGACCCCTCTGAGCTTACCCGACAAGACCAGCTTTACCTCTACACGGCCTTTGAGCTACACCACTACTGGAAGAGTCGAATGAGAGCACTTGCTCTCACCAGAAGCTTCGAGCAAGAGTACGAAGAGATTAACGACAAGATCAGACAGGTTGTTACAGTGTCTGAGTCGCTACGTGATTCCGTTTCATTGATGAATGTTCTTGGTCTTATTTTGGATATCGGTAATTACATGAACGACGCGAACAAGCAAGCACGTGGTTTCAAGCTTAGTTCCTTGGCACGATTGGGCATGGTAAAGGACGACAAGAACGAGTCAACACTGGCCGATCTCGTGGAGCGTATTGTTCGAAATCAATACCCCGAGTGGGAGACCTTTGCTGATGATATCAACGGCGTTATGACTGTGCAAAAGATTAATATCGAGCAACTGCAGGCGGATGCAAAGAGGTACATCGATAATATTCGGAACATTCAAATGTCCCTGGATTCAGGCAACCTGAGTGACCCCAAGAAGTTCCATCCCCAGGACCGAGTCAGCCAAGTCGTTCAGCGCATCATGAAGGATGCTAGGCGGAAATCTGAACAAATGGAGTTGTACCTGGAAGAAATGATGAGAACATACAAGGACATCATGGTATTCTATGGTGAGGACCCTGCTGATGATGGAGCCCGTCGAGATTTCTTCGCCAAGTTGGCGCTTTTCGTGGGCGAGTGGAAGAAGTCTCGCGACAAGAACGTACAGGTCGAGGAGACAAGGAGGCGTAACGAGGCATCGATGAAACGAAAGCACACGGCGCAGCTCAAGCTTACAAGCAACGCCGCCGAAGCTGGACCAACATCCCCTTCCAACACTGGTGCCATGGATTCCCTCTTGGAGAAACTGCGTGCAGCTGCGCCCCAAGCTCGGGACCAGAGAGACCGAAGAAGGCGAGCGCGACTCAAGGATCGTCACCAGGTGCGTGTTGCTTCTGGACAAAAGATCCCGGACATCGACGAGATCCCAGAGACAGAGACAGAAGCGAGCCTCAAGGCTGCAGAGGCACCAAGCGAAGACGATTCAAACGTGCTCAGCCCTGGCCTGTCATCACCTCGCTCAGGTGGGGATGATCTTGCAGATAGGGCGGCTGCTTTGTTGCAAGGCATGCGCAGTGGTGACGGCGCAGATGACGATGATCCTGAGAGGAGGGAAACACTTCGCAAAGCGAGACGGCAGACAGCGGAGGAAGAAAGAAGGCTAAGGAGACGGCGGAGGGATAGGACAGCGACAAACCAGTCGGAAGAGAATGCGGAGGAGCAGAAAGAAGAACCTAGACCAGAGTCCAAGGGCGGAGAAGAAGAGGCAGCTAAAGAGCACGTCAATGAGGCTGAAGCGCCTACAGAAGATGATGTACCAACACCCAAGGCAGATGCCGCAGGTGATGGTGCGGTAGAGGAAGAGCAAGGAGAAAAGGCATGAGGATGAGATGGACGGACGGTGTTTGTAATTCGATGCATACCAATGGTGTTGGGAACTGTTTAGGAGAAAGATGGAAGGAAGATACCGCGTTTGCATGTAGTCAACGCGCTATACGTAATGTCTACACCAGCACACACAGTAAAAGAGAGCATTTAAACAAGTCTTGATTGTTGATTTGTTTTTGAAACCAAAATTGCTACTGAGCCGTCGGCCCCATATACAGTGCTACTTGTTATTGATAGAGTCAAGGTGCTTGCATAGGTAGGTAGGTACTTGGTCGTGCCATGACTCAAAAGTGACAACAATTTGGCAGGTTTACAGACTGAGAATACATGCCTACGCAATAAGCCGCCTTGTCGAGTATATCTGTTCTGGTTAAAGGGAATATCTATCTTGTCCGGTGGTACACTACAGAATTGATCATGAATGTAGTAGTATTACTATCACCTAAACGCCCGCCCAAATTAATTATACTTCGAACATAAAATCCCAAGAGGAATTTTAAACAATAGCCAAATAGAACTCCCTATCGAGACGGACTAAGAGGTCTGTTAAAACCGCCGTTTCGGTTCATGTACTGGCGATACTCTGTCTTCTTCTCCTTCCGCACTCCGCCAGCATTGTTTCCTGAGACCTTCTTGTTCTTTGTCGTTCCGAACCCGCCAAAGCCCATCATGGCCTGCATAGCAGCCATGCCGTCGTCCTCAGCTACCATAGGTTCGTCTTCTACCTCAGAGACTTGGCCATCTTCCGAGCGAGCAGTCTCCTCTTCACGTTCGGGGTGTGATACGGGTGGTGGCGGCGAGCGGCTGGCACGAGAGCCGACGTTAAAGGACATGTGAGGTGCTGGACGCTTGGCTTCAGGGCGAGTACGTGTGGGAAGGGTTGTTTCGTTGGAGGAGGGGCTGCGTGATTGTGGCGACGCAGAGCGACGGGATTTACCTGAATGAACTTTTAGTCTTGTATCTTCGTGGTAAAACCGGAAACGCATACCTCTTCGGTCTCTATCATCATCGCGACGATCGTCCCTCCTCGGCCTTGTCGGCGCATCCTCTCCGTCGTCTCTTCGCCCGTCCCTCTTATCTCGGTCATCATGGTGTCGTGGACCTCGATCCTTTGGACGGTTCCTATCTCCATCTCTGTGATTGTTTCTTCTGTCAGGAGATCTTGAGCGATCTCTATATCCACGGCGCTCACGCGATCGTGACCTGTACCCTCTGCGATCACGGTCGTTGTCCCTATCACGTCCTCCACCTCCACGCCTATCGCGTCTATCGGATTCGTCCCACATTTGGCGACTGTCTGGTCGTCTACTTCGTCTTGAGTCGCTCATGTTTTCGATATGATGTTTGCGTCTGCTTATTAACCTTGTTGAGATTCGTTGACTTTTCGAAGCTGAACAATGGTTGGAGAAGGCAAGCATCCAGAGAATTCTAGAAACATAAGGCTGATAGAAAGCAACTTTAATGTGGAGATGGATAGAAACGTGGCGGTGGCTGGTGAAGCAAAGTGATTGGTCAAAGCTCTATCTCTGAACCCCGGATTTCTAAAGTTTCAGCCTTGCGTCGTCATTGTAAATTCGGAGCCCCAACGTGTTCTCTGGAGCTTCGTCTGTCTGTAAGCTGCAACACACCTATTACGGTAGTGGATTTATTTACAAGTCCCAAAACTCCATCCACGAATTTATCTCCAGTGGCAAGCTAAGGGGTATTTTATTCCTCAATATCATGGTCAAGATCGCCCAATGGGTGTCGATAGCGACACTCATCCTGGGCGCCTCAGCCGCAGATGAAGCCTCATCTGTGCTCACGACAGAGATTGGCCGTCAAAATAACCAGAGCCTCTTTTGGGGTCCATACAAGTCCAACTTGTACTTTGGTGTGCGGCCACGAACGCCAGATGGGTTGTGGACGGGACTCATGTGGGCAAAGGTCGACGACTACCAAGACATTCAAAATGGTATGTGAAACACTTTATTTCCCCAGAATCTACTAACACTAGTCTCAGGATTTAGATACACTTGTGAACAAGGAGAAGACATTCACGGCTATGGATGGGATGAATACGATGCCCGAATAGGCGGTGTGCAATCAATTCACGACAAGGGCAACAACATTGACTTGACAACTACATTTGTCAAAATTCCAGGAGGCAGCCATGGTGGAAGCTGGGCTGCCCGTATTAAGGGCGAGCTTCGAGATGGTGCCGCAAAGGACACCAAAACCATGCTGTTCTACTATATCGCTCAGGATGGCGAAGGCGAGCTCGAGGTTGAGGGTGAAGGCACACAGTTTGGGTTCGAGGACGATGTCACATTCAGCGGAAACTCCAAAACCCTGGGCGACTACAAACTCCTGGTGACAAAGGGAACCGGAAACCATCCCACGTCGAACAACAAATTACTCGAAGACCGACATGGAGACAAAACCATTGTCTCAAGCCCCCAAGACGTTCCCGCCGACCATACTTGGCAGGGCAAGCCCGTTGTATTTAAGAAGCTTCAAGAGGCTGTTTCGCCCGTCCAAGAAAAAGCCGACCAAAGCGACCCTCCGCCGCCATGGCAGGTATACCGTATTGCCCACGCGCCAGCCAAGGCCAATGTCCAGATTGTAGAGAAGACGTTCGAGGGACCCTTCGAATTCGATGTCATTTTCTCATCGGCTTCTTCTGGAAAGGAATTCACCCCTGAAGAAGTCACCGAGCAGATCAAGAAGACCTCCGAGATCTTCAACGAACGGTTCACAAGCACTTTCAAGTTCAAAGAGCCATTCAATCTCGAGAAATACAAGAAGTTCGGCAAGAGCATGTTTTCTAACCTTGTCGGCGGCATTGGGTACTTCCACGGTCACCAAATCATTGACCGATCCTATGCACCTGAATATGAGGAGGAGGATGAAGAATTCTGGGTTGAAGCTGCAAACGCCAGGGGCCGCACAAAGCCAGATCTCGAAGGACCCTACGAGCTTTTTACTAGCGTTCCCTCTCGTCCCTTCTTTCCTCGTGGTTTCCTCTGGGATGAAGGTTTCCACCTCATCCCTATCGCCGATTGGGATATCGACCTGACTCTTGAAATTGTTAAGAGCTGGTACAACACCATGGATGACGATGGCTGGATCGCTCGCGAGCAGATCCTGGGTCATGAAGCTCGTAGCAAAGTGCCTCCTGAGTTCCAAGTTCAATACCCTCACTACGCCAACCCTCCCACTCTTTTCCTTATCATTGAGGGTTTTATGGAGCGCCTTCGTGCAGCCAACGGTACTGAACCCCAGAAGCTGGACCGCTTGATCGGGGCAGATCTTTTGCAAACTGCCCACCTCGATAACATCGAACTAGGCGAGACCTACTTGCGAAAGTTGTATCCTCTTTTGCGCCGCCAGTATGATTGGTTCCGCAAAACCCAGCGTGGTGACATCAAGAGCTACGATCGCGAGGCGTACTCCACTAAGGAGGCGTATCGATGGAGAGGCCGTACTGAAACCCACATCCTTACCAGCGGCCTGGATGACTATCCTCGGCCCCAGCCCCCATCCCCTAGCGAGCTGCATGTCGATCTCATGTCTTGGGTGGGCCTTATGACAAAGTCCCTGATGAACATTGCAGACGCCCTCGGCATGGCTGAAGATGTAGATGAGTACAGGAATAATTTGGACGGCATTGAGCACAACCTTAACGACCTCCACTGGTCCGAAAAGGAGGGGTGCTACTGCGATGCCTTTGTCGACGACTACGAGGAGCACGCACTCGTATGCCACAAGGGCTACATTTCCCTGTTCCCCTTCCTGGTTGGTCTCATGAAGGCTGACGACCCCAAATTGGGCAAGATTCTTGACCTGATTGGCGACGAGGATCACCTCTGGAGTCCACATGGCATTCGCAGCCTGAGCAAGCAGGATGAGTTTTACAACACTGGCGAGAACTACTGGCGCAGCCCAGTGTGGATGCCTATGAACTATCTTGCCGTGTCTCAGCTTAAAGTAAGTACCTGATAACAGGGTGCTTAAGAAACAGTACAAATGCTGACGTATCTATCTAGAATGTTGCTTCGCAAGAAGGCCCATTTCAAGCCAAGGCGAAGGATTTGTTCTCGCGTCTGCGCAAGAATCTTGTCGACACGGTGTACAAGAGCTGGGAAGAAACAGGCTTTGCCTGGGAGCAGTACAATCCTGAGACGGGAGCTGGACAACGAACACAGCATTTCACTGGATGGACTAGTCTGGTCGTCAAGATCATGGCTATGGATGACCCCAGCACGGAGGCTCATGTTAGAGATGAGCTTTGAGTGGGTAGCGAGAAAAGGTTCTGTATGGCCAGCTTGATGGACGGTGTGGTTGTGTAGACATACTAGTCTTGATTTACCAGTCATTGGTTAGACTTTTGCTCGTAGCCAAGAAACCGGAAATGCACTCGTACGGCTCCTACCGCATCCTTGACCCGTGTGAAGGCGTGGTGCGTTGGAACTAGGAACTAGGAACGACGAACGGGAAACAGGGATAGAATGATTATGACATTCTGGGTAAGCCAGGGACAGAGCCTCCCACTCTCGTTCTGCACTTGTGGAGGACAAAGAACTGTGATTTGTCCTTCTGTACCTTGTCAGGTTCTTGAGCTGTACTGTGTATCGACAGACTATCACTATTTGGTGGCTTCGGCGGAACTTCTTCAATCGACCGAGGGCTGTCAATTCGAAAACGAAATTCCGTAGTCAACGTCAGCGGGATTGTTGCAACAGCATTAGCTATAGTTAGATTCAGTGATTCCTAACCGGTGCCTAGCTCTGCGTGCTACTATTCCCAGACGTAGAGTCACTGCCGAGACTTGTGAGATGCATGCCGTAGCCATTCTTAGCAATGAGCCAGAGCTTACAACTGTTCCAATGCATAGAGTTGAAAACTACTGCAGATCTTCAACCAAGGCAGACATTTAGCCTACAGATTACCTGCAGTAGTACAACCACAAGCCCAGGACCAAAGGGTGACCCCTGCACGACACCCCTGCAAGCGTTGGGGATCCTTCCCGAGACATGTCCCAGGGGACTAATGTAAGCTCGAGAAACGAAACGAAGCGAACATCGGGTGATGAGCACTAGGATCAGAATGGCTGTATCTGTGGCATAGCGCAATGTCTCAGAGGTAGCCAGGATGACAAGAGGCGGGTCAATGGCTCTAGGGCTTAGGTAGGAACGGTAACAGCAGAGCTCGGTTCAGGTTGCAAGGCTGATTTCTTGGAGAACGCCTCGTGGTGGTGAGTGTAGTAAGTAAGCACAGTGATTGGGTAAATTAGATAATGTCTAGGGCTATGCATCGAGCTAGTTAGCGAAAACAGTCAGATCGTGCGATAACGCGCCAATTGTCCAATGGTAACACATATTCTATTTATAAAGCGCCTGAGCGCTTAACTATCGGCAAGGGGTTTAGTGTTGGCTGCAAGGTGAGAATTGTGTCTCATTGCGGCTGTTTGATGCGCTGACACATGACATTATGATGGGAAATGCGAATTTGCAACCAAAGATTCATTAGTTTGATAGATCAAGCGAAAGGTTTGTCCATATGAGGAGACATTTGGCGTTTGGCTTCCGTGTCGCTGGCCATTGGTGCGAGCCGTATCACTGCGTGTTTGGGGGTCTGGCCAATAGCAAGCGGTACCATAGATCTCGGTAAGAATCGCAACCCCCAGTTCGAGGTTGAATGGATCCGGCGGGATACTCAGAAATTAGGTCCCATGGTACTGGTATGGCCCTGGACATGGCCGACCCGACCCAACCTACGAACGGGTAATGCTGTAGGTGCCGTGCCGCCGGAACCAGAGTATGCCGGGTATCCAATAATAAGATTTGAATAGGCTGTTCAAGGGTGTTGGCGGCGATTACTTCATGTGCGTACATTTTATAAGTCCAAGACCTTGTCTCAAGTGTGACGTTTCATTCCGCTGCTGCCCCCACGAGGGACTTGTGCAGCGCAGTCATTTGAACCAGGATGCTTAAGTTGAACTGATTGTAAGATGAGTCACGATAAGAGAAAAGGGAAATTCGGTCAAGCTTCTAAAGCCCAAGCGTTATGCTTGTAAGAAAGGCGGAGATGAGATTGAGTTAAGTTGAGGTGCCCGAGGAAGGGAAGGGATGGGATGAGATGGGTTGGGAAGGTGGGATAAAGTGGAATCCGGGGCAGTTTGTCACTTCGGCAGGCGGAACCCACGGGCTTGACCGATGCATGCCAATGGGGAAGTCGCGTCATGGCTTTAATGGTTGCAGCCGCCATTTTGGGGGGCATGACAAAGATGATGACAAAATAAGTGATGCATTATACTTACTAACTTGACTATCATGGTGCCTCATGTAAATGTCTTGTCTTTTAGGCAACCCTTAAACTTGTCGAACCCTCCATGTGACAGAATGAACCATTAAGGACGCGCACTCAATTGAGCACATGTCGAGACGCATTCATTGAGAAGGGTAATTCATCAACCAGGGTCGATTCCATTATTGGCAACTCCCATATTATCTTCATCTTCTCTTGTAATCTCCATCCCCGACTCCGAACATTGCCGGAGTTTGCTTGGAATCATATCACACGGCCTCATTTGTCAGCCTTTATGACGTTTTGTATGCCGAATTACATTGACAATCAATAGATGGGTGGTCAAAACGTCGGATGGGATGGAAGTAGGATCGAGATACGAATTACCCGACGTATTGTCGCGTATTTACGTATCTAAGCTCCGTCATCATCCTCGTCAGTCCCTGACTAACAATGTGGTATTGAAACATATCTTTTCGGGGGTCAAAGATTACCATCATGATAATGCTGCAAATACAAGATGATATCTCCATGGGCAGAGCCGTGGAGTACTACGAAGCATGTATGACAACGGCATGGGTCCAGGGGTGTTTGTTTATTTCAAGGAGGCTATGGCTTATTCTTATTCCCTGTCCAAGCCCCCCGTAAGCCAATCTGTCCCCGTAATACGCACCGCAACTTGTTCGACTCACTTGACTGGATACGGCCCGGGTCTTCCGCTCCCGGCGAAGATTTGTTGTCAAACAGAAGACTCCAAGAAAACCCCTGCGATGCAAGGTCCCCAAAGCATCCTCAGCCCTACGATGCTGTCCCTCCACCACTCATAGTCCAGATGCCGGCCCCTGTCAGCTCGCCGACATGGCGCAGGCGTACTCTGTCCTCTGTCCTGACTTTACTAGTATCTCCCAGATGATGACTGTTCCCACAACCGTGTCAAAGAAGTTTCCATGCACGGAATAATGGCAATGCACAATCTACCTTGTCTGTAGCCTTGTACCCTCCCCTAGCGTGTATACCTTAGTACTAATGTTGCTATTTTGTATCCCTGTCGTAGGGTGTGCTTGACCCATCGTCATGACAGGACCCGAATAGGCGTCAGCCTTCCACCGTCGTCTCCTGGCAGTCATCGCCTACCAAAATCCCTTATCCTACTTCTTCCTGTACTTGAAGTAATTTGTATATAAGCGTCCTGTCACCCGGGTCAACTTGAAAATGAAAACATCATCACCATCAACATCTTCCATCCATCTCATCTAATAGCATCCACACTCTTCAACTCTAATCACTTACACACAACAACAACTTAACTCAACTACAACTTTCAACTCTGTTCAATTTACTCTCAGCCCAAACAACTCATACACTACATTTACAATGGCTGCTTTCACTCTCACATTTGCTCCCTCCACCCGCTCCTTCGGCCGCAGTGGCTACAACAAGGATGGTGATGATTCTGACTCCAAGCCCACAAACAGCCGTGGTCGATCTGGCTACAATGAGCCTGAAGAGGGAGACTCTGGTCGATCTGGTTACAACGGCCCCGACGACGACGACAACTCTCAGGGCAACAAGGGCCGCTCTGGCTACAATGGCCCCAGTGACGATGACGAGTAAAATCTTGTCAATCGTCTGGAATTTCTCAAAAGCATACACAAAGCGGTAACCTAAGCATGGATGGGGCGTTTTCTGTTTATACACCTGTTTCTCCCCTCAGCATTATTATGGAGTTTTCTTTTTTCTTCCTTTTGGCATCAGCATCGGCATCAGCGTTTGGATAGTCTTGGGCATAGAAACAGCATCACACGTTTGGATTTGGAAAAAGAAGGACATACAAGCATAGTGGGATTGGGTTTGCATCAGCATTGGCATGGCATAGCAGCGAGCAACAGGCATTGTATCTTTCCTTATTTCTTTTATCATCATTTTCATTTCAATTGTCTCTCTTCTACTTTCTTTTCTCTGACTAGATGTGGCCCTGGTGGTCGACTCGGGCACATTAACCCAACTTTGATAGACCGGCGTTGGCTTATAGACCTTTCCTTGACGAAATAGACATTCAGCTCTTTTAGCAACCTTCTCCTCAGTGGTATTCGTTATAAGTCGCTTACTTCCCAACGCAGAATCTAACACTTCAAGTCAGCATCTTGTCAAACACGCAGCATCCACTCAGCCAAAACTTACTTTTCAAAGATAACTCCCAAAACGTCCTCCACGTCTCCAAACTCGCCCCGACCTGTGATCCGGGCAAGGCAATCCGCAGCATATCGCAGATACTCGGCTGCGAGGACCGTGTCGGCGTCCATGCCCTCCTCGGGGGTAGCTTCCACCATGAAATCTTCCAAATGCTGTCGACACTTGATCAGGAGTTGGCGCTGACGTTCCGTCACACCCAACAAATCCTGGAGGTCTATAGGCATGGATGTCATTTTCTCGAAGGATGCCACGAGCCTGGTAATCACGGCCTGAATGCCGCCCGGGTCCTTGCTTTCCCATGACCCTGTCTGAGCCTCCTTACACGAGATCGACACGAGCTCCGCCGCCGCCAGCTTGGGGGCCCGAAGTCGAGCACTTTGTCTAAATTCCTGAACAAGCTTCTCAAAATGCACTTTATCAGCTGCATCTTGTTTGTTGACAACGACTAGACAATCTTCAGCCCCTGCAGCAAGATCGAGTGTTTCCTCATCGTACTGCAAAAAGAATCCTTCCGGGCTCTTTTCCACTGAAGCTAGGACAATGACTAGATTCGATTCTAAAGCTCGTTGTTTGGCTCGTCGTATTCCTTCTTCTTCCACGGCCCCGATTGCGCCACTCTCAGCCTCGTTGGTAATTTGCGAGCTCTGGGATCGGAATCCTGCCGTATCTGCAAAAGAACACAAATAGCCACGAATATCCAAGCTTGCTTCGACTATATCTCGCGTAGTGCCTGCTTCGCCAGACACGATGGAAGCCTCGCGCCCGACGATCAGGTTCATGAGAGAGCTCTTACCGACATTAGGTGGGCCCAGCAATGCGATACGAATTCCGTTCCTCAGAAGCTCGCTCCGTTGGCTTCCTTGTTCATGCAGCTCAATGCTGTGTAGCATTCTGGCAATTTGCGCCGTTACGTTTTGCAGCAGTTCTGCCTGGGACTCATCGAAATGTTGGTCTTCGGAGAAGTCAATCAAAGCCTCGATTTCTCCTCTAGCCAGCAACAGCTGTTCCCTCCACGCCTCGTATTGCCGACCAAGAGACCCAGAGTTACCACGTACGGCTGCACGACGCTGCTGTTCTGTCTCTGCTGCTAGGGTGTCGCTCAATGATTCGATCTGAGCAAGATCTAGTCGATCGTTGAAGAAGGCACGCTTCGTAAACTCACCGGGTTCTGCATATCGAATACGATGCGCAGTGGCACATTTCGGAATGGCTGCCAGTACTGCCTTGACTGTGGCTGATCCTCCATGAACATGCAACTCCAGGACATCGTCGCCAGTTACAGTCTTTGGATTGGGAAAGTAGAGAATCAAAGCTTCCGAATCTAGAATGAGAGGCTGGTTTTTGGCAGAGCATGGATCATAGAGTGATCGCACCGTTGCAAATCTTGGTTTTGGCAGTGGTTTAGATGGACACAATGCCTTGTATATCTAGTATTTGGTTAGTATATACTTTGCATGGTTTGAAATATGCTTACCTCAAGACATGACGGGCCAGAGACACGGATCACTGCAATACCGGCCTTGCCTTGTGCTGTTGACAGGGCGTATATTGTGTCATCCACGATTGGAAGCCTGGAGACGGCTTCTGACTCATGAGTAGCCCATGACTGTTGCGAGAATGATCTTGGTCTAGCGATAGGACAACATGGTTGTGATGATGAAAGCTGAGGACTGATTCGGATTCTAAAACTAAAAGGGACTCGAAAGGGACTCGCAGCACAATAGAGCCTCTTCGGACAAAGGTTACGCCTCAGCATCGGCGAGCAGGTTGGAGAAGAGCACGTGTATTTTATTGGGATTGTTCGAAGATGAAATGTATCAGCATGATGATTAATTGATGGGTTGAATGCGCAGAATACGCAGAATGAGCTAAAACTTTTACAGGCTCAAGACTCGACTGCTACAGCGCTAGGGTCCACTGGATTCAATGCTGTAGTAGTGCAGGTCCTTCTTAGGTCTCACCCATTGCAACAGTACAATCACTGCCTGTCCATCAGCCGCTTCTTTTGATGAAAATCCCATGTTAATTACTTTTCTTCCTCGATCGTATGGAGTATGTTGAATTCAACCTCCATTTGGGTTGACTATTTATTCATCTTTTCATACACGAATCTCATCCGTAAACTCATCAAACCATATATATCTAACACTTTTCCCAGCTAGCTCCCCTTAAGAGGTAGCGAATGTCTCAATAAACTTGGCGAGCTTCTCAGCTCCCTCCAGAGTAATGGAGTTGTAGCTGCTGGCGCGGATACCACCAACACTGCGGTGGCCCTTAAGGCCGGTGAGACCTTGAGCAGTGGCTTCCTTGAGGAAGGCCTTTTCAGTGGCGTCGATATCACCGTTCTTGGTAACGCGGAAGCAGATGTTCATCCTTGAACGGGCAGACTTGTCAGGGACAATTCTGTAGATGTCAGAGTGAGCCTCAAGAGCACTGTAGATGAGCTCGGCCTTCTTGGCAGACACAGCCTCTTGTCCCTCGACCTTGTTGTAGGTTTTGATCGACTTCTTGAGGACCTGGCCAGCGATGTAGACGCTGTCTTTTGTCAGCAACTTTGTATCAAACCTGCTTTAGAAAACTACTTACTCGAAGATGCTGAGGGTGTTGTAAAGGCTGTTGTTCTTGGCGATGGTCTCGTAAGAGAAGATGATAGGAGGGATAGGAAGGCCAAGCTTTCGGAGCAGAGAGGCAGAAGGTTGAGGAGTCTTGGGAGGGAGAAGGCTTTTCTTGATAATCACAACGGTGATACCGGTAGAGCCAAGGTTCTTCTGTGCGCCGAAGAAGATGACAGAGAAGTTTTGCACAGGGATTCTCCTTGAGAGAATGTTGGAAGACATATCGGCCACAACAATAGGACCTTCGCCATCAGGGCCAGGGGCCAGAGACTGGGGGAAAGCAGGGAATTCGACGCCATCGACAGTCTCGTTATCACAGTAGTAGACGAGAGCAGCGTCCTTGGAGAGGTTCCAGGTGCTCCCCTCGGGGATCTTGCCATACTTGCCGTCATTTATTTGACGGGCATCAGCAACAATGTTGACATGCTCGGGGCCAAGCAGTCGCTTAGCCTCCTCAGAAGCCTTTTGCGACCAGCCGCCGGTGACAATGTAGTCAGTCTTGAGCTCCTTCTCGACAGCGTTTCTGAGTTCCTGCTCAACACGGGGGTCATCCTCAGGAGCCTTGAGGTTGGCGACGATCTGAGCCTTCTTCTTGGTCACCCATGCGCCAACAAGGTTGTACATGGTAGCGGAGAACTCTCCAGTACCACCGCCCTGCATGAAAAGAACCTCGTAGTCCTCAGGAATGTCAATGTAAGAAGCGAGATCAGCCTTAGCCTCGTTGATGATGTTGGTAGCCAACTCTGAGCGATGAGAATGCTCAGCGATTCCCAATCCGGTGTCCTGGAAATTGACGAGAGCCTGGGCGGACGTCTCGAGAACGTCTGTGGGCAGCAGGGCTGGGCCAGCGCCGAAGTACGTGATATCAGATCTGGAAGGCATAATGGTGTTGGATGTGGTTCGAGGTGAATTGTGTGAATATGCTAAAGAGTAAAAAAATTGGAGTTGTCTAAAAGTCGCAAATATGTAAGTCGTAGTGAGTCATCCAATAGAAATGCCCAGCAAGAAGGGATCCGATATTCAACGTATGACTCTAGAAGTTGTATCTCGGTATGACAAGAAGATAATGCGGAAATGAGTGATAATTGATATCTGTCAGAAGTTTTCAGCAATCAATTCTGCATTCGTCAACGGCTTAGCAAGCGTGAACCGTGATGGCTTTTTTAAGTGCAGATTTTATTCGTCGATACTATAGCAAAATACCCAAGTTATCAATCACCAACTACATTACTAGCTCCGCATCAAATATCGACTAGTGAACCCAATAGCGCAGATCTTTCTCTCATGAACCTACGAAAACAGAAGAGAGTTTTATGTTTGTTCCTATAGAAAGGGTACAGATACCCTGTAGTCTATACGCTGTCGGGTTTATTCTATACATGCACACATGTTTTAAGAAAACGTTGGTTGTGTCTTTACTGCTCAAGCTTAAACACAAATTCTCAACACTTTTAATTGTAGCTTTGTATACGTAAATCGGCGTCCAATACGAACGATTATAAATGTTGATGAACAAAAAGCTTGTCGATGCCGTTTCAAGACACGAAAATCGGTCGAAAGCTTTATGATAAAGCCAAAATTCCAATTTCTCTCAATTGAGTATACAAATAACCGTATTTATGCGCCCTGAGTTCAACATCAATTATTTTTTATACGTCCTCTTATTTTATAGTTCAAATTTATGGCAGCAAACGGCCGAGTATCTACTCACCATTCCTTGCTTAAACAATATCCAATAACACAGAATGATAAAAGCTCCGAGAATTCGTTTGGGAGTCTCCGGCAAAGGTCTTTCTCTTTAGATCAAAGAATGAAGTCCTTTGTTGACATGGTGTCGAGGCAAGAAACTATGCTTGAATCTTTGTGCAAATACTGGGCGAACACATAATCAATAAAAGAGGCCAAAAAGTGTAATTGCCGATTGCGGGATATCAAAAGTATCATACAAGAAATTTGTTTGAATGGCAATTTCTCTCCTTGACTTGGCTAAATGAATGTTCCATCTTCAATCAGTGTCTTATTCTTGCTGGCCCTTGTGAGATCATTTCTCCATGATAGGATGTCATCATGAAAGCTATCTGTTTCGGCAGGCGGTGTGGCGGGGTTTCCGCGGCAGAATACGCATGTGGCAGCAGGAAGGTACGACCAGGCTACGAAGCTTGAGCTGCCTGGCTACGGTAGGTACGCATGCTGCGCGGGTACACCTCAACTCTACCTGCCTTACTATCTCCAACCTCAACTATTAATCCCAGCAAAGCTCACCACCACAACCCCGCCCCGAATAACGCCCTTAACAAAATTACTCGGGTAGCTCAAATTCATCATGTTTCGAAACAACTACGATAACGATTCCGTCACCTTGTACGTCACCAAGCTCTTTCCTCACCACATCCACCAAGCTAACTATTCCCAGCTCGCCCCAGGGTCGGATATTCCAGATCGAGTATGCTGCAGAGGCAGTGAAGCAGGGCTCTGTTGTTGTCGGTATTGCTAGCAAGACTCACGCCGTTCTGTGCGCTGTCAAGGTATTGCCCGTTTTCCCTCCCGCTCTTGCCCAATGCATAAGCTCCAGAATGAATGGTCTCTGACTCTATCTCAACAGCGAAATGCCGAGGAACTCTCATCTTACCAGAAGAAACTCTTCACCGTCGACGAACATGCCGGTATCGCAATCGCTGGCCTTACCTCCGATGCCCGTGTTCTTTCCAACTTCATGAAGCAGCAATGCCTAGGCCACCGACTCACCTATGGCCGTGCCATCCCCCTCCGATCCCTCGTCGACATGATTGGCGAGAAGGCCCAGATGAACACCCAGATGTACGGCAAGCGACCATACGGCGTTGGTCTCCTGGTTGCCGGTGTTGATGAGCGTGGTCCTCACCTGTTCGAGTTCCAGCCCTCAGGCATGACAGAGGAGATGCTTGCTTTTGCCATTGGCGCACGAAGCCAAATGGCCCGAACATACCTTGAGCGCAACATTGATTCCTTTGCCGATTGCTCGAAAGAAGAGCTGATTCAGCATGGTCTCAAGGCCTTGAAAGAAAGTCTGGTCCAGGACAAGGAGCTTTCAGTAGAGAACACATCCGTCGGCGTAGTGGGCATCAACATAGTGGATGGCAGGAAGAAGGTCGAGCCATTCAAACTGTACGACGGCCACTCAGTACAGCCCTGGATTGAGAGTGTTGGCGAGAGCCAAGGTGGTGCGGAAGAAGGCGAGGGAGAGGGTATGGATGTTGACAACTAAACTTGGCACAAATTATGGTGCGACATACGGCGTCGGTATAGATCATGTAGTATTATGCGCTGCAGAAGCAGCTTTTCATGAATCTTAATCATTCGAGATCAAAGCAAGCGTCGTGGCAGGCGGGTTGGATAACCGACAGACTTTATACCAAGAAGCTTAAGCTATGTAAAATGGTACATTGACATCCTATAGCTACGTATATTGGGGACCAAGATTCCTTGATTTTTTTCTGCCACATAACTTCGATATACCAGTTTATCTGGCCTGTCTATCGGGGTCATCATGCCGTCTATTCATGAGCACCAGTCTATCCTATCCTAGAAATGCAGGTTGAATTACCATCCGTATAGCACCATAAAAACACCAAGCCATCTCCAAAATGCAATTCTAAATCGGGACCGAACCCAGCGTCTTAGATAGTTTACTGGCTACCCCATTGGAGTTGATAGATGGCATCCGAAACCTTGTAGTCGCGGAGAGCCTTGATTGCGCCTTCAGGGGTATCGGCATTGACCAAGATGTTCTTGTTGGCGGGCTTCACAAAGCCCTGTTCGGCAGCACGATCCATCCACTGAACGATACCGTCCCAGTAGCCCTCAATGTTGAGTAGAACAATGCCACGGTTGTGGATTCCAAGCTGGTTCCAGGTAGTTGTCTCGAAGATCTCCTCCATAGTACCAAATCCACCGCTCAATCCGATGAAGCCACTTCCAGGACCACCAGCAAAGACCTCCTCGGCCATAAGCTTCTTTCGAGTGTGCATGTCCTTGACGACTGTTGTGCGACCGTAGACAGACTCCTCAGGCACAATGTGGTTGTGCTCGTTGACAGTTCCATAAGTGCCGTCTCGTTCATACTTGACCAAAGCCTCAGGAATGATGCCATGAACAGAGTCAGGACCATTGATGGCACAAAGGCTCTTCGCCACCTCGCCCATAAGTCCGACAGTTCCACCTCCGTAAACTATCGTCACTTGTTAGTATTTTGAGTCATTCTGGGGGCATATCCGGGAGGCGGCGGTCGGCGGCCCGCGATAATGTTCGGGTTCTCGGCGGTCCGCCTTGGGGAATGCAAGTGACTCACCTAAGTCAATGTTGTTCTCAGCCATGGCCTTTCCAAGTGCGCGAGCAGCTTCAATATGAGCAGGACTCGTGCCGGGAGCAGAACCACAGTAGACGCAAATCTTTGTTCGAGGTTGACCGTTTGATGTGGTTTGTGAGGCAACGGCGGCCTGCGACGGGATTGTGCTATCGGCAGTCATGATGTACTGGTTTGTTGGGTTTTTGCTGATAATAAAGGCTGTCCAAGTGCTATTCTCAACTAAGGATGCTGTTCTTCAGAAGATATCAGGATGAAGTTTAGATATATTTGTTTAAAATAGAGATGGTTTGACTTGATATAAGAGTGACAGTTCTGGTGGAGGTGGTCTTGTCTCGGTAAGTGAGCACTAAGTAGGTACCTACTTAATGTGGCAATGGGGCAAGAAACTTGTTGGCGAATGTTCCAGATGAGTCAAAGTTTAAGCATCAATTTCGGAGCTGACTCAAGAGACAAGTTGAGAAAAGAGTCACAAAGCAGAGGGTTTATATAGAGGAACTGTCGGAATAGCCTAGCGGTTAGTTGACAAACATGGACAGCCCAATACAAACCTGCGTTATGAATGCCCAGGCCGCCTATTGGCTTGTTCACACCTGATCGTCCATGAAGGGAGCCACGTCTTCGAGTAGATATACGGCTTGCGGCCGTGCTTCATGCATGGGGGCATTTCATGTAAGTCGTGCCACTACATACAAACAAGCAGCGGCGATTGCCACGAGTTACGTTACTGGACAATAGCATATGGATGGTTCATAGAGGTCAGCTGGACACATGAGGTGTGTTCCTAGGTTGTTAGTCTCGGGCGATCCCTACTAAGGTTTAGCATGGATCTCGCATTGTGAATGGAACAATGTCTCGTTTCAAGCATCATCGAAGCGTCGAATGGCGGGCATTTACTGCCAGTAATCAATCCTCTGGCAGGCTGGTAGGCATGGGGCTGGGGCTGATCTTCCAAGCCATGATGCACTGGATCTTAACTCGCTTTTAGTGGATGTAGGCTTTCAAAACGTGGTCAATCTCCGAGCCGATAGTAGATAACCAACCTAACGGTCAGAGGCCACAGGGGTACGTGTTCTGGTGGCCAATCGCTATTCGTGGGTGCTCACAGCACGTCAATGTCAACTGGCGAGGGGATTTATCCGACCGGGGGACCTTCCCAAGCAATCAATCTGAACTTGGACCAACCAAACACATCTCGCATTAGGTGCAACAGCTAACAACCTTGACTTCAGTACCAAGGTAGTGAGTGTTTCGCAGGGCTTTTCTAAACCCATTGCACTACGTCTGTTACTCCCCATTGCTCGTACAGAGCTAGAAACAGACACCATGGCTGAAGCACAGGTCTTGCCTCGTGGCCAAGGCGAGCAGCGAGAGGGAGGCGGAGGCGGAAGTGTAAGTGATCGCGAACCATAGCACAAACATCCTGATTCCCAGCGATTTACTGACCCGGGTTTACATACAGGGCTTCAGCTTCAACAAGCTCCTTCTTGGTGGTGCCATCTACTTTGGTCTCAATGCGGCTATGAACTTTGCCTTGAAGAAGGACCAGAAAGGAGTAACCATCACCAACCCCGAGACCGGTGAGGCTATCAAAGTTCCTGGTAACGTCGAGGGCATTCCCCCTTTCGAACTTCGACCGAAGGAGCTCAACGTGGCCGCTACATATCGAAGCATCCCCAAGAATATCGCGCCTATCTGGCCTCAAGACAGCCACGTCGATATCACCGTCACCCTCTCGCAGTCCTTCAACCCAGTTCCCATCTCGTCCGTCCCCGAGGAATATCTCGTGCTCCAGGAAAAGGATTTCCACCTTAGCAACAAGTCTGACAAGCGAACGATCGAGACCAAGTTTACTGTCCCGCCCGCTGTTCAGCACAATGGCACTCTTTGGGGACACTTCTACGTGGGTCTCCCTGGAAGCAACCTCGACCCCAAGGAGCCCGGCTATGATACTTCCAAGGCGTACTACTTTACTTGGCCATTGACTCAGTATCTTCCCAAGAAAAAGGTTGCAAAGACCCGAAACCTGCTGGAGGATACGTCCAAACAAGAGGAGGAACCTGAGGAAGAGGAGCCAACCGGACCTATCATTGCCAACTACTACCACCCCAACGCCAGCTTCTCTTTCATTCCTGATATGGGTGTCAAGGACTTTGCCACGATATCTGGTCAAATGCGACAATATGTACGACTTGAGGCTACTGGCGCCCGAGATGGTTCAGGCCAACATGCCTGGTACTGTAAGTAACCGCAGCCGCAAGAAACGCACACAACTGACTCGCATAGATCCTGTTCTCTTTGTCAACAACTTCTGGCAATTGACAAACAAGATGACCCTTCTTAACGATACCGTCAAGGAGCTTCCTCTCCGCATTGATCTCAACAACCTGTCTAGCTGGCAGTTCCAAATCATGGCTACCCTTGAGTACAACTCCAAGGAGGCTGCTAAACAAGCTGCATTCGGTAGTTCGCTCCCTGGCGGTGGTGACGGCACAGAAATCGAGATGATCAAGGAAGTTTTTCTTGACTCTAACCCCATCTTGCTCGGTGTCACCATTGTGGTCAGCATTCTGCATATGATTCTCGAGACGCTCGCTTTTGGATCCGACATTGCCCACTATCGTAAGAAGAAGGACAATGTTGGTATCTCGGTCCGCTCCATCTTGGCCAATGTCTTTATGCAAGCTGTCATCTTTTTGTATCTCCTTGACAACTCGCAGAACACCAGCTGGATGATCCTAGGATCCCAGGTAGTAGGCATAGTTATTGAGTTCTGGAAGATCACCACCGTCGTTAACGTTCGCGTCCGTCCTGGCGCACCTGGATCACTTCTCCCCTACACTATCGCGTTCGAGGACAAGCAGAAACTGACGGAGACCGAGGAGAAGACCAAGGAATACGACGAGATTGCCTTCAAGTACATGTACATTGCTGGAGTTCCTCTCCTGATTGCATACGGCATCTACTCGCTCTACTACGATTCCCACAAGTCGTGGTACTCTTACATCATCACAACCCTTGTAGGATCTGTCTACGCCTACGGATTCCTCATGATGGTTCCTTCGCTGTACATCAACTATCGTCTGAAGAGTGTTGCTCACATGCCCGCCAAGGCCATGATGTACAAGTTTCTCAACACCTTTATCGATGATTTGTTCGCCTTTACCATCAAGATGCCCTTCCTACATCGCCTGGCAACTCTTCGAGACGATGTGATTTTCTTCGTGTATCTGTACCAGCGATGGGCCTACCGCATTGACTACACCCGTGTCAACGAATTCGGCCAGGGTGGTGAAGATGAGGCTATCGACGACAAGAAGGCAAAGGATGAGGCCAAGGACAAACTGTTTGAGGATGTCAAGGCCGAAGCCAAGACTACTGGCTCGGATACCGGCAATGCCAAGAAGCGCAAGTGAGTCTAAGATGGCAGCAAAAGCCGAAGGGGATTGTCTCCTGGATCTCGTGGCCAGTGGACAACTGGACACCCAGGTTTGGTTTTGAAAGGGGTTTCTCCTTATGGCTCTACTTTAATTGGGCATTATTAGTCTAGATGCAAACAAGACATTTTTTATGTCGTTGGGAGAACAGAGATTATGACTGGAAACCCCATCTAGTTGTTTATGCAGAATAAAAGAGGCCCCAACCTCGCGTTTGGTAATAATGTTAGATCTGACTTCCTAGCCTTATGAACGTTTAATTTGACCTGTCTTTACGAGTTCACGAATAGCAGTGAGGTATTGGGTTCCAGGTGTGGCTGCCCGTCCACTATCCCTATGAAAGACCCGCTAATTCCTGGCCCACTGAACAGCGTCATAGCGGACGAATTACAGGGTCCTTAGTGGCGTTTCTCTACTGTAAACTGTATTCCGTCATTCCGTCTGGCTGCGGAGCTCAAGCCTCAGCTCAGCTTCTATTTGATTCAAAGTGTGTATCAAAGTGGCCGTTTCATACCTGGAGAAAGTGGCCACCTTTTGCGTCGTATCTACATGTGAAACACAAATCCCAAATCCCTTGCAGTCTTTCTCTTCCCTCTCTAGTCCGTATTGTCGAAGCCTCCCTGGAATCTTCAACTGACGGTCTGAACAATCGGCCCCGGTAATTCTTTGGCTGCACAGCCTCATCTTGACGAGAAACACACCTTGACAATACGGGAAAGGACCCTGAAGCCAATTGCTACATACATCATATTACGTACCTACCATTTGCTCAGCCTCATGCCCTCGGTTGCTTGGTGTACATAAACAAAAGTTCGAGTAAATAAATAGGGCAGCACAGCCCAGCCCTCAGCTTATTCCGCCCTACCTTGCCCTGCTTTAGCTTGGGTCCCTTGTTACATACCTACGGCGTCTTCTTCATCAGATCAATTCTCTCGAGCCGGGGAGACCGGTTCGAGTCGACGAAACCTCATGCGCCGCCCCCAATCGCTTCTGTCCCTCGCCCCGCGACGACGACGGTGATCGAGGTCTTTTACTTGACTCTCACCTCTCCTCTACAGACACGAACTATACCTGACTACGACTCTACGAGCTTACGTTATCCGCCCTCGGTGCAACCCCGCGATCTCTCTGTCGGCCGACCCTCGAGGGAAATCGCAACACTATCCTCGAAACCGAACCATGAGCAGCCTCGACACAGTCGGGTCATTGCTTGCGGCCATTGCGAACCTCCTCGCTCAAGGATTGCGCATCCTCAGTTTGGCTGACAAGAGTCATTGGGGACCTGACGAGCACGAGCTGGTTCACGCTCTCGCTTCCGCGCTGGACGAGGCCAAGAAGGATTTCCAGGAGCTGGCACCCTTGGTCAATGGACAGATATACTACGAGACCGACAGGAAGCGTATGTCAAAAGCAAAACTCTACGAGTCGCCCAACGAGAGCGGCATTTGGAAGGAAGATTTGTGCTAACTTCCTGTTTAGATGAATCTCTTGAAGAGTTGAGAACGTTAAAAACTCAATTCACTTCTCATATAGAACAGATAAAGGATTGGAGCCGTTCTGGTGGTCCAATCAACCCAGTATGGGTTCGCGAGACACATACTTTACAACGAAAGCTACACAGAACGCAATGTCGAGCGGCAAGACGAATACACACCTCAGAAAAGGAATCGTCTTCGAGATGCTTGGGCGCATTCCTTATTTACCGACAACAACGCAAATGGGCAATAGATAAAACCGTACCGGACGAGCTCGAGTATTCACGGAGATACCGGGAGGAATTGCGCCTCTGCAACGCCATTGGGTCGTTTAAGCGATTCGGCGATCGAGATATTGCCTTTGTGTGCGACTACTGTGACGGCCACATAGTATGGGAGGATATTGAAAACATGCCTTCGATACGAACGTTTCAAGAAGCTGCGGCGTCTCCGATTCTCACATTATCGCCAACCCCCGACAACCCGCATTGGCAGGCGACAGGTTTCAGTCAATCTGGGCATCAGGAAAAGCAGGTTGTCTTTGCGCCGGTCGCCATCGCAAATCATATAGCGCCACAGCACCGCGACTGGCTAGCCGGCCTTCTGTGCCCATATTGCGAAACAGAATCAACGGTGCCTCAGGAGCAGTACGATGACGAGGATGCGTACCGGCCGGATCTGGGATATGAAGATATGGACGCGTACCGGGAGCATCTCGAATGGCAGCATACGGTGACAGCGCCAACATCGCAAGCTCAGGCGTCTACAGATAACTGCATAGTCATGTAGTGAGGACCGGACAAACGGTACCAGGGTTGGCGACCGAAAATTGGTGTTATTTGCTTTCATGGGTGGTTTGGGTAGAACAGATGGCATTTGGAGTTTGGAGTAACATACAAGCCCACGTAGGACAGCATAGTATGAGCGATTGAGGTTAAATGGATATTTAGACGAGTTGACTTGTCACAATTCATCACATAGCATTCAGCACCCTAGCCCTCCCTTTGTATGGAACATGCTGAAACTCGTTAAACATGCGCTTGGAACGATTACCAGAGCCTCAATCAAGAAAATGAAGATGATTTTATACCATGTAGGCAGATACAGACATTAGGCTTGTATAAACAGAACTAGCTCGCTTGCATTTCTTAAAAGAATCGCCAATACAGGAAGAATATGATGATGAACCCAAGAGCGCCAAAGGGACCGTACTGCTTGAGAAGAAGCTCCCAGTTGATACGCACGGCAGCCCGACGGTACTTTTTGCTGTCATCTCGCAGCCTCGAGCTAATCTCGCCCATGCGCTCCAGGTTATCTCCACGATACAGCAAATCCTCAATGTTCTTGGTCATGACTTTTGTAACATCGCGCAGCTCGTCGTTGAGCTTGTCGAGGTTAGCGGTGGCACGCGAGTCGGCGTATGTGGTTTTCGTCTTGGAGATAAAGGTGTCGAACTCCATAAAGGCGTACGGTCGCAGGGCAGGGTTGTGCACTTGGGAGGCTGGGTAGTTGGTGGTGAACTCGCGGGCCAGATCGGCGAGGTACGTGAAGGCGAGCTTGCGAGGGTACGAAGGAGCACAGATGGCGAGGAAGACTATGTCCGAGTCGATGAGATAGTGCAGCGTATGGTTGGGCGTTTCAATGGAGGCTTGGGACTCGGAGTTGCGGGTGAGCTTGCGGAGGACTTGGCGCACATTCTGCTTGGTCTCTGCGAGGGTAGATTCGGTCTAGAAAAGTAGCTGTGAGTATGGAGCTTTGGTCGAGCTTGTAGAATAGGAGGGTATACCTGTTCATCGTCAACCGAGGCGCAGAGCATAAGGCCTTGTAGAATGTCAGTATATAAGTTTGCGCTGCAATAGGGAAAGGATGTTTACCATCAAGCCTTGATATTTGCGTGGAGCTGATCATTTTTGCGCTTTGTTGTAAAGGGTAGAAGAATAGGGGAGTATCGCGCTGGTTGTAGATGTGGTTCGTTTGGCTGTCTTGAAGTCCTTCCGCTACCACTACGTGTCAAGAAGGCAGGCGATTAGAGGGATGACGTCGAAGCGGCACGAAACTGAGCCACGCCAAGGGAAGTACTAATTAGAATGGGAGCCTGATTTTAAGAGTACTAAAGACCAATTCAGTCGTGAATATGGCTTGTTGGTTTGTAACTTTACTCTGGTTCGTTATGTTCTGCATGTAACCACGGTTGAAGATCACAGTGGATCTGGGCATATGTTAGAGGGCGTTGTGCTGATAAGATAACAGAATCAACTTGGCATTCCGATTTAAGATGCTATTTTCCGATGGCCTACTATTTGCATATCAACATATTGGATAGTATAGATTATTTCGACTCTTCTATCTCTCTTCTATCCCTCCTGAATTCATTCACTGTCTTGAGTAAATAGTACTGAGAGTCGCATATATCCTCATACTAGTGCGAGATTCATCAAGTAACATAACACATCTTGAGATTAAGAGACTAGTCGACTGTTGTAAAAACAGTTAGTAAAATAAAAATAAAAATTCCAAACAAGATTCCTAAGATCTCATCAAGTATCTTGCTGTTTATAATCCTTTTGTTGTCTTGCACAACCTCAGGTCAAGCAAGGCCTTTGTTGAAAGGCGTGTCCAAACTTCTACTTCACATTGAATAAAGAATACTCATTAAACATCAGTTTTGTTTCGAAAAGGGCTATGTTTTTCTCATATCTCATCTTCTTCGTCATCAAAGTCATCCTCTCTACCCATTTCGTACAGAATCCTTCCTCCCTCGCCTGCTCCAATATCTGTTTGCGCATCAAAGTAGGGTAGCACAATACCCTCCCTATCCTTGCGTTGCTTTTCCGTCAAGCCAAGGTTGAAAGTACTCTCGGGCCCTTCCTCTCCATCGCCAGTCTTACCACTATCCGTAGCTGTGATAAACATAGGATGGTCTGTAAGCAAACACACCTTGCCAGGTAGAGCTGCTGTTGCTGAACCTTTGGGATTGAGAATGAACTTTTCGGATACGGTTCTTCCGCTTCGTCGTCGCAGTTCCATAAAGATGACAACTCCAGTGCTGTCTTCGTTTCTATCCTTGCCCTTCTCCCCCAGACCGACGAGCAGTCCCTCGCGATCTTCATTCAGACCCCATTCTGGCTCCTGGATACTTCGATTCCGAGCTTTTTGACGTTGAATCTCTTGATACAAACTCGATAGTCTGAGGATTGCTGTGGCCAAGTGACATAGGACTGTCAGAGGATGAGGCTCATACTCGCTGAATGATCGTGGTAGTACAATAGGCACGTCATCATGATATGTAGCGACGATAGAGACAGCGGGTGTGATGATGCTTGACAAGAAGCTTGCTAGCGACTGCGGAGCCGCAGAAGCGAGAGCGTTGAGTGAGTCTATAATCACGACGGCCCCTTATGATAGTTAGCCAAAAAAGAAGAAACTTGTCCAGTTGATGACTCTTCGACTTACTTTGAGTGGGCTTTCCCTTGTCTACCAAAGGGTTGAACGTAGGGTAATGGTTTAGCAAGTCCTTTCGAACCGCTTGAAGGTCTCTTCCCGTAGCCTTTATGAAAACATCTGCATCTTGTGGTTTCTTGAGTGTCACCATCGACAAGAAGATGACTTGTGTCTTTGCGATCTGAGATGCTCGTGTCAGTCACACTGATTGTTTTCAGCTGCGCACAAACGTACTTTTGCTCGTGATACAAATTCACGAAGAACTGGCCGCGCAGGCTGCTCAAGATTGTCGATCACGAGGGTAAGAGGACTTGCGCCATCACGCAGGTTGAGGAGCTTTTGTAAAAGGAGCAGACTATGTGATCGAGCGTGGATATTTGATGTTGGCGCCATGGTAGTGTGGGTAGGCCACAGGTTCAAATGAACGCTGTAATAATGAAGATTTTGAGTTTGGTAAGCGCGAGTACTAGATCTTGTTCACTCTGTCACTGGGCATCAAAAACATAGAATTGTGAGAATGAGTGGTTCAGTTGGTGTGCCTGACTTTGCTTGGTAGATGTGATGCTAGAAAGAATTCAGTGGGTCATTTCGATTTGGCATACTCCAGTTACGGGAACCCAGCCAACAAGAAAAAGGTAACTATAGAGATTCGTAGCTTATTTGTTTTGAAACTCTATTCAAGACACTCTCACAGCATAATTATAAACTCGACCACTTGTGGCAGACGACAATTGGCCTCTTCATAAGCGGGAAATAGAAGTTAAGTATATGAGCTTTAGGGTATAAAAACAAATAGCACAAGAGTCTGGTCTAAATAGCATAAAGTGACTAACTAATTTCGTCCCTTATGCTACTTGTGGTTGGGCATCTTTGCACGGATGGAGGCCACCACCTTCGCCACCAACGCCACCAACACCATCAACGTCTTCACGCCATTCAGGATCGCAATACAACAAAAAAGTCTACACAACTAGCAAAAGATGTCGCGTTTGACAGTGCCTGTTACTGCGTAATCTGGGAATCGAACCCAGGGCTCCCCGATGTCGCTTGAATGGCAACGGAGAATTTTACCACTAAACCAATTACGCGGTTACTGTTTGTTGAAGTGACACGACATAGTCAAGACTCAAGTTCTTGTGCAATCACAGACGGGCAGGCAAGGCATGAAACGAACCGCAATCTCTCTTAAACCCTGAAGCCTATTGGTATACCAGACATGGTCGGTCTTCTCGGGTTGTTCTCACCAAGCGAAACGCGAAACAAATCATCCCTTAATCTTTGATGCTCCTTTTCTGCGCCCATGGTAAACGCATACACCCTTCCCGCCACCGACATGTTTCTCGTTAGCCGGGCAAATTGGACTGCTTGGCAGGTGTTCCTGGAGTTCGAATTCAAAAGTGGCCGGACCCTGGAAAGGGTTCTTTCGAACGGGCTGTTTGGGGATTCTTTCCCACCACTCGGTAGTGTCAGGAGCATAACTTTTGTGATAGACTGTCTGCAGAGAGTGCCTCCTTGAAGAGGAGGTTTGGATGTCCACTTCTTCCACGTCTGCAGGAGCAACTGTCTCAGTAAAGAACGAACGTGGCCGACCATTCGCAGTGCCTTCAGTAAGCGGAGGTGTCTTGATGCGTCTTGCTTCCTGAACCAAGAGAAAAGTCAGTATCTTCTGGTTTCTAGGCATTGGTCTAACATACCCCTCCTGGATATGGACTATCGACACAGTTGACTCGTACTGTCCAAGTGTCAGCATACACTCTTTCATTTCCAGGTACAAGCGTTACAGAGAACATACAAGATGTGGAGCTTGAACCTAGAGATGGGGGAGAAGTCTCACCTTTGAGTATCTCTCTTACAGAGCTAGTCACGCTGCTGTATGAATCGGCTGACTCCTTGCGGCCCCATGGTGGTCGTCCAAAAAACCTTCGGCGCAACTTGGTTCTTGATACATCATCCTTGAACCAGGACCCTGTTTTTGTGATTTGATGCATGCTGGTGTAGTTCCTAGTACCGTCTATCGTTGAACAGTGGTGTTCGTGTTCGGGCATTGCTGAGTATGGCGTCGCCTATAAGAATTAGTTTCGCTCTTTGTCCCTATTGCACTTAACTGACCTCTCTACGAATTTTGAATTTCAGCTTGGACCCGATACTCTTCTTTGCCTTTCCGTAGAGACTCCCAGAGCTAGATGATGTAGAAGGCGGAGTGTCTGTTGTTCGTGGTGGCAGCAAATTATTCATTGGGGAAATCGAGTCCACACTTTCCCTATCCAAGCTTGGGGAGATTGAGCTGAAGTCTTGAATCTGATCTGAGAAGCGAATGACGCTGGGATGCTGTAGTGAAAAGACGTGCGCCGACTCGGATACAAAGGGACTGGAAGGCGGCCTTGGCTGTGGTGGTTCAAAGCCTTGGAAGTTGGGTGGCGCTGATATCGATGTCAAAGGAGAACCAAGTGACATGTCTCGGACGTCAGATTCACTGGCAGATTTTGTCGAGCGATTTATCCATTTGAAGAAACCCTTACTTGAATAGCTCTTTCGTGAAATCATAAGCTGGCGCTCTGCCCAGTAACCCTGTGGGAACCAGACCTACTCGAACCCATCGCGAGGAGGTCTTGGAGGGTCAACGCCGAACCCTGAGGACTCGACAGATTGTCGATTGAGAGGACGAGGCGTAGTACCCCCTGAAGTCAACGGAGACGAGAATACATTCTCTGGCATCGAAGGTAGACTCGGCTGGTGTCTCATAGTATTATCATATTTGGGACCGGACGCAAAAAGCGAAGGCGGAGCGAGGGAGGGGGACGCCTGCGTTCCCAGCGGAACATTGAAATAGCTAGAGCGGTGTTAGAATAAGCTACAACCGGTAGCATGAATCAAAAATACTTGGGCTCGTTCATATTATGATAATTCGCTGGCAATACTGGATCTGAACGAGATGATATCGGCATGGCAAGGCTGGAGAGAGCACCCCTTGGAAGAGGTTATCCCTCTGTCGAGAAAGATCGACTCAATAGGGCGGTATTATGTGTTTGCAACAGACTTAGGTAAACAATCAGGTACATGCATAAGAGTTGAAAGCAGGTGATAAGGATAAAGAAGAAGCACAAGTTGTTCTGTAGGAATGTCCAATTTTGTTTTAGGAAACATAGGTGATTAGGTGTGTTAGTAGAAATAACGAAGATGGAATAACAGTGGAAAAGCTAGCTTCTGGCGAGTGGGTGCTGTTTCGAGTAAACACCACGATGTCCGTGGCTGCCCCTTCCTTTCTTCCTTCCTTCCGACCCTTAGTATCACCGGCGCATGATAGCGATGGATATCCCCCACAACAGACTTCAAAGACCTTTACACTACTAATCAAGGTAGAGCGTTTACTCATATGCATAGAACAATTATTGAAAGTAAACCGCCAAGGGATCTTTTATAAAATTGGTATCGAGGTAGGCTTCTAGTCTCCAACAGACTCAAATCTAACTCAACTCAATGTCGAACCAGCTTACAAACATTTTAATACGCCGTACGCCATGTATGCACCCATTCATTAGAAACGCCATTCATCAACTCCATTAGTCGATGAGCATGGTATCATCACCATCCAGCGTTGGGCCTGTCTGCTCGATGGGCACACCACGACCTCGTCCGGCCAACAGCTCTCTTCTCACCTCAGGTCCAATAGCAGCGTGACCGTGTGTCAGAAGAAGATCAAGTAGGGCCTCGCGCTGGTCTTCTGTCACATCTCCCTTGTAACGCTGGGCGAAGGCAAGCAAACACTGATGCCAGATAACGGGCAACTTGGTCTTGGCATCACCCTCGTTGATACCTGACATGGTGTCGCCGGCCTTGACTGAAGCAGGGTCGACACTTCGGAATCGCAGGAAGTGGAATACCAGAGCATCAATGACCTGGAACGGGAGTGCGTACTTCTTCTCGAGAAGGGCCTTGATGAAAATGTTGGTGGCACCTCCACCCTCGGTACCGTGCGACGCCTCCTGGGCAGCGATATCACACAGACCCTTCAAAGCAGCGGCTGAGTGAAGGACAGGGATCGAAACTCTCACCAAGGCAGCGGAGATGATATGGGCTTCTCGAAGTGTACACGTCCCGCTGCCAACGAGAGGGAAAAGGAAACCCTTAAAGAAAGCAGCAGGCTTGTAAAGAGCTTTCTTGAGCGAGTTGAACAAGTGAACGTTGAGCTTCTTGGTTTCGTAGATTTCCTCACGGACACGGTCGAGAATGACCATCTCCATAAATCGCTGGGCCACTTGAGGCTTGCTTGAAATGAAGATTCTTGTCATTTGATAGCAGGCGTTGGTCGACCAGCTCTCGGGTTGGGTGATGTTGACCAGAGCTTCCCAGTTCGGCACTGTTGGCATGATTTTCGCAGGCTTTGGCAAGGGACCGGACTTGTATCGCGCAAGGATTTGACCAACCCTGAAATTGTTAGCTTCTGTCAATCCACAGCAAATAATGGCTTAGCTTACTTGGTGTACACATCGACAACCTTTTCGGGCAGCTCAAACTCTTCTTCGTCGGGGGGTCCCAGGTTGTTCTCACGTCGCTCCTGCGCCGCCTCGTGGGCAGCAATCTTCTCCAGAATCAGATCTGCAAGGTTGACGCTCTCGCCCTGCTCCTCTCCTGTGGGCTTAAGATCCCAACCGTGCTTGAGCAAATCGTCATCCTCCTCGTCGGGCATGAACTTTCGGTACATGTCAAGGTCATTGGGATCAACCTCGATCTCCTCAACAACCTCGTCATCGTCGCCCCAAGCCTCATCGTCGTCGTAGACCTTGTTTTCCTCCTCAGCCTCGTCGCCAAATCGCGAGTCGTAACCAAAGTTGTCGATAGTGGGTTTAGCAGCGACAGGCTTGCCAGCATTCTCCTCCTCGGCCAGCTCGCGACCGATGCGCAAAATTGTTCGAGAGGCGCGGTCGTCGACAAAGTTTTCCCCCTCATCATCGTTACCCTTTGATCGCTTCTTGGAAGGCTTGTTCTTTAGGATACCAGTGGCAGTGATGTCGTCCTCCAAGGGGTTATGTCGACGGGTCTGCCGCATGGCAGTAGGAGTAGTGGCCTTGGGCATTTTGGGCGTATTGAACTTGGAGATGTCACAATGTGGGCGGACTGGGAGTTGCAATTAGGTAGAATTTCAAAAATTTTGCCTTATCGATAAGGACCCCTCTTGCTTACCTTGGCCTAGTGTGTGCTCTGGGCTCACCGCTTTCAGAACGACGACAACAACCACAAGAAGATTGACAATAGATCAATTAAACCTAAACAGATCGATGGTTTCTGAATAGAGTACTTACACCGGATTTCATATGAAGAAGACTTCCTTAATACTCAATATCTATACACCCGGCCAAATGTCCATTGTGGCTGCAGGGTAAGTCAGGGCAATATTATAACCATAAGTTGACGATGTATTCGTTTGTGAATCATGATGAGATTGTCCTGATAGGTAGGTGTATAGTAGATGCTGAGGAATACTTGGTTCTGAAATTGTCCAAAAGGTATGAACAACATATCAGTACACTATATATACGAGATCCAGCCTGTTTAATTTTGCTGTTCTCTATTTATAGTCAAATCGAGAACATGAAGGTCGCATGTGACATCCATTGCTTTTATATATTCAATTCTTAACATGAACCGACCATTGGCTCATGTTTAGTGGAACAAAGAAATATAAATATGCCACATCGTGTGACTATAAAATCCCAAGATCGGCCTACAGAAAATTATGACAAGCAGGTGCTGGGTTTTGCCCCGCCACCATGATGACACAAAAGAGACCCTTGGAAACTTCTTCAGTCTGTGGGTCCGCGCTGAAAATTCACAAGCAGCCACTAAAAATGACGCCCAGCCTACTGAAGCAGCGATGACTTCAGGCTTCGACCCCTACTACTGTCATGCCCCTCCAAAATCGTCAACCAACTCTAAAAAATCACTCCAACAACATTTGTTCAAGATACCCAAGACAAAGACAAGATGCCGACTGAACTAGAAGAGGTATATGGCACTCGATGCTCTATATAACGAGTTGAGCTGACAAAAGTACCCTGTAGCTCGTGGGCTTCATCGCCAACCCCAATGCCCAGATTCGTCTGCTTGCTGCTGAGAATCTGGTTCCCTACTCATTGTCGGAACCTAGCATTTTCAAGACTGAGAAATTTCAGCCGATCAAGCATCTCAGCTTCTTAGTTCGCGACCACCCTGTAAGCATGGCCGTAAAAGGACATAAAAACGTGCGTTAAGTTAACGGAATCATTAGAAAATTGCCGAACATGCTCTCACAATGCTTATCAACCTATCTGGTGACGAAGAGGTGCTTAAATTTCTGGCAACAGACGAAAAGTTCCTAGGAATCGTCTTTGATCTCATAGTGGTATGTGTGATAGTCTGGAGTTACCAAGAACAAGTCACTGATCTAAAATTTAGAACCCTGAGGAACCAAATGCCAACTTGCTAGCCATGCTTGCTGCCAACCTTTCCAAGTGGGATGGTCTGAAAGATTTCCTCAAGAGAAAGCAAGAACCCCCCAAGGAGCTGGGCTCAGACGAGATCGTCCTCAACCAGCTCCTGGATTTGTTTGTCAAGGGACAGGATGGCACATACAACAAGAACGCAGACTTTGACTATCTAGCGTACGTTTTTGCTGATCTTTCCAAGCACGACGATGTTCGAAAGCATTTCCTCGAGGAGCAGGCCTACGACAAGGTCATTCCTCTTACAAAGCTCAAGGTCTTTACCGAGCACAAGTCTGACATCCGACGTAAGGGTGTTGCCAGCACTATAAAGAACGCTGCTTTCGAGGTCAAGTCCCATCCGTCTTTCTTGGCTGACGATGCGATTGATATCCTTCCCTACATCCTCCTCCCTATCATGGGTAACGAGGAGTACGATGTTGATGAAACTATGGACATGCTGCCTGATCTCCAACTCCTACCACCCGACAAGAAGCGAGACTCAGACAACCAGAACATACAGACACATGTGGAGACGATTACCCTGTTAACGACGACACGCGAGGGACGTGAGCTTATGCGCCGTGTCAAGGTTTACCCTGTCATTCGAGAGACACATCAGCGAGTCAATGATGAGGGCGTCCAAGAGGCATGCGAGCGGTTGGTGCAGGTACTGGCACGAGATGAGGAAGGCGAGGGAGAAGATGATGTCAAAGAGGCAAACGGAGTCAAAGCTATCGAGGATAAGCCTGACACTGCCAATGGCCGAGTGGAAGAAGTCGCAGATGAAGATGATCAGCTTGTTGAGGTTTAAACCCATTTCTTAAAGATGTTGATGCTATGGTGTTTTTTATGAAACGGATATTGGACAAGGCAAATGGAAAGTCGAACTGGGCAAAAAAGTTGTTGGTTTGATTAGAAACGCCGGGCCCTAGAACAGGACTGGCAATGTTGGAAATTATGAATATATGTATCCAAAAGTAACGTATATAGATAGACGTGAATGCTTTACCAAAAACGAGTGTTGTTCCGTAACCGACTTAACCCGTGGTATCACCACCCCGAAATGCTGCGCTTGTTAAAGAATGTCCTGCCACCGAGTCTAGATATGTGCCCTATGATCCGACATGATATAACCTCCAAAATATTAGAAACGCCGCTTTGCAAATAGCCACCACCCAACCCAAGTGTGACTACTTTGTTTGCCCCATGTCTTCCTCGCTCTCCTTAAACATACTCTTTCTAATCGGGCTTGATGAGGCCTTGGCTGTAAGATAGTCCCGACCGGGCGCCTCGTTGGCACTGGGAGGAGACACAGGAACAGGAGACACTGCTGTATTAAGAGGAGGCGATGAAGGCGTGAGATCTGCAGGAGGAGAAGGAAGGATATCCTCTGTCATACCAGGGAATGGCGGCGAAGGCATGTTGCCATCGTCACTTCTAGGGCTTATAGGGCTTGTAATATGTCGGAGAGCAGAAGCGTCGCCTTCAGAAATACCAGACACATCAGATGCTATCCGAGGCGGTCTGCCACTGTTTTCAGTGACACCAGATACATCAGATGTCATGCGAGTATGACCACCATGTCCAGCCGTAGGAGAGTCGGGTTGGGAGATATGTGGCTCTGTCGACCTCGAAACTGTACTTGCGTGCTCTCCGACAGAGTACGAGTTGCTGGATGGGTTGGACATGGAACGAGATTTGTTATCAGAGGCAAAATGAGAGTACTTCTGTATGATATCGATTGGCGAAAGTCCTGTGTCATGGAGCTCGGGTGGTCGTGAGGTATCTGGACCTGTTAGCTTCATATTCAACTGGTTCGAGACGATATTCGCAACTTACCAGCCATCTCATGGATCTGAGTGTCAGCCACCTCAGCAGGCGAAGAAGTATTGGCAGGAGTGCCCACTGGGGAGGGCGACAACCCAACGACCTGTGCAGTAGAGGCCATATCGGTGCTTGGGCTTACAGGGGTTTCATCAGTAGTGACAGTGGGGGCCTTTTCGTTATATTGACCTCGGATCCATGATCGGATTCGTGACCCCGGGTCTTCAGTCCCGTAGTCACTGTTGCTGTTCCTGAAAATCCTGCGACGGCGCCAGAGACAGAAGACGACCAAGATACCAGTGACAAGCATAAGTCCAAGAACAACACCCAGGACTGGCGCAACCCACTTTGGAAGACCAGAGCCACCACTGCCATCTTGATCCTCGTCACCATCGCTTGGGTTGTCAAGCCTAGGCCTTCCTGTAGAGGTGGCCTTGTTGTATGGCCAGTATTCCTTGATCTTTTTCGTGTCGTACTCTGTATCAAAAATATCCCTCAGAGCAGAAGTAGTCCAACCTCCCGCAGGAGCGGTCACTGTTGCACCACCAGCGGCATCGCCACCAATCTCTGATTGGATCTTTTCATGGACGCCGTAATCGCTGTATTCATCAGGGTCGTAACTGTCCAACCATTCTCCACTGGTAACATTGAAGTTCACCACCGGGCCTTTCTCAAGGCATGTAATCTGGGTTCCAGCTAGTGGTGTGTAACCACCAAAGACCAGCATCTGGTCAGGATACGGCATGAAGCATTTATGTCCTGCGCGAGCATGAATCGATTTTCCCTCGTTGATCCTGACCCAGGTGAAAGACGGCAGCGAGAGTACCCACACATCATCACTGAATGCTTCTTTCACGTTAATCCCATCGAAACCGCCGTAATAGAAGATGTTGAAGCTTGAACGGTCTGAAGCTGTAGCTACTACGGCGCAACCCCGTGTTCGTGCCCCAGGACCGTCCTTGGTTTCTTGCTGATACCACTTGTCATTTTCAACGTCGTAAACATCAATGGTTTGCATGAATTTGGGGCTCTGTTTCTTCTGTCATCGTGAAGTTTATGTCAGCGTTAAAATGTACGATGTATCATGTTTGATGTTGCTTACGCTTTCTTCCTCGTTCGCCGATTTGCGACTTTGTCCCGCCCACTGAGGATAGACAACACCCCCCAGGACAACAAGAATACCTTTCTTGCCAACTGGAACCCAAACGACTTCTGCATTAGCACGTCCCTTCACACCCTTCAGTGTCTTGTTGGTCCAGGTCTCATAGAATTGCTCTTCTAGATTTAACATGATCAGTGTATCAGAGACATTGGTTGCTTTCTTTTCCGGGTCATTCGTGAAGAACTCTCCTTTCGTCGGTGATCGTAAGCCAGAGAAGTAAAACGCGAGGTCTTCGGATGGCACATTCACAGCTCCTCCATATGCGACATATCGGGTAACGTTCTCGTCCAGCTTGCTATCAACAAAACTTGGCTTCCATGTTGACTTATCTGGTCCATACTGATAGGCCTGGTATCCCAGGATTACGTCCTTCGCGGGGGGTTCGTATAGATCGTTGTTCTCCAGGAGATCACCGCCATAGAGGAAGAATTCGTCGTCGTTTCCAAGAAGGGCACCGTCAAGAAAGTTGGGAGCAGCGCCATTACTGTTCCCCGAGCCACCACGAGCCTTGGACATGGCTGGGCTGTCGAGAAGGATACTCGTCAGATTGGTACTTGCGTTAAACGGGGTGCTCAGGTTAAAATTGAGGATGATTCCCGCATCGTTGCCTTGTACGGTCAGCTATTGCAAGGTAAACATATAATGGTATGGCGTACTTGGGGTAGAATCAGTTAACGTTGTCTTGTCATTCATTTCAGCAAACCACGAAATATCGCCGCCATCGAGATATATCATATCGCGGATCATAATTGCTGATTATATATTAGAGATGACCTCCAAGCATCAATCAATTTGCATGCTTACCTCTTGGTTGCTGCCATGTACATATTCCAGAGCTGACCTGGCCATCTTGCCAGTTATTGAACTGAGCGATAGTTGGGCCTACGGCTGTTGCTAACAACGCCCAGGACGCAGTGTTTCTCAACATCATGTCTGAGATGATTGGCTTTCTAAGTAGGCGTCACACAGAGCAGAAGTTTGGGAGAAAGCGATGGTAGTAAGCTGCTACTGGACCATTGCCTATCGTGTATTCTAAAGACTGTACAAAACTCGACAAGCGGGCTGAGGACCAGCGAGTGGCGAATTCGAACGAATGGCAGGGCTGGTATAAGAAGACAGGAAATCTCTATTGAACAAAGAAATAACCTTGGCCCAGAATCAAGATTCGCTGAAGCGTCCAAGCGGCTTAGTAGTCGGCGAGTTCGTGAAAATGTACTGTACATAAACGGGCAAGGATGAGTGAATCAGACGCCAAGGCAAATGTTTGTAAGATGGAAAGAAACGGCGCGGGGAGATTTCAAAACGGTCGGTAAGACTCGTCTCGATGCAGAGATGTAACGCGAGAGTATTCGCCGTCGAGCAAAACGTTCGCCACTGGGTCCGGTCGAGATCGAACGAGATGGGGGATAAGGCTGAGTGATCAGACAGCACATTTGTCGACAAGGGAATGTTGAGTACATAGTACCATCGAATTTTACCCATGAGGTCTAGTGGGTTCTTGTTCGCGATGCAGCATGCATGTCCTCTGGCCCTACATCGTTGTAGTGGTCACAGTCACGGTTTTGGGCTGATGCTGTTCCTAAAGTTATGGTCTATAGCAGGGATAACTCCCATGTGTCTGCTCAGCCTCAATCTTTGCGAGCATTCGTTCCACCAGCCATTAACTAGCAAGCCTGGTGGCCTGGCAACGTTGGAAAACATTCATCCACTTCAGGCGTGGAGTCGTCTGTTGCTGGTGACGAGTGGGTAACAATTGAGGGCTGACATTGAGGAATTTTTGATGGACTTTGGTTAGGATCAGCCTTGAACTAAGCCAGGATGATGAGATGGCTCGGAAAAGCCCCATTTCCTCATGGCATTGGTCACAGAGTGAAAAGTGCAACAGTTCAGGAAAGGCGTATATTCATCGGTACCTTGTGGACAAAGAATCACCCCACCGGTTGGACCAGTTGGCTAAACCATCGGGAAAAAGAATTTAGTTGTCAACTACCTCCTCTTGCAACTGGATACGGACGCGGACGCGGACGCGGACATGACCGAACGGGAGAATTGGCTCCTTCTGGTAAGAAATGTCAGATACTCAAGAGCAAAATCCAAAAGTGCCATCTGTTGAAGGACAAACGAAAGAGGCTTTTTGGAGGCTGGGTTTGTCCGGGTTGGAGAGACAGGGTTGATCTTACCATCTACATCCCTGTCGAAAATAAGCACTGGCACATGTCGGGGAGGAGATAATGTAACGACACCACACCCTCACAGATTCTCTCCGTGAGACTAAGGAGAAAGGTCCAAAGTGATGGTCGGTTCACACATAAAATGCATGTTATTTTGCGCTACAAGGATGCACCTCTTTTTAGACTCCATCTAAAATGCGTTGTCATCCTTCGAGGTGTCTTGTTCTGCTGCAACATGAATGCACTTCATCGCTGCCCCCACAAGCCATGATGAATTAAAAGTCGCGCAAGTGTGTGAGTGTGAGACAAAACGCCTATACCAAAGTCGAGGCGATGAAGGCTTGTTTGGTTATTGACATGGCAAATGAGTGTGGATTTGGAGAACAAAGAAAAAGAGGTTGGGTGATGAATCATTTCAAGTCGACGAAGGACCGTATCTGATCCGAGCACGCACTACATTGACCGACTTGTGTTTGTGGAAGGCAGGAAGAACTCGACTCTACCTTTACTTCCATCAACTCGAATAAGGCTCGACCTGCGGACCACAGCGGGGCTCAGGGTCGACCCAGTGGGGGAGTAAGCTTTGGTGGGTCAGCTAGCCTACTAGCTCAATATGCACCCAAGCTTTCAACGCCTCGTGCTTACATCGTCCGACCGACTTCTAGAGTCAGGTACGCGAAATTCTAGCGGAACTTTGAGTTGATGGTGGTTTAGTTTTATTTTGTATTCAAGCAAGTGATGATCTAGAGATTTTAGAGTTACCGAGTAAAGAGGTTGACATACAAATAGACACAAGGTTAAAGGTACTAAGCTATCGACGATCTCGGATATAAATATGTCTCCACTCGCTCCCGCCCTTACAGGGCTGGATCGAATCGAAGCAAAAAAAATAAAAAAATAACAACTGGTCGTCATGGGGTTCTTTGCTTTGTTTGGGCCATGACCAATCAGATTTCAAATGGCCCTGAGAACATCAGGCTGTGGCGCCCTCCTTCCCGTCCGTTTCACTGTAAGCCACCGACTAAACTTACCTTGGTATCGGAAGGTGGGAGCCTCCATTGGTCGTGTTCAACTACTTTCCTCAACTCGTCTTCGTTTCTTCTTTGGGATCCATCCAAAAGAAGCACGTCTTTGTGTGTCGCACTTGTTCTGCCTCATTGTTTATGCGATAGCCAATCGCTCGCATCAAAAGCAACGTGGCTGGCCAAGTTGCACATCTAATACGGGAAATTCTAGACTGTCAGCACCCAAACCAGTCAGTGTTCTTTGAGATCCGGCTTTGCATTAGCCACAGCATCAATGGCGCTCATCAGGCAGTTACTATTGAAGTTGGAGGCCGTGATACCGCATTGTCTATTATTATCTCCTGCCAACATCTATCTCATCCATCACTTCTGTGTTGTCAATGTCACAATATTACGCGTCAATCCTCGGCTTTCGGGCTAAGGCCTGGTGTACCGTCACCGTTCAATTGCTGGCCATCTCGGACTTGTGGTCCTGTAGGCTGTCATGTGGTGGCTCTGTCGGCAATCCCCTCATGGGTTATTACTGTGATGTGCTGTGATATTGTCCCTTCTCAGCCCCTTGGCGGCCCGTAGCCTTGGGCCGAAAAGTATGAGATGCGCGATAATGGAAAGCGTTAAGGCGCCATGACAAGGAACGTCTTCGAGCGGATCTTACAAGGCCGTGCTGCTTGCTCGATTGGGGCATATTCCAACGGACGTACCCTTGCCAGACCCTTGCTTTCAACCATGTTCAATATGCATTGTTGCTCATGCTACGCATCGCCCCAAGTAAGCCAGTTCAGTTAAGGTATCCACAACGCATCCATATTAGCATTTAGCTCAAGCGGCACACCCGGTCAAGGATATCTTTTGTGAAGACTCTTTGTCCAAAGCCGTCTTCTCTGTAGTGGTCAATCCGGGATCTCTTTCACCTGAGCTTATGCTTGGCTATTGAGTTTGATTACTTCCTTACTCATTCACCCTCGTCATCAGCTCGAGACCCTGGTGATTAGGCTCTACTCGACTTTCACATCTGCTCACCGGCCGTGGAAATACGCTCAAGTGGCTTATCGAAGAGGAAATTAATACCAATTGTGGATGTTGTTGTAAGTGGTGTCAAGTGTCAAGGCACTTTTACTCAGCCCCCAACCTTGACCCGATCCTTCATCATATATCTATTCGAGGATAATACTTTTACACCCTTTGTTTGACGTTCTCTAACCTTTCGGTCAAGCAGAGTAGGGCCTTGACGTTCATTTTACCACATTCATTACCTGGCTATTGTGAGCTTCACGCCGGTAACACTCGCTACATAGAAGACAGTCGCCTGTCATGCGCTTCTCACTATTGCTCAACGTCTTAGGCGTTGCAGCCGCTGAGATTCCGGCTCGAAACGGCGAAAACTTTCTTCATAGACGTAGCGAAGCTGCCACTATACAGCCTACTGCTACCGCAAACAACGAAGTACCGATCCAAGATGGTTATGTTGCTAACCCACCCAACGCTCAAACATATGGAGCTGATGACGAGCCGAAAACATCACTGGCGCAAGTACCTCAGGTCACCCAATCTGTCTCAATCGAGGACGATGCCAAAAAGGAAGAACAGAAGCTGGAGGAAACCAGCGCTGCTGTCTCTGAACAAGGGGATGTGGCCACTGAGACAAGCCCGAAGATGGTATATAACCTCGCATGCAGTTGCAATCAGCCTGCCCCTATTCCGACCATCACGGGAGGGTATACTGCCAATCCGCCACCAGCTCCAGCTCCAACTACAACCAGTCAACTTACAGTGGTCCCGTACCCTACTTACACGCCTCCTGGGCCTGTAACCACGACGACGACCGAGCAAGCTCCAGTGCCTGATCCTACAACAAGTTCAACTTACCAGGCCCCAGAGCCCTCGACCACGGTATCTGAACCTGTAGTACCTTACCCTCCGCCGAGCTCTATATATGAACCTCCACAAATTTCAACCTCGAGCACCGAGGTTTATGAGCCCCCTAGCACAACCAGCGACACACCACTTCCTCCTACTACCACAATTTCGCCCCCTGTCACTACACAGTCATGGTAAGTTACCAAAGGCTCTTTGAAGACCTATCACTAACACGATTGAAGCGCGCCTGGCGAGCCTGTCACCGTGACAAACAAGATTTATGTTACCAAGACAGTCACGGACAAGGTCACTGAGACGATGACTGATAAGGTGACAGTGACTGAAACCCAAACTGCGGCGACAGAGACTAAGACGGTGACCGAAACGGTAACCAAGGGCACAACTGTGGTGCAGACTCAACCTCCTGTTACAGTCACTGCAGATGAAGATACAATCACTGTACCCGGCCCTACAGTTACCGAAGATGGATACACAGTCACTCTACCTCCTGTTACCGTCACTGCAGATGGAGGTACAGTTACAGTACCCGGTCCTACAGTTACCGAAGATGGAGAAGCCGTCACAGTACCCGGCCCTACAGTTACCGGAGATGGATACACAGTCACTCTACCTCCTGTTACCGTCACTGCAGATGGAGGTACAGTTACAGTACCCGGTCCTACAGTTACCGAAGATGGAGAAGCCGTCACAGTACCCGGCCCTACAGTTACCGGAGATGGATACACAGTCACTCTACCTCCTGTTACCGTCACTGCAGATGGAGGTACAGTTACAGTACCCGGTCCTACAGTTACCGAAGATGGAGAAGCCGTCACAGTACCCGGCCCTACAGTTACCGGAGATGGATACACAGTCACTCTACCTCCTGTTACCGTCACTGCAGATGGAGGTACAGTTACAGTACCCGGTCCTACAGTTACCGAAGATGGAGAAGCCGTCACAGTACCCGGCCCTACAGTTACCGGAGATGGATACACAGTCACTCTACCTCCTGTTACCGTCACTGCAGATGGAGGTACAGTTACAGTACCCGGTCCTACAGTTACCGAAGATGGAGAAGCCGTCACAGTACCCGGCCCTACAGTTACCGGAGATGGATACACAGTCACTCTACCTCCTGTTACCGTCACTGCAGATGGAGATACAGTTACAGTACCTGGTCCTACAGTTACCGAAGATGGAGAAACTATCACAGTTCCCGGTCCCACAATTACTGAGGCTGGAACTACTATCACGGAGCCTGGGACCACTATAACACTCCCTCAATTAACTATCACCGAGGCTGGAACAACCGTGACTTTACCCGAGAAGACTGTTACAGAGTCCGGCAGCACTGTGACTGAAGCTGGGACCACTATCACTCTTCCTGAAGTAACAATTACCAGGCCTGGTAGCACTGTTACTGAAGCTGGAACGACCGTTACTGAGCCTGGTTTGACAGTTACCGGTACTGTTACTATCCCTGGAACCAGAATTACTGTTACCGAGACTGGAGAAGATGAGACTGTGACTATTCACAGAACTGTCATCCAACCAGGCGAAGACAAGACTATATTGAGAACCGTTACTCTTCCTGGCCAGGAATCTGTTGTGACGGTATCTGGTGAAGAGCGAACCGTTACAGTTCCTGGAGAGCGCACCGTGGTGACTGTGCCCGGTGAACAGGCCACTGTCACAGTAGAGTCCGTCGTTACTGAGCGTCTTCCAGCAGAAACGGTGACTCTTACAGAGGACGGAGAAACTGTTGTGACAGTGGTCCCAGGCCCAACAACTGTATACACCACCACATTGGTCATTGGTCAGACCGTACAGCTTCCTCCAACCACCGTTACTGCTATTCCCGGGCGCATTACTCTGTGCCCTAAGCCTACAGGCAGATCTGCGCCGCTCGACCCCAAATCGGATCGCACGTTTGGCTGTGAGCCCGGGTACGTCTGTAACCCTCCCAAGCCATCGTGGTGTAACTTTTGGGCCGAGCCACCGTCTGATGACTACCTATGTGAGCCCCAGTACTGTATCAAGGCTCCTAAACTTAAGAAGCCTCAATGGCGCAAGAATGAGACTGAGTACTATCCACGATCTCCCGGATACTTTGATCTGAACCCTGAGGCTTTCGGTCTTTCTTACGACATTTTCGAGAAGCAAGTCTACGAAAAGGTCGTCAGCAGTGAGCTCAAGACCTTCACAACGGGCAACTGGGCCTCTCAGACGACCTTGAGTGACTGGCCCGATGCTACTACCTCGGTGGCAGAGAACTACGATTACGCTCCCAGTAGTAACCAGCGACGTGGACTACATATGTTGGAGACAAGAGACGTTACTCCGGCCATTTGTTTCGATGATTGCAATGGCGCGTACAGAATTGCTCAGTCCGTTGGAAAATCAGATAGGCTTTGCAACGACGGTTCCTCGTTCCGTAAAAGTTACGGCGTTTGTCGAGAATGCATCAGCGATAACTCTGAGGGGACTAAGAAAACTGAGCGAGACTACGTCGCACCTAAGTTCCAACAGTTCACCGAATTCTGTGACGGTAAGGATACTACAAGTGCCACGACAGCCGCGCCTGCCCCCGAGTCTCAGGTCACTGGAACTCCAGACGTGGAGACGGAGAGTCAGGTCGAAGCTACCTCGGGCGGATTTGCTGCCATCACAACCGCAGAGGAATCTGAACCTGAGTCAAGCAGTGCTGCTGAGCCTCAGTCGACCGATGATGCTCCCGAGCCTACTTCCGCACAGGAAGACAAGACCACGGATCAGCCTGAGCCTACTTCCAATGCCCCTGTTACCACAGACGACTCTGATGCTGTTTCTACGGACGATTCCAAGCCTGTCTCTACGGCAGCTGATTCCACACAAGACTCAGAGCCGACTCTGACAGCAGCTGGATCATCTTCAGATGCATCACAGCCAACTACATCTGCGGAAGCTGCCGAACAGAGTGCCAATACGACTGAGAGAACCGAAGCGACAGAGACTGAAACAGCAGCTGAAGAGGCATCAACCGACGGGTCTGAAAACTCTGCAGCTGGTGAGTCCACCACTTTGCCTTTTACAACTAATAGAGTTACCGTGACTGTTACATCATCCCTTGGGGAGTCTTCTGAGACTGATGTCGTTTCTACCATCACAGAAACAGGTTCAAGAACTGCTCAGACCAAGGGTGTCGAGACAGATTCTTCCAATACTGATTCAGAGGTTGCCACTGAGACTGGTGACGCCGCAACTGAGACAGATGGTTCGGGAACTGCTTCAGAGACTGGCAGTTCTGGAGCTGCTACTGAGACCACAATCAAAGCCACACGCTCTGATAAGACTGCTGCTACCGAAACTGAGACAGAATCGGGGGCCGCTGTAACGGAAGCCACAGAAACAGACGATTCAGATGCCTCTACTGCCACCACTTCAGGTGAGAGTGAGAGCGAGAGTGAGACCAGGTCACGACTCGAGACACGCACTTCAACCTCTACGTCAGACGAGACCGCAGCACCTTCAACTGTCGAGGCTTCAGCATCCCGCTTGACGGCCAGCTTTGCCGCTTTTATCGCTCTTCTGTCGATGCTAGTTATCCTCATTTAAACTTCAACACCAACCACCCTTCATTTCACTTTTCACGACACTCATTACGATAATGTCTATTCGACAACGACAGCATGTTTATGTTTACGCTTCATGGATACTCAATGCACATACGACTTTTGGTGAAGGATGATCTTACATATTTGGTTATTTGGCTTTTTGCTACGACACTCTTTTGGCGCATGGCGGAAGGCATATAGAATCAGCATTGGGATACCAGACACTCTTTGATACACATATACCACGGGAGAGAGAAGATTTGACATTTTGAAAGCAGGGGTTAATGGTCGTAGGAGGCCAGTGTTAATTTGATAAGGAGAAAAGAATAATCAAGTAGCATGCGGTTGAAAATTGATTTTTGTATTTATCGCCGCCGCTTTGGCGAGCCGAGCTTTGCAATCTTTAGTCTGTTTTGAGTAGTGTGATGGTTTGATATAATACAGTATGTAGATATAGTACAATTGTCCGCAGTATTGTGGTACAACAAGATAGAGGAAGCGTTTTCAAGTCATCATGAGTTCGTTTGGAATCGTGCAATATTCGATGCAGCTACCAGGCGCACCGGGAAGATATGTCTTTGATTGTGCCTTGTCAATAGAGACCAATATTTGGGGTGATTACATGACTTACTATCTTTTTTTTTTTTTTTTTTTTTTTTTTTTTTGCCTTTTCTCTTACTTTGTCTTTACCAATCACTCAGTCCAAGCTCTTTGCGTCGTATGTAAAGAGGCTCATCCAAATTGCCGGCTTCGAGAGTCTCAAGGTATGCAACCTCTGCATCGACAGTCGATCGTCGGCGAGGGAAAATCACCCAGACACTGGGGACAGGGACAATGAAGAAAGAGAGCCCAAGCATTGTGAAGCTACGCTCTGCTTTAATCCGAGTTGAAGAATAAGTGTAATCTTGTCGCGTGTGACTCAAGACAAGATAAGTCTGGAGGCAAAGATGTTCGGAATTGTCTCAAATCTGCGTTCCAAAAACACATTCCCATCATGGCTATTTATCTGTCAGGCCCTCGGGCCCAGAATCCCAGAACTGGTCCATCGTGAACACTTGCATCCTCAAAATCCCCAAAGCCCTATCGCCATGCCCACCACCTGAGACGGATTCGGCAATGGATAAACACTTAAGGGTTCAGGGCCCATCGGTATGGAATGCAAGGGACACAGAACGCCTCGTGGCGTCTTAGACAAGTGATCTCCACAGCTTTGCTCTAGAACGTGAGCTAGTTTCGTTGGGAATAGCTTCGATTTGGAGATATTTGGAATGCAGAGATCAACGAATCTATTGGTTAGGGCTTATAGCGTCGTGTTAATCTTGCATAGATCGTCGATAGCTTTGACGTAGCTCCTCTGAAAATGGTTCCTGGCGAACGGCGTTGATCTTTAGAAATGTGACGACACTGGCGGCTGAATTTAGAATTGATCGTGAGATATGACATCGTGGGAAGCTTGCAATGCTCAAACAACAAAGACATTTCTTGTCTATCATTCATGAATCACAAGCAGTATATAGAGAAGTTCATCATCGCCAACGCCGTCATTCCTGCTAAGAACGCTCCTCTCAAGTTTGTATTGTTCTTGGCGGATGGGCATCGGAAGGACATTTCCCCCATGATGGTCCCAAGCAAGTCAAACAGAGTCACATTGTCAAGAACTTGTTGGACCATGATGAAACTTCACCTTTCATCTAAGACATCCTACGAACATATAGGACGCACAGATTTCGGTAAGTGAAACGATGACTGATCCTGAATTTCAGTCGCACCTCAACAGCAGCGTTCGTGACGAACTATGTTCAACTACAATCGCCTAATCTTCAAGTTACTAGCATGTAATCTAGGCTGGCAACACCCTGATACTGGTGACTGAGGCGGTTATGACAACGACGGTGAGAACTGTGTTGCTATCTTGAAAGACCTCGGCGAGTCCCTTGACTCTGCTCTTCATCCTGACAACCGGGTTACAAGTTCAAGAGTCCGTTCGTCCGACCTGCGTGAGTTATATGTCTACCATCCCTTGAATGCAAACATATTCATGTTGATCATTTGTAATCAGGCCCAAACACATCCACACGTATTCCAGTACCCTGAGAAATTTCTACAAAATAAGTAAATCCTTCGTCTTCGACGAATAGATTTTCACCGTCGTGATACATGAAATCGACTACCTCACGGCTGACGTCCATTCTTAAAGTGTCCAGAGCCTCTTCCCCTTCTTCATCCACACGAACAGTTATCTTGGGCTGGTCCGCTGCTTTCCTCTTACGCCAGCCCAGCATCTTTCGCATATCCTGCAATAAAGCGTGGTAGTCACCATAGTCTAGAAGAAATATGAGAAAGCTCAACTCGACCGACATGACTGTCATTGGCAATTCTCCAAGAAACTCAATAACGTCGTCCTTTTTAACATGGAAACGGGATAGGCCAAAATGTCGAAGTTGGTGCCAGTCGTTGATAGGAAAGATACTGCGTAGAGGAATCACATACCGTTCGACATCTTCGTCATCGTTAGGGTCTTCGAGAATTGCGATATTGGTATAAAGACTAATATGCTGGGGATCCGGCGCCATAGCAAGTAAATTTCGCAAATGGCCACTGCGAAAAGAACGCCCATCAAGCTGGTACAGAGCGGCGCAGTGTAGGGAGAGGTCAAGATGCGGGAACCCAGGCTGACTTAAAATAGTGATCAAGTCGCTCCTCTCGTTGTTGTTGTCGGGTCCATCGAAAATACGACAGCTGATCCCAGTTCGGAGTTGATTGGTATCGACGATTAGATTTGTAACTTTGCTTCCCGGGTTGTTACGCAAGTGCTGGGCAAGGATACGGCTTACGAGTAGATAGCCACGCCACTGGCCCCCCATCACAGGCCAGCTACGCTCAAGAGGGTATACAAGCCCATGGAGTGATCTGATTGTGGGTGTGGGATATAGCGGTCGTCCAGGCACTCCATGAGTTGCGGGAGTGATTGTTACTCTTCTCAAAATCGGAAGACGCAGGAGACCATACTCAAGCGCATTGGCGTCTTTGTTTGTGATAATCTGTAGATATACTTGAATGCTTCTGCTGGGCTGGGTGGATTTTGAAGAGACTCCTGAGCGTGAATATAACGTCTGTTATAGTATGAGTGTATGTACCAGAGGTTCTCGCGGTAAACATCAAGATACCACTCAGGAACTCCTGTAACGTCGCCGATGTCATCCTCAAAGTCAGACATCGAGCCACCATCCATGTCATCTGCGTGGCCGAGACGTGCATCATCATAAATGATTTATGTGACATCATGTTGATAGATTTCATAGTCTACAACTGCTCTGAACACCTGTATGTCGCTTAAGTTGGCTGGAAGAAATAGGCGGTTGATACGCGGATGTGCAATATCTTTAAGTACATGTTTGGCGTAGATTCTTAATATCAACATTGGGCAGTTCCGATATCATTTGATTAAGGATCTCGCCTGAAAGGTATTGGAAAAGCCCAGATAATTCTCGGCTGTGGTCGAGAACGGCCATCTAATTAGAAGAATGGACGATGAAGTTGTGAAAATTTAGTTCAAAGATATGAGTAGCTAGTCTGCTTCACACCCACATGGTCGCCGTTAGGGTTGATGAAATTACTATTCAATGGCCAACTGCAATACAATTGGCAATGGCATCGTGGGAAGATTGCAAATGCTTAAACAACAAGGGCCTTTCTTGTCTTTCATTCGCTAATAGCAACAAGCAGTATTTAGAAAAATTCATCGTTACCAACGCCGTCATTCCTGAACTTGTTCATGCACGTCACATCTCGTTTCATCAAAAGCAGAGTCTGTATGTATCCAGCTTGTTTGCCTCCCATCCCATCATTCAGTTCTCGGGAAAGTCATGTCTCATTCCACAACCAGTCCTTCCAGTACGTGCATGGCCCTTGAGCCCTCGCTCTCGAACCGGCTGACTATGGCTTCACACTCGTGCTTCAGCTGCTTCTCAGCCTCTGAAGCGTTGTGGTAGATCCACTCCTGCACTGTCATCTGCTTCTCCGGTGATGTCAAAGTCTGGCCCTGCTTAAGATATCTTTCCAGGCCATTCTCCTTATCCGAGTCCTTGAGTGGTGTTCCAAAGACGGTATCCAGATCCAACTCCGTCCATGGAGCAGTGCTACGAAGTCCTGCAATTATGTTGCGTTTGGATGGTGAGAGCTTGGAAGGCGATGTGCGGGTAGGTGTAGTGATGACAGGCGCCAATGCCACTCTCTTGGGGTTGGCACCGGGCGTGGGTCTTGATGATGGTGGTTCGTTCTCGGCATCTGAGGCCTGAGGTGATTGAGAAGGGGAGATAGCTGCTTGTCGAGCTGAAGGGGCAGGGGAGATGACTCTTCCAGGGGTAGAAGGCGGGTTAGCCAGATGAGCTGCGCTGGGCGGCGGGGATGATGGCACAGGCGATTGTTGTGCTGACTCCACAGAAGCAGCACGATGAACAGGCTCTTCAGACGCATAAATCTCGACATCTTCCTGCATGCGATCTTCCACGGGCTGGCTAAATGGCTGGGTTTGCTCTTGGCTAGCCGCGGCTTCCAGTGACTTTCGAGCCTCCAGCGACTTCTTTGATGGACGACCACGACCTCGTTTAGGGGGCGCGTCACTCAATTGGCTTACATCTGCGCCGACAGAAGGTCGGGATGCCAATGACACCTTGGAAGGCCTACCACGACCTCGCTTCACGGGTGGTTCTTCAGCGGCTTCAGTGGTGGTTTCTGTTGGGGCCTCTACCAGCTCGATTTCGTTTGCGGAAGCACGAGAGGCGAGAGATGCTTTAGAAGGACGTCCTCGACCTCGCTTGCCAGTGCTCAAGCGAGCTGCTGCTGACTTCTTGACAACGGTATCAGTGCTGGCAAGACTGTCTTCGTGAGCTGGTTCATCAGCCTGGGCTTGTGCTTCTGTTTCAGCACCATCTCCCTCGTCCACTTCTGGCGCGGCTTTTGTTTTCTTCGACTTTGTCTGTTTAGATGCCTTTTTAGTGTCGGCTTTTCGCCCTTTCTTTGGAATTTGTAGCTCTTGATGCTCAGCTTCAGGTTCTGCGTCTGACTCTGGTTGCGGCTCGTCTTCTAGCTCTGGTCCCGTGTTGTTGACTTCCATCTCAGCTTGTAGAGCCTTGAGATCATCGTCAATTTCGTCCTCATCTGGCTCGATAGGCTCGGGATTTAGCATAGCATAGTCGCGTGAATACTCCTGCTGCTCAGCCTTGGCCAGCGAGATCTTTGACATGCTCTCTTTCTTTTGGCGTCTCTCAGAATCAGAGTCAAAGGTCAACTCGTCGTCTTCAGTAAGTTGGTTCTCAAGGTCCGCTTCCAGCTGTCGCTCAATTTCATCATCGTCCGGGAACGTCCCCGGGGTTGCTTCGTGGCCTGTTGTTACCACCTCTTCCACGACAGACGCTGTAGAGACATTATGCGACGATTTAGCTGCAGGCTTGCGCGTCGTCTTCTTTTTACTGCCCTTCTTAGGAGCAGGAGCTTCGGCCATATCTGAGTCTTCATCTTGTACTACTGTAGACTCGTTGACAGCACGCATCACGCGCCTCTTGCCTGGTGGAGCATCTGAAACGGCCATGCTCACATCTTCCACCGCTGAGCTGTCACGCTTCCTCCCTCGGGAAAGCTTAGATGGCTCTTCATCTTGCAGCGACACCTCGGTATCCTCGACTGATGTATCCTTCTTTGCCTTTGTTTTTTGTCCCTTGGCGGTCGTTTTACGTGCTTTTGTTTTCTTTCCGCCTGTTGTATTGGAGCTCGTTGTCATAACGCTGTCGTCTATAGCAGCTGTTGAGTCGTTCATTGAAGGCGCTTCTGAAGCAATGGTCGCAACGGATTGGACAGATAAACGCGACGCTTTGGATGCGCGCGCAGCTTTGGCTTTGCTCGATTTCTTGGTTTGTAGCAGAATGAAGAATGGACAGTTAGGGGATCGGTTGTAGTGCTCGTCGCTGCGCTGTATTAGTCGTTGCCGTAGGTCAAGACAAGTTGCGATACTCACAGAGGCTTGTCGGTAGGTTCCCAACCGTCGAGAGCGAGTTGGCAGTAGGTGCAGGTAGCCATATCGTCCGACTCTTCAGTTGGCGTGTACTTCCAACCGGCGTCGACTAGTTGCTTAGTTTTACATTTCCATCCCTTTTTGGTATCGTGGGGCCATCTGCCAGCAAATGTTGCTTTTCGAGCTTCCTTCATGTACGGCTGATCTGGGGCTTGTTGCGCAAAATCTCCCACGTTTGATTCGATCGCAGCAACAACTGCCCAGCCGCATTCGGGAGCATGCGTCAGATGTTCGACAAGGGGGTCGTCGTTGGCTTCCCAGCCGTCAAGGCCCTTGTGGCACAGGAAGCATTGCGCATTATCGGGGTTTTGTGGTGTTGGGTTGAAGAAGAGTCCAGCGCGAGCAAGCTACAGGACTGTCAGATATTATTGGTATCGAGGCAGGTTTTTAACATACACTATCGGGTGTAATGGTCTTGTGAGGCCAGTTGAGAGCTTTGGTGCCCCGTCCACTTGCTGAAGATCCTCGCTTTTTGGAGTTTTTCTGGAAAGAAGCTAATCGGCTCTCGTATGTAATGAATTGGTCGGTAATATCGTCGAAAGACATGGTTGTAGGTAGGTTGCGCGTGAAAGCGCGGTCAAGGGTAGCAGCTCTTTAATCAAGACGCGATGCGTCGGCAAAAGGTCAAGTTGGAGAAGTCGCAACGAAGCAGAGGCCAAGAGAAGAGAATAAATAGAAGGAAATCAAGAAGTGATTGCGCTCATGACAGGGTTCGAATACCGCTTAACAAATGCAAGTCCACGCGTCGTACCAACAGGTATCCTACCTTTTACCTTGTGGTATAATTAATGGCGGTGGGAAGTTGTTGTGTGGAAGGAATTCGAGATGCTCGCTTGCTGCGACGGAATTGATCAAGCAAAAGAGGCGGTCGAAGGGTGGGACCTGGCGCGTTTGTTTACTTTGGTGGGTCAGTCAACCCCAGAGACCCAAACATGGATTCTCTTAGTATTACCCCCAGACAATTTGACAACAAGTACAGATTTTAACGAAAAGACATCTCGCTTGTTTATTTACATGGGTTCCTTCGATTCCACCGAGCTGTTATGATCTATTATTAGCAATTGATCTGATCATGATAACCCAGGTGTAGTGTAGTACACTAGGTAAGTATATTTTACGTTAGTAGATAGATATCTACAACTTGCAGAGATGTAAAGCCAATCACAACATCATCTGGTTGTCTGTTTCTCATACCAAATGCGATCTGTACCTGCTCGGCTTAACTCATCCTATAACTTCCCTGCTGCTTTCAATCCTCGCTCGCCATCCACCAAGATGCACCATCCCTCATGACCTCGCCCACCATCTCCGGCAATCACGGCTTCGAAAGTTCCTGGAGAGTTAGCAAACTTGAGAACAGCATCGTCAAAGCTTCCAGGCTGAAGCCAAATAGACGGGATTCCCTTCTCCTTGGCCTCTTGAAGCACCTGAAGAGTTGCTGCAGGTGGAGTAATGACCGAGAGAGACGTCTCGGTAGGGTTTGGAAGAGCCGTCACATTGGGAACAGTGGCATGGTCCTTGTTCAGCGCATTGATCGTCTGTGAGCCCGGGTTTATGGGGGTGACTGGTAGGTCATGATGAAGATACCAAACAAAGACTACATAAATGAGGCGTTGATGAGTGAAACGTGGTTCCATATAAGAATGAACAGGTACACCTTACCACGATGACCAAATTTGGCTGGGTTGGAACTGGCGCCCGCCACTGCGTAGGCAGACGAGGTAAAGAATTTGCGAACAGCAGCCTCAGTTGTCATGTTGAAGCGTTTGTATATGTTTATGTTATTTTTGAACTTGAATAAATGTTCTGTGACGTTGCAAGAATATATGCGATTTTGCCGAGGATAAAGGTTCCCATACTGTGGGCGGGGTTTCTATTAAGACGCCATACAGCTGATCACTTATTAAATACCCGGGTTGCGTCACAATGTCTACCTTAGTACTTGCCTATGTAGGTATACAAGATTTACGAAATCGAACAATTAGACATTACTTATGTAGAGTTTCTAAATTTGAGGGAGACCTTCTTTTGAAAGGTTATACTGCTTTTCTAGTTAACATCTATTCGGGTGAAGATATTTATTGGTATATCTACAACCTGAAAGATACAGACTGGGCCGTCCACCGTTGGTTGGCGTTTCTGCATGTCCGGCTCGTCCCGTAAGTCTATTTAGAACTCTTTGTTTAATGTTTGCCATCAAATTGGTAGAATTGACTATGGGTGGCTTGACAATCCCATAATATGTTGGTTTGAGAAAGGGTATAGGGTAACCGTTTTACGACCACGAGCACGTTGGATATCTAACTTAGTACTTATCATAGGACGATCGAGATTGCTCGCTAATAAGCGAGATCTGTGATAAGTGGTATGTCTTAACATCGTTTCAATCGATCTCGGATGGCTGTTGCTTGCCAAAAACCAGGGCTGTTCATCCCAAGGTCATGTCTGTGAAACCCGCTTCATGAGAAGAAATTAAGCGAATTGAAAACATGACGTCGATAAGAACAAGTGCTGTATGCATGGCGGAATATCTTTGAGCAGAAATGATAGCGCCGTAGTAATGAGCGGTAAGTATATCATGCCTGGAAAGTTGTGCCTGGCCTCATCTTTACAGGTCATAGGCAGAGACTAATCGTAAGGTACTAATGATTGCTAGAACCACTATGATACTTTGGCTGAAGCATTGTAACATTGGTAACAGTTTAGATTTGTGCAAAAATATCTAGATATTGTTTCATGATAGTAGCTGCGGTACATAATTCGTAACGTGTTTAAAAGCGTCTTGCATTATTTACTCCAGTTTCAATAGTTTCACCGCCAAACGGCGTTAGTAAAAGTGGACAAAATAAAGCGGATACATTGAGATGTTTTCATCTGTAAAGTGCTCAGTTTATTCTGCAGGTGGTGACATGGCTCAAGTTGACCCATGGACTGACCCCGTTGCCCCGTCAGTGTCTAGCAAAAGACTCCAGGGAGGCCAGAGCGTGGACAGGAAGTGCGCATGGAATGTAATCTTGGCCCTCTTTTCTATCTTCTTCATCTTTCAACCTCTCAACACCATTTTTCCATTCTCAGAAACCATCATAACGACGTTTTTATCGACTGCTTGTTGCGTTACCAACTCAACCAGCCACAGAACAGAACCACCCCTCCAATAACCTACCTAAAAATGGTGAGCTCCAGTTGCCCCGGACACCCCTTTATTCGGATGCGTAAACAATGCACCCCGCCTTCTGATTCGACGGATTGCCTTTTGCGTTGCCCGAATAGTTGGAAGTTGGCTTTTTGCTTGTCAAATCAGTTCAAGTTCAGTCTTGATTCTCCGCATCTTGCATCTCCTTGAATATCACAACATTCGCAATCGCAAACTTCACATACCACGCAACTCTCATTATACTCATCATAAGCAATCATGTCTAACAACAAGTTTGAATCGCAGGCTTCTACCAACTACAAGGAGGCTTTTGCCCTGTTCGACAAGCGCGGAAACGGCCGTGTCACTGTTGACAGCCTCGGTGATCTTCTGCGCGCCTGTGGCCAAAACCCTACTCTTGCTGAGATCCAGGACCTCGAGAAGAATGTTGGTGGCGAATGTGAGTAACAAACATGCCCCTGCGACGATAAACACCAGAGCTCATGCTGACGTTTCCGACACAGTCGACTTCGAGACATTCCAGCGCGTGCTGAACCGCCCCGGTGGTTTCCGCGACCCTGGCGAGCCTGAGGAATACTGCCGCGGTTTCCAAGTGTTTGATAAGGATATGACGGGCTTCATCGGCGTTGGCCAGCTCAAGTACATCTTGACAAACCTGGGCGAGAAGATGACCGACGAGGAGGTCGACGAGCTCCTCAAGGCCGTTGACACCAGCTCAGGCCAGGTCAACTACACTGGTACGTACAACCCCAGAAGAGCAGCAACGGTTCGAGCGGCGACTGACATAACACAAAAATAGACCTCGTGCGAACCATCCTCGCCAACTAAATACTATAAAGATATGGGCGGGTTAGGTTATGCATCGACGTTGACGGACCGGCGTTTGCTTGTTTGATTATGGATATGGATGGAATCGGCTACGGATACGCCGAAATGATGAATTATTGCTGCCCTTGTACGGCGCACTAGCATGTCTGGATTTTAAGTAGATAACTGGGAGGCGAGTAGGAGTTATGAAATAAAGCTCTATATGTCTCAACTGTTTATATGGTACAGGCTGTATTTTGGTTGTGGTGGAGTTGGAGTTGTCATGGATCCCGTTGGCAGCTCAAAGCTTCCATGTCTGGGTCACATAGCTTGCCTCAGCTTTGGAATCTCGAAATTCTCCTTCTTTTCCCCAACTGGTTGATATTGACAGTGATTAACAATGGCTATTATGTTTTTGTTATGGCCTTCATAGTTTATGCATGATTTACTTTTCTAATTTTCTTATTAGCCGCTTTGATCATGACACAGCATCCGACTGCCCCGCGATTTCGCTGGCCTGAGCGGGTCCAAGTGGGAGCTCTAAGCTGCACCTCTCAATTAACGCCCCATCTTGCTACATCTACAGTAAACGCCTTCTCAACGCCTTTGACGCCTAGACACGGATCAATCGAATTAGAAAAGACCCCTCTTTCGACTGTAAGTCGTCTCAATTTTGAAACTCGACCGCCTTCAAACCAATCGGCTGACCTTCCAGGTAACATTTACATCCCATCCGTCCATCCAAGCTGGACAAGCGTACTTCATCCAGGCCCCTCCTCCTCCTCCTACTCTCCCTCCTCTTCCTTCTCGTCGCTGTAACTCTGGCTTCTTCAAGAGCTTTCTCCCGTATTGGCTCTCTTGCGAATCAAGTCAGATTCCAAGCTACACGAACAATTCTATCAACAAGACAGCTCATGACTAGCACCATGGCTCCCGACAAGTATCGTAACCCTCCCCAGGCGCCGCCTCTGTTCACCGCCACCCCCGAGTCGATTGCTGCCGACACCAAGAAGCTCTGCGATGCTACTAAGGATGCGCTGGACTCTGTTGCTGCCAATGTCACCGCAGATAAGGCCTCTTTCGCCAACGTCCTTGAGCCTATCCTCATAGATGAGAATTTGGCTGCCACTCAGCGTCGCATCTTGACCTTCTACCACCATGTTTCCACCAACAAGGAGCTCCGTGATGCTTCTACCGAGTCCGAGAGAGTCTTCAATGACTTCGGTATCGAGTGTAACATGCGAGAGGATATCTTCAACGCCGTGGATGCGGCTTTCGCCAACCGAGCATCCCAGGACCTCACTAAGGAGCAGGCACACGTTCTCGAGAAGGAGAGGAATAAGTACATCCGAAACGGGCTTCGTCTGCCTGCCGGCCCCAAGCGAGACCGATTCAAAGAGATACAGAAGCGCCTGAGCGAGCTCGAGATTCAGGGCCAGACAAACCTCAATGAGGAGAAGGGTGCCATTTGGTTCACTCCCGAGGAGCTCAAGGGAGTTCCCTCGGACGACATTGACGTCGACTCGCTTGAGAAGGGCACTGGTGAGAACGAAGGCAAGGTCAAGCTCTCGTTCAAGTACAACCATTACTTCCCTCTTATCAAGTATGCAATTGATGCCGACACTCGTCGCAAGTATACTGTTGCTGAATCCAACAAGGTATGATTCAATCGATATCCCTCTATGAATCCGAAAGACGAACTGATTTTCCAGGCCAATGTAAATGTCCCTATCTTCCAGGAGATCATCACCCTCCGTGACGAAGCTGCACGACTTTTGGGTTACGACAACCATGCAGCCCTGCGCATTGAGGAGAAGATGGCGAAGAGCCCCGCCGCCGTTCGATCTTTCCTAGATGACCTTCGAACCCGACTTGCTGAGGGTGGCGCCAACGAGATCAACGCCCTCAAGGAGTACAAGAAGAACGATTACGAGGAGCGCGGCCTATCATTTGACGACAGCTTCTACATGTGGGACACATCCTTTTACTCCCGAATCCAGAAGGAGAAGGAGTACAGTGTTGATGAGGCCAAGATTTCTCAGTACTTCCCTGTCGAATCAACATTTGCCGGCATGCTGAAGATCTTTGAGGAGATCTTCGGATTTGTCTTTGTCGAGCTTACCCCCGAAGAGAGAGCCAGACTGAGCCCCACAGGCAAGGCCGAGGACATTGTGTGGCACGAGGATGTCTTGATTTACAGTGTCTGGGATGACGAGGCCTCAGGCTCAAACTTCAACGGCTACCTGTACCTTGATCTTCACCCTCGTGACAACAAGTATGGCCACAACGCCAACTTCAACCTGGAGCCTGGTTATGTCACCGAGGATGGCAAGAAGCACTACCCTGTTACTGCCCTGGTCTGCAATTTCAGCAAGCCAACTCCCAAGAAGCCATCCCTGCTGAAGCACCACGAGGTTGTGACCCTGTTCCACGAGCTTGGTCATGGTATCCACGACTTGGCTGGTCGCACCCGCTACAGCTACTTCCACGGAACCTCCACAGTGCTCGACTTTGTCGAGGCTCCATCTCAGATGCTCGAGAACTGGTGTTGGACTCCCAGCGTGCTCAAGTCACTTTCTAAGCACTGGGAAACAAAGGAGCAAATTCCCGACGAGCTTATCGAAAAGCTTGTTTCTACCAAGCGTCTTAACTCAGCGATCGGCGCACTTGGACAGCTAGTTATTGGCCTGTTTGACATGACTGTGCACACTCCTGAGTCTCACGAGGCTGTCAAGAAGCTCAACGCTGGCCGAACTTGGAACGAGCTTCGACATGAAATTTCCGGCACCAAGGGACCTGAGGATCTTGGAGAAGGACTGTACGTATCTATTAAAACCATTTGAACAACTGAGCTAACTATTTACTAGGGAATGGGGTAACCGACATGCTGGGATCGGCCACTTCATTGGCGGATACGATGCTGGATACTACGGCTACCTCTATTCTGAGGTGTTCTCGCTCGACATGTTCCACTCATTCTTCGCCAAGAACCCAATGGACGGTAAGGAAGGTCGACGCTACCGTCATACCGTGCTTGAGAGAGGTGGAAGTATCCCTGAGATGGAATTCTTGAAGGAGTTCCTGGGCCGAGAGCCTAGCTCGGAAGCTTTCTACAAGGAGCTTGGGCTCTCTTCATCTGCTTCTTAGGTCAATTGCAGTTAATGAGTAGAAGAGAGAATACGATTGACGAATTGAAGAATACGGGAAATTACGCGAGCGTGCTGAAGATCGGAATGTTATTCATGAACCACGTGGTAGTGTCGTACAATGATGACTGCGGATTCTCCCCCCTGGGTCCTGCAGTGACATACGAGAATGGAATCTCGTATGTTGCAGCTACCCGCACGTAGATCCTGTCACCTGCCCCGAGCCTATAGACTGTCCATGCAATGACCGCACTCTAATGCTTACTGGAAACTGCGAACATGCTCTAGATGAAAGGTTGGCTGCATGTATTTGTGTAACTTAGAATTATCGTCAAGTCGCCATAGGGATATTCAGGGCTGTAGCAATCGCTTTTATTGACTGATTGAGAATAGACACTAGATGATGAAGAAGTTATCCAATGTAACCACCCGCTACCTTGGTGAATAGATCATGTGCAATGCAGGTTTCCATTCTGTGAAGTAATATCTAGGCAGTTTAGCTCGAGTAGTTCGCCCTGTTTGTGGTTAGATGTACGGTGACAAGGGGTAACCTTGGGAAATAGACCGAACGGAGGGCAAAGAAGAGCATAGCGTGAATTTGAAAAACGACCAGTAATTTTGGGTTTAAAGATAGAACTCTTACAAAGTGAAACAAACGACTGCTAATGACGAATACCAAATGGTGGCAAAGAAGTCACTCTTTTGAGTTTTTTGCAAGCTGACGAATTTGGACTCGATGGGTTATGGTTACATTTATCTGGTGGAGTCTCTACTATGGTCTGATATCTAGGATACTCGGTCAACTTCCTGACCTTGATGAAGCCCGTGTATCTCGTTATCCTGTATTGTCGATAGATCACCAACTACTGGAAGTGGGAAGAACTCCACGTCCTATTAACTAAGAAACTGATAGAAAGTGGCATCATCCCAAATATCTCGAATGTAGTCTGAAAGATCGTGGGGTATTGAGATTCAGGCGCGGAACCGCATCTCCGTTCCCCAGCCTTTGATGTTGATGTTCTGGATCCGGGTAAGCTTTACAAGCAAGCTGACTCGTGGAAAGGATTTAGAGAAGCTTCTAATCGGACGATATGAAGTTGTCCAGGCTGAAAAAAAAAACCGGCGTCGGATCTCCGTGAGCATGATCCTTGCGGCCACCCTCATCACTAGTTTGCCTGTCATATAGCAATGCTACCCAATATGACTTCATTGCAACTTGGAGAAAATTACATAGTTAGTGCTGTGCTTAGAAGTACCGGAGACTTTACCGGCCGCTACGGCGTTGTGCGGGCTTTAGCCTCCGCGCCCCTATCGTGCAGTGCATCAGACCACTCCAACTCGCTTCGGTCTTGAAGTATGATAGAGGAAGAGGGGGAGAGCCAATAGCGTTAGAGTATGTAGTCTGTACAGTAGTAAGAGTGGAGGCCTTGCCATCCGAGACTAACGCGGGGGTTGCCATCTATCTTGATTTCGAGATATTAGAATGAGATGGGAATGATGAAGGGTTGATGGATCTGCGGAGAAGACTGGGAACAATTTGGGGCTAACAACTCTCTAATCATGGATGGCTTGCGCGGGGGAACGGGTAGTCTAAAATAGTGACTGCGGGGAAAGATGGGGTAACTTGATGGGGTTGAATGAGGGTAGATGTGATGTTGTTAAGGTATTAGATTATTACTAATTAATACATATAATACCTGATAGCTCTTTGTTACTTTGAGATGACCAAAATCATAGTTGTGCTGCCCTGAATGAAAAAGCCAATTGATATCTGCGAGTCTCACAATAAGAAGAGCCGAGTATACATCACTGTGATCCACCATTCAAGTCTAATTACACCCTGCAACTACCCGCGCTGAAATTTACCAACTACATTTCAGAGTGATGATCTAATTGCTTCTTCATGCTGTGCCAACAACATTGGCGGCGTGGCTGAAGCGAGAAGGATAAACGACTGGATAAGAGCTATTCCAGACTACATTCCAGAAATGAACAGCCCCAAGCCTCAGTATGCAGGTTCCCTAGCGTCCCGTCACCGTATCTCTCCAACACGTTTTTAGCGGGCTGATGTTCCAGGCGACATGACACTTGATTCCTTTTTGATAGGATCCCCGGTGTTTGCACCGTACGCTTCGGATTTGCCGCCGGGATTGGACCGTGCTTGCCATGGTAAGCAAGAGGAAGGGTGTGGTTGATAGGTCAGTAGGCATATCAAATGTGGTAATGCAAGACAGCGACAAACAGCGGATCCGATGCCAGCGGCAAGATGGAAAGGATAAAGCTTGTATTTGTTAGCGTAGTAAACAAAAAAAGAAAAATAGGCGGGGAGACGAAACAGCGCCAAGGGTTTTGAGATGTGGACAAACAGTCAGAAACAAGTACCCGAGGATCTCTTTAAGGACATGTTTGCGTCTGTGTAAGCTCAAGCGTGCGAGTGCGGAGCCTGGATGAGATAGATGGGATGGGATGACATGACATGATCCGTCACTCAATACACAAGAGTCTCTACTACTACATATATTGTTATGGCGTTACTTGGTTGTGTATAATCCAATGGTCCTTGATGAAGCACGGTGCACCAATAGATTAGTACAGTACTCGATGGGCCAAGTAAGAATTGGAGAAAATAGATTTGTTAGTCCTTGGAGAATCGTTAGCCTACGAGGAAGTCTAATAAACGAGAATCCACCAGAATACGACCCTGATAACCAAGCAAGAATCAAGCAATTGCATTCTCATCCTGCTTTAACCAAATACCCTGTCCGACTCTTTCTCCTGCGGCTCACACCTCGCACTTGAGCAACATGTCCCAACACTCTCAGAGCGCCATCTCGCGTGGCCGCCCCTCGGACGCACAAAGGAAGACGTACAGTACCACTCTTGCATGCCATCCCTGACGTTACATAACCCATCTGCCGGGCTCCATCATGATGCTTTTCTTTCTCAAGTCACTCGCTGCGCTGCAGGACAAGCCAGGGTTCATATAAGACGATGCATGCAAGGATTGTATTCCCCTGCAAAGGTACCCCAAACCCCGCAGTAGCAGTAAAGAATTGGAATAAAATGGAAGAGTCTTTCTTTGAACACCGGGATATGGCTGCTGTTGCTTTGTAGCTACAACGTAATCCTGTACACCCCTCCCCACTGAGACATAACAGCTTCGTCCCCCTGGTTAGAGGCAAGAGAGATATGCTCAAAGGATTAATGGGATGTGGTTCGTCGATAACTGAAATGTCATGTCGGCTGCAGTAGCGGACGGACAAACGGAAGAGAGTTTCTGGTACAGACTAAGGTGAGGGTTGTTAGTTAAAGTTGAAGCCCAGGGAGCGTGGTGTGGCTGCATACCTCCTCAACACTCCTATCCTATGCCTTTTCCTCCACTGCCATTGTCAGTTCTCGAAAATAGTGCTTCTCTTTGTTTCCTGGCATAAAAATGTGGATGTTTAAATTTCCACATGTTCGGGGTGTAGGAGATGATTGAGGCTTTCCTTGAAGCCCTTTTCCCCACCTCAACCAACTATTAAAGGACATGTTCCCCGTCAACTGCGCGAATGAATACAGTAAACCTTCACCCTCAAAGCATATACAAGAGACTAAGGCTTTGGTTCTCTTTCCGTATACGTTATCAGATCTTCCGTCTCCTCGCCTCGTTCGACACGCAAAGAGGGTTTCGTTTCCCCTATTGCACCGTCACTCCCGCGTCTGGGGTTTGTTATTGTTGTCTCGCATCTTCGGTTGACGAGATAGACAGTACGCTGCACTTGGTTTTGTCTCAATAGTCTTTTTGAGCCTCTCTTTCTTCCTTCTCAGACTCTTTCCAACTGGCCCTCCCCCCTCCTTCCTCTTCTGTCTCGGCTGGTTGCTCCATCCTTGTCCTCCACCAGTTCCTTTCTCCCACGTTTTTCTGACTGCCGCTATCCTCAAAAGAGCTGGCCCTACTTCTACCCTTTATCATCTTCCTCGTGATCCAGAGATACGAAATCCTGGTTCGGATATCTCAAGGATATATCAACATGGGCGACTACGATCGAAGGGAGCCCTTCGAAGAGAAGGCCTTGTCCTCCGAGGTTGATCTCGCCGATATTGACCCCGATGCCGGGTTGACCGAGGCCGAGAAGAAAGAGGCTGTGAGTAGCACACATTATGTAAAATATTGAAGATGAGTTACTGACACGGTTTCAGGAGAAGAAGCTACTTCGAAAAATTGATATGCATCTCGTTCCTTGGGTATGACAACCCTGCGCCATACAACAGCGGCAACAAACTAACAATAAATAGCTATGTCTCCTCTACCTCATCTGCTTCCTCGATCGAACCAATATCGGCAATGCAAAAATCGCTGGTCTACTCGATGACGTGCACATGAGCAATTCGCAGTTCAACGCAACTTTGACCATCTTCTACGTCTCGTATGCCATTTTTGAGCCCCTGGCCAACGTTCTCTTGAAATGGTCCAAGCCTTCGATCTTTATCCCTGCCATCATGTAAGTTCCCATATTAACAAGATGCTACGGTCACGGGAACTAAATTATAGCGCAGGGTTCTCTGGGGAGCATCGATGTTGGGTATGGGGTTTGTCAAGAACTGGGATGGCCTTATGGCTGCTCGATGGTTTCTTGGTGTTACGGAAGCCGGGCTCTTTCCCGGAATCAACTATTACCTATCCTGTTGGTACAAACGATCCGAGTTCGGCGCCCGTGCTGCGTGGTTTTTCTCAGCTGCTGCTCTTGCTGGCTCTTTTGGAGGTCTTTTGGCCGCCGCTATTCAGAAAATGGATGGTGTATCTGGAATTGCTGGCTGGGCCTGGATCTTTATCATCGAAGGACTTCTCACCATCATCATTGGTATCGTCTCTTTCTGGATGGTCCACGACTTTCCTACACAAGCAAAGTTTCTAGACGAAAAGGAGCGAGCTCGTGTTATTTACCGACTCTCTGCCGATAACCAGTCCTCGGCTAAGGACGAAAAGTTCAAGATGAAGTACTTTTGGCAGTCAATCACGGACTGGAAGACCTATGTTGGTATGCTTATCTATATGGGTCCTTTGATGCCCCTGTACTCCTTCAGTGTCTTCTTGCCCACCATCATCCAAAACATGGCCTTCACCGATAAGAAGGCAGTTGTCAAAAACCAGCTTCTCAGTGTACCACCCTACGCCGTGGCAGCTGTCGCCACTATTTTTGTCGGTATCTACTCGGACAGGATCAACAAGCGAGGTATCTTCAATTTGTGTGCGGCGCCCGTAGGAATGGCAGGCTTCATCATGCTAATCGCTTCTACGAACCCTGCGGTGCAGTATACTGGGTGTTTTTTGGGTGCTCTCGGTATCTACCCTGTCATCCCCATTACCATCAGTTGGGTCGCCAACAATGTTGAGGGTGTGTACAAGCGAGGCATCACTCTCGGCTTTGTCATAGGATGGGGCAACCTCAACGGTGTGGTGAGCAGCAACGTCTTCATCAACAGCCCTCGTTTCTACGAAGGACATGGCACAGTCCTGGGATACATGTTTGGTGGCATCTTTTGTGGCAGTCTGTTGATGTATGCCTTGCTTGCCCTCGAGAACAAGAAACGGTTGGCTGGTGAACGGGATCACTTGGTAGAGGGAAAATCTGCCGAAGAGATCCACGAGATGGGCGATAAGCGACCCGATTTCATTTACACACTGTAAGAGTATTTACGATTTATCATGTTCAGAGAGGGGGGATGCCGATTGGTTGTACATGGATTTGTACAGGGTTGTAAATTGAACCACGAGTATAAATCAGCGATCAGTCTGATCGGTCATGTACAAATAGATGCAAGAATACTGTTTCTTCTGCGTCTGTTATTGCTGCCAAGTGAACCAGAGCGCAAGCGTCTGCTTGCGACATTCTTGCACACTGAGATGCGGGTCCGTCTCGTGCCTGTTCATGTTCTGGAAGTAGCTGAAAAGCATCTCATTCCGTAGCCTGATGAAGGATCAGCCAGCCACATCAACTAACAGGGCGAATATGCTGCAACTTATCTGCTGACAGACGCCTCCTCTGATATCCCATTGTAATTGATGAGCTTCGAATAGTAGCAACTAGTGCAGGAGCTAGTATATACTGTATGTATTAGTGTGTGGATAGATAGATGTGCACTTTGCTAGGTTGAGGGGAGGCCGGTAATTGGATTAAAGGCACTGTTTATTGCTGCAGCCACCCGCCACGTCTCATCCTTGCCACACGACCGAGACCTGGGACTGAAAAGACATACAGGGCAATCAAACTCGACTCTGCGCTGAGATGTGTTTCTGTTGGTGGGTAGGTGATGTCACACTCCGGTTCAGCCCACGGGAGCGTACAGCTTTAATCAAAGCGTGGTATCTTGGTGCCCTTCCTCAGGGTATTAGAAAAATTGACCGCTGGAAGCATAAGAGACGAAATCAGTAGGTCACTTTATGCCTCTTAAACCATAGTTCCTAGACTACTTATTTTTATACCCTAAGACTCCGGAGGCCATTTTTTCTGCTGCCCAGTAGCCCTTGACCGCAATTAATTAGATGAGGCTGTCAGGTTTGGTTTATCTAAGAAAGATTTAATCAGGTGCTTCCGTTTCTCTGAAAGAGCTGAGTGTTAAACTTACGAGGCAAATCGATAGTAAAAGATGGCGTACAGTTGTAAGTGTTGTTTGCTCTTATTGTTAACTCATCGAGTACCCCCTGCACTTTATCGATGGCATGAGATGTCAAAACTCGTGGAGATGGACTTGTCGTTGCATCAGCCAGCCACTGCGCGATCCTCCGATGTGTGTGCTTGAAAATAGGGCCAAGTATATATGATAGCCTATATACTCACCGCTTATAGTATGTTATAAATTGGCGGTTGTTGGTTCCCGTGCTAGCCTGACGGCAGATGGGCAGGCTTGGAGATTAACGTTGAGTCTGGGGAAGAATGGTGTGAGTGTGAGAAGGGGATGATTGGTGCTAAGAAGTAGGTTATATCGAGATCGTTGGTCTTGGTGTTTTTGAGATATGACAGTGTCAGTAAGTGGCAGTGGCAGTGAGCGACAGTGCTATTATACCTATTAGAAGAAGTTTTAACACTGCATTGCACTGCATTGCATTGCATCTGCACATGGCTCATAACTCGCCAAGACAGTAATCAAATCGTTGGTGGTAAACATGTAGAGAAAAGTGTTTCGATTCTCGAAGCCTCACAACGTACCAGGAGGGCCAGAAGAAAACAAGACTGGGTTTATAATCAGCAGCAAAGTTAAGTCACATGGAAGCCAAGATGACTGTGCTTGTTTGCTGGGAAGGCTAAATAAACGAAACTGACCAGAAGGAGGAGCAGATAGATTATTTCCTTTCCTGCGAGTGTTACATCAAACACTCACAGAATAAAGAATGAACCTGATCCTTTTCTCATTTAGTCTCCTCATCTCCCTCTCTCCACGAATTCAGAGAAAACAAAAAATCACGGGCCGCAAAAGATCCCTCGTCAAACGGATACTTGCATCCCAAGAGGTGACACCACATCTCGACCTTGGCCATCTTTGGACGACTCATTGTTTCGCTGTCTTCCCTTCTCTCTTTCCTTGCCAGATCTTTTTCTGTTATGCTTCTACATCGCTTAACAATCCGTCAACCTCGTCTTTTGTTTCCCTTTCCCTTACGGAGAGTTACGCAAAAGGGAAAAACCACCCACACCCTCCATCGGCTGCCTACCTACTCGCTCACTCAACCCATACACACTCGCTTCTTTGATCCGTCCGTATTCTTTCTGCTATATATTTACTCGCATCAACTTCTTTTTTTATTTCCCAGTCTTTTGGTCTTTGTTCATTATTTTCTTTTTTGTCATCGATAGAGAGAGCGCCATTCTTTGCTACAGTGCACACTCGCTCTCCGCCCCCTCCCCTAGGCTGGGATTCGGGAAACAATAAAAGCGAAAGAAACAAATTCCATGCAAGTCTTCATTTTTGTGAACAATGAGTCACAAGTTCATCGCGGGGAGAGGATCGGATTTGTTGGACGAGGGTCAGAGAAACATACTCGTGCTGTTTGAGCGCATAGGAGGCTCGGTCAGCTTGTTGGCTGTGATTCTAATATTCATCGCCTACGCGCTTGTACCAAAAGTGCGAAATGTGCAGAACACTTTTATAGTGTTTGCTAGTGTCGCAAATGTCGGTGCTAGCTGTGCGAGTATCATCGCCATGGATGGACTGGAACTAGGCGTTTCTTCGCCTCTTTGTCAGGCGCAGAGCTTCATGTTCCATATGTGAGTTACCACTTCTTCGCTAGCGGATTTCCCATCACTGACAGACATTCCAGGTTCATGCAGTCTGATCCTTGGTGGTCACTAGCCATGGCTTTCAACGTCTTCCTCGTCTTCTTCTTCCGCGCCAGCCCAGATTCGTTCCGTCGGTGGTGGTGGGTGTATTGTCTCATTTGTTACGGTGGCCCTTTTGCTATTGCCATTGCGTTGCTTCTGGTTAGAAACCCGAGCCGCGGCCTTGTGTTTGGTCAAGCCACTGTAAGTGCATATTCTTGAAAAAAACGGGTGACTTAAACAGCTAACTTGAGTGATAGATCTGGTGCTGGGTTAACCGGGACTGGGAAAACATTCGAATATACACTTACTACATGCTCATTTGGGTGTGTATTGCTGGATCGCTCCTCTTCTACTTCATGGTAGGCTATCATGTTTTTCGTAGTCGGAACAGGCTCAAGAGTTTGTCTGCTTCCAAGAGCAGAGAGCCAGGCCCTGCTAATCCATCTCAGGCCCAAGGCGTAAGAAATCGTCTTTCACATTTATGGCACATCACTAACAATGCCTCGATAGCTGCCGCGAATTGACTTGCTCACAGTTCCCCAAGACTGCTTTTATGGAACCGTCGTTACTGATATACAAGTCGTTCACTCAACTGCCCCATCAAATAATCTCTCCGATCCACCGAAGCCTGCTTACACGGCTCACTCGTCGTCTCCTCAAGTATCTTTCGACGAACCATGTATTGCAATCCAAAATTCCAACAACCACTACTTCTCAACCTCGATATCCCCCGGTATCAGTACACAAAGTAGCGAGTCACCCCTACGACGTGTGGTCTCGGCTACGAGCCGAACCTACAGCAAATTCGTGGTTGACGACCCCATCAAGCGGGCTTATTTACGCACGAGCTTCCTCTTCGCCCTTAGTGTGTTGGTGACCTGGATCCCGAGCAGTTTAAACCGCATCCATAGCTGGCTATTTGGCAAGTCTCCCTTCGAGTACCATGTCGCCACAGCTGCTGTGCTTCCCCTCCAAGGACTATGGAACGCAGTAATCTTCTTCGTCACAAGTTGTCGACCACTAAAAGATTGGTGCAGAAACGGCGGAGACGACCATGCCATTCAAGATCGAGAGATGATTCAAACGAGGGACGAGCATGATGAACATGCTGGAAGGGGCGGCGAGAGCTTCCTGGATGACACAGACTCCGGTAGTGACGTTGAGCTGCGACGAATCGGGGAAGCGCCAGGAAAGAGATCTTCGAGCTTATGAGGGCAAAATTGGGGGTTTTGGAATTTGTTTGTATGATTGATATGTATGCTGATGGGATATGTGATCCATAACGAAGGCGATATTGGCCGTAATCTAGACTAGATTGAGCCTCGACGGTACCTTGCTGGCCTAGAGGCCATTGGGCCAATAAAGTTTGCAATCTTGAATTATTTAACCTTGGAATTTTAAGTTTGTGATATAGTTTGTGCGTGCAATGCGAGAAAACGCTTATAAAAACATTGGAAATCATTACATCGAAGCCCCATGGATCACAAGAGTCTTGCCTGAGCTCCCAACCTCTTGTACCACAGAGAGCTCTAGAGCCTCTAATATGTTGTACACCCGAACAAGTAATTCTGTAATTCATTAGTATTGTTACTGCCAACACAGATACATAAGTCTTGAAGCAAACCTTTGTACACCAGCTTGTAATGAACTGGAGGATCATCGTTGGGCCCCGAGATTAGAGGCATTGTTTCAGAAGGTGCAGGGACAACGCTGAATCGTATTCCGACGTCATTATTTTTGTCAACCCAGAGAATGTTCTCTGTGTCACATTGAGTCGGGTCTTGTTTGCTTGCTGCTTCGGCAAGCCATTTTCGAAACACCCGTACGACCCCATCCACTAGGTTGACATGGCTTATGAACAATCCACTTCTGGGTCCCTCCTTGACGAGGTTAATGGCAGCACACAGCTGAGAAAAGAGCTCTCCATCATCGAGATCGATGTCTTGTGTAGCGGTATCATCATCTTCATCCTCAGAAGGTTGTGTCTCTGTAGGCCGTCTACGACCTCTTCTTGGACTCCGGGTCTCGGGTGCAAACACTGGCCTGAAAGAGGAATACAAACGCCGGAGGTCAGGTAGCCGAGGGTCAACTTCATTAATAGGAGGACCGTATTGGGTCACTAGTCCCTGGTAACGGCATGCCAAACAAGGGGCGTAGAGCTGGTCACTTGGAAGGTAGCATTCTAAAATGAGTTTGTTATCGGGGAGGGGAGCAGCATGGATGAGGCGGTAGTGGATGAGGCGCGTGACTATGGAGTAGAAGCGGCGGTTGATAGTGGCAAAAGGGAGGAGTTCTCTGGTTGAGAGGGGAGATAGGGTCGAAGTGAGGATCTGAATATGTTGGTTATCTGGAACAAAACTAAGGCATGGAGGAGCTCACTTCGTTTGGTAGGCTATCAATTGAAGCACCGTGAGACGTCATGATGGGTACTGATAATATGCAGACGGTGGCAGCACCAGCCAAAAAGACAAATCTTAAAGCAAATAAATTTTGATAAATGGAATGCCAACTTATTGGCGTTGGATTATCGAATGATCAAGATGAAGCTTCAAGTTGACAGCTTCACTCGATGATTAATTGGTCTGAAGCGCGGGGGAGGGGCAATTGATTTAGTCAGCATCCGCAACTCCGAATGACGAAACCTTTTCGATGAAGCGATAATGATATGCTTCTTTAAAACGCAAAACCTACCTAAGATACCTATCAATTCCTCGGAGTGATTGCTTTGCCCTCTTTTGACTGGTGTAGTATCTGAGTATGTGACCAAGTAACAATGTGTTTGACCATTGAAAGACAAAGTTACTCTCTCATCTCATTTTGCTTTCCTCTTTTTAAAACTGTTTCCATCATTTAACCGAACCGAGAAGGTGATTCGTGATGTCTTGAAGCCTGGTGTGTTTGGGTATAGAATGAGAATCCATCTATGAAAGAGACGAGATGGTCTCAAGAGAAAGGCACTGCAAGTCATATTTGGAGATATTCACAGGCATTTTCGACCTGATACGACACTCATTACGTATATCTATACACTGAAGCAATTTATTAAAACAATGATTGACTAAAATTAAGTATCTTGTGAACAAAAGCCAAAATGCCTGGAGAAGAACCGGCGACGGACGGACTCCGGAGCCCCACTTTGTGATAAGACCGGGTCCGGAAGTTACACGGAAGCCACTCCACTTAAGTCCGGCCTCAAAAAGAACCACAGTTGATACAAATGGACCAGATTTCGAATGCCTCTCAGATTAGTGCACTAAATGACAGAATCTGAGAGTATTTAGAATGATATTCGTCAATGCAGTAACCTGGGAATAATAACGAGCCCGGAAATCGGAGATTTGAGTCTGCAAAGCTCGAAAGTGGCTGAACGCATACCCAGTATACGGCTATCTTTTCAAGATAGTAAGACCAATACTTGAAACAATGCGTGTATTAATTTCTTCTCAACTGAAGCTGGTAGGCTGGTTGCTTCCCCCTCCTTTCTTTGAACCCTAAAAACTTAATATGGAATCGGCACAACTCCAGGTCAAAAGGTTAAAGACATGCGGACATCGAATTGGTCTTACCGGAAGACATGCCCCGAATAACAAATCAACAGCACTCATAACATCCGATGGCTGAGGAGGAGTGGAGATTTGATAACCATTAGTGATGAAGGCAATTTCTAGAAAGGCTTTGTTTCTCTGGGATGCTGGTGTATAAATGCGTTGAATCCACTAGCATTGCCCTCTGTTGCTTTCTCTCTTCTATCACAACCTTCTGGCCTCTATCCTTCGCCACCACAGTTCTGCAGAAGCCATGCATGCCAACGTTTTGCTAGGCCTTGGCCTCTTGGCCGAGACTGCTTTAGCAGTTCCCTACCCTGCTTCAAAGAAATGTAAGCGTGAAGAACACACATCAGAAAGACATTCGTGGACACAATGACTCATACAAATACCTTCTAGGTTCGACTGAAGTAGTCACAGAGATTGTCACTGCCAGTCCAGTGCTGGTAGCAAACGTTACCCTCACTCCCGTCCTCAGCCCGAGTTCGGATGAGACTACAATTACCCCTAGCTCGACTGACGAGGCTACTTCCACCGCCGAAACAATAGAAGATGATGATGAGGGACAAGGTATCCAAGACGTTGCCCAAAACGAAACGGCTACAACCCCCGGGGGCATGGCCTTCTCAACTTCTGTCCTTGTTGATACACAGACCGTATTCCTTACAGATATGCTCTCGGATTCTACAACCACCTCGGTCACAGTCATTCAATCGTCAACTCTCTTGGTTTCAGCTACTTCAACTCTGAGTACTACCTCGACCGTGTTAGAGACTAGGGTGGCTTCTACCACAGTAATATCTATCGTCAGTACAACTGACATGGCCCTTCTCACCTCGACCACCCTTACTACACATGAGGCCACCACTACTGAGACGCAGGTTGTGACTTCGACTGTAGATGCTACGTCGACCATCCTTTTGACAGACGTTGAATCTACAACTACGACTGAACTTGTTACATCCAATGTAACAAACACAGTGTTCTTCATGGAGAGTTCAGCCACTACCGTAGTCGAGAGTGTTACTTCGACTGTCAACGCTACTCAGACCATCTTTTCAACCGATGTCGATTCCACCACAACCATCGAGACCGCCACATCGACATTGTTTATAACCGCTTCTACTGCTACTATGGAGACAGATGTTACCACTTCGACAAACCTTGTAACTTTTACTGTCAGCATTACAGAGACTGTATTGGTCACAAATCCTGTCACTACTACTTCAACTGCTGTTGTCACCTCAACATCAGTTGTCAGCTCTACTTTAACTATCTTTATCACTGACTCCGTCGAAACAACACAGACGGAAATTGTCACATCGACTGCCGTTGTCGAGTCTACTTCTACCATCCTTACCACCGCCGTTGCTTCTTCTACCGTCACAGAGACTGCAACTGTTACTTCGACTTCAGCAGTCAATTCCACTTCCACTATTTTGAACACTGTCCCTGAGACAGTGACCACAACCGAGACTGATGTTACCACTGTCGCCTCAACTATCTCTACTACACAGACTGTGGTCTCCGAAACCACATCGACTACACTCATAGCTGATACAACAATCAGTACCAACGTTGTCTCCACCACCGAGGTAGCGTCAACTACAGTGACGGGTACTTTGTTCGTTATCGGTTCAAATGTCGACTCGTCAACCACCACTTCCACTGTAATTACTACCATCACTGCCGCAGACAATGTTTCCGACTCAGAAACAACTCCAGAGGCTGTTGCCCTTGTCACGGCTACAGTCACTCAAGTCTCTACCACTACAGTCGCCTCGGAAGAAACCAGTTCTTCCGCAGCTCTTGCAAAGAGATCAGTGCCACCTGTAAGGCCTCAATCTGAAGCTGCGGCTGCTTCTGCTTCGAGTCCTCCACAGGTGGCCAAGTCCATGAACGAGACTACTACCGGAGTTGCCCCTACCTCCGAGTCCGCACCGTCCAACACTATAGCCTTGACCAGTACCACTGCCGCTGTTTCTGCTCAGGATTCTCCTGCTTCGTCCTCTGTTTCTACCCTGTTCGACGCCGCTACGACGTCAAACTACACTAAGGCCGGTACCAGCACGAGTATGACAACAGTTGTCATTTATGTCACAGCTACTCCTGACGCTCCTTCTTCTGAGCCTGCAAAGCCTGTTGAGGACGCAAAAGGCCCTGATACGGCTGCCGATATTGCTACAAACACCACCACTACTGTTGCTGCTGTAATTACTACCAGTGTGGCCACTGTGACTGTCACTGCTGGGGCTATATCTGTATCTGTCTCTGAATCCGAGTCTGAATTGTCCGAGTCAACTATGGTAAGCTCCAGCACGGAGCCTGCCACCACAATTGTATCTACTTCTGTAGATGCGCCAACCTCGGAACCTACCTCTCAATCCGCTTCCGCGCCCACAGCTCAGGATACCGTTGAGTCTACCACGGAACCAGCAGCAGACCCTACCACTGAGTCTAGCTCCGAGGAGCCCATTCCAGAATCTACTTCCGAGTCGGTCCTTGAGTCAGCCACCCAGTCTACAGCTGACAGTACCACTGAGCCTACTGCAGTTTCGGCAGCAAAACCTACCACTGCATCTAGCTCTGAGTCCACTCCCAGATCTACTTCCGCGCCGGCCTCTGAGACAACGTCTCAGCCTACCGTCGAGAGTGCCACTGAATCTACAGGTTCGGCAGCAGAATCAACTACAGAGTCTAGCTCTGAATCTACTTCTGAATCGTCCACAACCAGCCAAGTTCAAGTCCCAGCTGCAACAACATTCACTACCACAGTGACCACGATCAGTACTACAACTGAATGGGTATTTATCGCTACACCTTCTAGCTCAGCAACAGAGAGTTCCAGCACGGTCAACTCGAGCGAAGAGGGCGATTCTGCAACTCCAGCCCCCGCTGAAGAATCGGCCACTTCCACTTCAACCTCTGCTACCACAAGAAGCACCGTTGATGCTGCTCCTGAAGATGGCGCTCCCGTGCCTGATGACCCTATCCCACTCAATTGGAAAGACAAGATGACTCGTTTCCATTTATGGTAAATACACTAGATTTATGAAGAAATGAGGATAAGGAGAGATAGGTTTGTTGGCATGTTCGAAGGAACTACCTGATAGATCTTAGGGTAGGTAAACTAGGAATTAATTGACGAATATTCAGCTATCATACATGCCACTCTGAACATACATAGGACAATTGAAATCAGCAGCTTCAAAATGAGTTAAGCTCAGAATCGGTGACATAGCACCTGTACTGATCATAGATTTCTTTGCCTCCGTTGAATGCAAAATGTTGCCTTATCGAGCAAGCTCTCCCGCAAATCTCGACTGTGTAACTCGGCCATGAAATAACCCCTACGGAGAAAATTCAAATTCCGTAGGTCACACTCCGATAAAGGGAGAAGAAAAAATCTCCATGGATCGTCACGGCGTCGTGAAACCGCGATATCACTTGGTTACGGCAAGATCAAAGTCAAGCATCGGTTATACCTGATGTAACTGGACTCTGGATGAATTCAATTGAAGAAATGTCTCATAAAACTTCCGAGATAACGAGATAGCAAGTAAATAAACAAACGCCTCACCGATATATAGGATAATTCCTTTCACGGTGTATCTCTTCACCGAGATGGGTCCGTTCATACAGAAGACTCTAACCAATACTTCGACTTGCCGAGGTTCAAAGAAGTGACCTTGACTTGTACAACAAACAGATCTTGCAGGTAGAGCGGCATGACCATCGATATTCTGTCATATGTATGTATGTCTCAAGGTTAGTAGCAGCGGCGCCTCATTGTTACCTCTGCAGCCGGGGCTTTGACAGGTTTAGGAAAGAGAACAAAGCACAAGACAAGTGAGTTTATCAGGATGCAGACTCACAGAACTGGTGGGGTAACTGTTTCAAAACAGGGTCTTCATGATACAATCTGCCGTGCCTGGTAAACCTTCAAGATTCGCGGCTTCTATTCCGCTTGAAGTCTGTCGCTATTGTAAACACTACCCACTCACTTGGACTGTCAAGTAGCTATCTTTTGAACACAGTCCAGTACAAGTTAGCTTGTTCATATAATCTGGCCTTTCTTCCGATTCACCATGTACAAAAAGGACTATAGCTATATCAGCAATCATCCAATACCCAATGCTTGTTATTCCAATACAATTGTTGTTATCTAGAAACTACCGACATGTGAGTCAGTACTACCACATAATAATTCCAAGACATGCATCCATGTCAGCTACCCAGAGAGACTGCATAAGTCTTTCGTCTTCCCGTCAAGTTTGTACCATGACATATCAACGTAGCATTCCGTTAATGACATGCATATCGATCCGTTCAACGGCACCGTCCAAGATATTCCGTGGGGGGTTACCTCGGCGCAGCCATTCTCTCGTTCGCAACATATGACCGCTTTTCAACCCATATGAGGAGTTATCTACTCCAAGAGAACAACTACGTCTGTTAAAGTTGTACGAGTTATAAAGATCGGCGATCATACCTGGACCGCGTCGCGCGCAATCTTGTGTGACGCTTATTTTAAACATAGATACAAGAGCTCCATGCAATATGTCAGTAAAATGATGCCACATCAGTAATACGGAGACCATGTATTGCGAGTGACATAAAGGTGTAGTTGAAGTAACCGGGCATGCTCCTGGTCATAGTTGCAGTGCATACACATGTGAATCCGACATTGAAGCTTCCAGACTCTCGATGCACTGCATTAGAGAACGGGGACGGGGAGAATACAATAATCAACGGTAAACCTCCCAAGCCCATATGTCTGGATCTCTAACCCTCATATATGTACATGGTTGGCCTAGGAAGAACGCTTCATCAATGCCACATCGGCTTGATCAGTGTGACAACTCATGTTTTTAGTAAACATGTATGCTCATTTAGAGAGGCGATTCAACTAAGTCTTGTAATACATGTAGTAGCTTCTGGGGACGGGAAAGAGAGCGTGCAAGATTTGATAAGAGTCAGGATGGTAAGTGGCATGATCGCATATGATGAGGAAACAATATGCTGTTTCCTCAATCACACCCTATGCTCAGTCTCAACGTGAGCTGGCGCCTATCAGCATTAATAAGTAGCTGGCAACAAAATTATCAATAATCGAGCAGGACCCCACGTCAGCTGATATGTATTGAGGCCATTCGGTATCCTGAAGAAAACGCGAACGCGCGACAACTAAACTTTAATGCTTGGTAAGCTGGTTTTTGTCAAAGATGCGATGGTTTAAAGTTCTGGCGTAAACAATTTGCAAACTCGGACTGTTCTCTTGTACAAAGAGCTTCATCAAGAGGGAAATGAATATGCAGGAGATGATGTCATCGGGTCATACCGTTGTGTGTGGATGCTGAAATTTGCTAACGGCAATGTTGAACAGATCGAGAATGACGTTAAGAGCACATATGTCAGCAATAGTGTAGCTTGGGCGTCCCTAGATACCCTGGGATAACTGAAACGTAGGGCTGAGCCATTAGCCGTCGTTTGGTTTTGTAGTCGAGGCACCGTTTGTGAGCATGTCGCGTCTCAGCTTACCATGCAACAAGTCGTATTTACAACATGCTACAATCCGCACGGGCATGTCAGACTTGTTCTTATCCTCTAGCCCGACGCATACCAATGCTTATATAACGGCTTGTTCATATCATTCGGAACTAATTCCAAGTATGGTTAAGTCGACACTCTGTGTCAGACCGGGCCGTTCCCGTGTAAGCCATCCGTTGTGGTGCGGAGGGTGTTTTCTCCTTTCAATGATAAGAGCTTCCATGTCCCTGGATTTATGTAAGCCGAGATCCCAGCACGGCTATATGGGTGATTTGTTATTGAGATACTTGTGAGAAATGTGGCTGTACTTTGTTGAAGTAAGATAGAACTGACCCTTTATCCGCCTTTCTATACGTTTGTTGTGATACCACCATCCATACCGATCCGGTGCTTGTTATAATGCTGATTCGTATCTGTCGCCACCTGTCTCGCAAAACTAGTTAATCGTACGTTAGCTTGCTGGCATCGAACGGCAGGTTTTAGAAAACCAGGCATTCCTTTATCTTCCCGATATAACTCGGTATTGTCAACCTAGATGGAGACTATTCACACATGTGTGGCTTTGAGCAAGTTAATTCCGATGCTCTTTTTCTGAGTCCCTCAGTCTTATATGCATCGCTGAGATCTGGGATCTAATCTAACCCCAGTATTGAGTCGATGGCAACTCCCAAAACATGGATTTGTAGCCTTTTAGTTTCGTGGCAAAGAACCATGATTGCCTTGGCGTTTCAGTGCATATGCTTGATGCTCTTTTATCGGGGTGTTTCCCGAAAAGGATAACAATTACTGGTTGGTATTGTCAAAGACAGACAAAAGGGTATCACCACAACCAAGATGTGATGAGTATCGATGGGTATGCAAGGATCCGGTGAACAGATTAGGATGGCACATATGAACCGGGAATTAGGAAGTAAGGGAAGAATCGAAGGACACCAGGTTAACTGGTAAGACCTTTGTCCTCGCAGTAAGCCGCTGCCTTGTTGCTGCATTTGAATCATGTCCATCTCGTCATACGGGCCAGTCTTGTGGATTGGCTTTGTATGACTTAGAACGCTTGGCTTTGACAGCAAGAACACGTTAAATTTTCGTTCAGCTCATGATTTTCTTGAGGCGGGAGGTTGGAGTCACTTTCAGACGCTGGATTCACCATCTGAACACTTTGGTGAGCGCGCATCGGTTCGCTTGTCTTGATGCTCATCGTTTTTTTCTCTCTCGATTTGTCCGGCGTTACATCAACAGGACGTGCGCCTCGGTGCGCGGCCCTGTCAAACTAAGCTCCCTGCACTCCCGACTTGCTTGAGTTGAAGGATGTCTCGGAATGATGGACAGTAGCTCAGCCTTGTTGTGTTCCCAATATCTCCCCGATGACTGGTGCCAAGTGCGTCTTCTCTTCAATGAGTACCAGTGCTCTACGGAAGAGCCAAAGCTTTTGATGTTGATAGACATATAAAAAAACCCCGATTAAGTAGAATAACTTTTAGTTAGATTACCTTGTTCTCTTTTCTTGGTACACTCATCGTGCGTTCAAGCTTCTGGGTACTCCCTCAGTGTTGTGGCCTGATAGCTGGCTAAGCTTTTGAGGGGTTTGAGACATGCCCCAATAAGGTGACACGAGCATGAGTTACTTGAATCCTGCATCGACGCTCGGACATCTGGGGGTATGGTATTGGCCTTTTGACATTTGGGTCAAGGGCCTTCATTTTTTATCCATATTTGGAGGTTGATGTTGTTGATGGCGTTGAGTATTCCTTGATTTGAAGGTGATGCCTTCGGCCATTTATCAAATCACAGCATTATAGGAAATGTGGTGACTGGACTGAATGCATGCTTCAACTGCATGCCAAGTTTCATCGAGGGATGCGAGAAGCCAAGTTTGAAGAGGATTTGAGTGTGTGAAACATCTGCCGGCATTCAGCCCTCCAGGTCGTGAGGGGTATTGATTTGCGTCAAGGAATATTACAGGCTGACATCTTCTCGTGTATGCAGATAAAAGTCATGGCGGTCGAGTCAATAATGCGCGTTTCCAATGGAAGGGCTTGGAATTTGCTGATATGGATGATTGGGAATAGAAGAACAAAAGTGCCAGGCTACTGACCACGTCCGAATAGGTGACGCAAATGCTTAAGTAATCTAAAGCTTGTAATCGGAGAGACTGTTATTGGGGTCGTTACTTCCATATTTTTGTACTGTTCTGGGATTACGGGGGAAGGAACGGGATATATCTGCTACCTGCCACCTGCGGGAAGGTAGCCTTTGGCACCTGGCCTTGTAACCTCATAGTTAGTATCTGTACTTAAAAATACCCTTGTTGGCTTTATGGTTGCAAGCATGGCCTGCTTTTAATCCTGAACCAGGTCAAGACATCTAACGACGCTACTTCTAACTTCCGATAGAATACTTATGCACTGATCCCAAGTCCTGCCGAGGTGTCTAAAATGAATGGATACTGCGACCAAGGCAAAGACATACGGGACGATATGACGAGCTGTACAACCCACGGTCCATCTACTAAGCTCACATGGATGTACATGGATCAGATTGCGTCTATGGGGGGGAGCTGATGGTATCGCGGCCTTGAAGATCATCATGCCGGCTACCAAGCCACTGTCTTGCCGTATGGAAGACAATACCTCCGTGAGCGTCTTGGAGGGTAGGTTATTCTTGACCACGTTTGCTGACTTGTTTCCAAGATAAATTCTCACGTAATGCTGTCGACTGTTGCACGCGGATTCTTGTGTTCCTGAAAGCTCAGCTTTTACTGAGTTTTAATTCATGACTGGTCAAAAACATCATATTATTTTTCTGTTATATATCTCTCAATAATACCTTTATCACAGTTCAATCTCATTTTTTCGTTGAGCATTAAGAAGAAAATGTGGAATGACCAGGGAAAGGAGGTTCGTCCAAAAACTGTTGACTAATCCTAAGGTATCGACTAACTGAAAGCGAGAAGCAACAACAAATGTGGTCGACACACGACCTTGCTTGTGCCCACTGCCGGGCACGGAAGATCAGATGTGGTAGGGAACGCCCGCAATGCGAAAGTTGCAAGCGCGACGGCGTCGAGTGTCGATATTCATCTCCCGGCAAACGTGTCAATCACGTCAAACTCCTGTAAGTCGAGACGCCTTGCCTCTTCTCCAATGGAGCACAAAGGCTTACATACTTATTTGTGTCTCAGGTGCCAGAACTTCGAGACGCTTGAGGATCAGCTGCATAGCATTCAAAATGACCTTTCTGATTTGACGTCACTTGTTAGAGGCGGGAACAGCGCGAGATCTTCATCGCTTGCCGCCGAGGAATGGGCCCCCGAGAATCTTAGTGGTACAGACTCAGAGACAGCAGTTCATACAAACTGTCACATCGTAAGAAACACGTCACAGTCCCTCGACCGTTATCATGGACCTTGCTCGCTTTATGCCCTCTGCAAGGAATTCCATGACGATCCCATATTTGGTGTTTCTGAGAACAACACTGCAACACATACTGCCGTTCCCGAGCATGCAATGCTACAAGAAATGCTTTACGAAGCAGGTAATGAACCTCATTTAGATGTACCGTCTCAGCCAACAGGAATATGCCTTCCGCCCCGACAATTCCTCAATCTTGTTATCGGTCCATTCTTCAAGAACATTGATTACGCCACTGATGTTTTCGTGCGATCGACTTTTCAGCCTCAGATTGATCGGATCTATTCCCGACCTATAGGCCCTTCGGACGAAGGCTGGGCCGTGTGCTTCAATGTTATAGTTCTTCTTGGTATCAAGAGGGAGCCTACCACTCAAGGCAATAGTCGCTTCATTCAATCTCTTCTTCAGACGATGAGAATGGCTATCAATAATCCCCGGGTATTTTTGACACCGAGGCTTGTGAACGTCCAAGCACTTGCCCTTTTGGTAAGACTCTTCTGGCTGGAATCGTTGAATAACGTTGACTTTAAATTTAGAGTTACGTGGCTGAGCAATATAGTACGACATCACTTGCAGAATTGGTCTTCGCCCAAGCCTGTTTGTTGGCACGTACAATGGGCCTCCATCGGGGTCGCACGTCTTCCAATAACCTCCCACCGGAGACTATACTAGAGAGGCTCAAGGTGTTTCAGTCATTATATATCAGAGATAAGAACATCGCCATACTTCGTGGCTCCACTTCTTGGTTACCAGGATGTGAATCTGTGGTCCCATCATCATTAGAAAGTCATTCGGAATCTGCTGAAGTAATGGCTCGTTTAGAGCTAGCAAAGCTTCAGGACGAAGTTTATCGGATTTTTTACGGTACTAGTGCTCCCTCTTTGAGGTTTTCTCGAAGCCAAGCATTGGGTCAATTACAACAAAAGCTTGAACAGTGGGCTTCAATGTACAACATCATGCAGACACCATTCACTTCAGCAGAATCATTCGCGCTTATGCTATCATTTCTGGCTACAAGAATCTGCTTGTTAAAAGGCTACTATGGCACAAAGTCCATTCATGCCTTCAAAGATGCCAAGGCCTGCTGCATTGTCTTTTTGCTGGCCACAGCAGCGAAAAAAGATCGTCATCTTTCCGAAGCTTTGAATGAAACATTAGGTTATCGGAAGAAACGCGAAAAGTCCAGTACAAAGAAGGCTAAAAGGAATTCTCAGGCTGATGGAGCACTGCCTGAACATGGTGAGAACAGGATTTCAATACTTCCTCGTCTAGCTTCAACCTTCCCGCTAGCAGCAGCATTTATTGTAGGAAAGACGGTCATACAACAGCCAATGACAGACGCGGATGACACCCCTAGTCGGCCAGAAGAGGAAATATCACTTTTAGAAGCACTTCGCGATCAATTCGCATCGGTCGCCGATCAAGCTCATGTTGATAATCTTGCTTTGAACTTCAGCAAGGTCTTGGGTCTGTTAGTTCGAATAGTTCGTCAAAGGCAGTCACCAGGGCAAAGCAGTACGCCGTCTACTGCCTACAACGAATTGCCGAATCTGCATTCAACTAGGTCTTCCAGCTCCCTCCATGGCAGTGTTGTAAGTTCCTTTAGAGATACACCTCCAGGCCCCGAGAATCATTCAACAATCAGTTCGATTAGTGGGGTTGCCCCACATTCTTCCTTACTTCTGCCGTTCACCCAACCACTTGAATCCCCGACTGGAGGTTCGCCGTGGTTTACAAACGCTGGCCACGGTATAGGCTTGAACCACAACCCAATTCATGTAGCGTGGCCCAGCCAAAACAAGCGACAGTCCGAAGAGGTGGAACTCCCGGTTAAGAGAACGCGGATCGCTTGTCACGACGATTTCTTGGACATTGGCGCAGGATATGCCGATCATGACTCACGGGCTGACGACGATGTTTTATTTACATTTGATTTTCTCAACACAGGAAACGATATCTCTGCTTTTGATATGAACGAATAACCTACTGTGTGCTTTTTGCGCAGTGGAGTGGTATAGATTCGGCACTTTAGGGTAAACTGGCTGCGTCTCATTTTCCTTCTTACCTTACTGTCCCTGATCTCTCTCCCGACAGTGCAATACAAACGCACATTGCGCTTACCTCAGTCCTTTACCCCTACTACAAATAGACACATCATATACAAAGACGGTTCGTTAATTTTACAGGATTAAAGTCTTACTGTCAAAGTAATGGACTGTGATTCCTGCTATGGTAAAGAAGCGTCAAATATCCATTCAAGATCCACGCCGCAAATTGTGCCTTGAATAGACGGCAAGCCACGCATGTCTTGGCATTCAGTCGTCCAACTTTTTATCATATGAACGATAACATCTAAAAGCCAGGTTGAGGCAATTCCAACGATTTGATCAAGTCCTTGGAAGTAGCTGATCTATTAAACTTGAACATTACGCACTTGATCGAAATGCACACACATTCATTTGGACGCGCCGCCTAGATCATGGACCATCCTTCAGATATCTATATTTGCCTTGTCTTCTACAGTAGTTAGGCTCCAGAGCTGTTAAATTCGTATCAGCAGTGCGACTACTCCCAAGCCGTCGGGCGGGCTGAACATCATGTATCCAATGGAGAATTTAATAATCGCTGAAAGTGATCCTACTCTCAGTGGTCATCATGCGCTGGATGATGTACTTGATTTCTGAAAGTTGGAAACCGGAAAGTTCAAATATTCATTCCATGATCAGTATACTTTTTGGTATGGGGTGGTGGTGTTGGCGTTTTGGCATGCAGAACGCTACGCCTCAAAGTGTGGTAGTTGACACCATGAAGTCGACATATGCATGATTACTTCATTAAAGAGAACAATCAGGCTGATAGGTGTATTAACAGTAATATAGCCAAGAATCTGCGAGATAGTTTTTATCACGTAAATCGACACGATGACGGGATTGGACGCATTAACTGTCAACAGCGGCCCGTACATGAGGCTCATCATAGAATTTAGTACTGTTTGTCATACAGAGTTGGGTCATAGAAAACACCAAAAATAAGGCTGAGCCGTTGTGTACGACACTCAAGAATCTGGTGGTGAGTCATGGATCAGAACTGAAGTCTCGGAGGCCTTCTTTTACCTTATTTGTGTAAAGAGTGTCACAGCAGGTGGTGGGAGTAGGATGCAGTTCTTTGCGGTTACATTGCATACACTGCAATGTGGATGGCGCCGTACTATCCAGTATCATTAGATTCAGGTGTGTGTTCTATCTTTTGATCCTACAGCCACCTGCCAACATTCATCCTTTATTAGCTCTTTTCAACCAGACACAGATGGCTCAGCGCTCAGCTTCTTTCGCTGCAGTAAGCAGTGGCGTCCCCACTTTCTCTTGTATTTATCTGGGATAAAGTCCAGATCAGGCACCCATAATATCCTGGCGAGTATATGCGTGTTTGCAGCATCAAGGAAAAGTTCGCACTTGACAACTTCCCAATTAGTATGGTCCTCGATATAGTCAGGCTCGTTCGATGGTAGAGGATCTGTCCTCAAGGGGTACTGCGTGTCAACGAGGAACTTGCATGCAGGAAGTTCGGTGTATTTGCCTAGGTCCTCTTCATTGCGATCGTTCATACCATGGGTGGGGAGCCAAGTTCCACTGAAGAAACCAAAGCCGGTTTCAGCTTCAGAAAATTGTCCAGGCAGAAGGCCTCTGAATTCAGAACGAATGAATTTGGCATGCATATCCCGGGGTAGGAAGTAAGACGAGGGGAAGCGATACCATTCCTTTCCAAAGCATACAGTGTCTTCTTCCCTGCCAATAGGTGCGCTGCCATCTTTGCCCTCCCACAGGGGAGTGTAGATCTTCATAGGCGCAGAGTAAGCAGACCAGATACCGTAAACTCTGAGCACAGCGATATCAATTGATAGCATGATTGTAATAGTTACAAGCAAAAGCTTCAACTTTGCAGGAACTTTGCCGGCCAGTGTCTTTGGATTCGAGTTGCCCAGAGCAGTCAAGATCATGTGGGTAGAAATAGCAGCGTTGAGGGCAAGAAAAGGGTAAGCAGGATACATGAACCTCTCCTCCTTGTGAGGCTGCGAGCTGAAGATAGCGAGCCACATGTAAAAAGGAGAAAGAAAGACAACAGTCCTCAAGCCGGTTTGGAATCCCTGGCCAGATGGCGAAATAATCTTTTGAAGGATGAAAAGTGGCAGGGCTGCAAGGGCAAGAACAAACCAGAGGTTAAAGTTGAGGGCCAAGTTCTTGAAGTAAAAGGTCCAAGGCTCTGTACCGTAAAGCTCTGGGCCATGATCGGATGAGAAGATGTTGTACTTGACAATGTTCCACGTCACAGAAACTTGCTTCTTATAAAAGAAGAGGTTTACGAAATAGTCGCTAGCCTATGAATGTTAGACGGCAGCTTCAAAAGCGAGCCGCAAGGTGAACTTACAAGAAGGAGGAAAGCTGAAACCACACCTCTACCAATGCGAACAAATGCCTCCCACAGTGCTATCTTGTCTCCAAAGACCAGCAAAATGAGCTCCTCAAGCATAAAAGGCGCGCAAAGTGCAGCAGCAAAAGGCCAGCCAAGGATACCGGCAGCAGCAAACCAGAACATGCCCTGAGAGGTCTTGAGGCCACCACGCCAGTTCATAAAAGCTGCAGCTCCTAGAGTGACCAGATACATAGCGAAACTAGATGGGAGGAAAGCCGTGCTAGCATGGAAGTTTCCAGGGCTCGCAACGGTGGCCATCAAGAAGAATAGGCCAATTCGGCTGTTGAGTGTGGTACTGATTACCATAAACATGATGGTCTGGGTAAGAGCGCAGACAAATGCAAGTCCATAACGAACGAAATAGAATTCGGCGACCTGGGTAATACCCTATCAATTGTTGTTCTCAGTGTCTCGGAAACATGACACTCACCTTGTTGGAGTGAGGGAATATTCGGCGCACATTGCCAACGATAGCATGGAAGGCAATGTAGAGCCAGCTGCGAATGGCATAGTCGGGCGAGTATTCCCATGTCTGGAGACCGTAGCTATGCGATAAGTAATGGGTCGGTTCCCAGTAATTGAACGTCTCGTCACAATCTTGAATCGGCGCGAACCACGCGGACACGAGAGCTGCAGCGAGGAACCAGTAGAAGGCAGAAATCGGTTGCATCGAGTATGCGCTTGGAGCTCTACAATGTGACGAAGCATGGTTAGCAGAGCTCTTTGTAGTGTAGAGCTGCGCAAGGGTTTATATGGTAATACTTTTTCTTAGCATGACTGGCAGTCGGATGCACGAATTGGCGCTGTTGCTGCGCTTGCGGCGCCGTTCCTGGAGCCATCGTGATTGTCGCTGTCGACAGTGAGTTGGAGATGGAGGTTTACAAAGTCAGGAATGCTTTCGTCATGTCATTCATGGAGCTTTCAACAGTTGGGGGAGAGATGGACCCCTGCAAAAAGCACTAAAGTCACTAACATTTACTAAGTGGAGGCGAGTCTCACCGAGGTGAAGGTCGAGAATGGTGGGGTGATAAGCTAACGCGTCCGGATAAGGACCCGCTTTGATCGTTCACCTTGATTTTTTCTTTCCTGCAGCGCTAGTCAGGGTCTTTTATGATGTGAATGAGGCGCCCGACCTGCTAAAACTTTCTTGCCTTCATCTAAACTTTTGCGCCAGATGTCGCATTAAGGCTTTTCAATTTTTCAAGTATTTCTTCATCCATTATTGTTCCTGCTCTAACAAAGGCGTACAACACTATTTGAATTCTGATTCTTGTTAAATAATATATACAAACCAGCACCAGCATGTCGGGTTTCGAGATCCCAGGCCTCGGTCAGGCCAAACCCAACGAGACTCTACCACCTCTCCCTCCCACCGATGTTCTCGCCGCTGCTGCGAGCTTTCAAGATATTGAGGTCCCCGACGCCCCTCCCAGCACCACAAACAATGAATCTGCGCCAGCCACTACAGAGCCCCAACCCTCTGAGGCTCAGTCAGAGCCAGTACCAGCTGCCGACGCGGATGCCATGACTATCGACCGACCCGAGAGCCCTCCTTCTCTTACGGGCGCTCTTGAGGCTGTTCTCGGCGGGCTAGCTCCAGCACAACCCGCGCAAACAGCACAGCCAGCTCCTGCTGCAAACACCGAGACCGTCCCTCTTCAGAACGACCAGGGCGACAACCCAGAATGGGAGGTTGATTCCTCTCCTTATGAGTCATCTTCTGAATCGAGCAGCTCAGATTCCTCTGATGATGATTCTGATAACGAAGGTTACGAGCTACTGGGAGTTGAAGAGACTGCGCGTCTACTGATGCAGGCCGAGGGAGGATCTGACGATGAAGGCGATCGAGGCGCGAAGGGTTCTACTGCTGCCCAGATCCGAACAAAGAACGAGATACCCGAAGAGGTTGTTCCCAAACCCGATGTTACAATCACACCCGAAATGAAGGTCGAAGAGCTGGGCGTCATCGAGCACATCGTGGAGAACATTATGCTAGTAAAGGCATTCACACCTGGAGAGTACCAAGTCCTTGACTCAGGTTCCGTGCTCTGTACAGCTGAGCGGGCTGTCATAGGTGCAATCGCAGAAACAATAGGAAAGGTTCTGCAACCTATGTATACCGTGCGCTTCACAACAGAGCAGGATATCAAGGATCTTGGCCTTGAGGTTGGCCAGACAGTATTTTACCCCGTCGACCATGCCTCGTACGTTTTCACAGAGCCATTGAAGAACTTGAAGGGTTCAGATGCCAGTAATCTCCACGACGAGGAAGTTGGCGATGACGAAATGGAGTTTTCCGATGATGAGAAGGAAGCGGAGTATAAGAGAGCTCTCAAGCAGAAGAAGAAGGATAAGTGGAAGAAAGATCCATCCAAGGTAGGCAAGGAACCTCATCCTTTACGACAGGAATCACGACCGGATGTTGCTTTGAATTACGACGATGACGAAGATGGTCCCTACAAGCCTCTTGCACGACCACCTGGCTATGGCAGCGGTCCTTCCACAACTGAGACCTACGAGCACCCATCGGGCAGAAACTCTAACCAGCGGGGAGGACGCCGAGGAGACTCTAGAGGTCGTGGTGGACGTGGACGTGGATCCGGGCGTGGCGGACGAGGAGGCTTCAATCAGCCCAGGGACGGCTACTCGCTGCCTCCTCAAGGGGCTCATCAGCCTGCCCAGCAAACAGCTCCTCCTGCCGCATGGCCCGTTGCTCAACCTCCGGCTCAAGTTGCGGCTCCAGCCATGCCCAACTTTGGTTTCCAAATCCCAGGCTGGCCTCAGGCGCCTCCTCAAGGCAATGCTGGAGCAGTTCCTCCCCCACCTCCAGGATGGCCCAACGCTCAGGGTCAGCAGAGTGCAAATGGAGGAGCCTTTGTGAATCCCGCTTTCTTCGCTGCGCTCATGTCTACTATGCAAGCACAGCAGCAAAGCGGCCAATCGCCCTGGGGGCAACAGCAACCTCCCAATAACGGCAATGGCCAAGGCCAGTAGAGGCGATCAGGAAATAATTGTTATCGATAAAAAGGCATTGGTGGCGCTAAGGAATTCGCTTTACTGGGTATAGACAAAAGGGCAAGTTATCCAATATCAATCATACAGCGTGAAACCGCCTCTGTTGGCACCAATGAGATGTTTAAGTGCATCTGATAATAATCCTCTTAACAATGACGTGCGTGTATTCTCGTATACAATCCGTTCCTCATGATGAATAACTCCAGGCAAACTATCTCGTAGGAACTGGTTGTCCTCTAAGCATAACTATAAATAAGCGTCTAAAGATCGCTCCACTTGTCCTCCGACTTTCCATCAAATTCATAAAAGCCGAGCTCATAAACAAGACCAAGTGTCATGCGGGCATGCTGGAGCATGTGGTCGAAAGACAGATACTTGATGTTGTCATCGGTGCTGTGAATGTGAGGGTCAGAGTACTCGAAGGCAGATTCAATGACGAAAGCCGATGGGTAACCAGCCTTGGAGGCAGAAGCGTGGTCGGAGCAGGCATATCCACACTTGGTCTCAACCCAAGGAATATCGCAGTACTGGGAATGCGGGTCAGTATAATTATCGAGCGTGGGTTTACGAAAAACATACCTCCTCAACAACGGTCTTGATAAAGGTGGTCAAGCCGGAGTCAACAAAGTCAGTGATGACACCAACACTTTCGGGCTGGCCGGCGTCAAGAGTCTTCTGGATATAGCCAGTCATGTCCTGCTGTAGCATAGCCTTGACATCACGGCCAGTCTCCTCGTATGACTTGAAGATGGCCTGGCTTCCGAGCAAACCACCCTCCTCAGCCGAGTACCAGTGGAACTCAATTGTGTTGGGAGCCTTGCCCTTGACAACATCCTTGGAGTTCAGGAGAGCACGGAACACCTCCATGATGGTGACTGAACCGCTGCCATCATCGTCGGCACCAGGGGCAGCGAGAATGGAAGGAAGGAAAAGGTTGATGGAGTCCTGGTGGGCGCCAATTACAATGGTGCTGTTGGATTGACCAGGAATAGTCGCGATAACCGAGTGCTGCTTCCATGTGTGAGGAAAGCTCTCGGCAAACACGGTATCCTCGGCACCAGCGTCTTTGATGATCTGATTGACCTTTTCAAGAACCCAGTCAGAAGACTGGAGGCCGTAATCGGACTTGAAGTATCGGGTGTGAAAGCTGGTCAACTTCTCGAGGTTGGCCTCCATGTTCTTCTTTTCGAGCTTCTTCGAGAGCTTTGCGACCTCGTCTTGCTTTACGCACTTCTTGGGAAACGTGACAGTGCTTTCGGCGTTGAGACCCTTGGAGCCAAGCGTAGTCGTCTCGGTGATGTCCATGAAGTTCTGGCCGTTCTGAAGGCGTGTTAGTAATCTTCACTGCAACTTCTGCGTGACATTTATGAGACTTACACGACGCATCTCCCACTTCTCTTCCTCAGTAATCCATTGTGTCTTGCCAGGAGCGGTTTCGACGAGAAAAAGCTCGTCTGGCTGAAGAACAACGTTGTCGACCTCGGCGATTTCAATGAAGCGAGCCGACACGGCAGGCAGACAAGCCGCCAGGAGAGAAGCTTGAGAGAACTTCATTATAGATGTAGAGTGTATGGCTCAGTACTATGTTGAATGAAGAAGATGATGATGTTGGAGAAAGGTTGGGCAAATGACGCGCGGAACTGCCTGGAGAGATAAGATCCGAGGCAGGTACAGCAGCGCCATGACGATCACGTAAGGTACCTAACGTAGATGCTTGCCGTTTTGGGATGATGGCGGTCACGGATTGGTCTTGTGACTGTCCGCGGAAGCTTGTATGTGGATACCCGGTTGCCATGAAGGGAGACCTTGCTTTGTTATCATACCGACTTGTCAATGCGCATGAAGGCGATTGATCAATGGATGCTTATGATTTATGGCAACAGTTATCGGACAAGTATGTATTCAAGATAGTTTCGTTAAACAGAGAGTAACTCTGGATATACTTGGTGTGACTCCTTCTTGTTTTCTATGTATTGCCTGGGCAGACTCAGCTAGTGGTAGTCGGGAACGCCATCATGAGACCTTCTGGGGTAGCCTCAAGCTCCCCGGACCTTTAAACCAACACCGCTTCCGCCATCCACATTAGCATTTTATCTTATCGGTGACCGCTTGAGCAGATCGACTATTGTATCTGTGTCAAGAACGCAATTGAATTTAGATTGATGAGGAAGAATCATGTCACAAATATTTTATTCCAGGACTTATGATAATCAAGCGCCACCAACCTCGACTCGATATTGCCTGTAAGTAAAATTCCAGCTTTCGTAGTCCATGGTCATTGGTCCTTTCACTAGGTCTTCATGTTTGTCACTGCGACAGACTAGCTTCAAAAGAGATTGAGAAGTCTTTGATAATACGCTCAATTTCTTTATGTAGATTCTTCGCCATAGCTTCAACGGCTTTATTACTATTCGATACTTCTATTTCGGTTATCCAAGAGCCTTTGTCGTGAGATATATATGAATATTGAAAAAGGCCTCTTCGCTGAGTCATAACTTCTTTGTAACCAGCGAGTGCTTTGTCCCTGATATACTCAGTAGCAGTGTAGTGTACGACCTTTGTCGGATGGAATCAAACCGTGATAAAGAACTATGACGTTGTTCAAGATCAGGTTCACACCATCATGTTTCAAGTCATTAATGAGAGAATCTTTATAATAGACGACACGATCCTTCAGTTTCAGACATATCTAAATACCAATCTCACTATCCATCTCTGCTCAAAAGTATAGCAAAGCAATCATTGAGAACACCTCTAGTCTAATTTCAAAACCATTCACAACTACCATCAACATGGCACCTCACAAATCCACCCTCGAGTCCAAGCCTGCCCCTCAAACACCTATACGGCAGACTCGTGCCCGCTCGAAGCTCAGTAACGCTGCTCCTCTGATGCAAGGTCTTGACCAGAGAGGACAAGCCCAGGGTCCCCTCATCGAAAAGCCTAAGACTCGGGCAGATAGAAAATCTGCCCATAAACGAGACAGCAGTTCGAAGTCGGTTTTGAAAAAGGCCAACAACAAAGAAAGGAGGAAGGACAAGGTCGGCTTCCGAGCCCGGCTCAGTTATTCAGCGACACCTCCCTTGTCGCCAGCAGCTACTTCGCCATCGTCAACAGCTCAGCAGCTGGCGGCACAAGAAGCGGCTGGTTCTTCTGACAACGTCGACGCCTCGCAGGGTCCGTCAGACGGTGATGACTTTAGCAATGACGCCGACGACTCGAATGATGCACCTCCAGCTCAGGACAATAGTAACCATATCCCAAGTGCAGAGGATTCTAATCTGTCAGATGCTCCTGATTCAGACTCTTCTGATCTGTCAAGCCCGGCTCAAAACCATGAGGGCGGCGACGATAGTGACTCTTCAGACAGCTCTACTTCATCCGATTCCCCTGAGTCTCCCAATTCCGCTGGCATTCCTGAGCCCAACCTCTCAGCCAACCAAGGTGGTGCTGGTGGTCACGATCTCCTTGCCGAAGAAAATGAAGATCCCAATGTTTCTGGTTCTTCAGACAACGGAATTCCACCTTCGGAACCCAGTGCTCACTGCAAAGTCTTGACACCGATCAACGTCCCGACAAACACAGATTCATCTGGATCCAGTAGTCCATCCTCGGGCAATTTCAGCCCCTTGCTTCTGCCCAATCCTGACCCGTAAGTCAATACACCCATGCCTTTCTACAGCATACACTGACCTGTTAGAGAAATCCCTGGTCTTTTTGGCTCCGGTGTCAGGGCCCGCCCGCACTATGGTTGGTATGAGCAGTATCACCAAACCGGGCGTGACTGCGCAAAGGTACACGGTTGCACACACAATCCGGGAAGGGTATGCCACAGCTGCCACGCCAATTGGCAAAAGGCGTGGTCTGTATATTTCAAGGCACATGAGGTTCTTGATGAAGCAGTTGCCAATCCAGAGAAATACCTGGTTGATACCGGACTTGATGTGCGCAAGGACTATATGGGACACCTGTTGGAGGGGTCGGGCTGGGAGGTGTTGGCACTGGAATTGCAGCCTCCTACTGGCAATAGCATCCGGCTTCATCCTACACGCATTGCCAAGCACAGGCTGGCTTTTGCTCAGATGGGGGTTGACATGCAATAAGTTGTTTGATATGTTTTGACGGTTGTTGGAGTTTGGCGACATGTTTTCTCTCATAGAACAGTTAGAACCGCGTTTGGAAAGGTTTTATGCAGTATTATCCGACTTACATGTAGTTTCTTCAAATTGCGCCATGGTTTACTTTCTTTTTTGTAACCTCGTGAACCGAGCTTCGCTCATGATCCCCGAGGCTTTGAGGGGCTTCTCATAGTCCCATATCTTCATCACTCTGCTCATCCGACTCTTGGCCGCCGCCTTCCTCCTCCTCTTCTCTTCTTGTTGTTTCTGTGCTTGCGCCGAGCTTTCTCACACCTTCGACCACGCCAATGACGAATCCTCTGCTCTCTGCAAGCTCCATAGCCCCCACACCTCGCAAACTCATCACACCGTCGACTCCGCTCTCGAGCTGGGCTGTACTGGATCGCATCTTGGCGGCTCTGACTTCTTGCAAGTCCCGGAGTAGTGACCGCACTTCTGACGAGGATGCAATATCATCGGAGGCATGTGCAAGAAGCATTTCGGCAACTTCAAACCAATGGTACGGCAGAGCCCCTGCAGGCGCATCCGATGTACAAGATGGAAGAAACGGCGGAGAAAGCACAGTCTCGTTGTCTAGGAAGGGATTCAACCTCCGCGCATTGCCTCGACTATCTGCTCGAGCTGGTGGTGGAGGCGGTGGTGCCCAGCCTTTAGGATCAATCTTTGTTTCGTGATGAACAATGTCGCGTAACGAGTCGGGGTGAAGCCATGGAGGAGGAACGATATTCGCACGTCGTTGTTTCTTTAAAAGGATTGCAAGCCATAGCGGTAGGTTACTTCGGTGCGGTGGTCGAAGGGCTGGTGTCGTGCCCTGTGTAACAGGTCAGCGTCTAGCTTGTGGACGCGACAAAGGACGCGCTCACCGTTAGAAGCTCAATACTCTCGAGTCGTTGACGAGGGACTACAGTAACAAGTTCCATTTCACATAGAAACGCGACCTCGGAGGGGGTCAGCCCCGAGGGTAGTGGTAAAGCCATATCTTTGCAGTTTGGAACTCGGTTCTAAACTTGTCAGATATAAATTGAATGTTTTAATAAAGTGCCCCTCCTTGCCAGAGCTACAGCATGGATCTGGTGTCAAGTTAGTGCCAACCCCACCACTGCCACCACTTAGTGTGGAGATGTCTCTGAATCTTTTGTTCAAGAGATCGAAAATTATATCAAAATTTTTATTATACTGGAGGTATTGCTCTTGACCGTTTGAATGGATAATAAACTCATATTGATACCAATGCAACTACATCATTGAGTACTAACGTTTACTTGTGTGCAAACCGTCGTAGGGTCCAGTGGTCAATGATGGTACATTACAGCCCATAGTACGAATAGAACTATGAGAACCAAACACATTATAGCTCATAATGCTTACTTGATGTTCTATTCTATATGCACTGATCAGAATAGGATAACTTGGTAATCAGCAAGACTCATTCGGCCAACCCAACCTGCCTAGTTCAGGGTAGTTTGTGGCCCACCAACGTGGGGAACCATCATTGAAGGGCGTGATCATCATTGAGAGGTATAAGTTATCAGCTTAGCCATTGGTCATTTTCCACTCTTCCCTAATACAATATTGAATACTACAGTATATAAAGAAGTTTCTAATCTTTGAATCATAGTAACATCCCACAATGGCATCCCTGGAAAACCTCCCTCCTGTCACCTCCCCGTCTCTCATCATCACCAACCCCACCACCTCGGAAAGAGAACGTGCATGGAAAAGTACCCATCTTCAATGGGGTGCAGCACTGAATCTAGAGGATTTTATCGCCCGAGAATACGACAATATTAATGCACCTCTTGCTCGAGATGGTGGTGTGATGAGCTGGATCCTGACTGATGGGACCCTGAAGCCCGACGAAAGGCCCATTCTCTCATCCTGTGAGACTTACAAGAAAAGAGCTCTTGTATCCGATACGAATAACAACGAAAAAGTGAGGGATGGAACTGCACACGGTGTAGCCAGTGTCTTCACTGTCCCCGAGTATCGAAAGAGGGGATATGCCAGGAAGATGATATCTCTCCTCGCCGATGAGCTACGAAGCAGACAGCAGAAGAATGAAGGAGATGCCGACTTCTCTGTCCTATGGTCTGACGTTGGCCCAGACTTCTACGGACGTCTCGGGTGGAAGGCTTTTAAAAGTACATATCTCGAGTTTCCCGTCAAGGACACTCTGCCCCCTGCCAATCCAGCTGTCAAGCCTCTCACTTTGGACGATATCCTAGAACTGGCAGCTCGCGACGAGGAGATTATCCGAAAAAAGGTGGCATCATCAACCTCTACTGTCAGTGTCGCTGTTATCCCTGACGCAGACACCATCGGATGGCATATGAACCGCGTTGACTTCATGTGTAACCGCATATTCTCTCACAAGCCTACCATCCGAGGTGCCTTGTATACTCCACCTGAAGCTCCCAACTCGAGAATCTGGGCAAGCTGGACTTGCAGCTTCTATGGTGGACTTGACCAGCCTGCGAAGAACATTGTCCGCATTCTTCGTCTGGCAATCGAAGATGAGGCCATTTCAGATGAGGCCATTGCCAAAGGCATCGAAGCCATCGCCGGTTTTGCACAGAAAGAGGCCAAGGAGTGGATGTGCTCCAAAGTAGAACTCTGGAACCCCGAGGAGCGTATCAAACGAGTCACGGAAAGCATCCAGTCATTGGGTGCTAAATTCGTCGTCAGAGACAACGAGCACCTCGCAAGCATGAATTGGTTCGGAAATGACCCCAACCAAGAGGTCGAATGGATTGCGAACGAACGATTTGCTTGGTGCTAGGCATTCATCAAGCTTGAATGGAGGAAGTTCATGGTCAACATATGAGTAGAAAAACCAAACAACCAAACTTAGACCAATGAGATTTCTATAAATATAGTCTCTACGATCTATATTCTTTTCTAGTTGTTACAAATTCCGTGACCGGCCCCTTTCCATTTTCATGATATAATCACATTCTCATCAAGCCGTAAACAATCACACTGGTGTATCATAAGCATACCAGTCCAACGCCTTCCCGCTCCCTGACTTAGAAAATCCATTCAACTCCTTTAGTAGCTTCGTCCGAACATAGTCCACTTGTCGGCCTTAGCCTCGCACTCAGGGTTAAGACACTTGGTCTCACCGGCGACAATACCCTCAGGCTGCTCGAAAGGAACACACAGACTCTTCATTCCCATGGTGGGAAGCTTCTCGTTATCAGGGACATCAGGCTGCTCCTCCCGAGTAGTAAGTTCCTTGATGCGGTCCTCACACTTGGGAGCACCGCAGAAGGGAATGAGAACAACGTTCTTGTCGTCCAGGGCGGGAAGAACATCTTCCCACTTGGTGATTTGAAGGCGGTGCTCGCGGAAAGACTTCTCGGCCTTGTTGTACATATCACTCTGGATAGTCTCGAGGAGCTCAGGGACCTTGGTGGTGACATCGGTGATGGCAATTTCTCCCTTTTCGCCAGTGTCTCGTCGAGCGGTGCTGATAACACCCTTGGCAGCGTCCTTGGGGCCGAATTCGACACGGAGAGGAACACCCTTCAGCTCCCAGTCGTTAAACTTCCAGGCAGGAGTGTAGCCCTCTCGCCAATCAGCTGTGACACGAACACCAGCCTTCTTAAGGTTGGCTCGGATCTCTTCAACCTGATCCTCGTGCTTCTTCTTCTCCTCAGGGGTAGTCTTCTTGTTGATTCCGACGGGGACAATAACGACCTGGGTCTTGGCAACACGGGGAGGAAGCACCAATCCCTTATCGTCACCGTGAATCATGACCATGACACCAATGACCCGAGTGGAGAGACCCCAGGAGTTTTGCCAGACGTGGATGTGAGAGCCCTGCTTCTGAGGATCCTCAACGGTGATATCAAACATCTTGCTGAAGTTCTGGCCCAAGGCGTGAGAGGTAGCACCCTGGATACCACGACCGTTAGAGGGAATGTAACCCTCGACAGTGGTAGTGTAGTAACCGCCAGCAAACTTCTCGTTCTCAGTCTTGCGACCTCGGACCACAGGGACAGCAAGAAGCTTTTCGTAGACACCAGCATAAAGCTCAAGAATCTCCAACACCTCAGCACCAGCAAGCTCCTCGGTCAAGTGAGCAGTGTGACCCTCTTGCCAGAGGAACTCTCGAGTTCGGAGGAAAGGAGTTGTCTGCTTGGCCTCCCATCGGACGACTGAGTTCCACTGGTTCAGGCGGAGGGGGAGATCTCGGTGGCTGCGAATCCACTTGGAATAGTAGGGGTACATGACGGCCTCGGAGGTGGGACGGACAGCGACAGGAACTTCGAGGTCCTTGTCACCACTGCAAAAATATCAGTTAGCTGGAGATCTAATGAAGGAACATTAAATGTGTTGGACTTCTTACGCCTTAGTGACCCAAGCAAGCTCGGGGGCAAAACCTTCAACGTGGTCCTTCTCCTTCTCGAGAGACTTGGAAGACAGGAACATGGGGAAATTGGTCTCGTCGACACCCATCTCCTCAATGTGACCTTGGAACCACTTTCGGATCTCATTCCAAATGTGCATGGAAAGAGGGCGGAGAACAAAGAAACCAGAAATCTCGGTGTAGTACTCAACCATCTCAGCCTTGAGGACGACCTCCTGGTACCATTGTGGGAAGTTGTCGGCCTTAGACACGGTGATACCAATGATATCGTCTGCCTTCTTTCCACCGACGACGGGAAGATTGGTCTGCTTAGCAGCCTTAGCAGCCTTATCAGCAGCAAAGCGAGCTTGCTTCTCGGCCTTCTTCAAGGCGCTCTTGGACTGTTCGGCGGCACCCTCCATTTTGGTATAAGTGTCGAGCGTTGACTGGAAGATGTTGAAAGAAATTGATTGAGGGATACGGAAGCTTCAAGACAGCCGAACAGTGGCTTACGCGCCTTTAAATAGTACGAGAAGCTGGGGAGCGACGTTATCCTCGAGGAATGAAGAAGGAGAAGTTTCGGGGTGTGAGTCGAAGTAAACGTCGGTCGTGACCTGTGCCCCGCAGTCGAGGGAGAGTCAAACGGGAAGGAGGGGCACGGCACCGCTAGAAACCTAGCCCAAAATTCAGGCCCAATGCCCTATCAGCCAATGGTAACAGCGGTTGCTCAGCTGCAAGGACGGCCGATAACGCGGCAGGGGGTGGTTTTGGGGTTTAGGGGTCCGTGCTCCTTCTGTCAAATGCCCTGACCTCCAGCTACGGGCGGCCATCCGGCCTGTAACGCACAGCGCAACTGCGAGAGTAAGGAGCGGTAGCGCACCTTTCAGTCGGCGCCGGAACAACGATTGCCTCCGACAAAAAAGTCCAGTCGAGGGGCATAATGGAGCTTCACAGCTTCTACTGTAGCCTGCTGGTAGAATTTCCTGACTCCATCTCTACGACCTCGTTGACGCCACTACATTCCCACGTCGACGATAACCATAGCTGGCAGTTATGGCTTCCATGTTTGAGCAGCCCAGAAACGGCACCCTTTTCTTGGGTGGCCAGAAGATCTCCGGATCCGATATTAGAGACCAGAACGGTATGTCTATATTGTCCCGCCTTTTGCTATATGTTAGGGGGAAGTGGGGGAGGGAACGTTTGAGCATAGTTGACGTTGGTATTTCACATAACGAGTATACATGCTAACAAAGTCTCAGTACTCGCTACACAGGCTATTGCCAATGTTGTTAAGAGTTCTTTCGGCCCTAGCGGCCTCGACAAGATGATGGTGGACGATATCGGTGTATGCAATCTATCCTTCGTCCTGCGCTCGACCGTATCTCATATTTCAATTTAGGATGTTACTGTCACAAACGACGGCGCTACAATTCTCAGCCTTCTCGATGTCGAGCACCCTGCCGGAAAGATCCTCGTTGATCTTGCGCAACAACAAGATAAGGAGGTCGGTGACGGTACCACCTCTGTCGTTCTGATCGCTGCCGAACTGCTACGTCGCGGAAACGAGCTCATGAGGAACCGGATACACCCTACCACTATCATTACTGGATACCGACTCGCTCTACGAGAGGCCATCAAGTACCTGAACGAGAATGTTAGCATCAAGGTTGAGGATCTTGGCCGTGAATCCCTCATCAACATTGCCAAGACATCCATGTCCAGCAAGATCATTGGAGCCGACTCAGAGTTCTTCTCCAACATGGTCGTCGATGCTATGCAGGCTGTTAAGTCCACCAACAACCGAAACGAGACCAAGTACCCTGTCAAGGCTGTCAACATTCTTAAGGCCCATGGCAAGAGCACCCTTGAATCCGTCCTTGTTAAGGGTTACGCCTTGAACTGTACTGTCGCCTCGCAAGCTATGCCCACACGAATTCAGGACGCCAAGATTGCCATCTTGGACATGAACCTCCAGAAGGAGCGTATGAAGCTTGGTGTTCAGATTACTATTGACGACCCTCAACAACTTGAACAGATCCGAGCTCGTGAGTCGGGCATGGTTCTTGACCGAGTGGAGATGATCCTCAAGGCCGGTGCCAACGTTATCCTCACAACAAAGGGTATTGACGACTTGGTTCTTAAGACTTTCGTCGAGAAGGGTGCTATGGGTGTTCGAAGATGTAAGAAGGAGGATCTTCGACGAATTGCACGAGCTACTGGCGCTACCATGCTCAGCACACTCTCTGACCTTAACGGTGATGAGAAGTTCGACCCCTCATACCTTGGATACGCTGAGGAGGTTGTCCAAGAGCGCATTTCTGACGACGAGTGCATCCTTGTCAAGGGTACCAAGGCACACTCTTCCGCATCTTGCATTCTCCGTGGCCCCAACGACTTCACACTCGACGAGATGGAGCGATCCGTTCACGACTCATTGTGCGCTGTGAAGCGTACTCTTGAGAGTGGTAGCATCGTTCCCGGCGGTGGTGCTGTTGAGACAGCTCTTCACATCTACCTCGAGGAGTTTGCCGGTACCGTTGGCTCCCGAGAGCAGCTCGCCATCGGTGAGTTTGCCCAGTCTCTTCTTGTTATTCCCAAGACCCTGGCTGTCAACGCCGCCAAGGACGCCGCAGAGCTTACCGCTCAACTTCGATCAAGGCACGCCCTGTCACAGCGTATCCAAGAGGGCGATGGCAATGAGGATGAGAAGACCATTGCACGAAAGAAGGGTTACAAGAACTACGGCCTGGATCTCGCCAAGGGCAAGGTTGTAGACGAGATCAAGATCGGTGTCCTGGAGCCTAGCATGAGCAAGGTCCGACAGCTGAAGAGTGCCGTTGAAGCTTGTATCAGCATCATGCGTATTGATACCCTGATCAAGTTGGATCCCGAGCAAAGGGAGGATGATGGACACGGTCACTAAGACGACTAATGATCTCGGACTGAACCAATAGAATCAAAAGCTTGTTATGTCCGTTCACAACTGAATGTATTTTTTGAGGATTGTGTGGTGAAGGTATCAAGTCACTGATATTGAGGTGTATAGAAAAGTATCACTGTGGCATATCCAATTGGATTTGTTGAGATATCACAAGTAAATACTGTAGAATAAACAGTTACAATAGTCACCACTATCTTGTCACCCTATCTATTATGACGAGGCTATCCATTTTATACCAGAAACTCATGACTGGCCAATCACTGATAATCACTGATGGTGCTATGCAGTACAATATGTATTCTCAACAGTATCAAATGTGATTTGTAGATTGTTTAAAGATTTATCAATAGTTGTAAGATCCGATGTCGGATAATTGTGTTTTCGTGGTTCACATAACAATCGATCCCTTGATTTTGAACGCAATGAAATTCAATTAGTACACCGTCTCGCACGCGAGCACGCATCTTGCACTCTCCTGCTCTTCCCTTTAACCCTAGCTTTGAGCCTGTCGACTGAAATTTTTCCTAGGACGTTTTATTTTTATACAAATGGACAAAGAAGGCCACGTCTAAGAAAACAGCAAACTCGAACCCACCCAGGGGCCTCGGTGTGGGCATGCGTATGTGTTGTGGTCCTCGCTCCGCCCGCCAGTCTAATGCACTCCTCTCCCCTTGTTCGTTTCCCTGTTATAGAGATTTACTCTTGCATCGTTCGCTTAACCGATGATAAGCTTGCCCTCCTCGGGGAAATCGTACTCGGGAATCTCGAGGTTGAGAGGGGCGGGTCCCTTTCTTATTCGGCCAGAGATATCGTAGTGAGAACCGTGGCAAGGGCAAAACCAACCGCCGTAGTCACCGGCCTCACCAATGGGGACACAACCCAAGTGGGTGCAGACACCTGGGATGGTTAGTATATAGATTCTGAAATGCTGTCCATCGTTGTTGTATTCACGTACCCAACATGACAAGCCACTCGGGCTGTCTGGCACGGGCGCTATCCTCCTCGGGATCTCGGAGAGAAGAGATGTTGACTTTGTTGGCCTGGTCGATCTCGTCCTGGGTTCGGTGCCGGATGAAGACGGGCTTGCCTCGCCACTTAATGATAACCTGAAAAACCGTTCAGTAATGTCGTCCCGATGTCCTAGACCATACTCCAACTCACGTTCTTGCCCTCAGGGATAGAGGCAAGGTCAACCTCGACCTTGGCCATGGCCAGGACGTCGGCAGAAGCAGACATGTTGACCAGGAACTCTGTCATCCATCATCAGTAACCATCAATTGACCAGGCCCGATGCCCTGCCGGCAAGATGCAACTCCAATTGCAGCCCAATGGCAAGACATCGAGTCTTGAACCGGATTTCAACCCACCCTGAACTGTGCTCTTGGCACCAGCAGCACTGACGGCACCGAGAGCGCCAACCATGAAGTACGAGTAGAGCTTGTTCTTGCCCTCGCTGCCGGTAGAGACGTACTTTCCGAAGTCAGGGATCTGGGAGCCCTTGGACTCTCCTTGGAACTTGAAGGGGCTGGAGTATCCAGAGGCGGACGCGCTGTCGGTACGAACGGCGGTGGTGCTGAGGGCGCGGACGGCGGGAGCGACGGGCTTAGCAGCCGCGCGCAGGCAGAGGCGAGAAGCGGTCGCGAGGGTCGCCATCGTGAGGGATCGTGGGGTGTGGCGTTGCGAGGTGAGGGCGTCGAAGGGAAGGTTGAGGTCTTTTCCTTGGTAGTAATCGGCTGATGATGCTTTGCCGAAAGTTTTGGCTATAAAATGTGGCCTCAGGCTACCAGATTGACTTAAGCTCGGAAATTGGAGACTCACTATTGGTCCGGTCACTTTCGGGTGGGTTTCCGATCTATCCCGGACATATGGGCACCTTTTTCGCCTTGACATCTTCCAGGTTTCTTAGTGTTATAGACATAATATCAATCGCTGTGACGAAATACCATTCTCAATTATTCATCCTAATCAGTAGATGAACTTCTCTTTGTTTTATTAGGACATTATCTTCGCCATATAAAAGTCAATTGTCGTCTCTTCGTTATCTCTATGACTTCATCGTTTCTGACCAATCATCTTTGACCCGTTCGTCCTTCATCTAGCTTAGCAATAGATTCATAGAGAACAACCCAGCAAGCAAATCGGGGTAACATCAAGTCGTTAATTTATTGGAAACGATAACTTAATGCATCCGTCTCAGCTCTTCAATCAGGTTCCGCATGTCTTCAACAGTCGGGCCAAGTCCATCACAGACAAGCTCTTGTTGCTCTTCGTCCATGTCTAAGAACCTCTCGATCATCTCTCCGTCTATAAAGCGATAAGGACCTTCGCTCTCTCTGTTGTCATTGCGGAAGGAACGCCACAACTTAAATTCAACGTTGCCCAAGGCAAGAACAAACTCTTCCATCTTAGACTGGAATGTCATCAATAGATCCTGATATTGGGGCGCAATATCGCCATAAAGGTACAGTGAGCCTTCAGCCTGGTAGATGTTAGCCCCATGTTCGTGCCTGTAGGAGTGAAAAGGCCACTTACCGATGCGAGGAATGCTCGAGGATGCACTATGTTATTCTCTGCTGCTGGAACATTGAGCTTTCGAATACGGTTGATTTGTTCCCCGATGCCCATCTCACTTGTGATTTCCAATCGGCGGCGGTCTTGTTCTGTCGGCGCATCCACATTTCGTTGAAGAACAACAAGATTGCCTCGAGAATCCGCCTCTAGCCACCTTTCCCCTTCGATATGACAGACTGCAGTGGTCCAAAGCGACTCGAAATGCCGTGCTCGTTCCTGTAATTGCGCTTTATTGCCGTCCTGTGCCGGAATGAATTCAACCAAAGACAGTGATTGCATCAGATCGCCTACACCTATCATATTTCCTGATACATCTATATCAATAGGAATAGCAGCTGGACGATAAGCAGCAAGTTTCTGTAGTGAACCGGAACTGCTTGTCTCCTGCGAAAAGCTGTACACCACAACTGTCTTGGACAGCCCAGCTACAATATTGTCTCCAATCATCCCTAAGCAGCGACAAGGGCCTTTTAGATTATGGGACACGATCTGGTACACTTGACGGTTTGCGTCAACACCAAGGACCAGAATACGGCCAAGGGTGCCATTCGGATCTTCCACTTCGCCATCGCTGATAAAACTCGTACCAACGATGAATCTCTCGGTTGGGTTTCCACCAACGTCAGGTAGCTCGGCTCGGATAACACACTCCACAAGTTCTAAAGTACTTGAACCGTTCAAAGGGAATGGCGATCCAAGTTCTTTGAAGACTATTTCGTCAACAAGCCTAAATGAACTTGTAACAACTTCCTCATTGTTGACCAGTTCTCTTCTAATAGAGCCCAGGCCAAAGGCTTTGAGCCCTGGAGAGTATGCCACTCGCCTGACAGTCTCATTAAAAGGGAGGGATTTCACATGAGTTAGACGTTCCCGATCAACGTGACAAATCCTGATATGCTGGTCTGTCGACAGAACGACAGAGTCCGGGAAAGCATGAGAGTTAAAGGGCGCAACAAAAGTGGCATCGTCGGCGGTTGTGGCCGAGAATATGACTCGCCCCTCAGAACTATAGATGAGACTTGCATGCTCAGTAGTCACAAAAACATTTGAAGTGCCATCTTCTTGAGGGAGTATGTGAAGTCGAGCCGGGTTGCTCCCCAAAGTCACACTCTTGCGACCAGAGACAGAGAAGCCTTTAGTAGACACATTGAAAGTGACGACATTTCCATCCTCCATTGCAACTAAAAGGGTTGGGCCCGAAATGTCAGGGGGGTGTAGTTGAACAAGCGCGACATCCCGCGGGACTGTGGCGCTATCTTCAGTCTGCCTCATAGACTCTCCGTGCAGAGGCTTTAGTGAAGCCATGTCGATTAGCGATATTTGGCCTGAAGACCACCAGCCGACTACTCCTAGGTCTGGGGGGTCTCTGGCAGCATGAATGCACGATATCTGGTCAGGTTGCGAAGTAGCGTTGTCGTTGATTTGTTGTGCATTGACAGCCAAATTCTGCAGTAGGTTCAACGAAACAAGAGAAGTTCCGTCAACCGACAGCAAAGCCCATTTGCCGTTTGCCGATGCCCTTGTGATCGTTTTCCCACTTGGTACATCCCACTTACTGATTGTTGTGCCGCCCTCAGGGTCGAGTAAGACAACTGACTTAGGTGTGACCTGGAGTAGTTGTCCGCTAGGAAGGTTTGATGCCAGCAGCGTCTCACTGTCCAACGACATGCCTTGATAGGAGTAAACCTCTTCAATGCCACCTTCAGGGTCAAAGCTGAGAATTCTTGTCTCAGTGATGGACGACACAACCAAAGTATCGACCATGTCAGAGCCATAAGAATGGAGAGTGAACAAGCCCCTGGTTCCCTCTAACTCATCAAGAACACCTCTGTCTTCAAGGCCGACACCACTTCGAATACTCCGCAGAGTACCATCATGGTATGCACCACATCCTGCCACAATTCGTGACTGGCCGGATGAGAAGGCATTACCAGCCTGCGTATCGCCTTCCCGATTGCCCATATCCATGATGGAGAAGTCCAGGATTGGGGCGTTGTTTAAGAAAGACTGTACCAACATGACTGTTTTGGTCTCGACATCGATTTGGTAAAGTTGGGAATCGCCATGATGAGAAGCAACAAAAAGAGTCCCATCGCCAAGGTAAACCAGGCTGGACGCTCTCGAAGTGATAGCAGGCGAATTGCCGTATTCAAATGGCTCGAGTACCATACCCGTCACAACAACGCCGGTTGGTTCTAGATTCGTTTGAATGGTCAACAGATCGAGTCGTCCATAGTCGTCTGCTAACAAATAACGGGTGCTGTCGTATTCTGCCCAGGCTACAAAGATTCTGGGGTCCTTCAAACCTGCGGACACACTTCTGTGCGTTTGGCCATCGTAGTATGTTAAGAGAGTCTCTCCAATGACGAGAAGACCACCTAAGTGTGGTTTGGCTCCCTCCTTATTTCGTACATGATAACGCTTTTCCTCATCCAAGGGGACGGGAATAAGCATGGAGGCGTAGGGGTCAGGAATCTCGACGTCGAGTTCCCTATCTTTGTGTGGATCGAACTTGGATACAGTGTTTCCCTTGTCGTCGTGAGTTAACCTATATATGACCAGCCGAGTTTCTTCCTGATCCATTTGTGTCTTGTATAGGAATGCGATGGTTGGATGGTTAGTGTAGCTGTAGGTGAAAGTGCTCGCTTTCATGAACAACTCGGTGATCCTGACTTGGTCAAGCACCTCCAGTTTGTTGGTAGAACCCTTGCGTGTAGGAAGTTTAAAGACATTCAGCACTCCTTCCCAAAGATGCATCGCCAAGAACCGTCCAGTCGGATCTACTAGGCATTTGTTTTGGCTTTGCGACTGGCGCATGTATGGCTCTGACATGTCCTCAATTACTCGCTCGATGGTCTCCAATTGCTTTGTTGCGTCGTTCCAGATCAAATTGAAATATTGGAGCCTGTCGGTTCCAACAAACAGTAGGTCGGTCTCAGATCCTTTGGGTCGTAAACGTTGTAACATCGATATTGTGCCATGGATAAGCTTTGTCTGTTGGCATACCAGCCCTTTCTCTGTGAGGCGCCATATCTCGAGTCGATTCGCTTTGCTGTGAAACCTCAATCAGCGCTTGCTCAAGGCGTCATCGAAGGTGTTGGAGCTCTTACGCTACAATCAAATCATCGATCTCGGGATCAAGCACATTAGCTCGAAGCGCATGGCGAATGCTCGTGGCGCGATGGATAGGCGCAACGTATGCCATGGCTGTCGAATTGTCAACGGGCGATAAATTATGAGGACGAGAGAGATCAACGTTTGTTATGGGTTGATCTTCGATGAAGAGCTATCACAAAAGCTCCAGGTATGGAAGGGTGCGGTTAGGATGCGCCACTAGCCCCCGGAGTTAGCACGGATTACAGCGGGCGTGGTGGGGTTTATATTGACCCGACGGGAAGGAAATGGATATGTCTAGGCACTATCCGTACAACCCACCCGTTCCATGTCATGGGAGCATGCTTCACTTTTATATCTACTTATTAGGTAGATTTATGGATGTAAAAGAGAGGAGAGCTTCAATAGTCCATAATTTAATAGTTCTTCCTAAGCACAAACCATCCAAAGCTTTATGCTAAATATAGCAATGGTGTTTCTGTCGCACTTGCCAATTTCGCAAAACGGTCACTGACATGTTACAAGTGCCCATGAAGGAGGCAGGAGCGGACGGGATGGAACTCTTGATATTTACTCTTACGCCTGAGCTTCAATGCCTAGACATACGTCGATGTTACCAAAAGCCTTGACTTCATCTCTCATGTATTCTCCTTTGGCTTGATGGCAAGCCCGTCGGCTCTCAAACATGAGTACATCTACAGTATCGACTATTAAAAACCGTCCTGTCATCGACTATGGTCTTGCCCATGCCCTTCTTTACGACCACCGAGGTGTACCGTATAGGCTTCAAGATCAAATTCGTCAATTTCAAAAGACGGCGGAACCAAGCCAGCCGGGTGGGATTATTGAACAAGCAGGCCTTACTATAGCACACCTGCCTCGTCCCAAGATCCTCTCTGAGCCACCTACCAAGCACGAAGACTATCAAGTCCCAGTCGATCCATTTGTCTCGGCCTTTTCTTTGTTCCCCTTCTTAGGACGAACAAAACAGTTACGGTTTCCACCTGAATCGCTTGATTTGGGGTATGATACAAGGGGAGAAGTTGACCAATATCGAGACGATATACAGTCCGCAGGGTCATGCAACATTATTGAAACATGGCTACCGTTTGCCCAGGTCAGTATTGAAAAGGACGAGGGTCTCGAATTTCCATCCACTGTATCGCGGTGGAAAACATTAGCCCTCCGTGAGATGGAAGTCGATGAAATACCAGACTCGACACATGATGTGGCATCTACGTACGATCACGAATTTCTTACGAAAACCTATACACCAACACAGATTAGAAAGATCTTTGCCCTGAGAAATGTGAGTGTGCTCAGATTCAATGAGATCCTAAAATAACGCTTTTTTAGTATACCAGCGCGTACTTGAAACCTGTATCTCCTCTGCTTTCTCCGGCATCTGAACCATACGAACCTTTTGTGCCTGAACCCGGCATGGCGGTCATAGACCTAACCTCGGAGCTAAGCAGTCCTATTAATACGGAATTCGAGAGATTGGAATCAAACGTAGAGGAGGGCTGCCTCGACCCTCAAGCTCCTAGTCTACCGCACATATTTAGCTCTCCTCCAACGGCCACAGCAGCTTTCCTTGGCCCGAAGTCGAAGAGACTATCCGAACTCAAATTGGAATTACCATTGTTATCATCTAGTCCTGAATCTAGCTTAAAGCTGGTTTCTGTGACTGCGGCTTTGATGCTTACGGCAACAGATTCTCAGGTGCCATCGCAGTCTGAAGTTGAACAAGAAGGAATTTTCGAAGAAGCGTTTCAAGCTTTCTTAGACGGCAAGCATTATGAAGTAAACCGTCAACTGGAACAAGAGCGATTGAACCCAGCGGATGCTTTGTTACGTGTGCCAATACCTGCAATCGATTTTGACATACCCAATCCTGAATGGGGTAACCATTCATCAAGCTCGAAAGAGCAGTTCAGGTGGCTAGTCCAACAACTATCTTCTGCCTTTCATCTTCCATCTTTCGAAGGCCTGAGTCGCCTCGAATCATCACTCAAATGGGCACCCATACCTTTTGGAAGTGGTAGAGTATCATTGACTGAAGCCGACATCCAACTGGACCCTCTCAGCAAAGAGCTACTACAGTTACAGCCTCCCCAGTTGTGCAGTCAGGATTATGCCGTTTCACGATCAACGCCAATGATATTTCAAGTCTTATCAGATGAAGATACCGAGCAAGAAGTCCAATCAAACGAGATCATCTCTCATCGAGTTCGTCCAAAAGACATTCCTCCCAACGATAGCCATATGCTCAACATGCCGTCACTAGATGATCTACTAGGGTCACGGCGTCAGACTTTAGGGAGTCAAGCTGATGGCAAAGGAAAGAAGCGATTGTTGGCCGACACTAATGCGACTACTTCAAGCAGTTTATTGTCCAATTTCATACAACTCAGGCAACCGAAAAGATCCAAAACAAGCAGTGATACTCCTCCATCAAATGTGCAGCCTACACCAAAGTCTCCGTCGGGCGTTACAGACGTGTGCAGCGACATTCAAGAGGTTGCGCCAAAAGTATTGAAGGAGGCTCCGGCTCCTTTCGCGGACATACCTAGAGAAAAATGCCGTTACATTATATCCGTGGACTTAAGCCGTAACGTCTCATCTTTCATAGAGAAATCCTCGTCGAATATTGAGCTTGTTGATCGAGACTTTACCCAGCATAACATTGTCTCTTGGTCTCCGGGATCGACCCAAAGAAATGAAGTGATTTCGCCGTTGGCTTTTGAGGCTGATGTGTCTCTATGTCCTACAGCCGGCTTGATCATGACCACCATACTTAGAGTGAAACAGAAGCCTCTTCCGGGGTCGACCATTCTACCACCGCTTCGCAAGCGTGTCAAGCTTGTGAGTGAGAAATACGAATGTCTCTATATACTAGTGTCCGAGGTAAACACACAGGGTGAGTATGTTGGATTGCCAAGTGCTTCTGACATAGCCGGTTATGCGGACTTCGTCCGCTTTACCACCAGCCTTCGAGCTGGCATTTCAACCTATTTGATCTCCGGGGCAGAGGAGACACTTTCGAAATGGGCGATATCTCTCATGTCTCGTTACTCTTCAGCGGCTTTTCAGTTTGGGCAATTCCTTGACTTTCGTGATGGTCAATGGGTTGTATTCTTCCGTCGCGCTGGCTTCAATATCTGTGCAGCGCAAGTTCTAACGGGGTTATTGTTGGCCGACTATGGGCAATATGGACTCACAAACTTCCTCAATATGAGTGTGAATGAAAGAGTATCAAAATATGGACAGATCATGGGAGGCAAGAGAATACTGAACAATGTATCAAAGGCCGTGGACCAAAGATGGATGTAGCCAGTGCCCAGCAAACTACCCGGGACCAAACGTTTGGTCTATAACACGTATCACAATCTCGTTCAAATAGCAAGTCTCTCTCGACCAAACTTTTACTTCATATACCTATCGTTCGATGCTGGCAAATACTTACTTTACGCAACGGCACTTGGTCGACTGCAGGGTAAGTATCACGGGCTTGTAACTCATTGAAGAATCCCAAGTATCACATCGCAGCACAACAGACTTATGCCCACTGAGCTCAGTGAGATGGTTTCTATTGCCCCATGATCATGCTTACCGTCTACGTTTCTACATCTAAAAATACTGCCTAAGATTTCGGTCAAGAAGTCGACACCGCTGCCAAACCAGAAATATCCCAGGTTCCTTCAGCATACTTCCCACATAGGGCGTGGTAGCGTTCGCGAAGGCAAAATACCCTGCGAAGTCTTTAAACCAACATAGACGACTCGGCGCGATGGGTTTGTGAGATTGACGGAGCGGGATTGGATGCCATAATAGTCGGAGATGGTGTGTGTAAGCCAGCGCCTAAAAGTTGTTAGTAGCTAATTCCATCTCGACATAGAAATACTGACTTGAAGGCGGCACTCTCATCATTGCCAAAAGAGTCAAACAGCATGCCCGAGTCGACTGTTTCCTGCGAAACCTCACGGTGAGCATGTTTCCATGTCGCCTTCTTCTCTCTCAGCTCCCGCATTGCGCCGTTCCTGCCGACAAACACGATCTCCTCGTCATCTGAGTCCATCTGCTCAGCTGCGCTATCACTTTCCTCGGCGGCCTCAACGTTAGGTGTAGTGACTGCCCGTTGACTAGCCAGGTATTGACGTACAGGCTCTTCCAGAGATCGCACCCAACTGCGCACAACAGGACTACGCTTGGTGGCTTCGCGCAAGTCGCGAGGTACCTCGCCAGCACAAAGGCCAGTAGCGCTACCTGACTTGAGCTGTTGCTTCTTGCGTTCGGCTTGGAGTCGAGCAGTCTTATCCTCAACGCGCTGGCGCACGCCGCGGTCCCAAAATTGAGCAAGCTGATAGGGCACTTGATGGACAGTATGCGTGGGGTGGACTTCGTAGTCGGAGGGCAGAGGAGGCTGAACGTTGGGAACGTGCATCAAACGGTCTGGCAAATGAGGTCATCGATCAGTATAATGATACGTGAGAGGACGCAGATCAACGCGTGGACTGCATCATCGATAATAGCGGCATACCATTCTCCCAGCGACGACGCTGGCGACTTCCCTCCTTGCCCTTTTGAACTAGTTCGCGCTTTCGCTGGCTGTCCCTCCTGGAGAGAGGGCGCTTTGGAATAGAGGTGGATACCCCATGCTCGTCGAAGTCGACATTGCGCTCAGGAGACTTGGGTTGAGCTTTGGCAACTTCATCAATGGGGATAGCGAGAGGGATACAAGTTCCACGTGCGACAGGGGAGACGCTGAGGGATTGCAGAGCCGAGATAGTCCAAGCATCGATATCAATAGAAGAGTTCTTGACTGGCGTAGGAGGCGACTGAGCCTGGATAGCAGCCAAAGGAGGATTTGTCGCAGTAGGGGTTGAAGTGGTTGTGGTCGGTTGCTGTTCTGGTGGCGGGACGGAGCTGTAGATAGCCATGTTGATAAGAGCCGCGGGGAAGCGTCGATGATGGGAAATGATAAGAATGCTGTTGAACGAGGGCAAAACTATGCCTTTGGGTCAATGTCAAGAACGACAATGGCAATTCAAGTAGGAAAGAAGAATGGGATCTAGGGATCGAAGGCTTCAGGATGGAAGAAAGAAAGAGAAATGACTCCGACAAAAGAATGGGATGGGATGGTTTATCGGATCGACGCCACTGGATTGGATGCTCTCGGCTCTCAGAGCCAGGGGCCCCTCCCCTCCATCTCATGGATGGCAATCGAGACGTTCATGGCACCAAGTGATTCATCCAACATGATTAAATGAAAGCAACCAATCAGAAACCGACCGCATCCCACAGGGGGCAAAGCTCAGGACTAAGACTCCCGCATTTGCAGGCGATGCGAGTTACCCGTCCTCCGCGGAGTGAGTGGGGGTTCTCTGGGCCCGTTAGGTTAGGGTCAGCATGAGGCCCAGGTGCCTAGGTCTGCGCTGTGTGCTGCGACAAAGTGATGATGATGACACTCAGGTTTGATTGGTACGGTGTTTCATTCTATTGTGAAATCTCAAAATGGGCAGTCGAAGATCCCCATGAACTGAGAAGTCTGGTTAGTAGAGAGCTACCCTGATCTGATGATCTCGCGTCCGTAGGTAGACAGGAATGCAATATCATCAAAAAAAAATGCTTTGAACCTGGCACCGGCCTCGAGTCATCAAGGCCCCCACACATGCTTATGAAGAGGATGACTCCGTTGAGTCAACGTTGGATGTCGCGGGTGTAAAAATAGCCGAGAATATACGTATAAAGTTCTAAAAGGTACAGTATGCAATCCTAGTAACACTAAAATACCATCAAGAGACTCGGATGATCCTGGTATATCATATGCTCGCTGTTGATCCCAAACTCGTCTTGTTGTCTAAGATAGATAAGGCAAAACAAAGTATTCATGACTGTTCGGTGCCGTCGTATGTCCTGTGAGGGTTGCCGATACCACCGGGTTTTAGCAGCGGTTGGTTTTCCCTCTGAATGGCGCGCTCTTCGCGCTCCTGGATGTCGTCCAAATCTTCCTCTGTTTCTGCGTATCGCTCAGGGTGGCCAGTGAAAGGGCCTGGAAGACCACGCTCCCAGCCTTCAGAGTAGGTTCGGCTGCCTGGCGGTGGCCTCCGAGGAGCGCTCGAATATTCCACAGGCGAATGAGGCGCACTGTCAAGATGACCGTTGACATGTCCACCACGCTGCCGGGCCATATATTCGTAATATACACCCATGAAGAGGACTGCTCCCTGCATGGATGCAGTAATTAAATAAATGAACCAGGTGCTCCAGCCCTCCCATCCAAGTCTGGCAAACAGGCTTCCGGCAAAGAGGAAACCACCTGGAGTCTGAATGCACATCATGGGGATGCTGAGACTTCCAACATGCTTCAGGTGGTAAGTCATCCAGATCTGGGGTACGTATTGTATGGCAGCCAAAACTGTGGCCATGACGCCCAGGAAGTTGGCCCAGAAGACGAGATGATCGGGAAGTGCAATAAAGAATACTCCTGTCAGGATAATCACAATGAGGCCGTGAAGGACACAAAGTAGTCCCACCATGACAGCAGTCTGCCATTTGGGTGCATCTCCACGCAGGTCGTCTGCAGGAACATTGGCTTGTCTATATCGAAAAAATATGAGAAAGAGAACGAGACTATTCACTGGTTAGCTGGGGAGATAGGTAGAATCGAATGCGAGGCTAACATGAGACTGAAGCAAACCCATTGGGCACCGAGCTGGGCAACACCAAGAAGACCAGCCGCGCATTCAAATTTGCCGAGCTCTTTGCAACATCCTATGGCGGCACGAGATGGCGGAACAGTAAGAATGTTTGCAAGACCAGCGGTGGCAGATGTGGTTCCTAAAAGTACGAAATAGGGAGAAATGCCTTCGGAAGTGCCTCGGGAGATGATGCGATAGTGCTGAGGAAGATAGGAGACAAGAATACCAAGTAGGAGGACGCTGTAATATCAATTAGTACCAAGGATTACAGGGCAGATTCCAAGAGAGTTGCCCAATCATACATGGACACGACGAGTTCAAGATAGGAGGGCGTCTTAAGACGATCGCATTGGTCGTTTTCTGAGGTGAAGACGTCCATGGTTGGTTTTGGACGAAGTGCTCAAAGGCAGCTTCGGAAGGTGATGAGCTGGGCGTGGAGTTGGCTCAGCAGTCGTTGCGAGAGAGCTGGGAAATGATCACGCGGAATCACGAGATCAGATGAATGGTCGCCAGGGTCCGGTCCCTTCCAGGAGCTTTGCCCAACGCTTTGGTTTGAGCACGGGCTGGTGCTGGTGCTGATGTGGAGAGGACGTTGCGCGCCCTGTTGCTGGGGAGTGACGTATGATGTATTTGAGTTGGTGTCTTATGGCTCTGTCACCGTACTAAGAGTAGGATAACGACTAAATTAGTCAGACAAGTTTTGGACGAGAACCCGTGCTAATATTTCTGTCAGCCCTACCTTGAGTGCTGTGACCCACCTGGCGAGGTTGTTTCGCGGGGAGGGGCAGCCCAAACAACCAGGTACTAGAGGTACTAACTGTACTGTATCGACTGGAAGAAGTCAGACGAGGAATACGAGGTTGGTAATATACCCTTCTTTTGGCGTGTTAGCTTTATGAGATCATGATTGGTGAAGGATGCGATCGCTGAGACAGTAGAGGTTCAAGGTTTCAAGATACGGGGTATCTTGGTATGTAACGGGATGCGGATGTGAGAACTGGTTGTTGGGGCGGGATGGAAGAAGAGTTGGAAAGGAAGAGAGAAAGAAAGTCGGAAAATTGATTTAATATTAAAAGGATGGGTTAATGATAGACAACGGGTTGGATGTCAAGACACTTACCGATTATGCCTTCCTTCCTACCAGCCTAAGAAGCGGGTAGCTCAAAACAGCAACTTTCGAGCACCCGCCCTAAGTCGTTCCTGCCTAGGGGTGCAAATGCAATGCAGGATCAAGCACTTCTAGGCAGCTTGTGATGTTACTATATACCAATTGCTAGTAAATGAGCAACAACACTCCCCATTTATGCTTTACAATCCGCGTGTTGATTCGGTAATGCCTAGAAACTTAATTGAATGACCTGTGAACTGTACGCTGATAGATCATTCTCAACATGCGTTTCTTCCCATAAAACGGTGTCCCAACACCGCCAAGACGGAGAACGGCGATCGTGAGCTGCCCTTTTGGTGTCATTACCCACTGGACCCTGCAGCAAGATACTTGTTTGGATGTGGGAGGCCGCTCAGAGGTCCTTCTTTGTCTGCCGGCTCTTGGCGCCAACACATATGACGTTGCTATGAGGATAGACGGTGACATTCAGTTGGCGAGCAAAGTTCCCCCCCAATGGTTTGACGATGGCCTCATTTATTTGATCAACAGAGACCAAAATGACAGGAAATGTAACGTGGGGGACCTTCAACGTTTCAAGATCCAGCTGAAGATTAGTCTAGGATCATGATAAGCGTGTAAGTGATATGATATGTAGAGATTAAGGCAGAGGATCCACTTTGAGTTCCTCTATTTTCCACGTCCATCACCATCTCGCAACATTCAACCACAACTTATAACATGGATGAGCTCAATCCGGCAATTGAGCCAGCTCTCTCACACGCAGAGCCGCAGCCGAGCGATCTACAGGAGCATGTGCAACATGAGCCGAAAGCACCATCATTAAACCTCGTCGCTGAAAACGCATTCGTTCGGCCTCAAGATGACATAGACAACGACAAGCAATCTCACTCTGCAAATATCAAGCAGGATTATTACACATCAGTCCAATGGACAGCTGACGGAACATCACTCCTCGTCTCTTCTGCACTCAACTCAATTTCCACCTTTGTTCTCCCTGAAGATCTGCTCGACCCATCAGCCGCTTGTCCGCGACGTCTTGAGTCGCAATCCACAATAACCCTCCCTGAGCCTTCCCAAACAGTCGCCGCAGCCCCCTTCTACTCTCTAGCGGAGCCAAGCTCACAAACTGTACTCGTTGGGTGTCGCGATCATCCTATTCAGTTATACCATCTCTTTCCTCCTGATGATGGTTTCGCGTCGCGTTCTGCTCCACTTGCTTCGTATAAGTTAATACGTCGCGAAACGGAGGAGTACATCACACCATCATCTCTTCTCTGGGAAGGCTCCGGGACTCATTTCCTTGTTGGATCGACAAATCGTCTTGATCACTTTGACATGACACGCCCAGGTTCAGATGGCCCTGTGCTTACAATACCCACCATCCCCTCCAAACGCCATATCTCAAAGGGTAGTGGTGTTGGTATGAAGGGCACCGTCGCTGCTCTGGCATCTTCACCTGTGGATGGCAATGGAAACTCTGTTATCGCAGCGGGAACATGGACGCGGTGGATGGGACTGTACGATGTCCATCGGTCAGACAAGGTCGTTGCTAATTGGTCCCTCCCGCGCTCAGACGACATAGAGGGAGGTATTGGAGGGCAAGGTATTGTTCAAGTCTGCTGGAGCCCGTGTGGTCGTTACCTCATCATCAGCGAGCGTCACGCCTCTGGCATGATCGTATACGATATCCGGGGCACAGGTGAACTTCTCTGCACCCTTCGAGGACGAAGCGCACCAACGCAGCAAAAGATGTCAGTAGACGTCTTCGCAGGTGATCCTTATGCCGAGTTCCCATCCTTTGAAGTCTGGGCAGGGAATCATGATGGCGGCGTCGCAGTTTGGGAAGGCGTTGGCAGTCAAATTGGTGTTGTAGACCCCTCGTGGAGTTGGAAGCCCCATGACGCGCCAGTCGGGAGCACAGCTCTGCATTCGAGCGGTTCTGTTGTTGCGACATGCTCGGGAGGATGGGGATTTGGGGAGGAATCTGAAGCTCAGACAGTGTTTGACGAATCCAGTATCAAGATCTGGTCAATAGGAGCTTGATAGAACCTCTCATCAGGTATGCTGAACGATATCATATAGCTAACTAAAATGAGGTAAGTACATGCATGTACCACCAAGAATGGTGTAAAGTATTGTTGAGACCTGGCAAGATATATGAGCTTCTGCATGCCGGCCGGCATCTGTCCGTCTACCTTGTAAAGAGGATTCGTTCACATTTAAAGAGTCGATAAAAAGTTTTCGTTAATAACGCTCGGTTTCTTTTGTACCGTAACTATCTACCAATGAACCTAATATTTCATGGCCGTGTGGCCATCGTATTTCGTTATCACCCATCCGCAAGTCCATCTATTCACTGGACTTGAATCGCTCATTACAGCCCTTCTTTATGATAAAACAGCCCCGGATACCAACTCCCCATGCTGGACCAACAAACGCCGTAATAATTCCCAAGCGAAACCATAATCGTGGTCATCACCACAACCTATATATGTGCTGTCTCCTCTTTTTTCCTCCGTCGTATTATACACAATTAAAACCATCCAGGTCCACGATTCTGTTGCCATAATGGCCCCCCTCCGTCGCGGCGAGGTCCGGGATATGGTTGAATAGGACTGCTTACATGGCCTGGCGTGCTGATAGCCATTCCTGGTCGTGGTTCTTCTTCGCTGATACGTCCCAGACCAGAATTGTAACCGTGCTGGAAGTCATCGTCTCTCGTCAACGGCACCTCGTCATGTTCCATTTGCGTTCCTCCGACAGCCCCCGCCGAGTAACCGTAATTGGATTGGGGATCCCAAGGCTCCGCGTAAGGTCCGTCGTGGTCAACAATTGGGTTCATGCTGCGCTGGTCAGTTACGGGGACCGGTGGGGGAGGGGCCATTTTATCGGCTTCCTGCATAGGGGGCACCGGAGCGAAACTATGGTTATTCTCTAACGGTGGACTAGGGATATGTTATGTTAGCTGGTTGTTTGAAAAAAAAAAAAAAAAAAACCCAAAAAGGGTCACTGATGGGGACACTTACCCAATACGCTGCACTTGTGGTTTCACGCCAGGTCCCTGGCGCGTATTTCCCTTCTTGCGCTTCCAGAGCCAGACTCCGAGGACGACGAGGGCTACGAGCGCAGCCACGCCACTAATGGTTCCACCGATAATGGCGCCCGTGTTCCGTGAGTTGTTATCGCCATCAGTATCGGGAGCTGAAGCTCCAGAAGAGGCAGATTCATCAGAATCGGTGGCTGAAGGGTCCGTGGTACCAGAGGTTCCGCTTGCGCTGTCGGTTTCGGTTTCGGTCTCTGATGCTGTTGAAGTTTCTGATTCTGTTGTCGATGCTTCTGTTGCCGACTCTGTCGATTCTGTCGATTCTGTCGATTCTGTCGATTCTGATGATGATGTTCCTGTGGATTCCGTAGTTGCACCCCCTGTCGTCGATGCCTCTGTGCTTGAGGAATCGGTATCGGACGTTCTTCGCCTCGTTCCTAGTGTCGTCGGTTCGGCCAGCGAGGTTACCGGGTCTGTCAGGGGAACGTTCAAGCTAGTAAGTCTAATAGCGCTCTTGCCCGAAGCCGTAGCCACCACGTTTGTCGCCAAACCAGATGTTGAACCACACCCGTATTGAAAGAAACCTCCCTCGAAGCTATTTCGGTAGCATGAATTATCTCCTCGACACGTAAATACGTAAGGATTCAATTCTGTTTGTGGCCCACTGCCCGCATCCACGCAATCTGTAAACACACCCTGTGTGCAAGATCCTCCATCGGGACAGCACCCCACTGCATCGTGATCGACATCAACCACACAATGTGAGCCTGCAGAACAAGTCGCAGGTAGTCCGGGATCACCTCCTATGTAACCACAGATTGTGTTGAATTGTCGTCTCTGTAAAAATGAGTCGTCGGGCGCAAGCGTCGCGGCGAGTGGATATGATGCTGCGTTGATCTCATGGAAGGCGACGGTCTTTGTCGGTTGCGGCAGTACATGGCCTGAAGCGAGATTGAAAAAGCTAGAGACGAGAAGAAATGGCGGCAATCGCGCCATCAGATGGGCCGGGGTCATGATTTGTGCAGTCTCGTGATCCCGATCTCAATTAAACATTGTTTGGTTGATGGATAAGTTGGAGTGTGTCTGGTAGCCGTACTCTGTTCTGTTGATAAGATCGCTGGTGAGTTTCGTTGAAGTCTTGTTGATCGTGGAATCCGAAACTGAAGCAATTAAGAAGGAAGACACAAGAAGAGGGCACCCTCTGACTGAATAATAGTATGCGCACGGGCAGAGAAAAAAGACGCAACAAGAAAGGCTTTCGATGAGTAACCAATGATGCAACAAAGGGGGTGAGAAAGAGGTCAAAGGAGGAGGAAGCCAAAGCCCTTGAGGGAAGGGAAGGGGGGTGGTCCTGTTCTGTCCCTGTCCTGTGCTTGACTTTGCTGGCTGTCTTGAATGTAGCACGAGTAACGGGTTTACGAGCGAGCCAAGTCTGTGCTGTGCCTCTCTGCTTCCGAGTGGATATGAATTAGCTGGCCGTGCAGTTTTGTTCTGAGCTTTAGTAAATAAGTTGGCGGGTTGCTAGAGCAGAAGAGAAGATAAACTAAGAGAGACCCTGAACGCGCCCGACTTTAGTTTCGAGACAGTTTTGCTGCTTATAGGCCTTGCCTGGGGATGGGACTTCGTACCCTGCCCTGCCACACGATATTCTTTCAGAACGGCTGGACTTTCGCCTTCAGGACAAGATAAGAGCCAGGATCTTGATTTATAACCAGGATCCCGATTTATAGCCCGTATCGTTAGTAGCCCGTTGACGATCTAGCGAACCAGGAATAGAGAATGGAACTTTTAAAGTGCTGGCAGCCAGCGGTGTTTAACCGGGGTCCGGACTGCGACGGTGTCTCCAGGGGAGACCTTGGGGCCAATCATAAACCAGTAAATGCCCGTTTTGTGAAGATGAAGTGGCTGGGGGTGGCTGGGTATCAATTGTAAAATCAAGGAAGTTTTCTTGGGCAGGAAACAAGTTGACGGATGCGTTTGGAATTACGTTGCAAAAGTAAAGATGGATGAAGAAAGAGAGAGAGGGACATATGAGATTATTTCTTGACTGACTTGGCAGAGAGTAAACATGAATGAAGCGGCGACAGGGCAACCCGCAAGCGGTTTCTTTGACGTTTGGAATGTGTAGAAGAGCTTAGTCTAGTTTGGTTTAGCGGCCATGACACTATCACTGACGTCCACCCTCTGGGGCCAACGTGGCAGACTGTCTCATCTCATCTCTCTACACCCTCTTGACGATGGCCGATCTTTGTGCATTATTAGTGGCTGATTTGTGTCTGTCTTTTACGCATTGCCAAGCGTTTGAACACCGCTTTCATTAATGAATCAATTTGATCGTGTAATTTTCTCACCAATTGTATCGTCCAATACTTGAATCCGATTGTGTCACTCTATCCCCTTCTGCTACAGTCTTTTGAGCTACCTGACGTACAACGCCTCAGCTGACGCCAGGACCGTTTTGCAGTTGTGGCAGTGTTTCACCTTATTGCTTCTAAATCGGGTAGGTTAGCAGTATCCATATATACGAATTGTGCACCTTGACCCCTCGTATAATTCGCACTTCGCTTACGATTGATTAATGGGCATTTGCAAAAAAAATAATCGATTGTCGATTATTCCTCCGCTCTAATAAGTATCGCATGTCGATATCCTATCACACAAAATTCTATGCCAAGCAACATTATCCAGCTAATATCCGACATCCAAGCCAAAACTCCACATCCATCATATGCATTGGAGCAAGCGATCCAATTATTGCACATTCCGCTTACTTAACTTATCCTTCAGACGACCTGTCTGCTGCTGCTTGACCGCTTATCAATAGATAATTCTTCAAGTTCTCGGGCACCAGCTTTGCGAGCCTTCTTGGCTTGCTTCTTCTCTTCCTTGAGCGCCTTCTTTTCCTTGCGGGACAACTTGGGAAATTCGCTTTCTGGTCCACGAAGGACAAAGCCAGGATGCATGACGTTGAGCAAGACGAGAGCAATCAAGATCGGTGTAGCATCTAGACCCAGTGGATACTCCTCATGGATAAGAAGCGTGTTATGCGCGTTAACACCCGGGCCAAATTCGACTAGGCGGTATACAATTCGAGTCTTGTCCTTGTTAGTTTGGCAACTCGTAACTGGACAAATAATACTTACCACAATCAGCATGAGAACAACCACCATGGTCCAGATGAGCCACTTCATGCGTCCCATGCTTCGACCCTCCAGCTGTCGCAGCTTGAAATAGAAGAAGACAGTGATGCTAGTGAAGATGAGGACAACGGCAAGCTGCAGAGCGACTCCAGCCATGTAAACCTTCATTCCAATATCGACCATATCGCTATCGGCGTCCGTGTTGGAAAGCATGATACCACCTGAGCCTTGTACAAGGAAGAGAATAACATCTAGCCAAACGAAAAGGAGTGTCATGCGAACGGCTTTGATACCTAGAAGCTTTTGAGCAGGCATGCTGAAATATACCATGCGCGCTACTCCCATGTATACAAAGGCATTGATCCCTGAGTGTATTAGCAATCATCTTGTTGTAATTTTTGCGTACTCACAGAGAGGGGCAAGTAGAAAAAGGATCTGACCCAAAGTGAGGTATGTGATGTTTTGCTGATCTCGACTTCCAACGGTTTTGAACGCGAATGCAATTGTTTCCCAAGCTGCACCCATGATGGCTACCCAGCAGAATCTCTATAAGGCTGTCAGAAATCCTAAATATATCAATTTGTTATTTCGATACACTTACCTTCTTGAAAAGAACCGCCTGAACTAGATGGGCTATGGTAGTGAGGCCGAAGAGTACGCAGAATGCAAGATTGGCAGCAAAGCTTGGATCGAAGAAGTAGTTGGAGTTGCATGCATCAACTGGAACGCGGCCATACTTTCCAGGTACTGCAGTTGTACAAGTAGTCATCGCTGAAGAGGCCGTCGCAGTAGCCGCCATAAGAGTTGTGGTAGACATGGTCTAAGTCGTGTATAAGTGAGATGCTGTGTGTATAGTCTTATGGCGTTTTTAGGTACTTAAAGTAGTGATTGCTGTTTGAGCAGATGAGCTTGTTTGATGAAAACTATTTTATGCATTCTCATTCATTCCTTTTGTACTCGACAATACTTCTACCCATGGCTTTAACTATACGCTCGTTCAACTCCATCTCCCATCAGACTCAGCCCTAGATCTAGCATTAGATAGATGGTCCTGAGGTGATTTCTGGACGGAAACTCGCTGGCTCGCCAATGCTTACGTCTCGTTTGAGTATGAATGTGGCTGTGAATCTCGAAACATGTCCAACTGCTCCGGCATTCTATTCAGTCCAAATCTCATAATTGACGAGTGGACCAGTTAGAATGTCTGATGCTGACAATGTGTTCCACTCTTCATCTGCATTGTCGACATCACGGCTGTGGCTTTGGCCAGCCTCATATTCCTTCCAAATCGCGGATGCTTTTTAGGGGTTGCTAATTGGCTGGTTCGTCTATTTTCAAGACACATGTGGGGGATCTTGAACTTTGAGATCTATTGCTGACTGTTGAATTTATCCTCAGATATACGTCTTTATTCTTGTCATTGTTATTGGCTGACTCGTCTGTTTTCGACTCTTTTGGGGACGTTGACGCATATGCATTTTCTGGCCGCAGTCTGCGTGGCCTAGTGGTGTTGGGCTGAGCCTGGTCACATTTTGATTGGCGGGACTCTGTATGTATTCAATCGAGGAAAATGTCGCTCCTACAAGGTCAAATAAACTTGATTCACGAGTCTAGATCGTCCAATCCCCAGGCGTTGGCGATTGACAAGCATCTGCAAGTGGTGCCAAGCTTCGTACATGGACCCTTCTTTTCTCCACTCTGACATTGAACCCTTGAATCTTGAAAGAGCATCGTGACATCTCCCAGCCTTTCTGGTTGGAGTATCGCCAGGAACATGCCTATGCCTAGTAGAGGATCTTCGGTGCGCGCGCTAAGCTCGGCGCGCGCAATCGAGTTGACACAAAAGATTAATCATTGGAAGTTGGCACAGCTGCTAAAGTGTTGCGATTGATTTTGGGTAGCAATCATCTTCTCCTGAAACCCCCAAGGTTTGCCCTTTCCCACCTTCTCATTCATTTCTCGTGATACCATCAGTGCCAATTATTTGCTTGTCGGGAGCCGATCGACGGGCAACTTGACTCAAGTCGAACTGACGGCGCACAGGCCCGCTCTTTCCTTTCCCCTCCTTCGCAACTCATCTCCGCATCTTTCCTCCCTTATATCGTGATAAGGGCAAGGCAAAGGAGGGAAGGAGACGAGGGATCTCGTTGACACCCTGCCAAATACCTACCTTTTGATCTCTGGTCATTTGGAGACTCCTGTCACTCCTGAGAATTCACCTTCAACCTAGAGGTTTCGGCGGAGGATATGCTCCTTTGATTGCTTCGCTCGCCGTCGTCATATTAATTATTCCTCTTCATCATGCCTATCAAGGTCAAATCCAAGAAGCTCCCCGCTCCCCGCGAGGGCAGTCCTATCTCCATCCGTCACGACTACGAAAATGATCTACCGGATATTAGAACTAACGACAGCTTTAGAGAGGTCGTCAAGAAGCTCTCTTTGTAAGTTGTCATAATCACGATCCAATTGACCTTGACTAAGACGTTTTGCAGATACTTTGTTGCAGTCATTGAGCTGCCGAGCACCTTTGAACAGCTGAGGACCACAGCTGCGGGGACTTCCTTACGCATCTTGGTGGATCATCTCACTGCGACATGCACCAACCGCGGAATTGTCAATGCTCTTCTGTACGTATTGTCTGAACGACATTGTGCCAGTGACTGCTTCTTTCTCAGTGTTTTCCCTGAATCTTGTATCGCTCGTCTCCCGAATCGTGTTTGTGGCTGCATAACAGCTCCTGTCAGGGGAGCCAATGACAGAAATGCCCAACCCAACTTTGATCTGATTACATATGTCGTGCAACTCTGATGCCATACGCTCTCAATAACTGTACTTCTCAGCTAACAAAATCCCCACAGCGCTCTCAAATGGCATTATACCACTTCTTCAGAACATCGAACACTGGGAGAATCGCGCGCCGACGCGTGTGAAATCGTTGCATGGCGTTTTCTCACTCGTCTCTCTGAACGCGAGGCAGTTAATTACTGCCTTTACGAGATCCCGGATCTTGACGATGATCACCAAGATGAAGAAGCGGGCAATGGCCACGCGGGTGATGAGGAGACCGGAGAGCGTTCTCCTCTTCTGTCTCATATTCGCACCATTGATAATCGCCGGCGTGGTCCTGGCCCTGCTGGAAGTAGCATGAAACGCAATCAGCTCCTGAGTTCTCTCTCCCGCTTGACTATGACATCCGATGACGAGGATGATGAGAATGAAGGTGATCCAACATCGTCTTTTAAGAATTTGAATGCCCTCGAGATTGCAGCCATTGCCGACGCCAAACGTTTCCTCAGTCAGCACATTGTCCAAAAGATCATCACGGCTATATGGAGCGGCGATATCGTCTTTTGGGACAGCTTATCAGTGCACTCAACCAAGAAAGTCAGGTTTTATAATCCTAGGACAGCAGACCCTTTTTCTCGGTTGCGTGTTCCCAAATACCTCAAGAGCTGGGAGGTAGTATTCTTCTGCATTTTCCTCGCCCTCTATTACTCTGTTCTCATTATGAGAGACGAGTCCCGTATCACCATCCCTGAGGTGGTCCTGTTCCTCTGGATAGCGGCCTTCTTTTACGACGAGCTTAGTGAGTGGCTTGATGCGGGCTCAATCTTCTATGCCACAGATATCTGGAACTTGTTTGACATGATCATGATTACAATCGGGTTTGCCTTTGCAATTCTGCGTAAGAACCACAACCCCTTCCAAATAACAACGTGCTAACTGAGACAGGCATTATTGGTATCGTCCAAAACAAACCGGAGTTCAGTGACCTTGCATTTGACATATTGGCGCTCGAAGCACTCTTCATGATTCCTCGCATCTTCTCCATCCTGAGTCTGAGCCCTGCTTGGGGTACACTCATACCCTGCTTGAAGGAGATGGGTAAAGACTTCTTCAAATACATGGTACTCGTTGTCGTTGTTTACTGCGGCTTTCTGACGACATTTTCGCTTGTGGGCCGTAATGTCTTTGCATTCAAGTCAATGGCTTGGATTTTGACAAAGATATTCTACGGCTCAGCACCTATTGGCTTTGAGGTGATGAATCAGATCGATCCGTTTTTTGGGCCGCCTCTGATGATTATGTTCATTACACTCTCCAGCTTTCTGTTGATGGGCTCCTTGACTGGTATGCTTTCCAACAGTTTCTCACGGGTTATCACCCACGCTAAGGAGGAGTATCTGTACGTGTACAGTGTCTATGTCTTGGAGGCGTCGACTAGCAACCGACTCACCCACTTCTATCCTCCTTTTAATCTGCTTGCTTTGGTCATCTTTCGACCCTGGCGCCTAATCTTTACGGCCGATGAGAAGTTTCGTGCCGGGCGTATCATACTCCTTAAGGCTACCCATTGGCCAATTGTTAGCATCATCAGGCTCTATGAGATGTGGCGCAAGCCCGGGGCCCTGGGTGATGAATTTGCTGGGTTCAAGGGCCCGTCGCACTCCTCCCGACGCAACGGTCGGCAATTAATTACACAGAGGCGATCTGCTTCTACTGTTGGCCGCCCAACACTTGCATCTCCTAGAGGTCGAGCAAACGGTCAGAGTACTGAGCAGCGTGAGGATGATATGGATGCCCCAACTGCCATGGAGGTGCAACTTAGTGAGTTGAACCGCAAGATTGACCAGCTCACTGCAACTGTTCTGGCGATTCAAGAGAAGCAAGCAGGTGAAAGCGGCAGTGGAAGCTCTGATGCGGGCGCCACCACCGCCTAACTGCGGTTCTTTCACGATCGGGCCGGTCCGTTGAGGCGCTCAAACATTTGACTTTGTGACTTTGGGACTTTCTACACGGGTCTCATCGGCCGAGGTCAAGAGTGGGTATGTAAACGGAGGGGCGGGTTTCGAAGCGCCCCAGAAGCTTTGGTGTGATGTGGACGGTGGCAGTAGGGAGGCGGAGAGCAACGGCTCTGGAGATCAGTCGGCCTTGTGGAGATTAAGTTTCTCGAAGAACGGGTTCAACAGCGGGATCAACGACTCCAAGTCTGGAATTTGTTCCTGGGGATGCTTGTATTGGATTTGACCTCTTTGCATTGTTTGTTGAAGCCTTTAGAGCTACACGTAGCATTAGAACGATAGCTTAAATTGTATGAGATCAGCCTCACTGTTTTTACTACAAGCTGCTTAAAACAGAAACTGTGAGTTATATGCGAAGCCACTAACCCTTCCTTCTACTACGATTGGCTTTTGCTATCCGCATATCCTGTAGGCAATTGGTTGATGAGAAAAGTCTAGCGATGTTCTATGGACTTTCTTTTTGCTTAAAGCCGTTACATGCCGTTGCAGATCCGACTAAGTATTGAAATCAACTTCCACAAGCGGCAGACCCATGCCTAAATATTGACTAGCCCAAGTTGCTATCTAGGTAGATTGAGCCGCAATGCCTCCAGCATAACCGGCAAGCGTCGGCGTGGGGGAAGTTCGCGTATAAGTTAGCAAGAGGTGAAGGTATTGCGGAGAGAACGAATCCAATTTTCTAGGCGTTTTTGGCGGAAGGGGCGGTCAATAGTACTAGGGCTGTATTTTGTTGTATGAAGTGTAATCATGAGCTTTTGGTGTTTCTATTTGTTAGTTCATTAAGTATGGGTTCTGTTTATGTGGGTTTATGTTAAACGATAGTTGATCTACCTGTCCATACACACACACGTAGACATTGAATGGTTCGATATACACGACTGAATGAACATCAGTCTCAGAAGCGAAAGTTTCAATAGTTGGTCCTCTCTTATACTGACAGGAATGCTAAAAATACCCGCGACAAACCGTCAACGTTGAAACTCGGCAACGAGTCCGAATGGCTCGCCGATCTCGGCGCCCGGGAGTCAATATGACAGAATGAGAGTTCCTAGGTTCCGCATCATTCTCGATCATATTATCACATCGCTAACGTACCGAGAAGAGGGTCCTACTAGCGAAGGATACACTTAGTTACACCAGCCCACTCATAGCTAAGGGATTTGCTTCGGGGTTTAGAGCCGCTCGTTTCGTTATCGCTTTCTTTTATCCCCCCCCTCTAGCTTTTTTCCCTATTCTGGTCCGTCCCAAGCTTATTAGGTTACTGACTACTTACCTTGGTCTCTGTCCCCCGTTCTATAGTTTGTTTCCTTTCTATCTTTCTTCTTCCGTCATATTACTGTTTCTTTCTTTTTTTCGAATTCTTGAACGACAACTTGAAAGTAAAGGACAAGGGCTAGTCATTACATGGAAATAACTAAAAACGAAAATAAAAACATCATGAAGGACTCTGATGCGCCAGCGTTGGCTCTGGCCGGGACAACTACAACCGAGCAAATCACCACCAAAAACACATGGAACACCAAGAATTTGACATCACGACTCGGCGCCGATTTGCTCTCGGCTGCGAGTGCTGCCTCCATGGTTGCGCCTCTCATTGCTATCATTGACCGGTAAGTACAATGTCATTGATGTTGTTCAGTCTTGTTTGCGCACATCCTCAATACGGAGGGGGAAAAATGGCCGACTTCGCCAAGAATCTCCAACGACAAAAAAAGCTGACATCATGACAACAGCTCCATCATGGAAAATGCTTCAGGTGCAAACACTCTTGTCAACTCTGTCAAATCCTCTCTCCGAACTCTCATCACACGCCCTCACACTCTGCTCTTCTCAAAACCCACAGCGCTCATCTTTTGCCTATACGGAGGCACATATCTTACCGCCAATGCTGTCGACACATCCTTCTCGACTGTCAACAATAGGCCTGCATCGAGCGTGACGGCTGGAACGACAAAATTCGCTGCCTCAAGCGCCGCCAACATTGGTGTCTGCATCTACAAGGATCAGGTCTTTGTGCGCATGTTTGGTCCCCCCGGAGTAGTCCCCCGACCTGTGCCTCTGGCTTCGTACGGTCTATTTGCGCTGCGCGATTGCATGACCATCTTTGCGTCGTTCAACGTCCCGCCTTTACTGGGCCCTATTCTGGACGAGAAGTTCTCTGCTGAAATGAAGAAGCGAGTATCTGGGCTCTACGCAGCGCAGTTCATGGCGCCTGCCATGGTGCAGTTCATTTCTACACCCATGCATTTGTTTGGTCTTGATCTTTACAACCGTCAAGCGACCGGTCCTGGAGGCGCAGTAGTATCATTACGAGACCGATTAGATCTTGTGCGCCGAAACTGGTTCATCAGCTCCGTTGCACGAATTTGTCGAATTGTCCCTGCATTTGGTGTTGGCGGTATCGTCAACATGAAAGTGCGCAAGAACCTCATGACCAAGCTAGAGTAAAAGGAGTTCGTTCTTAGCCGCTGACATCACACATATACATCACACACATACACACACACACACACGCTTACTCGCAACATTCCCCGTCTTGGTACCCCAAAGGATGGGCATGACCTCATATTTCCGGTTCTGGTTTTGGTTCCCGTTCCTGGCGTTCTTCAGTTACGCGGCTGCGTAATAATGGTTTGCATTTGTTGCTTCGGTCTTGTAACGGTCCATGGCATTGGGGGTTTAATGTTACATTTCATGGTTTTCAAAGGATGGCGAAACGCACAAGGAGCGTACGACGACGATCTGCTACCGACGATAGACTTCTAGAACAGACAGACTGATACGATTGACTCATATGAAGAAATAGTTCAAGTACAAAGGATGCATTCATCTCTACGAATATCATGTCACTGAAATACAGCATGTTGAGTAGTTTGTTTGACTATTTACTCCGATTTTCACATCAGTTCAGGGGAAGGGCTGATTGAATTGTTATTTTTCATTCGTCACGCATTTGCATGCGCTCATCATGCTATCCACCTCCACCTCCACCTTCACTCAAAGTGCTCCTATCTTGCTTCTCGCAGGCCATGCAAGACAGACCACCCGCCATCCCATCAACACCCACGAGCATGGCTCGTCGAAGCTTGTTTATACAGCTTATCGGGGCTGTCATCCTGGCGCAAATCTTCTGGCCATCCTCATTCCTGATGTGCTGCAATAGGGCGCAATCACATCTGCCTGCCCCTGATCCATATCCTAGCCACCATCCACAGGCCTGGTCACCTTCGGTGAGGAACTAAAGAAAAATAAAAAGGGAAGAAAAGTACTGGGCTCAGTCATGTGATATCAAAACGGCACTACAAAGGCCGGACACCCGCCACAAGGCAGAGTGCCAAAGAAGATACGCAAAAGGGGTGAAAGCAGCAAAAGAGGGGGGCATTGCAGGCCCAACGAAAGACAACGAACGTCTGGTACACTGAACGTAAAAGATTATGAGTCATTCAGCTAATAAAGTGGTATCAAAGAAGCATCAAGTTCCTCGCCGACGTGTCGTCATAAATTCGCAAAGAGTACAAATAAAACAAAAATAAAAATGGAAAACGTAGGCTTGTCGTCCGTTGGGGACTCATGAGAAATTGTAGATCCGTTCTTGAAGAGAAAAACGCACGTTATCAAGGTTTCAGGCTCTGTACGGTTCGGCGTGGTTATGGGAGGGCGAGAATATACAATGTGAGTCCAAATGCTGCCCTTGTTGGTGGGGTTTCGACTCTCTACTTGGATCCGGGTACTGAAGGAATGCAACCAAGCTGAAACACCATTGTCGTCAGCAAGGTTCGGCACTTATACGGCCTCCACGTAGAGGAGCAGCTTCTCGTTTCGCTGAAGAGCAAAGTCCAGATCGTTGTCGCTTATCATGCTTGGCTTGTCTCCGGTAGGCTCATCCTTGTAGAAGAGTTGGATCTCCTCGTTGGCTGGAATCTTCAAGCGATCGCAGATCTTGTCGTATAGTGCCTGGAACGAAATATCCGTCGGTACTCGAATGGCAATGAGATCGCCGTTGAAATACATCTTGATCTTCATTGCAGATGGTGGTTGTGCGGGAGGTTGCATGCCCCCGCCTAACGAGGCTTGCGAAGGTTGCGACAATGATGATGCTTGTGTTTGCATATCAGGGTGCGCTGGTCCCAGACCATATCCACTACCATTCAAGTTGTTTTGCGAGCCACCAGCAGGAGATTCCATAGATGAGAGTTGGGAGCCTTGCGACAGACGATATTCATTTTCGTTATCGTTGGGGTCGATCTCGTAGTCTCCTTCGCGGGGTGCGAAAAATTGTCGCACCAAGTTACATCTTGAAATGTAAGGGGGTTGGTTGAGCATGTTCTTGACGTAGGCGTCCAAGTTGTGCAATCGTCCCTCAGTAATCGCATCTGTCACATAGTTGACCGGACCAGGCATGTATGGCAGAGTGCGCTTCTGTGTCCCCGTATTGCCAGCCTCGGCCGGGAACTCGGTGAGTAGGGCAATCTGGAAATCGTAAAAGTCCTCGTAGTAACGAGAAAGCTCCCATTGTCGACCATCTTCGAGCACGGCTTCGATCACGAACCAATACTTGTCCTCAGCAAAACAGTATCGTGGTATCCGTGCTTCGAGGGGAGCATGGAGCGGAGCAGCAGGTTTTTGCACCTGGCCTTGCTGAGGCTGCGGCTGCGGCTGCTGAGAAGTTCGAGGCTGGCTTGCGTATCCTTGCTGCTACATCGATGTCAGTGCTTTTCCTTGGCTGACATTGCTCTGCTACAAAGACTTACCGTTCCGTTCTGTGAAGGTTGTCGGGAATGTTGCTGTTGCTGAATGCTCATGCGTTCCATCCCTTGCTCGATACCTTGTCCAGGTTGTCCGGGACCGCCTCCTTCAAACTTGCCCAGCGTGATGCTACTATTCTTGTATTCAGCAGCCATCTTCTTCCATTCCTCCACTTTGGGCACACCGGCACGCTTGATGGCATCTCCTGGGTTCTGAATCGCCTTATCGCTTGCCATATCTCGAATTTCGACGAATGATACAGGGATCAATCCAGGGCCGCCCAATCGACCGATGGGCTTGGCGACAAACCATTCGGGGTTCGATTGTGCAATAACAATAATGGCCTCGCCAGCCTTTGCCTCTAACTCGTCTGCTCTTTCCGCAGCAAAGTCGTACATGACAATTCCGTAAACCATGGCACCCGTCTTTCCGACTGACTTTGAATTTCGCTGGTGGCCTTGGGGCGCAGCATTTGTGGTAGGTGACATGACGGCTGGCGCAGGATGCGTTGCTGGCGACTCGCTGTATCCGGAATCATGGTCGGGGTTCTTAGGCGGGGAGGGGGGTTGACCTCCGTCGGACTGTGCACTATCTCGCTCGGTTCGGCCAAGGGCTTGGAAGAAGGTTACGGGCACGAGACCCCGGGCGTCAGGAAGAGCTGGGTTGCATGCTTCGTACCAGTCTTGATCGTTTTCGCGGCCGATAACGTGGAAAAAGTCGCCTCTCGAAAAGCTGAGTTCTTGGCTGGAACGGGCCTCGTAATCGTAAAGGGCTCGAATAACCTAGAGATTGGGTTGGGCATCAGTATTGGAGCTCTAGGATCAATGTGAAGTTTGCCGTGGGACCATGGCGGCGCCCAATGTGGCAAACCGGTTGGAGGAATTATTGAGGCTTGTGGTATGCGTGGGAGGGGAGGCCACCAACCTTCTTGGGAGGAACAATGGCGACAGCCGATTTGGGAGTGACTGGTCCTTTGTCCTTATCACCTTTGATCGAACGTCGAAGAGCCTGTACGAAGCGCATTACTGTTAACTTTTTGGCTCGAGTATTGAAGAGCGCCAGCAAAGGCGACGCGAATAACAAGTGACAACGAGGAGAGCGCCTTTCACGATTGCAGTCGAATACGGCGGGGGAGGGGGGCAACTAGGCAGTGAGAAGGAGATGTGCGAATAACGCCTTGTGAGGCACAAGAAGTTGAAATCAAAGCACGACATGGCCGCGATATTCTGTATTGAGAGGCATGGGCGACCGAAAGGGGCAGTGACGAACCTTCATTTTTGTGTAACCGAATGCCTCCTGGGCAGTTGCAAGTTGGGAAGTTGTGAATCTCTCAAAGGTGGAGGTTGTAAAAAAAGGACCAAGAATCGCAAGAACGACCTGAGTAAGGTAGAGACGAACTGAACCTGGACCCCGATGGGAGCACGGCGGCGGGCTGGGCTACCTTATTTCGATCCAAGCCGATATTGGTGTAAGGCAAGGTACAGGATTACAGGTACCTAACCGCTAAGCCGGGCACGGGCAGCGCGTGCAGTGCGGCGGTTGCAGTGGAGTGGGGTGGTAAGAAGGACCCCCAAGAACGATGTGCCTTACAGTGAAAGCCTGCCCCGGGTCACACTGCACAGAAAAATAGAAATGAGTGGAGTGATTAGACTTAGAGTTGAGTCCTCTGAACGTGAGTTGGTCGGGCTGCGAGTGTACGCCAGGGGGGACGGGATACGTAGGTAGTATGTACACAGCTTGACGTGGGTTGGCGCGATATCACTCACAGTAACTCGCTGTGTTGTGATGATGTGCTGTACTTCGCTCGCTCAGGTGGACTGAAGTGTTGTGGAAGTGATTGTGTAATGGTTGACAAAAGTCGAAGAAAGAGAATAGAAGAAATAGCAGGTCTGATTCAGTGGCGGTTAAAGGGAGGAGACGGGTTTTTCTTCCTTGGTGATTTGCTTGTTTGCTTCTTTTGCTTCGCAACAACCTGATGACTTGGGTTTGGTCAAATTGTATAAACCTGTGACTGATCGGATTTCAAAACTTGGATTTCAGTGCACCTGTGACGCAAAATAGCACAAGGATTTGATGGAATAATAAAAGGACTCGTGTGTCGAATTCCTTTTGGCGAGTATTCAACAATGCAAATAATTATCTGTACAGCCGGATAATAGCAGAACAAAAGGTAGAAAGTGTTGAATAGCACGCTCGAGGTGGGGTGATACAGTAGAACAGATGGAGGGGTCGCAGTGATAAACTTGGCATCTGCCAGAGATGCGGGTCCTGTAAGTGGGAATGACAGTGATTGAGGGAGGATACGGTAAAGATTATTGTATCTGATACAGAGATCCTAAGGCGAAGAAAAGAACAAGAGAAGAAAAGACTGGAGGGTGCAAGAGTCGCAATTTGGTCAAATATTAAAAGACAGCATGACTGAGGTCATGAATGGATCTATCTGGTTGGTGGCCAGTTCTGAGTTACCATTAGTTCCAGATCCATCATGGTTTCGAGCTTTGACAAGCTTCAAGGCCTACCTACAGCAACGGTCTGTGTTAGACTACGGTAAGTGCAGCTGATGTGATACTTTGGATAATGGGAACCAGACTTGATTAGCCCTCGCTATGACATTATTCGAAGCTTGGATAACGCCAAGAGCTCCGTCGCTTTCTTTCGACTCTTCACCACTAAAAACATCAATCCAACCCTTGTCGCCTTTAGCTGGCTTCAAACTGCCAATTACACTACACCATTCGGCGCTTCGAGACGATTGTACTGAGCAGTTGTACTGCAAGAGGGCACAAGATCTACCACACATATGCAGTATTCACTCAGCACTGCCCACAATATCGCATCTACAGGCGAGCAGCATGCAGACCTTCCGCTTACAGAACCAATCCCTATCGTATACTATACTACACTACCCACCCCTCATCATACATACAGAGATGAAAAAGAACAAAAGTGCCCTTGTTGATTGACGCCTGACTAGGTCGTCGACTCGACTCGACTCAACTCGGGCCAACCGTCGCCTAATCCTGTCTCGTCTCACTCTCGTTCGCTCATCCCCGGGCCATGGGTGTGGTCAAATTAGCAAGGGGATCATGGTGGATTCGTCATATCCGGATGTAGCAGCCTAGGGTCCCTCCATCTCATCTTTTACAGCACGCAAGTACGTGCCGCTAATTTTTAATAAATCGAACTCGAGAAATTCCCGGACATTTGAGCGACTAAAAGAAACGGGGGAGCTTGTCGCGTGGCAGGGATGGGTTCAGCATGCAGGGGGGCCACGCATCGATCGCACCGCATTAATTGCTACCGTACCTGTCCGTACCAAGGACTAACAGGCTTCTAGAAATCACCACGATGGAGACTGCCAGAAAGAGGGTGATTGTTGCAACATCTCTTTCTCTTCTGCCCTGTCCCGTTATTGATGCCATATGCTCTGAGCGGCATATGTGTTCGGCATAATGGCAGGGCTTGATTTTTTACTCAACCCAATACACCCGAGATGCGAATTGCATAAAGAAACAACTATCTGATGCCGGATGTTGGTGGTCCAGCCCTCTCGAGTTTATGCAAGCGGCAGACGCTCGCTCGTTTCTTCAGCTGATAAATCCTAGGCAATGCAATGGACTCAGTTTCGTAACACTCATCATGTTGGGCCAAGGCCAAAGTACAGAAGAAAGAAATTGTGTTGCCGAGTCGATACAGTTCAGTCGATGTTGTCCAGGACGTCAGAATTGTGGATTCTAGCTGTCAATCAATCATGCTCGCAAGCATTTAGCAATCGTATCTTGCACGCGACACAGTGGTCTTTGCAAGTCATTATCCCAATGACCCATCCTTGTCGAGCTTTAATCCATAATCTACCGGAAGCGTCCCCCGCCATCGTCTACGCTGGCGCCGTTTTGTCTGCGGATACCACTGCCCTAGGTCATAATCCCAAGTGTCAATCTCCCGCCCGCTTCAACCAAGAAACAACCTTGCTGGACCTGCTCTTAATTCCCTATGGGACAAAAAGTGAGAACATCAACTCGACTCCTTCCCAAGGGGTCCAGGGAGGTGCGGGCTGCGGTTACTAATCAAGTCTTATCTCCCAAGCGCTTTAATTAGGGCACTACCAAGGCCCTATACCAAAGGTACTGAAACAGTCCTAAGAGGTAGAAAGGCAATTTAAAGTCTATGCCTAAGACAGTATCGGCAGGGATTTTGAGATCGACCTGTAAGTCCGATGGGTTCGATTGCGACAAGTGCCCGTGAGGCGCACAAATGTCAACAGTGGTTATTCAACAGTGTTTTCAACAATAAGATACCGGGATGGTACCGAAGTGGTAGTTATAGCTGGGATTCGAACAGGCAGTGCAAGACTGTGATCATCCAACACGGTCGGGTGTCGGTCGATCTTAGTTCACCACTACACCAGCAAGCCAAGCGACATTCTCTTTGGGATTCACATTGTTATATCTTATATACCTGAACAGTGAACATTCCATTATCAAGAAAATATCCATACATAAACGATGCATTAATCTTGCAAGTAGCCTACTTATAATTGCAAGAGCCGCGCTCGAATTCAAAGGACAATTGTTCTACTGGCTTCTTGTAATTGAAAGTCATCTAGTAGACAGGTGCAAAATATCAGATTGCCACTGTCAAAACTTACTTTATCCTCGATTATGGCATTCACTACCTCAGGTGATGGAGATTGGTGATCACTGATGCAGCCAACAAAGGAATGCACTAAACAACCCAGATCAAGTAAGCTGTGGATATAAATTCAATTGCTGATTACTCTAAAGCTACCAACCAGGAACTCCTCTAGCATTGCAACTGCTTTCGAACCTGTTAAGGCGAGTGCACAAAGACCCGGCTCAGTGACAAACCCTCCATCCACTGGCCTCAACAGGACAAGAAAGAGCAAGCTAATCAAAGGCTGGTACCCGACTGCATCCCAAACAAATACGTTGTATCTAGAGTCTGTCCCATCCCATCCCATCCAATTTTGTGATGCACCGTACATCAAAAGTGTCGCCTCAGTTGTTAGGCTGGGTGCTGGTATCGAGGCTATGGTTAATTTGTGAATCCCAAGGTAAAGAAGCATAGATGGACTATGGACATGCTGTACCCAGGTCGGTGCAGAGTATAATGGCACGAAATACACCGGTGCCACCTAAGCAGAAACAGGGTATAAAACGCCGAAGTCGTGTCTACATGAATGACCACATATCACCAGAGTGAAAGCATCATCATGTTCCGTCGATAAACATAACGACAGAAAAGTCTCAATCGATGAGACGTTGGAAAAAGTCGCACTGGGAAAGACAAGAAAAAGAAAAAGAAAACTCCAAGGTCGGGACAAGGCTTAGATCTGACCCTTGATATCAACTTTTTGGAATGCTGTGCTACGCGCGGCCTCGAAGAGAGGACCGGCTTTGCCGGTCAGGAACGCAATGTAGTCTGTTCGGTCTTCCAACAAGTGCTGACCTTGATGATCGATGATAAACTGGGCCGCATCAGCATCAGACTCGAAACCGAGTTCTTCAGTGATGAAGCGAAGCTTGACATCCGGCTTGTATCTGTAGACCAGTTAGTAAAAGACTCGTCGATATATCATGGTTGGGAAAACTCACGCTTTGCAAATATTGCACAATGCAGCAAGCCGTTCTCGAACGACAAACATGTCCATGAGATATGCACCCATGTTAGGGGTATCCAAGTAGAGCTGGAAGAACCTATGATAGTTTCCCAGCGCCAAAGATGATCGCACATCCAGTGCATGCTTAATCGCCTTCTCCTCCTTCTCTGCTGTAGTTAGATCTGCCAAAGTGTCGTTCAGGCCAGTTCGGTTGGCGGTATGGATAAAATATAGAATGCGATATGCCTTGAATTCAATGGGGTTGCCCTTCAGGCCCATCCCGTATAACGATCGTAGCTGGGTCTGGCACTGATTATACTCACCAATATCCCCCTTTTCTAAGGCAATGCGCGCATGGATTTCATAAACAGAAACGGTAAAGTCGTTCTTGATATGTTGCACAGTCAAATCTTGTCTCATGGACTTGAACTGGTCACAAATGTACGAGTAGTTGCTCTCCCGCTTCCACTTCTTTTTCAGAAGATCTAGTGTCTGACGCAAAATACGTTCAGGCCGGACTTTGGATGGAACTGGAGGGGCGGTAAGGCGAAGGTACTTCTTCTCCAGCACCTCGCATGTGCCGACAATAGGTCCAGATGAAGCCGGGGGTGGACTAGGTGATCGAAGCGACTTGTATTCGTTTTCGAAGCGACGTTTGCGTTTGTTGGCTTCCTTTTGGAACTTACTTGATTTAGGTAGGGGGTCGTCCATGGAAGCACGCTTATCAGGTGAAGAATAGGAAATACGGTCTTCGAGTGAAGATCGTGAGTTAGTACGCCAAGGTGGCTGGGAGTTGTCATTACTGGCAAAATCGGTAGATTTCCGCTTCTTAGAGTTGAGAGGGACTTGGAAACTTTGCTTGGTATTTGCGTCACGTTCAGCCTTCACCAAGGCCTGGGGAAGAGGCATGTTGTCCCAGTCGAGCGTGTATAGCGTGCCGTTTGCCTTTGCGTTACCGATGGTGTCCTTAAGCTTAGCCTCGATTTCCGCACGAGGCACGGTCGGTTCGTCGTATTGGGGGAGAAAAGATCTTTGAACATAGCTCCGAACAGATTCGGGCCAGTCTACTTTAGATTTGGCCTGCTCTGGCGTTGCAGTTACACCATTCACGGGCGAAGCAGAAGACATTTGGGGTTGCACGGGGGGCGGTGGAGGTGCGTATCCGGCATAAGGAGCAGGCGGCGCTCCGTACTGATTGAATCCTTGACGGACAGCAACGGGGATGAATGCAGGATCTGCGTTTAGTGTCAGGCTTGTCGAGGCTAGGAACTGTTTTGCGGACGAGCAAGGTGATGACTTACTCGTCGGGTAGGCATAAGATGTGGGTACGGTTTGCTGGGTCACGCTCGGCGCTTGCTGCGCTGACCAAGTTGGCATCATTGCGTCGAAATGCTAGCGGTACGAGGGGTTAGTTTTTTACTGAGTGCGTTGGGGAGAAATGATGTCGGATGTAGAATGATAAATGGCGGAGCAAGGTGATCCTCGGAAATGGTTGAATTACGTGTGGAGGTTTCTTTGAGGGCATTTTCTCATGGTCGGTGGCGGTATGGTCCCTGCTCATTCTCGGAGAAACTGTGATCCGGTGATACGCTTAAGCTTTGTCTGAAACTTGAAGCTTATCACATAGTGGAGCCGACAACCCTGGAGAGGCCTGTCAAGTTTCGCGTGCCTTGGAAGACATCACTCAACATCGAAACGCTTCACCTTTTGGATTTGTGAATCGATTCGGAAATTGGAGCAAACATAAAAAATCTATTCTCTGTTTCTTTGTTCATTTTTGTTTGTGTGAGATTTGTTGGTTTCTTTGTATCCTAGCGCCTGTTTGCTGCAAGCCACCTTCAACTTGCATCATCAACGACCATTCCAGTCATACACGAATTCCTCTCACTTACTCTGACCTCCATGACGGATGTTTCTGAAACAAATCGACCTCACTACCGCACTACGGCCCTCTTATCTCCCTGATGAGGTGCTTCTCTTTGTCCAGGACAACGTCGGCTTGTATGAGGGGTAAGTTGCTTGTTGCCGGGGCGTCTTGGGGCTGGAGTTGACAACGTTGCAGCAAGTTCAAGCTTCCTAATCAGCAGAATGGGCAGGTTTACTTGACTTCACACCGAATCTGTTATGTTGACAAGAAAGAACCCCGCACACACTCTGTAGCGTTGGACCTAAAAGATGTAGAGCGCCATGAGTTTTATGCTGGCTTTCTCAAGTCATCAGCCAAGGTGACTCTGATACCAAAACCACTTAAACGATCATCATATCACAGCCGCGCTATATCGAATGTATCGAGCTCACAAAGGAACACTTCTGGATCCCCTGGGCATTCCGAATCTGGGTACCGAGCTCCCCCTGAGCCTCCTGTAACGAGTGCGACCTGGGTCTGCACAATATGCAGTTTCTCAAACCCAGTCCCTTCGAACTTCGACCCAACCTCTGCAAACGCACATACGCCTCTCCCTCCATGCTTAGCTTGTGGCATCAAGCCGTCTTTAGCTCATGTTCTGAAAGCTGCGATTTCTGGGGCGAGTAATCGTCCAGCAGCCTCGCCAGCCCTTGATTCACCAATCCCGTTACGGCCAGCTCAGGCTGACAGTCGGCCTCTGTCCGAAAACCTGGATCAATTACCTACGCCAAGTTTGTCTAATGCATCCAATGGCTCGAGGTCATCTGCTTCATTCCAATGTCCTCGGTGCACTTTCTCGAATCACCCCTCTCTGATGACATGCGAGATGTGCGGTGGCCCTCTGATATCCAACAACGTTCCATCACCTATCCAGCAAAGCTCAGCGTCCGAGACAGTCAGAACTGATTCCCCGGGGCCTGTCCTTGATCCTACCAAGAGCAACAAGAACGGGAGTGATGCCCCTGAATGCGTCAAGATCTCTTTCCGGCGGGGAGGTGAGAAGATATTCTATGAGCGTCTGAAAGGTTCGATGACACAGCGCAAATGGCTACTTCGAGATGCCCCTCCGGCTCCGAGCAGTCGGGCTGCGGACGAAGGAGCAGGCGATCCAGCCAATGGTGGTTCAGGGGGGCGAACGAAGGGCGTCGGTATTGCTGGATTAGAGCAGCTGGGTCTGAACATGCGCAAAAACAATGAGTTGCTCATTGGAAGTGCCTTTGAGGATCTGGAGGCTCTTATGTCATCTGCTAAAGAGGTGATTGCCCTTGCAGAACGGTTTGCGCGACAGACGAACAACGGGCAAGGCAACGCATCGGCCGAGGAGAATGCCATCCTCGCCGAGTCGGCAAGCCAACTTGGACTCGTCACAACCAAGGACATTGTAGGCGGTGGTAGCTCCGAGTCGCTTTATTTATCAGAACTAGCCAGAAACTTGGCTGAATTCCTGACAGATGACTCGAGAGGCGTGCTCAAAAAGGCTGGTGGTATTATCACGCTTGTTGATCTGTGGGCCATGTTCAACAGAGCTCGAGGTGGTGTTGAGCTTGTCAGCCCAGCAGATTTCGAAAAGGCTGCAAGGCTTTGGAGCAAGCTTAAGCTGCCTGTCCGCCTGCGCACCTTCCGCAGTGGCGTCATGGTTGTTCAGAGCCGCGAGCGCACTGACGGAACCACCGTAAGAGCCATACTTTCATGGTTGAAAGACCTCCACGAGTTCCCACCGGACCGGGATGTGCCCTGGGACTGGCAGGAGTTTGGCCGTGGAGTGACTGCTCAAGAAGCCGCTGAGCGCTTCGGATGGAGTCTTGGTGTTGCAGAAGAGGAACTGCTGATGGCTGAGGAGCGGGGAGAGTTGTGTCGTGAGGAGGGACTAGAGGGTCTCAAGTTCTGGGTGAACTACATCAACCTGGGCGAACACAAGAAGCACAGGACGCAAGCTCAGAAGGACAGTGATGAAGTCATGAAAGCACTGAAAGCAAGCGGGCTCTTATAGACAAAGCGTGCCGTGCTGGTTTATATAGCGTGGGCCTGCCCGAGAGTTTTACCGGAGCAAGAAATAATACAATTCATGCAATATATGCTGTATTAGTTCTCCGTTTAGCATTAATTTGTGGTTGTGGATATATATACATGTTTTGCCCGGAATCATAATCGTCTACCGAACTCCAACTCCTATGCGAATGCCAGATTTTGCAAAAGCTAAAAACGCCCCGTGATGCCCAAACGATCATTAATCACACAACAACATGAGTAGACATATGCTCGACAGCTTCCTTAATGGTGCGTAGCATGCGCTGATTGACACAAAAGGGGCATCTCAAGGGCCGTTCATCTCGAGCGACAGGCGTCTCCGATGCGATCGGAGTGAGTGTGAGATCAGCACCCAAGTCATGGGCCGGCGTAGCTGTGAAGCGCTGAACAGAAGAGGCACGCGCAGTAGGTGTGGTCATGATACTGTTTTGTTGGAGCCCGACTCGTTCCGCACGCTCACGTTCCTCACGCACAGCCGCAGCCTGCTCCTCGGCGGCCTGCTCTTCCTGCTGAAGCTGACGCAAGGCATTCTGCAGAACAACTTCAGGGTCGTCATCGGCGTATATTGGTTGATCTGGCTGAGGTGGAGGGATTGCAGGAGGGTCGTGGGTCATCATGGGAGGAGGCGGTGGCAGAGGAGGCTGCGGTTGTTGAGACCCTGTCAATCTTCGAACCACTTCATCACGCACCAATGCACACGTGCCGAGGCTGGGCTCGATGCCAACAACGCGCAGGACTTCTTCTCTAATTGCTCCTGGGCTTGTATCTGGGGCAAGATTCATAAATCGGGGAACGCAATCGGCCAGATATCCAATGTCTTCGGCGGGATTCATTCCGCCATCCCCATGACGCCGCTGTCTTCGTATTAAAAGTCCATACCGTTTCTTGAAACGATGAATCCATCCCGGGGAGAATTCGGGAGGGTTTTCATCTTTATATCGAGGTAGCTGGTTGAAGATGGTCTTTGCTTTATCTCCCAATTCCTCATTGGTAGGCTGACGTCCAGAGGCCTGGACTTGCTGGAACCAGATGAGGACGAGCTTTTCTACATCAGGCCAGTTTCCGTACCGCAGACGGGACCCAGATAATTGAGGGTTGTCACTATCCAGGCGCGAGTACTTTGGCGACAGCGAGTGCGACACGGTGGATTGGCTTATTTGCTGGCCGTACTGCGAGTAGAACCACTCAATACAGGCTTTATGTGAAGGACGAATAGGCTGACTGTTGGCCCAACGACGTAAAGCCCTACGTTGATCGAGGGTCAAAGAATGCCTCTCTTTTGGTGACGCGCCGACATGATCACCAACTTGGTCAACGGCCGACAGGTCGTGGCCTACCTGATCGACAGCATCAACAGGAGAGAGGTCCGGGGCGGGAGCAGCAACAAGGGCCGGGTCGGTGGTAGCAGCCGACATGCCCAGGACGGCTATCTCCTTGAGGTGTGGATTCTCGATTTTGGGGGATATTGGGGATGGAGAGGCTATCGTTGTATCCGAAGGACGTGCGCTTCGCGGGAGGTGGGATGTTTCGATTAAGGAGATAGTTGATGACTGTTTGGCGAGAGAATGTCGATGGCGGGGGAGGAGTTCCGTGTCACGTGAATGCTCCAGTGAATAACAAGGTAGGTACGTCAAACAGGTGGGTTAGACCAACAACATTACATGGAAGGAATTTATGTTGCAAAAGGAAGTCTAATTCGAAGAGGTATTAGTTATATGGAATCACTAAATACTATCCTTGCTCTTATTCAGTCATTTTCATAGTATTAATTTTTGAACATTCTGTAACCTAGAAATCGGCCAAGAGTGATATGAACAAAACCTCGATATATGCTTCTTCGATAACGTACTAGACTGAATCGCTAGTCCTCGTTGTTTCCGGCAACTTTGATAGAAGCATGGATGTCAACCAGGATTACAGATATAGACATGCTGGGATATAGACATGGGTTTTTCTTCCTTCGGCGAAATTTTTTAATGTTACATAATTGTCATAAAATTAAGAGTGGGAAAAGAGGTTGCATAGCATATCATTTCATCAAACACAATTTCCGCACAGGTTATTCTGATAGTCCGCTTGGTCGTCTATCAATCGTACTGTAACAGTGCTCAATACACATAAATGAGCTGATTTTTCTCTAGCTCAAGAGCTCGGATGTTCGTCAATAAAAAACTCAACGAACAGCTAAAGTCTTCAAGGTGGATGGGATGAGGATAAAGATGGGATGGGATGGAATACAGGCTCCGGGCCGGTTTCGCACTGACCTAACTCTTTGGGCGTGGAGAAATTGCACATGGAGATGAAGACGAAGCTCTCTAATAGTTCCCCGGTCTGTTTTGACTCCTTACCATCATTAAAACCTCAACTATCGTGAAGTCTCGTTTGAACTATTCCCAGAAGACTCGTCAGGTTCTCATGAGCAAACTAAATATACTGATTACATGACTAGCGGCTGTAGAGATGCCCGTCAACTTCCTTTTCAGGAGTACCCGGCTCTAGCTTGAACCATGCCGCCACTTGGCAAAGTTCTCGAACGTGTGCCTAGCGATACGCTAGCTTTGTCGTCCTGCATGGCGATCTGCCGACAGGCTAGCTAACTAACATGTTCTTTACCAACTGACTTTATAACATTTCTGCTCCTTTTAAAACCGTTGGAATCTCTTTTTCTTACTCGTTGCTGTATCAGACGTTGAAACGGCGACTTTATACCCCTTTCGCGATACTACTCTACTTGTCATCATCGCCACTCACAATACATCCTATCTACCCAGTCTTGTTCCAAACCGAAGGATAATCATACAAAATGGCAATGACCAGCGCTTTAGGGGACCAGGACGGTTCACACTATAGGGCACCAGGAACTGCCAGATCTTCAACAGCAGCTTCCACCACTTCCAGTTCCACCAGAATCGCCCTCTTCAACTCCCTCACGCCATCAAGTACCGCTCTTGTGAGCGAGTGCGCAGATACACCATACCGTCCACTACCAAGATCATTGAAGATATCATGGCAGTGGAATAAACTACGAACGTTCTTTATCGGCACTGAATCCAGCTCAAAGATGTTTGCCGTAACAGAACACTCTGGACTTTTCGGTCGTACTTCAGGTGCGCCTTGCTTGCTCCTACACAACGGCCCTACCGGAAAGGATCCGATATTAGCAGCAGCTGGCGAAACTTTGCGAGACGGTCTGTCCGATCCAGGTGTTTTAGAAAGCATTGTCAATGTCTCTGGGGCACCCGGAACGGATAACAGAGTTGCTACCGAGATTGTTCAGGCACTATACGATGATATTGAACAATGTATTGTATTCCGATGGGCAATCGAATCAAAACCAGAAGAGGCAGGACAAGATGGCATCTTCACGAGAGAAGAGTTTGAATGGACGATGACACCGATACAAGCGGCAACAGACGCTAAATACTGCCACGAATTCAAGCTGTACCGTGTTGGCGATGTGAAGGCGCCGAATGAGTACCTGGCTATGGCTTCATGGAAAGAGGCAGCATGGAAGACCTGCAAGATTGATTTCTCAGATAATGGAATCCAGAAAGGTTTTGGAGACCGGTGGTCTCTTATGGTTATTATGTCTGCATTGCGGATGTGGCAGCTTGGTCGATCAGGACAAGCATCACTAGAGTACGTATCAAATTGATACTACTGAGTTTTTCTTGTGTAATCTAGCGTTTGCTTTTTAAAATAGAACCAACAGCGTACGATATAAGTAATAGACAATGTATATTCAGACTGGTTTTCAGTTGGGGATTAGTATTCAAGTCTTTTCCTGGTGTTTTAGTATGACAGTATCATATTGTTGAACCCACACGTTGGCTTACATCAATACAAAACTGTTATCAGTCGGAGAAAAGGCCACCCTATGCTTCCTAGGACACTACGCACCGCATGGTAATCTAGGATACCATCAAATGTGATACGAGGCTCTGCGTCTTCAGCCTCCGCGCAACATGACCGCCATCACTGATGAATAGAAGAAGTCGCCCATCATTCGCACAGAGTTTTTTTTAGTTAGTAGAGAATAATCCATCATTATGCTGTCTCATTTTATCGGAAGGTGCACCACATGGGAATTATGAGCATAGTGAACTGCCCCAAATTGGCATCAAGTCTCGCCGACGAGGGAGCTGGGCTGCGAAGATGGCAAGGAGTCAGCGGACGAATTATGGTCACAACTCTAATAGCATAGCCCTTGGCTTCGGATATGGAGAACCACAATGACAAGACATTGGCCAAGTACCAAACATCAAGCCGATATCGTGTTGCCAATGCTTGATTTTGGCACAACACAAATTTTCTCTTGCGCCATTTCGAGCTCGAGGAAAACAATGACGATTTCAGCCTGTGCGGAGTAAGCATGCAAGCAATCGCAACATCAAAATTCAGCTGGTCCGTAATAACGAAATTGGCTCGAGCTGGTCGGTCGCATGTTCGGGTTTTTCACATATGGAGGAAATCGTTCCTTAGGATCGTCATGCCACGATTGGCGAAACAGGCTTTTGTTGGTATCTGAATTTGACTGTCCGGCTCGATGGACAGCTTATGCTTCCATGGCTTACAAACGTACACCACATCCAAATAACCGCATGACCATTGTCCTTGATCCAACCGTCTAGTTCTTCTTGTCCTGCTGGCTAAGGAAGTCCCTGTCATTGTGTTAGTCCACAATATTCCAACACGGCAGGGCGAATTCGCGCACTGGATGAAGTTGGCCTCGTCGGAGCTGGAGGCGTTGATGGGGGGAGTAGCGGTAGCGGTAGGCTTAGCAGAGCTGCCAGAGGTGGCGTACTTGACACCGGCGAAGAGGGTTCCCAACCAGGCCATGGCCAACTAATGTTCATGTCAGTTTCAAACCTGCAGCAGATTCAATTGCGGGGGTACGAACGTAGTGGCCGCCGACCTGCTTGCCGGCAATGGTGTAGTAAGCGATACCAGCCATTGTGAATTATAAGACGAGACCTGGGTGGACGAATTGGGTAATGTACGGAGGACAACGGGTGGATGTTCAAAGTGTCGCGGTTGAGATACTTTGCCGAGCTCTCAAAATCAACTGGAGCTTGTGCCTGGAAATACAGGCTTAAAGGGACCGACCTGTACTAGGCGTTGCGGCTATTCCCCGGGGTTTTCACAAGATCGGGATCAATCGGATCTACGGAAGCAACGTCACTGTTCTCCAACTGCAGCAACCACTAACCAACTGTGGGTAAAAGGTAGGGTAGCTGCGGGCCATCAAAATGGGAGCTTCTGCTGCGTTTGACGTAGAATCTCGCCTTTTTATTACTGTTTTAAATATCTCACTCAAATCATCTTTGAATCAAGATCGCGTGCAACATCTGAAATGTGGTGGGGAAAGTCAAAAGATCCCAAGCCGGAAGACAAGAGCGAGGCAGCTCAGATCAAAGACGCTGTAGCTGAGAAGCTCCCCTCAAAAGAGCAAATCTCCAACAAAGTACAGGAATCTGTCAACCAAACCGGCAAGAACGGAAATGTCTTGAACGACATGGCTGAGGGCTAGTATGTATTTATATATACGATCTTGTCGATACCAGTTAACCAAGCATAGCGGCCCTGATTCAACCGATTCCAATATTCGATATGCAGCCTATGCCACTCGAATCCGAACGATTCTTCTCTCGGCGCATCGATATGTCGCTTACACCTCCGATATAGGCGAGTCGTTTAGGCCGGTGGCTCACCCGAACCTCGTCCGTGGTGCCTACGGTGTATCTTGGTTGTACCTTATTGGTGATGTCTCGTACGAAGGCTACAAGTCATACTGGCACAATCAGCGGGTGTTGAACCCCAAGCTGCAACTCAGCCCCCGTCAAGAAAAGGTCACTGGTCTGCCTGCCCTTGAGACACGTGCGGTCGAACCCGGGACGGTGGCACCACTCGATGATTACCGCACCGTCATGGTACAGCGCGCAATCTTCCAGAGTGTCGCAAGTATGGGACTACCCGCTTTTACGATTCACAGTGTTGTGAGGTATTCTGGTCGAGCCATGAAAGATATGAAGAACAAGGTTATTCGAACTTGGGGGCCTATTGGCTTGGGTCTTGCGGTGGTCCCCTTCCTCCCAGCCATGTTTGATGAGCCAGTCGAGAATGCGGTTGAGTGGGCATTTCACAAGGGGTTTGAGACATTTGGAGGGAAAAGCGCTGTTGGAAATGCGCCTATGACGGGCCGCGAAGACCTGTTGGCAAAGAAGCCAGCCAAGGAAAAGGAACTGTAATGCGAGTATTTGTACAACCTGGCGTTCAGGGAAGGTAGAAGGCGCTCAACTCATATTCTGATATCTAACCTGCATTAGTAATTTTGCATGGCCAACTCCAAAATATCAGTAAACTACATGCACAATACCATCGCAACTGATCTGATATGCAGGGATATAACCCTGGCTATGCATCTGGCATCACCAGTGAGCTCCAACGGTGGGGAGAATGGGGACCCCGCGATTTACTCCTGGTCCCTTGAAGGAAGGTGGCTGTGCGCCATGAATAATAACCAAGCCTCCTATTTCCGCTCATGTAAACTTGTGAATAATTCATAAAGATCATAGACGCATCTCGCGTTGTACCGTTTAGGCGAGCGCATACTAATTACTTTCTTTTGCAGTGAAACGTCAAAGCTTGCATCACCTAATTTGCCAAGCTTGGTCATACGTGGACCGACTCTTCTAGACATTTCCTCGCCGCCGCCTCTTGTATCAGTCATCTGCCTACAAACCCACAAACACTTGCGACAACACGACAGCAGGTCTGCCTGCGACCTACGACCTTACTCTCAGACTTTATATCTAGACATCATAAAGCCCCAAAGACATTCATCATGGCGTCATCAAACACACCAGAAGCTCAAGACACTAGCTACGTCGAGATGGACGACAAGAACGAGGCTACTCTGATTGGCAAGCACTGCGAATACGACTACTGCAACCAACTCGATTTCCTCCCCTTTTTCTGCCAATCTTGCCGAAAGACGTTCTGCCTCGATCACCGAACCGAAACAGCACATGTATGCGCCAACCCTGGTGCTTGGGCGGAGCGAAAGCGGCTCAAGGAGCTATCACAACCATCTATCGGACAAGGAAAGGTTCTACGGGACAAGGTGTCGCAAAAACCATGCTCATCGCCTGACTGCAAGACCACGATCGGAACGTCTTTGATACCTGGTGTACACTGTCAGACATGTAACCGAGATTACTGTTTAAAACATCGTCTCAAGGAAGATCACGACTGTAGCAATCTGGTACCTATTGGAGCCCGCCCGGCGCAATTTGACGTTGGCCAGAAGACAAGGTCGGCATTCGACAAGCTACGCGCATGGGGTACAGCAAAGAAAGAGCAGGCCGGTCGAGCGCTGCCAAAACCGAAACCAACTTCCACCTCTGCACGAATTGCTGCGGTGAACAACCTAAAAAAGACGGCCAAGGGTGATGCCAAAACGCCCATTGAAAAGAGGGTATACGTATACGTTGAGGCCGAAGCGGAGACGGCCAAAGCCAAATTTCCCAAGGGAGAGTTTTTCTACAACAAAGACTGGGTTATAGGCCGAGTTCTAGATGCTGCAGCAAAAAGTCTACAGGTGCAGAACATCAACAACCAAAGTTCGGATGAGAAAGACAAGCTACGTGTCTTCCACGTGGAGGGAGGAAGGATTCTAGAGTACAACGAGAAAGTTGGGACAGCTTTGCAGAGTGGGAACACTGTGGTTTTGTTGCGTGGTGTTGGACCAGCTACCCCAGACCTGATTGAAGCATGAGCACGGTTTGTGTTTTCTGAATAAGTGATAGAAATGCATAGACGGCGTTGGGCTATTTCCGATAACAATAATTATGGTACCGACTGTCTTTGATGCAATTGTTTTGGAGTCTGTTCTGTTGTACTCTTAAAGTCGATCGACTTGCCCTTATGTGTATGAGTACAGGTAATCGGCCAGCCGTCTACATAGATGGCCATCAACTAGACTGGAACCTACCTACCATACACCACAAACCGAATGGCCGATATAGAGAAACTATGTTGATAAATAATATGAAAAACACACATAGGATTTAAAGGAACAACTGGTTATTCTGCGTCTAATACCACTGACTGGAGCCTGGCTTAATTGGATCACGTGAACACGTGTTGCCTGGCGTTCTTCTATGACGACGTACCCACTACTATTGTTAAAGAAGTCATAATTCAGCCAACTTCGCATGATGCGACAATTCAATTTACGATCCCAGCATGCCTCCTCTTGTGCCACGCAAACGTTTGCGTGAGTCGTCACCCCCAGGACAAGGCAGAGTAACAAAAGCAGCTAAAGAGAAGCCCGATGCATCGCGGCGCAAAGCAACACTTTACGACGACTTAGACGCATCCGCGACACCCAATTCAAATTCAGTTCTCCATGGTTTTGACAATGATGACGATGATGGAAGCTCTTTGACCTCTTTGTCGGATGATGAATTTGAGGATGTTGTGCCACCAAAGAAACCAAAGGGCAGCGATGATGATTCTGGAGACGACGATGACATCCAATTTGAGGATGTCGAAGCACCAGTTGCACCTTTGCCGGACGCCCCGGTAACCTCTGGAGACCTTGAATTGATACTCACGCGTGATACACGAATTTCACTCACAAACGCATTCGATAGAAAGGGACCCTCAAAGCGTGAAAGAAAGGTTCGACATGCCTCGCACTGCGTTCATGTCATGCTACTTCTGTGGCATAACGCTTCCCGAAATTCATGGCTTTGCGATCCTGAAGTGCAGGCGACTATGATTTCTCATCTAACCCCCAGGCTCTGGGATGAGGTGGACCGATGGAGGCGCAACAGTGGCCTTGAAAAGAAGCCGCCGCCTAAAAAGCCAATAAAGGATAACAACAAATCAAGAGGGAAGGGCAAAAAAGTACCCGATAGAAGATTGCGCGACTGGGGAGCTGAGGCTGAGAGACTGGAACCAGGTGCTGTCGATATGAGTCATGGAGATCCCCTGTTCCGACTCATGCAAACACTCTCTGCTTGGTGGAAACAGCGGTTTCGAATTACAGCACCAGGGCTTAGAAAATGGGGATACATGTCTCTTGAACGGCTAGATCGTCTGACAAAGGCACAAAAAGCAGAACCTCACGATCCGGAGCAATTCGGCGAGAATATCTCAGGCCTAGAAGGATTGAGATGTTGTGCCCGAAGCTGTGAGGGCAGCCGAGATGTAGGTGCCCAACTGTTTACCGCTTTACTTCGCGGACTAGGTCTAGAAGCGCGCATGGTTGCGAACCTGCCTTGTCTAGGATTTGGGTGGAACAAACTTGAAGAGGCCGAGCCGGAAAAGAGCGACAGCATGAACCAGACAAAGCCTACTCTAGATAAGAAGGCAAAAACGACTACGAAAACAGCAGCTGTGACAAAAAAGCAGTCCAATAAAAAGACAACACAGGCTGCTAAAAACACAACACGAAAGCCGAAACCAAAACCCGAGGTTGTAAACGATTCGGAGGATTTAGAACTTGAATACAAGGACACTGACGACGAGTCGGTTGTGGATATGGAGGTCACGCCGAGAAAGATATCGACCAAGAAGTTTGATACGGATATGGATTTTCCACATTACTGGACTGAAGTCTTGTCACCAGTCACGAATAAGTACCTGCCTGTCGATGCGATTGTCAAGAATGTGGTCGGGACGAATCGAGATTTGATAGAGTCTCTGGAGCCTCGTGGAGCAAAAGCCGACAAGGCACGTCAGATAATGGCGTATATCATTGGGTATTCGCATGACGGTACCGCCAAGGACGTCACAGTCAGGTATCTGAAGCGGAACATGCTTCCTGGTCGCACAAAGGGAGTCAGAATGACGCCGGAAAAGGTCCCCGTCTACAATCGACATGGGAAGATCAAGCGATACGATCAGTTCGACTGGTTCAAAACTGCAATGTCAGGATACCAACGAGGCAGCAAGAAGCATCCCATTACTGAGATCGACGAAGCCGAAGAAGCGACAGATTTGAAGCCAGCCAAACCAGAAAAGAAGGAGGTCAAGGAAGGCCAAGAGACTTTACAATACTACAAGCAGTCAAAGGAGTTTGTCCTAGAGCGCCACTTGAAACGCGAGGAGGCTCTTAAACCCGAAGCAAAACCCGCAAAGATGTTCAAGAACAAGGGAAAGGGTGGCAAGGTGGAGGAAGAAGACGTTTTCCTACGCAGCGATGTCCTGAACGTCAAGAGTGCCGAAACTTGGCACAAGCAGGGCCGGGCACCAAAACCTGGGGAGCAGCCATTGAAGAGGGTTCCCTACCGCGCAGCTACCTTGAACCGCAAAAGGGAGATATTGGAGGCGGAAGCTGCTACAGGAGAAAAGGTTCTGCAGGGCCTCTACAGTTGGGAGCAAACAGACTGGATCATTCCACCACCAATCAAGGACGGGGTCATTCCCAAGAACGAATACGGGTATGAATTCATTTATGAGAAAGTCTTTGAACTCGCTAACTATGTTAATAGGAACATTGACTTGTTTGCCGAACATATGTGTCCTAAGGGTGCTGTACATGTGCCCTTTCGTGGGGCAATACGAGTTTGCAAAAAGCTTCAAATCGACTACGCAGAGGCTGTCGTGGACTTTGAATTTGGCCACCGTATGGCTGTTCCCGTCATCCAGGGCGTCGTCATCGCTGAAGAGAACCATGATATGGTTATGGTTGAACTCGAAAAGGATGAAGCAGAGCGCGCCCGAAAAGAAGACGAGAAAAGACGAAAGAAGGCACTTACACAATGGCGTCGTTTCCTTATGGGCATGCGCATAGCAGAACGAATTAGACAGGAGTACGGAGAGATCACCGACGACATATCTGTGTTTGGGCATGCTAGGGACTCAGCCCATTCGAAGAAGCCAGCATTGGTACCGGATGAGGATATGGCTGGTGGATTCCTTCCAGAGGGCTACGAAGAAGAAGTCGAGGAGGATCAAGGATTACCGGCACACCATACTTCGAGCTTCTTCCCTGCTGTCGACGAATATGACGAAGGTGACGATGGACTCGTGATGGAGCACGGCGGGGAAGATCAACAGAGAATGACGGTCCAAATGGATATTGACGGTGAAGAAGTAGCCTCCCCGAAATCTCAGGCTGACGCAGGGCTGGACCCCGAACCCAAGGCAAAGTCAGAGCCTGAAATGGATCAAGACATGGAGCAAGAAGAGCTCAACCTGGAAGCAAAATCCGAGTCAGAATCCGAACAGCCGCGCACAAGCGCAAGATCAAGAAAAGGGGCTCCCAAGAGACGAATAAAAAACGAACAGCATGCACCTGTGCATGCGACTCGTCGATCGACACGGAGCGGCCGCAAGGTTGTCTCATATGACGAGGATGGTGTGAATAATGATGATGAGATAGCGGATTCTCATGCTGAATCTGAGGAAGACTAGTAGAACCAAGCACTGTACGCTAGAGAATTAATGTGATAGGATGGACCAACAAACCATCCGTTTGCTGTTATCGAATGGTTGTCGTCTGAAGGCTGTGTCCTTAAACCCAGCTCGATCCGGTCAGAGTACTATGGGGTTGAAGGTTAAGATCTTATACCAACTAGATGCTTAGAGTATTTGGTGGGTTTTCGCGATTTTCGAAATCTAATACTGACTTCTTCTCGCTCTACAGCCACGAGTCGTAATGGGTCAAATTCAAAGAAGCAACCTCACTCTCATACAAAAGATACCTAGACTAGAGTACTTATATTTTAGATCCTTCAGCTTTAGTCCATGCTTCTTAATCTTATTAAAGATTTTAACCAAGATTATTTGTCCACGCAGATTGTTTACTGGGTAGCAGAAAAAATGGCCTCCTAAGACTTAGGGTATAAAAATAAGTAGTCTAAGAACTATAGCGGGGCATAAAGTGACCTACTAATTTCGTCTCTTATGCTTCCAGCGGTCAATGTTTCTGATACCCTGAGGCCAGTGAAACAACCAGACAATAAGCCATTGGAAGGGTTGAGTGATATTATGTACCTAGATAGACTCAGGTGGGAAGTGTAAGTGTTTGGATGACGACGAGACCTGACCAAGTTACCACCTTACCTTGGGTATTAGATCAGGTATCGTTGACAACGGAGGATTGATAATAGGACAGGCTTAAGATTTAGGCATGCTCTATTGAATTCTTTGAGAAAGGACGCAAAACCAAGGAAATCAGTCAATGATTAGAATGTAAAAGTGAGTGTTTGTCGAGATTTAATGTGTAAGGGTGATGTACTTGCATTTGGCAGTGCCGTGACAGGTGAAGGTGAAGTTAGACCAAAGGATATCGGTTTATTGGTGCATGCGGCAAACCCTTTCCCTTCTCCTTCTCCTTCTCCTTCTCCTTCTTCTTCCTAACAACTACCAGACCCAAACCACGCACAGGCAACGAGTATGGAGGACACCGAAAACGATAGACAATGCGATCGGGACCATTGCCTCCGAGAAGTGACTGCTGTGTTTCCAGACATTTGCCCACAGTACCTTGAAACGGTCGCCGCACCCTTGAATTTCAGCCCCCAGTACACAATCAACTATATCCTCGATCTTCCAGAATCAGGAAGAACCTTCGAAAAGCGAGAAAAGCCTAAAAAGACAGTCGGAAACATGAAGCGTGACGATAATGAACAGAATGATGACCTTGAAGAGAAATTGTGCAAGGACAGGCGCCTGTACACTTCCGATGATCGAGAACAACCAGCCTTAGAAAACCAACCTGAAGCGTAAGTTGAACTCCGCATGATTCCAACACATTTTGTAAACGGATAACACAAGAAGAAATGGGAACGTTAGGAGCACACACAGACTGTATCCCCGTCTATTCGTGCAGTCGAACAAATCTGAGGGGACCTAGGCAAACGGTCCTTGGAGGAAGTGACCAACAAAGGCTTGATAAGATTTAGTTTTCGGGCATTTCTAAATGCTAACTTTAATACAGGAGAAAAATGATTGCTGGAGACTTTCCCTTGGTCACTATGAAGATTGTCAGAGAGTTTCTCTCAGACCATAAATACAGTCTTTATTTTGCGTATCTTGCCCTCGACAAGACTATTAGACAACAACCAGATCAGCCTTTATCTTGGATTCCAAAAAAGAAGGCCTCATTACTAGCATCGGAATACGACGGAAAGAATATCGAGGATACAATCAAGGCCACTGGAGTCCAGCAAGACATCGAGCTAATGGAGGAACTCAGGGCTGCTAGACTTGCTCGACGACAGGCAGATTTGAATAGACAGAAGGAGATCGAAGCCCTGGAGGCAGAGAAAGAAAAATTTGAAGAGGCACAAGCCAAAGGCGAAACAAAAGACTGCGAGTGTTGTTTTAACGAAATTCCACGCAATCGGCTCGTTCATTGCGACGGTGAGAAAGCTCACGTAAGTACACAACACACACTTGACCCTCCGCGAAAGCGTGGCTCAGTGCCTGACTTTCTCTCCCGCCAAGACAACACAAGTTCTATCATCAGATAGTTCTTGCTAACAAACTTTCAGTCCTTTTGCATTTCATACGCTCGCCGGAACGCCGAGAACCAGGCTGGCCTCTCGAAATATAAACTGAAGTGTTTGTCCACGGAAGGCTGCTCGGCTGGCTTTTCTCTCCGAGAACGGAAGAAGTTCTTGGTCGAGTCACTGGCTTATGCTCTCGACGTAATTGAGCAGGACGAGAACCTTCGACTGGCCGAGTTGCCTGGTCTTGCCAGGTGCCCCTTCTGTCCCTATGCAGAAGAGTACCCGTCAGTTGCCAAAAACAAAGAGTTCGTTTGCCGAAAGCCCGGCTGCATGATCACAAGTTGTCGTCTTTGCAACTTGAAAACTCATATTCCCAAGACTTGCAAGGGGGCAGTTGTAGCAAAGGGGCTTGACGCCAGGCGACAGGTAGAAGAGGCCATGTCGAAAGCTCTTATCCGCAATTGCAACAAGTGTACGTTTCCAAATGGCAACTTCGATTGTAATGATTTTCTGTGGCTAATTTTTTCCATAGGCAATACACCTTTCGTCAAAAAAAGGCGGCTGTAACAAGATGACTTGTCCCAAACCCAGCTGTCGCAATGAGCAGTGTTACATATGTTCCCGACTTGCGATTACGACCACTTTGACGATCAAAAGCGCGGGGGCAGTGTGGGTAATTGCCTTTTATTCGATAATTGCGAGAAGCGACACCGTGAAGAGGTTGAGGAAGCGGAGAAGAATGCCAAACAGAAGGTACTGCAGGACAACCCAGTTCTTGAGCTTAAGATTCTCGACTTCACTATCTCTTCAGAGATTGAGAAAGGTGATTCTCTTCGAATAATGAATCCTGCCGCTACCGCACAGCAAATGCATCAAGCATATCCAATGCATCAGGCACAGCAAATGCAGCAGGCACAGGCACAGCCAATAGATCGGAGACAGGTATGAGCAATTCGGCTGGAGGCACGGAATAGGGCACGATGGCAAGCATGGCAGCAAATGCAGCAGCAGCAAGCGGTTCTTCCACCACAGCCGGCTCCGGCTCCAGCTGGAATACCCTCACATCAAAACCCCCTTCCTCAAGGTCAAAAATTCGGTTCCATGCAACAGCCAGCGAAACCGTCCAAAAAGTAGTCGAGGATGATTTAGACTATAGTTCTTAGACCACTGCTTTTTGTACCCCAAGACTTAGAAGACCAACAAGAATTAGAGATCAGCGTGAGAATTTAATAAGCGTTCAATTGCTTTTTCCAAACCACAACTGGGCTCTAGCCTCAGGGTACCAGAAAAATTGACCGCTAGAAGCATAAGGGACGAAATTAATAGGTTAGTTTATACTACTTAGGTCAGACTTCTTAGGGTGTTAATTTTTGTATCGTAAAGCTTGGAGGCCGATTTTTTACTTTCACGAGTGGATTTGCTAGTTGATTGAGGGTTGGAAGAGGAAGAAGTTGCTACTGTCTGTACGGCTCAACAGAACTTCTTTTATCAGTCACACAAATCATAGAGTTTAGGCAGCTGCCCTATCGCGTTTGTATCGGGAAACTTTGTCTTGTTGAGAGGAGCTGTATAGAATGTGTTTTAAACAGTCTGCGCGGATAGATAATCTAGTGGGTAGCAGAAAAGATGGCCTCTTGGGTTTAGGATACAAATAATTAACCTAAACTCATAGCCTAAATTGCATAAAGTGACCTACTAATTTCGTCCCTTATGCCTAAAGTGGCCAATTATTCTAATGCCCCAAGGATAACCTTGGTTGAAAACCTGAATAAGATTAAGAAGCCTGGGCTAAAGCTGAAGGTTCTAAAATATAAGTACTCTGGTCTGAATATTTCGCAGCAATTGTATTATTGAGATAGGCAGGTATGAGTATTAGTCAAGATGAATATGTTTAATTTATTCTCCCGCACAACTCCCAGTCTAGTGCCCAATAGTATGACAAGTCGGGCTGTGTGTAACTAGTAATCCGTCTATCATCTCGCCGCTTCTTCATGCTAGCAAATTAGAGTAGTACGACGAAGGGCCCCGATGCATTTCCAACAACAGAAGTCTCCCCCGACCCAGTGAGTAATGACTCCTCACTATAGATCATGACATGCCCACTATCTATTCCGTCCGAATCGCTCATGCCACTTGCCCTTGCCCGGGACACTTTTTGCCTTTTCAGGGACGACATCCAACTCGACAGTCTCCTTGATCGTGGAAACTATAGAAATACCCTGGCTGAATGGTTCATCTGAAGACGACGAGGACATGGGCGAGATAAGCATGAAAGCATTGGATGTGTTCTTTTGACGTAATGCATATGTCTTGTTGGGGGTTTTGATAACAGCAGAGGTATCAGAAGACTCAATGCTAAGCCTGAGGAAAAGGTTAATGTGGTGCTCATATAATAATACAACTGCAACGACTTACACGGGGGCGTCTTCAGCCTCAAGAACGTTTTGTAGATCTGGGGGAAGCTCGATGAGGCGGTAATTGGTAGACGAGGGGTTGTGCTGTACGGGTACACCGCTTGATTGGCTCGACATGGCAATGATAATTCCTTTTTTGACGGGAAGTATGCGGTCGCAATATCAAGATTCAAATTTAGAGGCGGGCCGACAAGTCACTTCAAGTTGAATGTTTATGAAATGGTTCAGGTCCAGATTTCCGATATGACGCTAACAAATGCAACCAAACGTGGGTCCACGTGAAGAGTCTCGATTAATGAAACATGGAGGCTGAAAGTTGAACAAACAACACTCGGAAACAACCATATCTCATGTATGGATAAACCTTTATTTCGCTTATTCAATGTAATAATCTACAGTTCCTCCGAATAATTGTGACAAGTTAGGCTAAATATGGATAAAGGTGGCTATTTGTTTGTTAAGCAAAGGAGGATTGTAACCAAAATCTCACCGAGATCAGCAACCACATCCCTGGATGGCCAAAACCAGAAACCGCTCTGATGTGATGCGAATTCGCGTATATCATGTGAGATTATAGCTTGAAAAAGGATTACAACCCCAGTATTTATGTATCTATTTATCTTCTAGCTGTGACTCAACTGATGCCATTATCCTTCTCACTCCTCTCATACATTGTCTCACTCCTTTCAAAATGACACTTACTGTTACAAACAAACAAGAGACTGTCGACGTCGTGGTTGTCGGAGCAGGTCTCTCTGGACTCCGCTCGGCCGTCAAGATCCACGAAGCTGGCTACTCCGTCATTGTTCTCGAAGCCGGTGATCGGGTCGGCGGCAAGACTCTCAGCGTTGATGCCTCTCACCTGGGAGGTAAAGTTGACCTCGGTGCAGCTTGGCTGAATGACACCAACCAGAGCGAGATGTACAAGCTTGCGCAGGAGTTTGGTTTTGACCTGATCAAGCAGAGAGCTACTGGACTGAACCTACACCAGCAGCTGGACGGCAAAGTTGACAAGATACCGCACGGGTCCGGAATGCCTCTGCCTTCAGGGGCGACTGAATTGGTTCAAAAATTCCTCGAGAAACTGAACAAGTGGGTCGACAAAATCGATCCCGAGAACCCCTCCGGTCATCCTGAAGCAGAAATGCTGGACTCACTGACCTTTGGCCAACTGAGCTCCAAGTATCTTGGGCCTGAACTCGGTCCAGCAGTCGCTGATTCCGCTACAAGTCCCCTCTTGGGCGTGGGACCCGACGAGGTCAGCGCGCTATTCATGGTAGATTATTTCCGTAGTGGCACAGGCGTGGAGAACATGGCTTCTGATGGGAAAGATGGAGGACAGTATCTGCGAAACCGACAAGGTCTGAAAGTGAACTGCTCCAGTGGACTTTCGCTAACTGACAATAGGGAACCAAACGTTCTCGATTCGTCTAGCAGCCAAACTTCCAAAGGCAGCTGTAAGACTCCACAGTCCTGTCAAGACTATTACACAAGGCTCGGATGGTGTCATTGTCGAAACAGCCAACCCAGGGCAGAGTTTCCGAGCAAAAAGAGTGGTTGTTTCAGTCCCAACTTGTCTCTACTCGTCCCTTGTGTTCGAGCCGCCCTTGCCGCCGGCCAAGAAGACTTTGAGCGATAGCACTGCTTTGGGCTACTACTCCAAGACTATATTTGTCTTCGATAAGCCATGGTGGCGTGATGCTGGATTGAGTGGTATAATAGAGTCCGATGCGGGGCCTATATACTTCTCAAGAGATACGTGCTCAGAAGAGGACGGGCAATACAGTATCACCTGCTTCGTCGTTGGCGATAGAGGCAGGGACTGGTCCAAGTGGTCATCCGCAGAGCGGAAGAGGATTGTATCAGACCAGTTCAAGCGTATCTTCAGTGCAGTGGGCATCGAAGCACCGGAGCCTGTCAACATCATCGTCCAGGAATGGGTTAAGCAGCCTTGGATCTGGGGTGCGCCATCACCGGTCATAATGCCCGGGACCCTGACAAGCGACAGTGGCAAAGCCCTTCGAGAGGCCTATGGAAGAGTTCATTTTGTAGGCACTGAAACGTCGCTGGTTTGGAAGGGGTATATGGAGGGCGCTGTTCGATCTGGTGTACGAGGTGCCAAAGAGGTGATCAAGGCCTTTCAGGACGAATAGTTAGGCTAGTGAATTTTGCAGGTGACCATATTTTATCCTCGATTGTTTAGTGGCCTGATAAAACTAGTGTTGTAGTCAATAACTTGGAGTTCAATATTTATACAAATAATTTCTTGGGAGGTATATAATAGAAAACCTGAAAGAAGTGTTGGCGGGAATAGCTGATCGTCTAAGCCGCGACGTCCACCAGTATAATCATTGCAAGTTGGTGGGCACTGTAAGTTCAGCGGTCAATGCCTTGGAACTTACCTAGGGAGTAACCGCTAGTCCCCGCCTAAGCAGCCAGGGCAGGGCATTGAGTTTTGTGTATCCGTTCCATGATTTTTGGCTTTGACCGCTCCGGGCAGCGGTTGTTGGGCTGAAGTTTCTTGTTGCCAGGGCAGGGTTTACTGGACGGTTACTGTAACCAAGCTTAATTTAGATCAACATGGAAGTCCCTGCTTTTGCTTTTGCTTCAGCTGAGTAGTGTTGTTAATCTTGAATGTTTGTTATTGTCTGTCACGTGCATTTGTTGATCAACTGTCAAACACAACATTTACTAAGTCACTAGAATCTATGTGTGGCGCACGTACGATGGTATGCTGTAAATAGTAAATAAATAATTAGCGGTTGATCTCATTTAATGCCAAGTCAAAAAGTCAAAGTGTGTTTACTTTCGAAACAGGCTAGACCCACCATCTCTCCAACTGTCTCTGAGCTTTTGGATCTGGGTCTTGGTCTTGGTCTGGGCTTTGTTGACTCCCGCCCACCGACTACGGATACGGGCCAAAGCTCAAACCTCCATCTCGCTCGTCTCGTCCTAATCCCAGCCCGAGATCGATCTCCAAAACAACGTCACTTTGTCAACCCCTCGATTCGATTGCTCGCCCGCATGCGCAAATCTGAGTATCCGTGACGAGGGAGGAGGCGACTCGTTAGTAATTACGGATAAAGTCTCGTCTCGTCTCATCTTTATCTTCTCCTCAAAGTTGGGCGCCGCTAAGCTACTGCACCTAACTAAGCTCGCCATTGATCGCTTCTCGTCGAATCGCTCCCCATCTGCGACCCAACTTGGCGACCGCCGTCCAAAGTCAACGTCAACACACTTTTCGTATTGCACTGCACTGTACATACTGAACTGACAGCAAGACGCCCCTCTTCTCCCCAACGTCATGGTTCGCGTTACCGAAGAGCTGCCGCTGTCGTCAGATAGTGTCACTCTCTACCACGCTGCTGATCCTCTACTCGGCCATCTTCCTCTGTTGCTTTTCCATGGACCCTCGACCACCGCAAACTATACCCTCAACAGTTCTCGAGTACAAGTCCACGTTTTTACGCCCGCCGGCTTCCAGAGCTTCCCCCGAATAACAATATCGCCCAATTCCCCATTCTACAGCGTCGTCCACCACCTACCCCGCGAGTTTCAGGGAGATGAGGTCTACCGCGCCCTCGCCTTCGGCCTCTTCAAATACTTTACAGAACTACCCGATTGCGTTAAATTATATCTCAAGAACCTATACCCCACACGAGGTCGACGTCCTGGCAGTGCACCAGCGCTGTTCAGTGAACAACATGCTGCCGATATTGTCAAGGACATGGTCCAGAGCGATCACACAGCCGACATCATCGAGACTCTGCAAGATGCTTTGCAGACACAGCACATCAGCCATGTCGATCTCGACTTTGTTCTTCCGCCGGGCGCTATTGTTCCACTGCAGTCTGTCGACCTCGAAGATGTACCCGACGACGAAGATGATATCCTAGACCCAACATTGCGACAATATGGAGGATACACACCTCTGATAAAATTATTTGGAGAACCAGTGTTCCTACCTACTAGCCGTCTACGAAGAGCACCATCAAAGCCGACTGCGTTGAACCGGAGCAAATCATTTCTCAAGGATCAGAAAATGGAGTTGCGTATGAAACTGACAGAACTGGTTGAGACTGAGGAACGATATGTGGCCAAAGTGAGGGAGCTGGTGACAAATGTCGCGGCCGACTTTCGTGAGGGCGCTCAAGCACGAGCGCCTGGCAGCTTGAGCCCTTCTGAAGAAGAGTTGGAGAAACTCTTTCCCAATTCAGCAGACGGTATTCTGCAGGTTAACTCAGCCTTTATGGAGGAAATGCGGAGGATTCTCGACGACACTGAAGAGGAAGCTCTACGAGATATGGAGACACCCACGATGAACTTCATGGGTTCCAAAATTGGCCGAACAAAAGATCCAAGCGGTGCCTTGGCCATCGCCAGGTTATTCCTGGAATGGTTCCCTAAGTTTACAGCGTGCTACCAGGATTACATTAAAGCTAGCCAGCACTTTCCCACGCTACTCAATTCCTTCCTCGATCAACAGTCGAGCTTTAGGCAGAGAGTGGCTCAGGCTGGCGAACAGACGATCCGCTCCATCCTTATTGAGCCAGTGCAAAGGCTTCCCCGCTACAGTTTACTTATTGACCAAATAGTGGGATGCATCCCGATGACACATCCAGCTCTGCAGCCCATGCTCAAAGCCCGAGATATCATCACCAATATTTGCTCAATGGACGAGCCCTTGCCTGACAAGCCACATGTCACCAACCGACTTCGAAATATGGTTGAAGCTTGGCCATTGAACTTGGAACCACAAGGTCGTCTCATTGCAACAGCCGACTTCACCGAATTGGCACCTCCTTTCCAACCTTTGCTCAATCAGTCAGATAGATCCGGAATTTTCCTCCTCTTCTCAGACTGTGTTGTTATTCTCAAGAAGATGAGTGGAAACATGACAGGCCGAGACCTCCTCCGTGAGATTGAGAAACCCTCTGCAGCTGGTTTACTTATCTCCATGACCAATGCCGCCGGTGGTCCAGCCGCATATGAATTTGTCTTCACTGGATGGCATGACTTGGCCGAGGTTCGATTCACCGAGGCAGACGATGGCACACTCTTCTGGATGACTTCGACGGAGGAGATGAGAGGTGCTCATCCAGGTGAGCACCGAATTAGTAAAGCGGTCACGTCGCGATGCTTCCTCCTACAAGAGATGTACGAAGCAAGAGCCGCCAAATGGGGAGAGGATGTGGTAAAGGCGAGAATTGAAGCTCGATTTTCGGAAAAGGAGCGAGAGGATCCTACCTGGACTTTACGGTCAGCGCGCATGCCAGATAGCAACCTTGGGCTTCACGCAGCTATCTTCCAGGAGGGCGCCGATCAGCTTATCGAAGGCCGCAAGGAGCCTGCCCCGGTTCGAGTGGTTGTCGATCATGATATGGGCACTAAAGGAGCACCCGTAGGTCATTACGGGGTTGAGATTGTTGTCAACGTGACGACCAATGACATGAAGCGGGTATCAATGCTCACAGTTGGCTTAAATGGGAGGCAATTCCAAGATGACGTTGCCCTGGAAGATTTCCTTCCTACAATGTCACGGCGAGGTGAGCACTGTCATGATGAGTCTGTGAACTTCTGAAGCTAATCGGATTTAGTGATCCAACTACTGAGCACGCAGCACAGTGTTTCCAATATGCAATTGACGGCACCTCTCGTCTCATATTACTCAAAGACGCTTCATGGCCTTCTACTTAACACCAGAGCGGAGAAGACTAGGTCTTTCCTCGCTTCATCTCCTGTAAAACTCCTCTCCAGTTTCTGGGGCGGCAGCTCGGTCCATCTCTCAGACACGGCGAGTGTGAGCTCAAAACACAAGCAGGTGCCTTCGATACACCGAAACAACAGCCAGGCATCTGTTGTCAGCTCAATAAAGGGGGGCAAGGATGGTATTTCTCAAGAGGAAACCCGTACCGACAACCCGTTAGTACGACTAGAGCAAACGTTCACTAGTTATGTCGCCGCTCTACAGAACCGCAAGGGTCTCATTATTGGTCGTACTTTGTTACAACGCTCAGTGGTTGATGAACTGACGGTCAATGAACTTTACAACAGGCTTATCGAGATCCCATATGATTTTGATGCCACCGCTGACCTAGGCACAGAGGTCATTTTTGTTGCTTTTGAAAAATTTCTTCGAATCGCATGGGCCGACCAGATAAGCCCAGTCATGTCAATGAAATCTCTGGATACTCTGCAAGCACGCGTTAACAAGAGAGTGCCTGGCGACTTTGCAGATTTTGTTAACTTTTTGTTCGGCGACATGGCTCCACAGAATCGCCGCGCGTTCACTGCTCTCATCAAGCTCTTGGCCGATCTGCTGGATGGATGCGGCAATGATGGTGACAGAGGAGCATTGACACTTGCTTTTGCAGAGTTGCTCGTATACGACGGAACAGCCGCAAATTATATCAATCTACTCGATCGTCTTGTGGAAGACTGCGATCGCATCTTTGAAGAGCCCAGCTTGAACCACAGCTTTGGACTGGACAGCTCAACTTATGAGTCAATTAACTCAGCTATCCGCGGTAAAGGATACACCCCTTCGTTAGCATCAAACACGTCATCACTGCGTCGCAAGTTTGGTTTCGATACCCTATTGCGACAGAACAGCAAAGACGACCGATCATCAGTATGGCGACAACTCAGTAAGCACAGAAACCCCACAGCAAGCGAAGCATTCAGCTTATCAAAAACGTCATTAGGCCGTTCAAGGTCCATCGATGACAACACAATACCCAAAAAGCTGGCAAGGAGACCAGGTTCCAGGGATCGTCCACCCATAGCAGGGGCGTTTGACGAAGCACAGAGACCAGGAAGCTCCCATCGATTATTGGAAACAATAGGGGAGCCAGAGACAGAGCGTCCACCACCGCGGTCGCCCAAGAAGAAGCGTCGCAGCTCCCTGTCTGATCTAAAGAACTATATGGAAGCGGTAACTCTCGACGATGACGAATCACCGCAGCCACTTCAAGACGCAAAGGAAACATCAGAAAAGCTCAACGCAAGCCCCAAGACAGCGACGTCTAGGATACCAGTTAGTCCCGGTGTAGCCCAGACGATGCGAGTATCAAGGCAGAAAGAAAATGTCTTGGATATGCTTCAGCCTAGTCTGCTTGAACCAAGTCCCTTGGAGCCTTCTGATGAGACAGTTCATCGACCTGCACCACTCAAGACCCACAGGCATTCCAAGACACTATCTTCAAGTAACATACCGACGTTGCGCCCATACCGCTCTGCACCTCCAGGAGCCGAATCACCTCCTCGTCCAAACTCAAGCCCGTCTAGGCGTGGAACTCAGAGACTCCGCTTACAATCTCCGCAAAAGCTTCGAGAACGACTGAATACGGAGAAGCAGGCTGTTGACGACGTGGATGCTTCTCTCAGATCCGAGCTGTTCAAAATTGGCGAGGAAATGGCACGCCTCAGTGATGCCCAGTCTCCAGGATCACAGTCGGTTGATATGCGACAAGTGACGGCTGCAGTCCGGCAGTTGGAGGACCGAGTTCCTGCTGCCATCCAGGAGATACAAGAAAAGCACACAGCGATCCAGCACGACATGGAAACTACGGTCAAAGCAGCTGAAGCCAAGGTCCGGGCTATTGATCAATTATACAAAGAGGCAGTGGCAGAGAACGAATTACTGTATGAGAAATTCAACGGGGAGCTTGGCAAAATTGTCAAGGCTCTCAAGGGCAAGGGCAAAGAAGAAAAGGAAGAACTGATGGTTCGGCTGCGTGATCAAAGCGACGAGACAGCACGGATGAAGAAGGAGAACGCGCGACTCAAGCGCGAGATGGTTAGTCTGCGTGCGGCATTGAAGGGGACGACAGAGTAGGCGCTGCTGTCCTCCGGAGGGCTGGTTGGGAGGCTATTTGGGCGTTTGAAAAGGGTTCTGATGGTAATGAGCCAAGGGATTTGCTATGCCTTGACGGCCGGACTGTACATAACGCAACGGACTCGAGGCTTTGTCGGAGTAGGGAGCAGGGTCGTGTGGCACGGGCTGGTTCGGGTCTGGGAATCGGGGCCAGGACAATGGGTTCATGTCATGTTGTACAAGATGAATTAGAGGTTATGAAATGTCATGATGACGATATCTATCTTTTCAAGTTGGGTATCATACGAGTATCAATATGTGATCATTCCAAGTCGTTTTGCTCGATCCAACACTCAAAAAAGAGAGGTCCAGCTTTGACAGAGCGGATTGGCGTTGTGTTCTGGCCGCCAATAGCCGAACCTTGAGTCAAAGAGGTGTCTGTTGGTGGTTGAAGGTTTGGTTGGGAAGGTATCCAATGTTGCGGATGCTAAGTCATTTAGCTCGGCGTATTTCAAATGAAACTTTGAACTTACCCCTATTGGTGCAGATGCTTCGTCACGTAGCTCAACGGCAAGTGTAAAAGTGCTGCCTTCAGGCAAAGCAGACATCATCTCAGCTGCATGCGAAATGCGCCTTAGAGCTCCCCGCAAAGCTTCGTTTACATCCGTCCAATTCACACCACCCTCCTCATCCACACCCTCAACCAACGCAGGGTTATAGTTCCTCTCCTCCCTATCACCCCAGCCAATAGGAAACGTCTCAACGTCAAATACCCAACGTTCAAGTACATCAAACGTCTTTGCAGCATGCATTACAATGGCTATACGACGCACAGTCCCTTTTCGCAGCTGTGCTGCTACAGAAGAGACAGCATCGTTTATCCAAGTGCAGAGGCCAGGATGGCGAGACTGGTGGATGGGGAGGTTAAGGGCACGTGCAGTGAGGAAAGTAGTTGCAGGGTAGAGTCCGCGGTGGTAGAGGAGGGTGTGAAGAGTGAGGGTCAGAAAGGTTGTAAAGGAGGAAAGGAGATGTGATGCTTGAGCGGCGGGAATAGATGGGCCTAGATCCATGGTGACAATGAGGGATGTTGAGGAAGTGGTGATGATTAAGAATTGGAAGATGTGGTGGGACGCGTTGAGTGAAACGCGTTGAGTGAAACGCGATTTCACGTGATGGTGTCGTCATGAGACATCTCACCCATATGTGAGTAGCCATGAGAGATTTGGGCGGCAATAGCGTCACCAACCTCGCAAGCTTTGAATCATTAATAAATTTACTATATGTAGCTTTCTGCTACAGGTAGTATTTTATATTGTGTGAGAATAAGGTTACTTGGCCTGCCTTTTGTGACGTAAAGTTGCAGAGCAAGAGAAAAGGTCAGTATTAGACTGTAGAAATCGCACAAACCCATCAAACAGTTTTCTGTTGCGCAAGTTGTGACGTTTCAGTTCTACATTGCACTATTCTGACTTGTCTAGCCGTACTGCTTACAGTAGTAGAAGCGCATCAATCGAGCATTGCATTGTCCAGAGCTAGCTAGATAGGTAGTCTAATAGCTACTACATGTCTCCGTCAACGTGTAGGATATTGTATTTCTTGTAGTAACGTACGAATCTCAACATATTGGGACACGTTATTATCTGGTGAGCAACTTTGACGATTCAACCCTAGAAGCGTAATTGTAAAATGGACAGCATAAAATTCAGTAAGGCTACAAGGTCGTACCGTCAAATAGAATTTCAACAAAACTATATACCAATATATAAACCTGCAAAATCGGCAAAAATGGCACATTCTTTTTTCATCCTTGTCTAACAAAACAACCGTACCTTAGTGCCTACCTCACAAAACTGTCCTACCGAAAACATCACTGCCCCGCGGAGCCTAATTGATCCACATATAGGGCTGAGGCAACTATTTCATGACGCATCTCCCTCTTCACTTTCGACTAACAACTTCCACCTCCATCTTCTCCACAACTTAATCCATCATTACATAAATTCACTAGCAAACAAGCTCCACTCATCTACAAGCATCACCGCAGTCCATAAGAATTCCATCAAGAATCATCACAGTTCATCATGTCAGAACCCCTCAGCGTCGCCGCCATCCTCGGTGGCATGGCAGAAGCGCTTCCCACACATTCTCCCAACGACGAATCATCTGATCTCGCATCCTCTTATGAAGTTATCGCTCTGCTCATTCACTCCTATCTCTCCGCTCTTGGCTTCAAGATCCAGGGCTTTGACGAGGACGAAAAGCTAGGTAAGTCTCCTCACCCCCAACCAGCATCATCACTCGACTCACACAAGCGACCAATAGCTGAATGCGACTCACTCGCCCCTCGCCTGCCATCACAATGGAACTCGGGCTTCAAATCCTACAGCTTTGTGTATTCGCACAAGCAGTCAGCCATGACCTTTAGCATTCGCGTGGATCGCATGGGCAAGAAGGTTGAGGTTCGCGGACTGGCTGTGGGAGACGATAACATTCGTCGTTTCGAACGATCAATCAGTGAAGTTGTGGACTCTAAGAAGCTCCCTATTCGCATCACCATCAAGGACAACCAAGAAGACCGAAGTGACCTTGTTGAAAAGCTCCGCGCTGTGTTCACATCTGAGAAAGCTATTGCGGGTATGTTGCCCAGTATTACTATTAGGGGCGCTTACTGACTCACTCTTATAGACATTCTCCATGATCTCAAGATCAACATCGTTCAAAAACTCATTCCTAAGCTCCAGAGCGAAGGGTATGTCGAGACTGCCGAGGCAGAGGCCAACGCACGCTCTGAGCGCCGCGCTCAAGAAGCACAGAACCCATACCGACCATTCCGTGGTGACCCTGTGCCTAACCCAAACATGCCTCCGCCTTCGGTAAACCCACTTCCCGAGATGGCTCGTCCCCGGCCTTTCCCCATGGGTGACTTCCCTCCTCCAGGTTTTGAGGACGAGCACGAGGTGAACCGACCACGGCCACCACGGCTACCACAAGGCGGTAGGCATCCTTACGGCATCGGACACGACGACCTGTATGGACCTGGTCCATTTGACCCTCCTCGCCCCGGTGGCCACTCGGGTATGCATCCCACCTTCGACGACCCATTATTCACAGGACAAGGAGGTGATGGGCACGGAGATGATGGGTATGGAGGCTACGACCCCCAAGCTCCGCCCGGCGCGCGATGGGACCCCACTGGCCCTGTAGGCAATCCTCGGTTCCCTGGTCCTGGTAGTGGACGAGGCAACAATCCTTTCGGGGGAGGCTTCGGAGGTGGTAACATAATTTGAGTTACTAAGACGGACGGTTCTCAACGGTTGATGGCTAGCCACCCGTAGCTAGGCAGTAAAAGAATCACAAAGTTTGATTATCTACTTCTCGTTTATTTCGCTGACTCTTCCACTGAGATGTTTCTCTAATTCTATCTACAATTCATTTCCGTTCGTAATATCATGCCAACCAAAGGGCCGATCTATCTACCCTCTGCCGCGCAAACCAAGGCACGCGTGACGTACGCCTTGTTTCTCCTTTTGTGCTTCCTAACTTACAGTCTGGTGCTTCCACAGTGTTCTTCGCCGAACCGGGCCAGGCTGGTAATATTTCGTGACCATACATGCAGTCGCTTCCTATTGTCCTGCCGAGCTGGCCACCTCGTTAAGCTTCATCTTCTCTTCTTCTGTCAGCATGTTATACCACTCCTGGAAGTTGGCAGTGTTTTCCTGGCCGCAACGGATGAAGAACTCGGTGAGGTAAGCTTGTGTCTCGTCGTCTCGCTGTCGCTGTCCACCTTCCACAAAGGACATGAGGTCATGCTTGGTGGCTCCCAGGCTAAGGTCGAGAGTGTCGTCGTCGTCTTCCCAGCCCTCCTCGTCGTTCTCATCCTCGAAGCTGGCAGTTGCCACAGCAGCAGCGGCCGCATTTGCAGCAGCCCGTTGGCCAGATGCGGAGAGAAGTTCTTCAATGAGGACCTTGATAATCTTGAGTGAAGCAGGGATGACGGTGTACTGGTCAGGGTCTGGTGCCATGGCTGCTTGATTAGCGTCTTGGGCCTCAATAAATTGGGTGTAAAGGGTTTCTAGGTAGGTGGTGGAGGCTTGAGGGTCGTGAGTTGTTGGATACATACTCTTCTTCGCACGTGAACGTGTCTTAATTAGCCCATCGTCCTGGTTTACGATCAAGTCACCCTTGACCTGTGTTTGTGCAAGACGAGGATCGTTGAGGGAGTAAAGCTTGGATAGAGCGATCACACTAGACTTGTCAGTAAATACCGAGCGCTTACTTCATTCTTAACGTACTTTTGGCGGATCTCATCGTATCCAGCAAAGTTGACAGAGTTCTCCAGCCACTTGGCTAAGACAACCTGTAGACCACTTTCCCCGCTGATCTGAATTTGACTTAAAAAGTCAACCACTTCGTGGGCTCCAGAAAGGGTGAGACGGGCAAACACAAGGATGAGAGACTGGATGAAGGCCGCGGCTTGGGCAGTGGCAAGTCGGTTAGCAACAGCTTGGAGAAGCTGGGGCAGGAAAGGACCAAGACGCTCCTGGCCAGCCTTCTCAACGAGCTCGGCGGCCAAACCACCAACCTCGGAGGCAGAGTTGTCCTCAATAGAGGGACCCAGGAGCCGGTCGATGATGTGCAGGCAAACCTCAAGACCGGAACGGCCGTTAGCGTCTTGCCAGGCAAGAACTTGCTGGTGATCATGCTGAAGCATCCACTTGACAACCTCTGATCCTGGTCGAAGAACCTCGCCCTCGTTGGACTCCATGAGGAGGCGGTTCAGCTTGGGGAAAGTAGCTGCCACAAAGCCTGCAGGCAGTGGTTCGGGTCCGTTCTCGGCAAGGATAGCCAGCAGCTCGATAGCGACCTAAAAATTGTCAGTATATCTCTAAATCGGTTCGATATGATAGCTTACTGTAACCAGAGGGTTATCTTCAGTGAGGTTGGCAACATCAAAGGCACCGGTCAAGGTAGGTAGAAGCTTTCCGCAGAGTGCAGTGTAAGACTCGGTATCCGACAGAGCAGTAACTACATCCTCAAGACCCTCAGAAATCAACATTGTGACTTGGAAGTTGCTAGCGCCAAGCTTGGCAAGCATGAATAGAAGGTCAACGGACTGCACTTCGTTGGAGAGGGCAATTCGAGTGTCCAGTGTGATAGCAGCGCGAAGAGACTCTGAGAGTGTAACGAGAAGCTCATCCGCATCTTCCATCTCGCTAGGGTCCTTGCCATTCATGTAGCTTTGGATAGCATTGATGATGGGAACCTGTCTGTCAGAAGGCACTTGGCCAGCGTTGATCAAACCTTCAAGGGCCTTGATGCAGGCAACTTGAACAACCTCTGATTCCTCTTGTGTAATAGATGTGATCATACGATCCAGCAACTCAGCAGGAGTCTGGTAAGATCGGCAAAGGATGCCAGCAACGAGGTAGCCTCTGGCTCGTAGAAGAGGCTCATCGGCTCGGTTGATGGCGTAGTCTACCAGTACAAGATATGCATGGGCAACTTCCTCCGGAATTGGCTTTTCCATGTCTTGGAAATCGCTGACGAGCATAACAAAAAGGTAGAGTGCCGCCTCCTGGTTACGCCAATCGGAGCCTCCGTTGGCGAAGAGTGGTTGTGTCTGCCCAAACAGGCCTTCTATGGCCTTTTGGTTGAACCACTCACCCATCTTGATCAAAAGATCACCGGCAGCAGTTCGTGCAGTGTAGTTTGCAGTGACGGAAGTCTCCTCAGCAAGGTACAGGGAGCAGTCTATATCCCACAGTTCCTCCTCTTCTCTAGTGACACGGGAGTAGCCGATGAGCATGCTCATGATCTCCTTCATCCAGGGAACCTGCGACGCAGAGGGATGGGCGTTGAGATGACCCTCGAGTTCGGCCTGCACCGGTGGAGCCCTGAAGCACTGGTTCAGGAAATCCAATTCCTCCAGAATGAGAAAGTCCAAGGTGTATGGTAGATTGTCGGAATCCTCGAGTCGTCCCTGGGCATCCTGCTTGATGTAGAGCTGTTCATGGGGGGCTTGCAAGGTGGAAAGCTCCTCCCATACCGCACTAAAGAAAACAGTGCTCTGGGGTAAGAGAAGGTTGGGGAAGACACGTCTAATCCTAATGAGCGTCTTCACAACCTGGAGCTTGAGTGCGATGATGTTGCTCCAGGTGTCGGGCTGGCTGCCACCATCGAGGTTGGCTTCGGGGAGGGGGCTCTTCATCACAGTAATGAAGAAGGGGTTCCATTGTTGAATGAGTCCGTCAGCAAATGCGCGGACCTCCTTGGCGTGGTCCTCCCTGATCATATTGAGAAGATCGAAGCATCCTCTGAGGATTGAGATGGCAAGAGCTCGGTGCATGGGCTTTCGGCTCTCATTGAAAGCGACTTCGGAGAGAGCCTTGGCAATATCCTGGGCCATGGAAAAGAACTGGTCCTCGCTCAAACTCTCTTCGATTATGTCGTTGAGCAATCTCAAAGCGCCGTGGAGTTGGGCATCGGTGCCAGATGGGACAACGGAAAGGACCGAAGGGAGCATATTGGGCCATTGATCGGGAAAGTCGTGGACGGCGATCTTTCCGACTGCATAACTAGCAGAGATCTTGACTTTACGGTCCTCTTCCTGGCTCAAGACCAAGTCGAGCAGAACCTGCTTAAGCTGGCCTCTGACCTCATCGGAGATGGGGACTTGAGGTTCATCATCAAGCTCATCATTGCTCCAGTTGTTCTCTATAAAGAGTCGCAGGGTGGAAAGCGCAGACTGGCGAATGCTTGTTTCAATCGAAGTATGAGCAGCGATATTAGCGAGGGACAGCGGAAAGGCGGGATTCGTTCGTGCGCGCTTGAGCTCGATTTCGGCCTGTTGCCTGGGACCTTGGTCGGCCAGTTGGGTATTGGAAAGAAGCTGCACCAACTGGTCCTCCATGACTGCGGATCGAGGACTTGTTGTGTTTAGGATTGGATGTGATGGAAAAAGTTGAGGTTGGCGGGGAGGAAGAAGCGGAATTGGTGACGATGGTGGGGGAGAAAAACAAAAAGTGGGACTCGAGGAAGAACAACCTAGAAGCCAAGGAAGGTATTTATTCAGAGGTAAGATCTAAGGTTGATGCCTAACTTGGAGTTATTTTAAAAGTAGCCAACGTTATCCTTTGTAGAAAGAGATTATTCAGGATACCTACTGAGTTCAAGTTGTAATCACTCGAAACGGGGTTCGTTGTTGTGCAAGTGTTTTCCTCGACCACGGGGCATGTTATTCACGTGTTTTCCATGTTTTTTCTGGACCCCTTTTTTTACTTGAACAATCCCTTTATTATAAACAATGACGCCAGCTAAGCCTCAAAAAAGTATTGACCACCGATGAAATATCACGACCCTTGTGGTTCTTTTTATTTGTCGTAATAAAGATAGACATTGACTGTCGTCCATGTCAAGGGTGACCTTTTCATTTATTGGCATAAGCTTGTACTGGAATAGAATCTATGCTTCAGTCTGGAGAGCTTCCTTTGTCCATCTGTATCAATTGACCCGGATTAAGACATCGTTCTCGTATTATGAATAGACATTATGTACCCGAGAAACATAAATCGTTTCATTTGTCCATAGAAGTATCGAGGTGCAAGACTGCTTACCCTAAAGTGGATGATGTATGGTAAGCGAGACGCCATAGATCTTCATAAAAGAGAGAGAGAGGAGTGGTCTAGACAGAAGTACTCCAGGAGTATAAAAGTAAAAGTGAATGATGTAAATATTCCAGTAGATGGATTATTGAACAGATAGCCTATAACGAACACCAACCAATTTAGTTGGGAGTGTGCAAGTAATGACGGGGTATGGTTCCATTATAGTCTTTTCCAGGTCCCACGTCGGCTGCTTGAATATTAAACGTGAATTAGGACAAATACCTTCCTAGGCATTGGTTTATTTGAATTACACCTTGACATGGGCAGAATCGTCCTATTCTTGGACAATTGACTACGATAGCTTTATAGCTATATGAAGCTTTGGTTAAGACTACGGATTTATATCGTCAACTCGGGATTTTACCTCTTTTTGCCGCGAAACCTCATTAACTCGTATGAGGCTGCTTGCAATGCCCCATCAAGAGAGTTGGGAATGCGGGCTGATATGACTAGACATATGATTGATCCTATTTTTGTATGTAATTTACATACACCACCGCATTGTGAAGGATTCCATGTAGATCCTCTTTGACAAATTTGTGTGGATTTATCAAGTCATAACTACACATCACGCATGATCCAGTGCAGCTCGTGTAGACTCCAATGTAACAGCTGTAAGCATCGCAACGATATACCGACAGGCTGACGCTTTTTGTCTCCCAGTAAGGAAAGTCCCTAGCCCAGCATGGACCCGAAGGTTTTGGTAGATCCGTTTCAGTGCCGTGATGTTCTCGGTGTTATTTGAGCTTCCACGGAAATACCGACATGACACCTGCAGCTGCTTGCGTTGATGTCAGTCGAGTACAGTATTATCATGACACATTGATGGAAAATATTGGAGTAGTATTCGGCATTTAATAAATAATTGTCTCAGGAAAGTTGTTGTAGGATAGTGAAAAAAAACGGCCAAGTTGGCGTTGTAGCCGAAAGCCATCACCAGCCACTACAACGGAGTTTGGTAGGGGTTTTGGGGGCGGCACTGCAACGCCGATACGATCCATATTAAGCAGAAAAATGCGATGCAATAGAGCTCTACATTGAGAGGGGGTTTAAGAGATCAGGCGACAAAGTTTCGGGTAAGGACCGAAATACAATGACTTACGCTGTTGACAACTAGATAGTGTTTCATTGACTACTGAATTTAAGATGCAGTTCGCTGATAGACATGATAGGGCAGATAGCTCCCGCTGAGAAGGAATCTGAGACTAAAACCAAGGTTTGACTCGATGAGATCGAGTAATGAATTTATTCTACTGTTTGCAACTAAGCCCAATCTAGTCGGAGTCTAAGTACCGGTATCTCAGTCGTATCGTCCCAGTGATAACGAAGTATTACTGACCAATTGCGTGTCCTCGTTTATATCCGCCTGGGGTAATGGCCCCTCTTGTGGCATGGCTGGCTTTGATAGCATCTGCATGGCATTTTTTACCAAACCGAACCTATACGTTGACCATATTTGTTTCTCATTGCTGCAGTTCTGCAGTTTTACACATTGGATACTACTGTAACAGAATTGTAGATCATCATCCTCGGAATAGAAAGCGATGTTGGGGAACTGTCTTACCGTCTACGTCAACACAGGTCCAAAGACGCTGTCGCAGCCACTCATACAATGATACCAAGCATTTGCTCCATGGATTTTAGAGTCTCGCATGTGGGGGCACCCACTAAAACACGACCTGGGTCCCTTGTATCTCGACTCATCTCTCCGCAATATTCATTGCTCTTCCGTGCCGATAGAGGCGCATACGTACCTTGGCAAGCTTGACGATATGTCGATGAATGAATCATGTTGAAGTATCTTTACGAGGGTATTACCTAAGATCGTTGGAATATCTTCTATGATGATTGTTGTCTGAGAATGAGATGCAAAAGTCAGTTATAAATGGGATAAAAAAAAAACCTTTCAACTACCGGAAATACTAAGAACTTACTTGTTCAACTAAACCAACCACAGTCAATGTGGCCGCCGGCGAGAATCCTGGTATTACCGGCTAGTTATCTACAGTAGCAACGGTCGGGTCTGGGGACGACGATCGAGCTGATAGTGGCTGCTGATGGCTGATAACCTACCTGCATTACAGTGGGCATACATGAAGCTCGCATTTAGTTAGATGGAGGGGACCCAATCTCAATCATCAAACCATAAATACCAAGCTTGCCCGTCACCCTCGACAACCGTGTTTTCCAAGACAGAAGAGCGAGTTGGAGAGGATTCAGTTGCTTCCTTCTCAATCAATCTCTTTGTTACGATTAGGCAAGAGTGTCATCACATCATCTTCTTTCTGCCCTTACTTGGATTTAATCCTAGTCTGCCAGCCTTACGTTATTGTCACCTGCACGTCATAACCCCTCGCCTTGGAGTTGTGATACCGAAAAGTCAACTACTTTTTAAAGTTGCTCCCCAAGCTCCTTTGACTTTTGTTTCTTTTCATCGTTTCATCAAACCGTTTTGTTCCCACCACACATCGACGCCATGGAAACCAGATCAAGATTCAAAGTCTTTGCCGACAAGGTCGCTGTCGAGTCTGAACCTGGCTTGACTGGCACACAGCTTATGGTATGAAGGCCAGGGCATATAATGTCACGCGACCCGCAAGACGGAGTTGTACTAAACTCTCATACAGCTTACGAACCATGATCTCAAACCTGTCGAGAAGGAGCGCCGACAATGGGGTCCCTGGAACTTTGTCGGTTTCTGGATCGCCGACTCTTTCAACATCAACACTTGGATGATATCGTCAGCCATGATTGTCAACGGACTTTCATGGTGGCAGGCATGGCTTTGTGTTTGGATCGGTTACAGCATTACTGGTATCTTTGTCGTAATCAACGCGCGACCTGGTGCCGTCTACCACATCAGTTTCCCCGTTATCAACAGAAGCTCCTTTGGTATCTGGGGTGCCTTGTGGCCTGTCTTGAACCGTGCAGCTATGGGTATGTTTTAACTCCTTCCCTGACTACCTGTGCGATCCATCATTAACACTGAATAGCTTGTGTCTGGTATGGAGTTCAAGCTTACATTGGCGGAAACTGCGTCTACCTCATGATTCGATCCATCTGGAAGTCATGGGAAAACGTCCCCAATACGTTCAGCGAGGATGCTGGCACAGACACCGCTCACTTTGCTTCGTTCATCATCTTCTGGGTTTGCTCTCTGCCAGCCCTCTGGTTCCCTGTTCACCAACTCCGGCACCTGTTCACGGCCAAGGCCTACGTTGTTCCTGTTGCCGGAATCACTTTCCTCGCCTGGACTATCTCGCGTGCTGGTGGCATTGGTCCCATTATTAAGCAGCCCAACACTGTTCACGGCGGTGATTTGGCTTGGGAAATTGTCAAGGGTATCATGTCGTCGATTTCCAACTTTGCCACGCTTATTGTCAACGCCAGCGATTTCTCCCGATTTGCACAAAAGCCCAGAGACGCCCTGTGGTCACAGTTGGTTACTATTCCTATGGGATTTGCTATTACTTCCTTTATTGGAATTATCGTTTCATCTGCTTCTACGACTCTGTATGGCAAAGCTATCTGGAACCCTCTTGACTTGCTTGACGAGTTCATCAACGACGGAAACTCCGCGGAACACTTCGGTGTCTTCTTCATTGCATCGTCATTTACACTAGCTCAGTTAGGCACCAACCTGGCCGCCAACAGTGTCAGCTGTGGCAATGACTTGACTGCTCTTCTTCCCCGTTGGATAAATATAAGACGTGGAAGTTATTTCTGTGCCTGTATGGGTCTTGTGATCTGCCCCTGGCAGCTCCTCAAGGACAGCAACCAGTTTACAACATATCTCTCTGCCTACAGCGTATTCCTCAGCTCTATCGCTGGTGTCATGATTTGCGACTACTACATTGTTCGCAAGGGGTACATCGATGTGAAGGAACTTTATGATGGTCGCAAGGAGGGGCCGTATTACTACACTGCCGGCTTCAACTGGCGCGGTTATGCTGCCTACATTTGTGGAATCGTCATTAACGTCGTTGGTTTTGCCGATGCAGTTGGTGCAAAGAACGTTCCTATTGGTGCTGTTCACGTTTACCAGCTCAACTACTTCTGCGGCTTTGGCGTGTCTATGCTTGTCTACTACACTCTGTGCAGGCTTTGGCCGGTGGCTGCGACGAGCGACCGCTGGATGGAAGTCGGTGATGAGATCGATGATATGCGATTGGCTTATGACTCGAGAAGTCCTTCTTACGACGAAGAAAATGCGACAGGACAGGCGTCAAAGGCCACCGAGGACACGAAACAATTCTAGGTTGGGATATGGCAGGGAGTTTATTTTATGGAGGATGTTTGATTATGTATATTATTTTGGACATGGGTATGTATACACAGGATGGTCTGGGCTACTTGCTAGACAATGAAGAAATGAACGCACTGCTTTATCTTTGGGATCAGTATAATGTTTGTCTATTCATTTCTCGCTTTTATACCCCATTCTCATGTGTAACTCTGGAGCGGGACGGCGCGCTCGCTTAATCGATTTAAGGTTTGATGCGGGGTGACGTCAGATATGCGGATGAGCCCTTCTTGCATCAATCTCCATGGTCTCTCTTCGCAGCAGGACTCGATTCCAATGTGGAATAAACTAGAAAATTGCAGAAGCCTTAGGATCTGAGTTTACGTTGGAAAATAGTGATAGCCTAAGATCGGATATGAGATAGAAAAAAAGGATGAAATTGTTTTATGTCTTGGGTAACTAACTAGACTTACTAGACTTAAATTTTCTACAATTGTCAAGACAGACCAACGGCTGTTAAAGAGCTTCTGTTTCACACCTGCATAAGGCTGCATGATCAGAGCCAGTCGCGGATAGGACAAAAGATCTGCACACATGTGCCTAAAAGACAATTAAACAGCTGTTTGCACTGGTGCATCTCTTAAAAAGCATTTATGCAGCGCGGGTATTCCCGCACTGCCATGTGCAAAGATCAAATCAGACAATAACCCAAAACGAATTCTGTACCTCACTCAGCACCATGCACAACCATTGTGATCAGCACCTTTTTAGCTATTTCGAGGCCAAAAGCTTCAAAAAGAAACTTGAACGAATCACGTGCCCCGTACTGGAATCGAACCAGTGATCTTATCATTACTAGTGATACGCTTTACCACTGAGCCAACGGGGCTTATGAGGTGATTCCTCGTTTGTTAAAGTATTCGCAGAGATCAGAGCATATATTGTCGCTGTTTTGTTTGGAAAAAAGACAATGGCGCCCTCCCAAAGTTGGAAGTGAAACAGGCACAGTCAAGTCCAGGGCGTCTCTGTTATATTTTGTAAATACATTGCGTCATACAATCGGCTATGCACTGACCAGTCAGCTGTATTACGTTGGCCTTGTGTCATATTATTGGAGACTTGGCAGTTTGAGTTTTACTGTATCTCTCAAAGATAGCAACATGAATGTTGTACAAGACCTGAGTACATGCTCAATTATCTTTCATCATTATTTTACGCTGCTACACATATAGATAGTAAACCCACGTCACCTTGTTCACTCCACGATCTTTATACTACTATCGCAAAGAAGGAGTTTAAAACTGTTCAGAATTAGTAAGATCAAAGGTACTGTTTCGTCAGTATGGCACATATTTTATTAGCTTTCACATCGGCATTTGTTGAAGTTTTGTGTAAATCCTAGTCATGTGGGCTTTTCACCGTCTTGTACCCTCTTCGCTTTGACATCTGTGCTTAAACAGGTGACGCTGCACGTTCCAATGGACTTTTTATTTCTCTTTATTCTCTTATCTTCGTGTAGTATAATATCTCGTATCTGAAAGTGTTTTGGATATTTTAAATATTAAAAAGACAAATGTGTCTGGAGAGTATCACACGGACCTGAACAGAATGGCTATTTCCCAACAAGACTGGGTTTCTATCAGTGAAATTTGATTCGCAGACACGTGCTAGTGCATGCAGCATAAGAGAGGTAGTCAGTTGACATGAAAAATATGCTAATGCGGTATTAACAACCCTGTATCTAGATATTTAAACATCTGGGCATAATTCGTTATCGACACCTAAGTAGATAGATGTACTTGTACTTTGACTTATACAGTTTACCTCTGTATGGTACAATTGGTTGGTGCAATACCTGTCAATCAACCATTCATTCAAACCTTTATACCCTGCTCAATATCAATAAAGCAAGCAACAATAGCAGATAATTACCCTCGCAATGCTGATAGCAGGGCAAAAAAAAGATAAACAGATACTCAAAATCGGTGTTTCATATCCGGGTTTCACTTGACAAAAGCCACTGATTTAAATGGAGGTCCACTATAGCAAGGTACATTTGGGGGAGCCCACCCACTGCGGATCATTTTCCGGCCCGCCTTGACCAATACCCCGCCTGAACAGGATTTGTGGTAGCAAAAAAATGACCGATATCGTCGGCCATTGAGGAAAAATTTTCTAAAGGTTACACATTCTGGTTCAAACCAAATTTTAGACTGAGTGTAAAAAACACTCTATTATTTCATTCTTCAACTTCTCCACGACCGACGTGACACGATATTCAACATGTGTGGTGTTTCGGGTATTTTGGTGAGTCTCGAGTCCTGCTGTTTCTATTGCCCCTCCCCCGCGCTCAGTAAGACCCTTGCCCGTGCTCGGACTTGAGACGGAAGTGCTACCAAAAGAGCAAACGGAAAAAAAGAATGATACATTGCACGTAAACAAATGCTGACTGTCTACACAGCTGGGTGACCAGGAAGCCACTTCCGCCGCTATCGATTTGCACGAATCTCTGTATTACCTCCAACATGTTAGTCAACGATCGCGAAAACAATCGCATGCCGAACCTCGAATGTCCAAGGAACGAATACTGATACTGGGAATAGCGAGGACAAGATGCGGCAGGTATTGCTGTTTGCCAGGGAGGAAGAGTCTCCCAGTGTAAGGGTCTGGGAATGGCCAGCAAGGTCTTTTCCGATGGTCGACGACTCGAGCATCTGCCTGGATACATGGGTATGGCATCGCGACATACATATGGATGATACAGAGACTAACTCTCTAAAGGCCTGGGACACGTCCGCTACCCTACCATGGGCACCGCTTCTGCGTATGTATGACTGCAAATGCTATTTGCATAACTGACCGCATCACAGATCTGAGGCTCAGCCCTTCTATGTGAATGCGCCATTCGGAATCTCAATGAGCGTCAACGGTAACCTCGTCAACACCGAATACCTCCGCAAATTCCTCGACGAAGAAGCCCACCGACATGTCAACTCTGATTCCGACTCGGAGCTCCTGTGCGTAATCGCAGCTGGCACTTATTCGAACCACGATGACTGATTTGTACCAATAGTCTCAACATCTTCGCACACGGACTTCAGCAACTCGGCAAGACTCGCGCCAACTCTGAAGATATCTTCACTGCTCTGAGCGATGTGTACTCCAAATGCCAGGGCGCTTTTGCCTGCACTGCCATGATTGCCGGCTTCGGTATCCTGGCTTTCCGGTGAGTTTTGTCAATGGCCTGAAAATGTGTCTCGTGTCTAAATTGAAACAGTGACGCCAACGGTATTCGACCCCTTTGCATTGGTTCCCGGCCTTCCGCCACTCTCTCCGGCGCCAAGGATTACATGGTTGCTTCCGAATCTGTCGTCCTCAAGCAGCTTGGTTTCGAGGATATTATCGACATTCTTCCCGGCCAGGCCTGCTTTTTGCAAAAGGGCTGTGCTCCAAAGTTCCGCCAGATCATCAATAACCTACCTTACACCCCCGACTGCTTCGAGTTCGTTTACGTTGCTCGCCCTGACTCGACCATGGACGGTATTTCCGTCTACCGCAGCCGACAAAACATGGGAGAGAAGCTAGCCAAGAAGATCCGTGCAGTTCTTGGAGAGAAGGCAGTTGAAGAGATCGACGCTGGTATGTTGTTTTCACACGTTATCTTAGCTCAAATCATGCTAACACGTTTTCTAGTTATTCCAGTACCTGAGGTATGCTATGCTGAAGCATATACCAATCCTACTTTCTGCGGTAACTAACTCCTTTGCAGACAAGTAACATTGCCGCTGCCACTCTTGCTGAGAAGCTTGGCAAGCCATATGTGACTGCTCTTATCAAGAACCGATACGTCCAAAGAACTTTCATTCTCCCCAACCAAGCTCTCCGAATGAAGAGCGTCCGCCGAAAGCTTTCGCCCATCGACTCGGAGTTCCGCGGCAAGAACTTAATTATAGTGGATGACAGTGTCGTCCGTGGAAGTAAGCATCACATCTCATAAGTTAGATGTAATACTGATTCGAGATTAGCTACCTCACGACAAATTGTCCAGATGGCTAGGGATGCCGGTGCTATCAAGGTTATCTTTGTTTCAGCCTCTCCCGAATGCATGCACCCTCACATCGTAAGTTTAGCCCAATTACTTTACCCAGGAATAATGCTAACAATCTTCAAGTATGGTATCGATCTTGCGGACCCAATTGGTAGGAACTTCTCTGACCCATCGCTCAAATGCTCTTGCTAACACTCCGAAAGACCTGGTTGCTCACGGTCGAACAACAAAAGAAATTGCCGATTACATCGGTGCTGACGAGGTCATCTTCCAGGACCTTGATGGTAAAGACGGATTGAAGGCTGCTTGCATGGAGGCTGCCGAAACCACAAGCAAGGTTGAAGACTTTGAGGTCGGTGTCTTCTGTGGTAGGTACGTCACAGAAGTCCCAGAAGGATATTTCGAGCACCTGAGCGATCTCCGAAACGGCAAGCGAAAGGCCAAGGCAGCCTTGACAGAAATCAAGGCTGGTGGCGATGAGGGTGCCAATGTAGTCGTCAGCTCTGGACCTACAAATGGCCCACCTGCCTCTGACGAGCGAGAAGATATCAGGTGAGTCCTTGTCAGTGATGCTCATTCTTTGCGTATACTGACTAGTCAACAGTCTTCACAACATGGCAAGCGAGCAGATGACAACGTCATAAACGTTGACAATAATGCTCAAGCAACCGAGTGCAAAGATTATCGGAACTAAAATTCCGGCCAAGAGGGGATAGATTCGAGACATCGATGAGTGGGCGACCTATGAAAAGGGTCTGAAAATACCAATGGCGGCGGACATGATAGTCCAAGCGGCCTTGATGAAAAATAATGTAGCCTTGAGAGCTGTCAATCAGCCAGGGAACAAGTGTCCGGACACAGCACTGACGCTGGCTGGCAGCTCGATCAGGCACCACCGATACTAGAGATGCCGCAAGGCAGAGATCAAAACGGGATATGAAAAGCCAGAATTTATGAGCGTTGCTTGAATTATTGCTGCTATTTCCTTGTGTCAGTTGGCCTTGTCTTGTGCTCCGCTTTATCAGTCTCGGAGTCACCCTATCGCCCTAGGTTGTGGACTCATACACCGGCTAGGGGACCGGAATGATATTATGCTGAGTGGACATGAATTGGATCAACAACGGTCCAAGCGAGAGTGGTCAAAACATGTCGTCTAGCTCAGGGTTCTCAGAAAGCTACCGTTCAGTCAAATCCCACCATGTAAGCATATCCCTTCCAAGTCTCGTAATTTGACCCATCGAGTAGATTATAGAGGGGAAACAAGTACGGTGAGCAAGGTGAAAGACTTTGACTATCGTGAAGGGTCCATCAAGATAGTTTCATGGTGGAGTTGTTGAGAAGGTGGGAGGAGCCTTATGAGGAGAAAGCCTTGGCTTCTCCTCTCAAAATAAACCCGGTCTAGTTCACCAACCTGCCACTTGAGTTAGTTGGAGATGGTTGGAGAGCTTGGTTAACTGGATCTCGGTTAGGGCCAGACCGAAGATGCCAAGATGCATTTTTAGTATCATGACTAAGGTGATAGTAATAGCAATGGTCGGTTCTCATGGTCTATGTTAGTCAGAGGCTAATGTTACAGTCGGAGTGAAGGAGTCATGTCAAAATCAACACCCAATACAGATATTTCAGTGGTAGAAAAATTCATAGTCAAGGTTGCATGCGGATCATGACATAGGTAGTGTATGTAGTGAAGTGCCATGACGGTTCATAAGCTCCGTAGTAGTCAAGGTGGGATCCATCACGATCTCCAACGCATAGAAGGGGAAAAAATATGTATCAGGGTTCCCCTCACGATAGAAGAAAAAAAACAAGGACGTGAAAGAAACGAAAAAGAAGAAGAACAAGACTTCGAAAGACAGCTGATTTCCCAATTGGGTCGTTGTGTCACTTCTGGCTGGACGGTCCCATCAAGACCCATATACGACAAGCTTTCTGCCGACTGTAATGGAAGACCCATGATGCAGGTCCCGAAGGTTCGGCTGCACGATATGTCGTTTCCTTACCCTTTCGGGGAGCGTTGGTATCGGCTTTAGTCGGGGGATTGGGCTAGATGAACGTGGGGCTTGGCCTTTGCTTTGTTACCTATTAGGACTAGAGTTGAGGCGGACAAGGGGAGACGAAAAGGCGAGGCGAGCATGGGATGGGATAGGATTCATCATTGGGGGTATATGCTGTAATCTGATATGGGGTGACTTATACAATTTACATATTGTCAGAGATGCTGGGCACTGCTATCAATTCTGATTGGCACCGAGTCATGAGATCTCCTCCAGCACTGTGCACTATACCTTGCTGGGGGCTGTATCGTACTGTGCCTCCCGTCTGCAAGATCCTGGTCATTCTTACAGGTGTATGTTGCCAGCATCTTTATTGAACTAACTGTCTAGGCTCTGTCTCCAGTTCATCCATAGAATGTTCCATACTGAGACGAGGCTCGATCTGGATTTGGTCTATTTCGCATCATTGCGTGCTTCGCTATTACCTGGCTAAGTACCTACCCAAGTACTATCTAGGTAGGCTACTAGGGAGTAGGTAGTTGTTGTTGTCTTTGTTGTTGTTACTCTCGTACAGTCGTAAAAAAACGGTACCTGCCGGTTTCTCTGGACTGGGCTCATGGAACTAACGTGCCTGCCTATCTTCCTATACCTAGAGTGGGAGACTCGCACCTTCTTCCATTTACCCCTCCATCATCTTTCCTCCCACCTCTCAGTCTACCTGTACCTTAGCTTTAAGGTACCTATCTCTACATTCCGTCTCCTCCATCCATTACTTTTCTCTTCCGTCACAACCTTTTTCTAATTCATCATCGTCATTACATACCTACTCTACTACTACCAGAGTCCTCTTACCCCCCGCCTTACACTGGTACATCGTGCACCTCGTTACAATCTCTTCGTCTCAGTCCATCATGAACCTTCTGTAACGACTCGCTCGTCACATCCAAACCGCTGCCTCGCCCGCCACAAGAGAGCTCGAGCACGACCTGGACCTAGTGAAATCCTAGGATAAAACACCAGCACCAGACCTGTCAAGCTGCTCTGTCAGCACCCGGCGCATGCCGCCAAGCAACACCAAACCGTGTCACAACTGCCGTCGCCGACGCCTGCGCTGCGACCGCTCATGGCCGACATGCCACAAATGTGCGGTCTCGGGGCAGGAATGCCTCGGGTATGGCAAGGTTTTCGTCTGGACGCAAGGTATTGACTCTCACGGCAATGTCAATCCGCCTCCGGGCCGGAGGCTACCCGACGACACTGATTCTTCCGCCTCTGCCTCGCCCCCGGGACATTATCATCAACTGGGTCAAGGTCAACATCACGATCGCCCGAGACCCCAGCCTCAACCTGACTATAGCGACCAGCACCCACTGGCGCGCTTGGTCCAACAAGCACAACAGGCTGCCCAAGAGGCAGAGGAGTTGAAGCGACATCAGCAACAGCCGACCCCACGCAATGACGAATCTGCATCCTCGAGCGATGGCAATATGCCTTGGCCTTCTCCGGCTGCACTTACAGATCCGTTGTTCCAGGATCTTGACCGCACATCGCGATTCTACCTAGCGCATTGTAGGTCTTGGCTCTAGTACTTACCTTAATCGATACTAATGCGAGTCCCAGTCTCCGAAAGCGTTTGCAAGGATCTCGTGGTCCGAGACACACCTGAGAGTAATCCATTCCGTGAGCTGATACCCTTGACACGGAAGCACCCGCTTCTTTTTCAAGTTCTTATTGCGACTTCAGCTATCCACTGGTCCAATGTGTTTCGTCGCGTCACCAAGATCCCCACTGGCATCCCCAATCCCGGCGACTACCTCTCTGTGCTGCGCTCAAAGGATCTTGTAACTCACCAAGCTCTTATCGATGCCCTGACGGCCAAGCAAAAGGCTATGAGCCACCTTAGAGAGGTGCTCGATACACTTGACCCTGCGGGTAGTGAGGTGGCACTGGCTGCTATGCACTTTTTTATCAAATTTGATTTGATTGATTTGGACAAGTCGGACAATCAGAGCTGGAGGGCCCACCTCGAAGGCGCTACCAGTATTATGGCGCTTCTTAACCCGGATAGTAACCCCGACGCTTCTAGTAGAATGTTGCGGGACCGGGTCATCACTGACAGCTTCATGTAAGTGCGCAATTCGGCTGCCGCGTATAGTGGATACTGATGTTTTTATAGTTATAATATTCTCGGCTCGACGTTGACCTCGGGAGGGCTCGCTGCAAGGGTTGCACGACAAGCTTTTCAGTTTCTACCTGTTATGAAACGTGTGGAACTGACAAGTTATTTGTCCTGCCCTCCAGAGATCCTCAACATTATTCTTTCCGCTTCTGAATTGTCTCACGAAGTACCCTGGACTGACCAGTCCTTGGGGGCGGCAGATAAGGCACTCGCCCTGATAGACGAAGCTCTTGCCGTTGATATTCCAGCCTGGGCAGACTACTTGCGGCAACACAACATCACCCAGGACCTCAACAGTCGAGTGCGTTTAGCCTTAGCACACCGTTCGGCGGCATGCTTGTACATCCTCCAAGCATTGCCACTAGTTCGGTCGTTGCGGTCTATTGATACCGATTTTCTGCTTGAGGACGTTTTGAGCAATTTAGCTCTCATTGACGAGAACGACCCATACTTCAAAGCCTCCTCGTGGCCAACATTTGTTGCAGGGGCTGAGACACGAGACCCTGAAAGACGCACATGGACCCTGTCCCGGTTATTGTCAATTTGGCAGATTTGTCCGTGGGGGTACCTGTTCACGGCAATTGAGATGCTCAAGGCAACGTGGGCGATGCAAGATACACGCAGCACGGATAATGTCAACTGGCTACATGATTTACGTGGGATGGGATTTGAGAACTTGATCGTTTAAAAATGATATGATACTTTTGGCTACAGGGTGTTTCTGGTTCCGGTCTATATACAATGTGGTGTATTTTTTAGCGTCGGAGCAAAAGTCGACTCGTGTGTTTTATCCTAGGGTTCAGTTCGGTTGCAAGCTCGGAGTACCAAAGAATTAGCTAATGATTTTAGAGGAACGCCGCGTGTTTTTGGCCAGCTGTTCACAGTTCAATGCTAAGAGAATAGAGACGTATAGCGTCGGGACGAATGTCTTCGCAAATGCCGGTTCTAGACCAGTCGAATCTCACGATGGCTTCACCGAGTTCAACAAGCTGCTTTTCTTGGCATGGGATTTATCAGCAGACCCACCATCTATACTACATGAACTTAGATGATAATAGTTTTGTAATGGCCGCTTGCCCTATTCTACTCACTTCACCTTCATCATGCCATCAATTACCCGCAAGTCTCTATCACAAAGAACCCTGTTCGTGATATCTCAAGGGTCCTAGTAGACCGGTTGCTCCACTGGCCAGAAAGAACGAACTAGCCAAGAACATGCGGCTTCGACGAAAGTGGTTTGAGCTTGAAATCTCGGCCGAGACACCTGACCACCTTTTGGCGTCCTGCGAGATTATGCCTAGGGTATCGTGTTAACCCGTCAACCCGTATCCTCAAAAGGTCTGAGCAAAAACAAGCGAAGTCAACGGGGAATGGAATGAGTTGTATCGTACACGTGTAGGACAAATCTGACTTTCGTGTTAGATCAAGGTTACACCGCATCAAAGCCAGGATTCCTCTTTTCTCCTCAGCGCATACATGGTGATACCCCTCATCTTGCCTTGTATTGTCTTGGTTAGATCTGAAGCCGTTGTGTACCTTAATAGTACAAGGGCATGTTAGTCACCAATAGAGAAGCGAGGCTTGAAGCAGAAAACGGAATGGCGAAGGAAAGTGGGTGTGATGCCCAACTGCATTATTCTTTTCCCCTTTGTCTCAGAATGGTCGAACCCCTCGCTGACGGGATCAGAGTTGTCGTCGTCCTTGTTGGTGATAGACGGTCTCATACATGGCCGCAGGTGTGATCTTTCCTCAAAGTTCCAGGATCGACATTATGAATGGAGATAGCATTACGCTTCGTTATCTCATTCGATTAGGCACAAAGATAAGATGAATCACACTCGTTGATCTTTTTAATCTATTGGTTGGCAAGGTAGCCATCAGTTGTCTGACAGCCATCGAAAGTTTGATGTGGGGTTTTGAGCGAATAGAGCAGCACAGCTGTAGCATCATATATTCGCGTACTTGTATGAATATATAATATATGAAAATTTTATAGTTTTGAATTTTATATCATGTCTGTTGAATAGCGCTAGTAAGGAGGGCACGGCAGCGGAGACATAGAGAACATACCTGTAGTTACCTGTCTTGATCATGTGTGGCTACTTGGCCAGCCTTCTGTTTGAAGCATTGGCCATTGCTATATCCTTTTTTTCCCCAGTCGGCCAGGACAAACAATCGATCAGAACGATAGTGTGTAAATTGATCCTATATTTAGAAAAGGCCAGCAACAAACAGCTCATGACACATTGGCATTAGTTCTGGTGAAGCCTCTAATTACCTACCCATCATAGCTCCACAAAATACCACCAAACTTTTTTATATGTTGTACTGCAAGACTGTATCGTCGAATAGAAACAAAGGGCATTAACACAAAGTCATAGAGACATGGGCATGCATCCTATGTCTCGGATGATGTTCCTCTTAATACTAACCTACAACGCAAGAATTAAAGATCAAAACATTCACCGCAGTGGAAATAAGTGCAAAGCAGGGAGGTGCAGGGAACGGCCAGGCACAGAATGTTGGTCGATGGCGCACCAACAAGCCATGATCATCATGAATGAACAATCTCATAACGCCACAGCGTGGCAGAGGTTCAAAGGGACGGTATGTATAGTGACAAAAAGGGATCTCAAATACGGACAGACGAAAATAGTCAAATTAAGAATGATCCACGCATACCTCGTGAATGATATACGCCAGACATGCACCTTGTTCATGATGATCGTTAATAATACCCGAAACCCAAGCGCCATTCCAAGAAATTGGTTGAACCATGGCCCAAATTGAAGTGATTGAAAGGAAAATGTAAGGGATTGTGCCTGGCCTAGGTACAGGAACTGTACAACTCGAAAGTTGCGGTTCTGAGTTGGAGAGTGAAACAAAGAAAAGATCAAGTACCGGTCAAGGTTGATAAGGACAATATCACAAAAGTGTGATGCACTTGGTTTACCACCGACGGCTGTTCTGATGTTAGCTGGGAATGTTTGCAGCGTACCATATGGCATACCTATAAGCCGAATCGAGCTTCGTCTGACGGCGTTTGGGCTTCAATCCTGACAATGATGATTTTCGCCTCGGGGACTCTTCAGGTGTTTTGGCTTTTGAATCCCGTCCGAGCAACTCAGCTTCCAAAGAATCCAACCCTGATGATGCAGCTGACATTGAAGAGTCTCTCGAGGCTGGTGTTCGACTGCGACTTCGACTACGGTTACGGCCACGGCTGCGGCTGCGGCTGCGACTGCGGCCACGATCTCTATCTCGATCTCGATGGTACCTGTCTAATCGCTGATGATCATCGACGTTATGGAAAGTTGTTGACCGATATTCGGAGCTTTCGCGACGTCGTTTATGCCTCTTGGGCTCGTAGGTATCATGTGGTCCCGAATAGGCGTCGTGTGATCCTCTGCGTTTCGCATTGGAAGAGCTCCGAGATTTTTGCCTCTTCGATGGTCGTTCAACAGAATTATCGTCATCTGAGTGATCTCGTTTGGGGTGTTGTTCGATAATCTCCCCACTTTCGGACCTTTCACTCCGAGCACTTTGATCGACCTTGGACGGAAGCTCAGAGACGGGATCCCCGCTAGGAAGCTTACCATCCCGTACAAACGCGGGGTCGGATTCGACATCTGGCCAATACGGTGTTTCGTGTATCGGTTTGACGTATTCCTCGATATTGTCAGCTTGGACATAGACTGATTCGATGCATTTCGCATCCCATTTTCTAGGAAGAAGCACCTCGTCATCATATTCTGCAGGCAATGGCTTGCCAACCTCATCTGGGGGATGATGGGGTTCTTCTTCTTTAAAGATTGTCTCCTTCTCCCATTCCCACTCTTCTTCGGTGGTCTTCTGAGGCAATTTTACCGGTACCGCTTCTTCCTCTCGTTTTGGTTTTGGGGTTGGTTCTTGTTTCTGTGATGAATCAGGTATAACAGGACTTTCAACTTGAGCCTTCTTAGTTTCAGGTGTTCCTGAAGGTATACTTGACTTTTGCTTGGTAGGTGAGATGGATGGGGCCTTTTGTTCTTGCTTTGGAGACGGAAGGGGTTTAGGAAGGTTGGCTGGCTTTGGTTCAGGCCGTCTACTGTTGCCGTCTTGTGATTTCTGTTCTTGTCGAGGGTGCTGATTCTTCTTCTGTCGATTGTCATGGTTACGATTATGTCGATCGTTCTTGCGTTTGTTCCGGTGATCGCGAGAGTGATCAAAAAAGTCTCGACGACCTCTGTTGGGCTGTCCATGAGGCTGTGGAGGTTTTGGGGGCAAAGGAGGCTTCGGGGGTAACGAAGCGGGCAAAGATAATGTTGAGGCAGGACTTTGACGCGGCACAGGAGGTGATCCAGATGATCGCTTTGGCCATACTTTCGGGGGCACTGGAGAAGGGATAGGAGGCCTAGGAGGTGGCGGGTGTCCATATGTAGGTGGTGCACTGTGAGGGGGAAACGGGGGTGGGTATGACGGCGGCGGAGCATGATGCCCATATGGTGCTGAAGCAGGCGGAGGGTAAGAAGGATAGTGAGGCTGATGGGCGTATGGTGCATGATCTTGATGAGGCGGAGGGTGTCCGTAAGGGCGTGAGTACGACGATGGTCCTGGAGGTTGAGGTGGTGGGGATGAATTATAAGTGCCCGGCGGTCTATGAGGAGGCGCCGGCAGACCTGGGGGAGGGCCACCATAGGAAGGTGGAGGATAAGGGTGAGAATAGCCTGGAGGTGAGTATCCAGGTGCATAACTAGATGCTGGGCTTCCGTAAGGAGGGTAATGAGGAGGGTATGAAGGAGGTCCTCCTGAATATGGCGTAGGCGGAGGTCCGTATCCCGGAGGCGGGCCATATCGATTTACTCCTGGTGCCGGCGCTGGTACAGGTGCGGGAGTGTATTTGGTTATAATAGGTCCTTTCGACTTCTTTGGACCGCCGTGATTATCCCTATTGCCGCCATGTCCTGGAGTATTTGAGTTCCTCCAAGCTGCAAGGCCACTGTCATTGCGTTAAAAGCTGCGGGGCACCAAAGTCCATGATGGGACTTGAAGGAAATTGATACTTACGCTGGAGTTTCCCGCGTAGGCTCGGGGCATGCTATAGCCCAATGGCCAGCAGTACCACAGTTATAACATCGAGCCTCGTCTGGCCGAGGTTGGCCAGGAGCCGTGTTGGGCATGGCTGGCGAAGTGAAGCCAAGTGTGCCAAGAGAAGCTTCAACCCAGACAGGACACTATCCTGAAATAGATCAACAGAGAGGCCGTACAGATTATACAACTCCGTGGCTTCTATAGATGTAGCGTGATGCCAAAGAAGAGTAATGCTAAAGCGACTTGGTCAGCAGGATGAGATGAACACTCAAGCGCGGCCACTGCTGAGGCGGAACAAGTTTGAGCAAGTGGACTGAGGCTTGGTCGAGTAACACCGTGATACGTTTCACAGCAGGGCTTCAGAACGACTGAGAAGCGATGCGAAGCGATGGTACAGTTGAATAAGGCAGCGATATGTATGCTTTTGGGGATGCTTCAGCCCAAGCTTGTCAGTGGCCAGCGCGCGGTCGCGACATACGAAAGCCCCCTCCCTGAACCTGCTCTGGGCTTATCAGAGAGTCTTCATTCAGGGACCATTAAGGGAAGGGGCGGGAGATTTGGGTTTGCGACGAGAATCGCGGATTTGAATTGGCGATGAGGCTCAATTCAGACAAATTACTAGAAGTAGGCAATATTGATGCAATGATAGTCATTGGTTGATGGCAATGCTGAAGTTGTCGCGTGCGCACGGGCCATTTCTCCAGGAAGAAAGAACATGGCAAGTCCAAATGAATTAAACTTTGGCCATTCCTGACCCTGCAAACAGTACCTGCCTAAGGTACTAATTTGATTAATTAATTAATTACAGTACCTAAATAATAGATGCAAATAAGGCTTTATCAATCAATTAACCCATCAATATCTAACCAACGCCGAGAAACAAGCTTTAACCACCATACGCATTGTGTATAGGTAAGCTTATTTTACGCAAGCTTCAATACTAGTTTAACAAACTCTTTCACGCCATTTTGAATCAGCACAATAGAGGTACATAGGTAGTGTGTTATTCTCATAATCAATCCTACGCCAATACAAAATACCACTATCAAATTTGTCTTTCCGTATATGTACCTATTAGTCTGTCTTACAGGAAGAGTTGACCTGTTCCACAGGCTTAGTGGCGTATATATGTACAGTGCACATATTTGAAAGAAGAAGTCACCTCTAAGTTCCAACTGAATCACAAAAAAAGACATATTCAATTACTCGAATCTAACGTTGTTGTTAGGCCTTACATATACTAGAGCTTTAGAAGCCCAGCTACTACCTACTAAGAAGAGCTCTCAAGATGTTGCTGAAGTGTGGAGGTGGCCGGGCCATTTTCCCGCCGAGGCACCGTCATGCAGCAACGACTAAGCAAAGCGCCAAAACATCCCACAGCTCGAAAAGCAGCAGCAAAACCACCACCAAGATGTTGCATATGTAATCACGACCACGGGTTCGCATCCACAACATTTCTACTACCGTAGCTCTGTCAGCCTTCCAAGATTCCTCCACCCTACATAACCTCGCTCTACTTTCGACCGGCTTCGCCCCGCACCTATGTGAATCGAACTGTCGGGCCCCGATCATGTTAGTACAACAACCGAGCTCTTCTCTAGACATCATCCTCGCCAGGAGCCGAATTCGACGTCGACACCCTTAATGATACCGATCCCTCAACGCATGCTTCTCGATCCTTACGAATACACTTGAATAGCGACCCCTCCGTATCGCTCACCTTACTCAATTCACTCGGCATCGCCAAACGTAGCGACTTCTATATTCCACAATGCCTGGGTTACCTTGTAAGCACCCTTCCGGATCGAAACGGTCCCCAGGCTGACGTATCTCATCCAGCGTCCGTCGATCTCGACGAGTGCATTTCGCGCTTATACAACAAGGAGTTGCTTGCCGAGTCAGTCATCGAGGCCGTCTGCGCCAAGACGAAAGAGCTTCTTATGCGCGAGTCTAACGTCGTCCACGTCCGCGCGCCCATTACTGTCGTTGGAGATATCCACGGACAATTCTTCGACCTTATCGAGATTTTTCGCATCGGTGGCTACTGCCCTGACACCAACTATCTGTTCCTTGGTAACCGCTCACGAGCTCGAGACGAATAATGGTGGACATTTGCTGACCATGACGGGACCTAACAGGAGACTACGTTGACCGTGGCATGTTCAGTGTTGAAACAATATCGTTGCTTGTATGCTTGAAACTACGATACCCTAATCGTGTGCATCTGATCCGTGGAAATCACGAGTCGCGCGGCGTTACGCAGTCATATGGCTTCTACACAGAGTGTTCGCGCAAATATGGCAATGCCAACGTGTGGCACTACTTTACCGATATGTTTGACTTTTTGACTTTGAGCGTTGTCATCAACGATCAAATCTTCTGTGTCCATGGTGGTAAATATAGTTTAAGCTTATTTCAAAAGGGCTATGCTGATACGTTGTATAGGTCTATCGCCCTCTATCCACTCGATCGACCAAATCAAAATTATAGACCGATTCCGCGAGATTCCTCACGAGGGTCCTATGGCTGATCTCGTCTGGTCTGATCCTGATCCTGAGCGCGATGAATTTTCCCTGTCACCCCGCGGCGCGGGGTACACTTTTGGAGCACAGGTCGTCAAAAAGTTCCTGGCTGTCAACAATATGTCGCATATTCTACGCGCTCACCAGCTCTGTCAGGAGGGCTTCCAGGTTCTATATGATGACCGCCTTAGCACTGTTTGGAGTGCGCCAAACTATTGCTATCGCTGCGGAAATATGGCCAGTGTTCTCGAAGTCAGCGACACCGGTGAACGTTTCTTCAACGTTTTTGCAGCAGCACCAGAGAACGACGTGCACAAGGACCTTCAACCAGGAAACGAAAAGTCTGCCGACGGTAATGCCTTGCCAGACTATTTCTTGTAGACGACCAACCCCATTTATACATACACATACCGCCCTGGAGTGCTTCACTCAGGCTTAACGATATTCACAGCAATATGATACCATGTCTTCAAAACAGACTTTACGAATCGGGCCTGAGAAATGGAGTTACATAGCATAGAACTTGATGTATATAGGCATTTTTATTCTCCTGCAGTATCGAAGCTCTAGATTTAGCCACAGGTACCGACCGGCCTGTCATCGACAAGCAGGTGACAGGAAACAGAGCAAGACCTTTCTCCAACCGAGTGAGGTTTTCTTTTGATTTGAGTTTATGTGAAATTTTTGTGTGTGTATGTTCCTCTCCAAATGTTCAGGTATCTCATTATCTCATGACTTGTGATATGTAATTTTGAGTTATGTCGTCGGTCCGTGCTACCAAGGCGCCGCTGTCTACCAGTCCTTGGCGATATCGAAACTCCACTCAAACTCGAGATGCTTCTTCTTATCGTCGTCCACGAAGCTAGAGATGGCGTTGTAGTGGCCACGAGCGAGCATGCCGCTGGGAGCCTCCTCCTCCTGGACTGTAGTGTTGTTAGTACTTGGTTCTGTCTAGCAATTCGGGCGTGAAACTTACACTTCTTGATGTAAGTGGGCTGCTTGTCGGTGCTGGGGGCGTAGCTGCCAATCATCTCAGAGTCCTTGGAGACGCGGATACCCTTTCGCTTAACAACCTGAACGTAGTGGAGGCCGCTGAGAATCTCGTGCTGAACCTTGAACTTGGCGCTCATGGTGAACTTGGCACCTTCCTTGATGTTGAAGGGCTTGTCCTTGAGGGTGGTCTCGCTTCCAGGGGTAGAGAGATCGATGGTGACGGGAGGACGGCCGGGGGAGTCCATGGTCAAGGAGAGAATGATGCAGACTCGGGGATCGTTAGGATCAGAGATATCGGTGCCACCTCCAAGACCAAGGGACTCCTTGTATCGCTGGAGAGACTCATCGCCAGCGTCTGTGGGAGATAAGGTTAGCATATATCACAACCGCGGTAATCGGGTCGGCAAGGCGGTAAGCATGGAAGGACATGAGATGGGAGAAACTTTCGTCTGTGTTTTCACAACAGACACCGCCGTCGCATAGCTAAAGTTGCGGGATCTCTACGACCGCAACTCTGGCGTGCAGCTTTGAGAAAAAGAAGCTTATAGACATGATTCCATGTTGTGTTGACATGGGGTGTCATAGCTTGGTGGTATGTAGAGCGCATATCGCGAAGCTTGAAGGAGATGCACATACCCATCTGCTGGTACTCAGCCAGACTCTGCTTAGGCTGGGAGAGCTTGTAGCCCTGAGTCTCCTCGGGCATGGTATCATCGTCGTGGGAAGCCATGGTGGGCGAGCGGGGGGAAGCTGTTGGTGAAGAGGCGGGGTGAAGGTAGAAGCTGTGGGTGATGCTATCGAGAAGCTACCTAACCAAGCAAATGTTAGGTAAGTAGACTGGAGTTGAGTAGGAAGAGGGAAGAAAAGGAGGAGAGGAAAAGAAGGAAGCTTACTCGTTGAACCCAAGCAAGGCAAAGTAGAGGTGAGTTTGGGTCAGGGCGGGCTTAGAAGTGGAGGGGCTTCATTCCGAGTTAGGGGATTGGATCCATTTGTTGCGGTGACGGATGGACGACCTACCCAGGTATTGAGGGGCTTCCCGTTCCCGCAGGGCGGTGTTGCAAGTCTGTTACCGTACTGCTACTGCTATTGCTCTAGCCTTGGCCTGGACTGGGTCGGGCTGGGTTTGGGTTTGCTACAGTGGGGACCAGGTCCTTGAGGAAAAGCTTCGATTGGATCAAGATCAGAAATCGAGGTGGCGCCGCCAATAATCGTTTTTTGTAGATTATCAGATATGGAGATTTTGTGCAGTTGTTGCTGTTGGGTGGTCTTCAGGGGTCCAAAGTGAGACCGGAATCTGAGACTTATTTCTGGCGGTTTTGTCTTGTCTTGAATTGTTCGAGATATGAAGAGTGGGGATGATGAGTTGGGCTCTTTTTATACCATTAACGGTGACTGCATTTATTAACTGTCTGCGAGGATAATAGTCAGTGACGGCCCTTGCTAACTTTTTTACCATCTCACTGTCAGACCAAGACTGGCCAAGAACGTACTGTATGATGGAAGTTGTGTTGTTGGGTGGATTTACTACTATCCGATGTGTGACGCCGCATGGCATGATGCTCATTGACATTGTTAGTTAACCTCTGGGTCCGAATGATTCTCATTCAATAACAGGGATGGATACTGATTCAACATTCTCAGATAACCAAGCTCGACTATTGAATAGCTCTGAGACGCTTCAAAAGGGGCGAGAACAAACAGTTCTAGGGTAACCATCACTTTTTGGATAACGTTTATAATGGGTTCGCTTAGGTGACAGCTTACCCAGATACCAATTGGTATCTTGTTGGGAAAAATACCTATAGGCATCTATGCTATCTCTAGCTGATCAAAGGCTGAGATGCTGAGAGCTATCATCTGAACGCTTGGGCTGATGGTGAATAGATACGTACAAACAAACCTTTACGCCACTGCCCTACGCGTGAACGCGGAACGCGGTCAGCAAATCTGAGACCCGACTAAGAACAGGTAAATAGCATGCATCACATATCGCAAACTTCCCAGGGAGCTCCTTGTCAGAACTATCCGTTATCTGTCAACCAGACAGACATCAAGGGTCTGATGCCTAGGGCCAGGGAGTACCAGGAGTCGAATAGGTCGAATACTGGAAAGCTTCAATCCGTCCGTCACAGCTCTTCCAGGCTTCGAGCTTCTGTTGTTGTCAAATGTAAGGCGATTAGCTGAAGAGACACGCTACTATGCAACAATACAGCACCAGTTGACGCGCGACAATGACATGGTGCGGCGCCATTCGTCAATGTCGCAGTCATGTCTGTGAGTAGCCAATCCGTCGCGAAACTAAACAAAGAAGAGTGAGATTGTAAGCGTTGCATTCGGTCATTGTCTCTGCTCAGACCACATCTGTCAAGCCCGATCCATGCCATGTCTCTCTCTTGCTTGTTGTGCTTCGCTTCAAATCGAATCATGGCGCCGCACCCGCAAATCTGAGATGATAGACAGCCAGACAAAACCCATGCCCATTTCCCCGCGTTCTGTGAGCCAGCCAGCACCAGTGACCTGTTTGTGCGCCGGACACAGTGAAGGTAGTCCAGGGGATCCAGGGACCCTAGGAGACTTAACTGACTTGCTTGTTGGGGGGCCCGGGTTAGGTCCAGGTGTGGTTCACCCTGAAGATCGACGTTGGTTGGCGCTGGACCTGTCGGGCTTGCTTGGGTTGCCAGGTTGCTAGGGGCGGCAGAAGAGTTGCTGGCAGACTCTAGAACAGAGTTTCCCCACGTGCCCTCCTGGCTAACCGTACCAGGAAATGGACTGGAATATGACACCATGGATCGTAGAAGCGAGGATAGGAGAACAACAGACTAAACCAGAAAGCTCATAGCTATCAAAAGTTCTTACTCGTTAATCTAATTAAAAAGGAACCTAATAGGAAAAAATCCCAACAAAATCTGTCGCGAAAAAAAGAGGAACGCGTAAAAAGGAGATACGTACATTTATGCTGGCAGGGGGACTCAGCGGGTAATAGCGCTAAGTCAGGTGCACGGCAAAATGGGGGTAATTTGGTCAGAAATTAACACAAGACTTCTCGATTCACCAACCCTGCCACATAAATCGCAGTACCAATCTATCTCACAGCTCTCCACTTACTTCCTCTATACTAATCCCTTTCAAGAAGAACCCGCCAACAGGGCCACCCTAAAGTCCTCGACGCTATCGATGTAATTTGCGCGACGGCTTTCTCGTCTCAGCTCTCGTCCCTCCTCGAATCTGTCGCGAATCTTTTCACCTTCACCTTCGCCTTCATCTACTTCATCGTGTTTTTCTTCTCTCCCTCTATTTATGGTATAGGCACCCTTGGAAGTCGCCTACTTTCTTAACAATTTTTTATCGTCTGAAGCGCCATTGACGTCTTCATACGGCTTACTTGTATTGAATGAGCTAAGCCCTGCTTGACACGGTACGTCTATAGTCAAAACTGCCACAGCCTGTTACCCCCCCAAATCTTGAGCCTGCACCAGAAATCTTCCACGTTGCATCGTGACCAATTCCACTAACACGACCTTTGTACTTATCTCAGGCCATTAATTGTACTTTACCCTCTTTGCGCGCTGAATCGAAGCACCGTCTCTTCGCCTGTCGCGGTTACGCTTCGATTTCATTATTCTGAGGTCATCCATATTGGTCGCGCCGCGCCTTATCTTCCCTACGATAATAGACATCATCATACACGATGGCCTCTCAACATGAGCGCAGACTGCCATCCAAGCACAACATCCTCTTGATCGAGGGTGTTCCAGATCGTAAATACTCCTTTTTCTCCAAGTCGCGAGTTTGCATGCTCACCATTGTCCCTAGATATCGATATGGTTTCGCGTCGACGCCTTGGGCAAACTAAGCTTACGCCTAAGATGACCGGCTCTAACGACTCCGAACTTGGTGTATTCGACTACGCGCATCTTCGCGCTCCTCTGCCTAAGGGCATCGTCTCTGGAATCTTCAAGTCCAGCCCTAGCAGCTATTTCCTCATGCGACGCAGTTATGATGGTTACGTCTCGGCAACTGGCATGTTCAAGGCTAGCTTCCCCTATGCTGAGGCTTCCGATGAAGAGGCAGAACGGAAGTATATCAAGTCTCTTCCGACTACGAGCCACGAAGAGACCGCCGGTAACATCTGGATCCCCCCAGAGCAGGCCCTCGCCCTTGCCGAGGAGTACAAAATCATTCCCTGGATTCGCGCGCTATTGGACCCTACTCCAATCAGCATGTTAACTCCTTCCGGCTCGCCTGCCAAGGCCATCATGGCCCCTCCCAAATTTGATGTTTTCAAGGCGTCGCAACCTGTGCTGGCCCCCCCTACGCCATCGGTCGCTCCTCGAAGCACGCGCTCGCGTCGTTCCGCCAGTCCCACCAAGAGCACAAGGCGCGCCCCTCCTTCACCTCGAAAGCGGAGCACCCGTGCCAAGGCTGAGACTGTCGAAACTATCACAGAGAAGGCCGATCTCCTCAACGGTGCCCCGGAGCTCGAGGCCAAGGTCGAGGAGACCAAGCGGGAAGATATTGTGCTGCAATCTACCGAATTTGAGCCCGCCATTGTTCTGGAGCCTAGGGAAGAAGATCCCAAGGTTAAGGTTCACGTTGAAGAGGATGTTGTCACAGATAATGCTGGTGTTGAGACCAAGCGTACAATTACCGAGGTCGAACTTCCTCTCCCTACTGCTGGCGAGCCCCCAACTGCTGAGGAAATTGCTCAGATGATGAACGCGGCCAAGGAGATGGTCCAAAAGAGCAGGGAACATGAGGCCGAAGATGAGGAGCAAGATGAGACCAATGCGGAAGAGGGCTCTACTTCTGCCAAGAAGAGCAAGCGCAAGGCTGGTGATATCTCGGTGGGTGATGAAGAGGGCGACAAGACTCCGGAGGAGCAGCCCCGATCAAAGAAGGTCAAGACCGAGACCCAACTAAGAAAAGAAAAGGTCAAGAACCGGGCGTTGCTCGGTCTAGGCGCCACTGTCGCAGTTGGGTAAGTTGATATTCGTTCCGAGAGTGTGTGAATGACAGCTAACATACCGGTAGTGCCATCGTTCCTTGGCTCATGAACTTCCTTTAAGTCACGAATTTTCATGTCTTCGGAAATTGGGCCATTGTAGGGGATCTGAATAGTCCCACGATTATCATGGCTGAGATTTATGGGATGGACTGGTTGGATCGGCGTGGCTATTGTTTTTTTCCAGGTTGCTCTTCGTTTTTGTCCTTCTGTATTAACGGATCACTACCCCAATACTACCCCTATTGTCTGAGTAAGATGTGCAAGACTGCATCTTAGTCGTTTATCGTTACTTATTATACCACATCACTTTACCTTGTCTTTTTCAGTATTAACTTTGCTACCACAATCTCCATTCATTGCACATACTCTTTGAATATACCAGTCGTCAACGCTTGGTAAGTTGGCAGAGGTCAGGATTCGTATTTGATACACTCTGTCTCGTTGAGTTGGGATAACAGGACTTGAGATGGACTTGACGGAAGAAGTTCACATAAAATGACCTGAGAGTTGATGGACTCAGCTTATATCGGACTATATATGTATTAAGACTTGAATATAAACAAAAACAAACATTAAAAACACCCTCGCCTTTGATGTCTGGCTCCCTGTTAAGACGAAGTACATGTAGTTGGATCGTTGAATATGGAACCATGGGTGATCTCATTCGTCTGCACTTGCTGCATTAAAACCCCTTAGAAAAAGGAAGTTCTTACAACTGTTGCCCCAGGTTTTAGCGCTTCTCGGTACCTAAAAACTCTCCACAGCTCAGGGGCCTGTCAAGGGTTTCCCCGCATCCTCTCTCCTCCGCGTTGAGACAATCTCCAACTCGCAAATCATGTCATGTCTTGGTACCTGGGAGGATGCAAGTGCTAGTTTACTCGGCGACTCTGGCTAAGTACGGCAATGGCCGGCTGTCATTCGGGTAACTATGTTCCCCCACACGTCAACTGTACTCGATGAGATCTCATATCTTTTGTGTTATGATGACTTTGGTTCTTATGATCTTTGATTTAATTGATTGATCTTACTGACCTGTTCTTTCTGCCTCGTATTCCATCTGAATACATATTTCTTATATCCAATCAATATGAGACCTTCAACACGCCTTGGAAGCTTGATGCTTCGTCGAGGCTTTACTAGTTCAGCACGACGACTGGATAATTACGGCTTCATCGGTCTGGGACAGATGGTATGTATAATTCTCAGTGGTAAAGACGGAAAATACCATATACTGACATGAACCTATAAGGGATATCAAATGGCAAAGAATCTTCAGTCAAAGTTGAAACCCTCAGATAAGGTGTCCATCTTTGACATCAATCCTGAATCTATGAAAGGCTTGGAAACAGAAATGAAGGCAGCTTCGACAGGAGCTCAGGTTGAATTAGCAGCGAGTGCATTTGATGCCTCCAAGGATGCTGTATGTCTCTCACTCATGACGGCTATGTTCAGGTTCGCTGACACTCTCTAGGATACTATCATCACTGTTCTTCCAGAGCCTCAGCACGTCAAAGGTGTATACGAATCCATCATCACCTCTTCTCTACCTAAAAAGGATCGAGTTTTCATCGACTGCTCAACCATTGACCCATCTACATCCCGCCAGGTCGCCAAGACTGTGTCTTCAGCTGGACAAGGCACATTTGTTGATGCACCCATGTCTGGAGGTGTCGTGGGTGCCACTGCGGGAACACTTACTTTTATGCTTGGTGCCTCACCATCTCTCGTCCCCCACCTCGAGCCTGTCCTCATGCTCATGGGCAAGAAAGTGCTGCACTGCGGCGAACAAGGCGCCGGTCTATCCGCGAAGCTGGCCAACAACTATCTCCTGGCACTAAACAACATCGCGACAGCAGAGGCCATGAACCTGGGTATGCAGTGGGGGTTGGATCCCAAGAAGCTGGCAGGCGTTATCAACGTCAGCACAGGACGATGCTGGCCCAGTGAGGTCAACAACCCCGTGGCAGGTGTCATCGAGACGGCACCAGCCAACAGAGATTACCGAGGCGGGTTCGGCATCGCGCTGATGAAGAAGGATCTCAGACTGGCTATGGTGGCCGCTGAGGAGGCGGGCGCGAGAATGGAATTGGCCAAGACGGCGTTTGCGGTTTATGAGGCTGCTGAGAAGGAGGAGAAGTGCCAAGGAAGGGACTTTTCGGTTGTGTATAGATACTTGGGCGGTAAAGAAGAGCAGAGCTAGGGTTAGAACTCAAGTCGAGAGTAGAACTATCAACTTGGTTTATTAGTTATAGACAAGCTTTTCTTGCTTCCATACCAAGTTCAGGAACGAAACAGTTATATGCAAGATCTGAGTACCACTGCATATCATTTAACATGTGAAACCATACATCGTTCATCAATCCTGCCCTACAACAATCTCAGAACCAACATCGGATCGGCCATCTATAAAACCCCCGAAGTCCCGTCCCTACCACACAAGAATTTGTCACAAACGGACGAGATTTGACCCGACTCTACCTCCCTACCAACGGGTTTTCAGCTGTTCATGTATTTCTATTTTCCATTTAACCAGGGGTCGGCCGCCAAAGCCTAATGATGACTCGGGACTTCGGATCAAGGTAACGAAACGGGTAGAGAATTGTAAGCGAAGTAGCACTCTTATTGGTTTGTGAGGAAACCCGAGGTCAACGCGAGGAATGCGAGGAAACGCGAGAAATAAGCATTCAACGTTTGACCAAGATAAGCGATCTACGTCCGGGAATTATGCCAGCCGGATCTTGGCGTCTTCATTCTTGGCGACTAGCTCGAGTTGAATTTAACCTTCGAGTTTGCCAGTTTTCTCCCCTTCATTCTTTTACAGAGACTGAGCAAAAGTCCATTGTGTAACATATGGGAAATATTGTAATACCCGGGTTTCCGATGTGTTGGTCCCTAAAAATCGGGCCTGTCGGGTTGTAGTCGAGTCAGCTCTGCATGGGATGGATGAAATGGATAGGATGGAGGGTATCTGCACCCTCTTGCATCCCACTTCCTTTCTTCATTTATCCTTCTTTTATCTCCATTCATTCCCCTGTTATTGGGTCTAACTTATTAGCGACTACTGTTATTAAACACAGCTCCTCATCTCGTACAAGCGGGTCGTTCTTCTGAAACGCATACATACATTAGTCGTCATACATACTAGACAGAGTCCAATATTACATTCCCGATTTCTCTTTTTTGTTATTTACTTTTTCCCTTTCAGACATCCTAGGTCGATTGTATCTTTAGACCGCCATCATGTACGAACTATATACCCGTCGTCCAGCGACATTCGACGCTTGCACTGATGTCACTGATCTCTGCCCTGTTGAAGCAACAGTCCTAGGTTATGTTCCCAACAAGGGTTCCAGCTATTTCTTCACCATCTGTTTCGCGGTCTTGTTCCTCTCTGCTGTGGGAATAGGTATTTGGAAGCGAACATGGACGTATGCTGCAACATTGGGAGCAGGTTTACTGCTTGAAACTGTCGGTACGTTTTGCCAAGCTCAAATACAGATTCAATCTGTCGGGAAGACATGGGAAAAAAGGATTATGTATATGCTAACATAGCCAAGGCTACATTGGCCGCGTACAAATGAACCCTAATCCCTGGAAACAATCGGCCTTCCAGACTCAGATTTGCTGCATCATTATCGCCCCGACCTTCATCTGCGCCGCCATATACCTCACGCTCAAGCACGTCGCCTTGGCTCTCAACCCATCTCTGTCACGATTCCACCCTCGCTGGTATCCGAGAGTGTTCCTTCCCGCCGACTTGTCATGCCTCATCATCCAGGCTATCGGTGGTGGTATCGCAGCGGCAGCCAAGCGTGACCAGCCCGACCTGGCTACCAACGGTAACAGAACTATTATCGCCGGTGTTGTTCTCCAAGTCGTTGTTCTGCTCGCCTTCGGTACCATGGGAGCCGACTACTACCTCCGCGTGAAGAAGTACATTCACAGCCCAGAGGTTGCCCCTGACTCGCTGCGCGTCTGGCAGGATAAGAAATTCCGGCTGTTTGGCATCGCTGTTACGGTCGCTTACTTTTCCATTCTCACACGTTGCATCTACCGGTTAGTTCATCCTCCCTCCTTTTGTTAACCCCGGTATTCCGGTAGTTTCATATTGTTTTTTCTTACATCAGCTGACGCGAGAAAATACAGAATTGCAGAGATGGCTGGTGGTTGGGGTAACCACATCATGCAGGATGAGCCTAGCTTCCTTGTACTTGACAGCACTCTTATCCTTGTGACAGGCTTCTGCTTGACTGCTTTTCATCCTGGCATCTTCTTCCCCCAGATGGCGGCTAATATGCGACGAAACAAGACCACTGAGGGTGAGGCGCCCGCTGAGTCTTCCAGTGAGGAGAGAAAGGTTGAGAACACCCGAAATGCTTAAAAGTTCTTGGTTGAGATATATTGTATTGGGAAATTGATATAGCCGGCTTAGTATGGGCTTGTTTGGAATGGGCGTAGGGTGTTTGTCGCTTGGAACGATACTAGATCAGATCTTGATGACTCTGACGAGTCTAGCTTAAACGTCTTTTATAATGCTTTCTATCGATATTAGGACTTGACCAGTCTATCGGCCTCCCCATCGTCATCGTCACTGTCTGTCTCCTCCTCTTCTTCCTCCTCCTCCTCCTCCTCGTCATCATCATCTTCTTCATCGTCGTCCTCTTCTTCGGATGATTCTTCTTCTGTCTCGTCTGACGACTCCTCACTCTCCTTTTCTTCTCCAAGCCAATCGTCCAATGTCTTTGTACCGACCGTTTCGCCTGTACCGTTGGCCTTGGTGGGCATGGTGGGCATGGTTGTCTTTGCAGCCTCATCTAGTCTATCACTAGCAGGCAGTGTGGTTTTTTCGACGTCGTATCTGGAACCTTGGCCTCCTTCAGGCTCTCGAAGTCGACGATCAGGCTGCTGCCCTTCCTCAACCCAGTCTGGCAAGGGTTCATATCCCCTGAGGCCATGAATACCGCTACCACCAGCAAGCACCAGTGTGGATGAGCCCAGTAAGAATCCCTTTCGGGACTCAGATGGACTTGGAGCCTGGGGGGCAGGTTTCTCAGCAAGCAACATCAGGGTAGCCAGCTGAGGTACTGCAAGAAGCGAACGATACATCCTCGCACGATCACGAAGGTCGAATGATGTATCGTACCTGACAAGGAGAAGGGCGTACTCCCATAGTCTCACAATAGGATGGGTGTCCGTCTCCATAGGTGAATCCTCCTCTGCATCCCGCTCTTTTTCCGCTTCGCTCTTGCGATTGATATGATGGAGATACACTTTGGCTGCCAAGAGTAGAATCTGTTGCCTAGCAACTGGTGATTCGTTTGTGAACTCTTTAAGCAGGATTCTAAGAACATCCGGCGCGATGTTGTCCTCTCCATTTAGGCCTGAAAATTCACCCACCAGCCAAATGATTGTTGCTCGCGCCTGAGGATCGGTTGCAGAGTCGAGATTCTTCGCCAGCCGAACAACCGTTCCAACATGTCCTTGAACATCCTGTTGTATCAGGTGACGAATTACAGTCAGTGATTCGGCAGCGAGGGTGCCATCCAGACTTGTGATCTGACCCAAGAGTAGCTTCAAGCATCGAGGAGCTGCAGTAGTGTCGGTCTGGGCGCAGCGGCCAATAGCGCGCACCGCCTCACGAACCAACGCTTTATTTGTTCCTTGCGAGAAGTGTTCTAACTCCTTCAGAATAAGACTCTTGACATGTGAAGGGCTGTGGGGGAAGATAATGGTCAAGATCTCCAACTTCAGTTCCCAGATAGGGGCGGTGTCTGTAGCCCGAACAAGGAAGTGACTGGCATATTTAACAAAGTCTGCTGGTCGAATAAGACACACAGAAACGATATTAAAGAGAGCCGTCTGCTGTATGTCCTGGGCCCCACGAAGCAAAGCAATCAAGGGGCCGATAGCCTGCTTCACATATTCCGGCGTGCCAATGTCAACGTAGCATCTAGTAACGGCGACAACAACACCAGCGTTTCGGCTTTGTAGAAGAGGCCTGATTCCATTCAGTAGCAATGCGAGGTCTGGGTCCAAGACTGAAGAAGAGCCTTGGCCTCGACTGCCTTGTCGTGATTCACCGTAAAAGTCGTCTACTTTCTGTTCCTGGGCGGTCTCGACAGATTCGTCCTGTGATTTAGATTTTCGTGGGAAGCACTTTCGTGCATAATACGTCATAAGTCGCAGCGTCGCCAGTTGGCTCCATTCGTCCATATCCACCACTTGCTTTATCAGCACGCGATAATGTTTATGTATCAGATCTATTTGGTCAGGGCAAATCTCCAGGAAAGCTGACACGGCGGCTCCGGCGACGTAATACTGTTTGTCGCCCAGCAAAGTAGACAGGTTTTCGATCAACTGCGGCGCTTGACTCGGGTCTAATCGATGGCACTTCGGGATCGCAAGGGCAGCGGCTTTCCGCACGTAAGGGCTCATGTCGGCAACACCCTTCTTGATGGCGAGAGATACGATCTGGCTGATGACGGGGACTCGGATTCCCGACATGGTCTTGAGAGCAAGAGCGCGGACTTGAGGGTTCTGGTCGGATAAGGATTTTTGAATAGTGTTGATGGACAGCAGGGCGAGGTCTGGTTCTTGTTCGGCATGGTGTATGAGGTAAATGTAGACAAGCTTCTTGATCTCTATATTCGGGGATGCAACGTTCTTGACAACGGATGAGAAGAATGGCAAGGTCTTGTGGTTGCGGTACATCATCTGCCTCAATACTGTTAGTTAGCCAAGCTCTATCACCAAAGAAGACAGCAACACCACGCACCGCGATAACACGCCGTAAACCGTCGAGAACCTCGCGCTCATTTCTACTATCCAGCAACTTTTTCATCTGGTTTCTATCCAGAGGCTTTGAGCTCGTGCGCGCACCGCGCGTCGCCTGGGCTGCATCGAGGGTGAGCTCCCTCGCTAGGGAATCAGTTAGTTCAGCACCAGGTAGGGTGGTCAGTAGAGAGGCATACCAGTCTCCATGAGAGCTGAGATACGTGCTATTGACTCCATTGCGCGGGTGAGCCCTGAGCTTATGCCGCGTTAGGAGGAGAGGGAGGTATTTTCGGGATTGGGTGTAGGTAGATGTTCGAGATGACGTTCTGTAGACGATGGTTGCTGCGGACTAGGTACGGAGGTGGAGGGGCGTGGCAGTTAGTGGGGGATCTCAACGTCTGCCGCCCTGGGTGCCTATAGCATCGTTATATCGACAATCCTTGAATAGACCAGACTTTAGACACCATAATGGATAGCCTGAGCATTACAATCAATGCAATTTAGGCACTTGTCTGAGTTCAACCTACGCAACAATGTTAATCAGGCTGGCACAACTTAAATATTCCTTCGCTTTCGTTGATTGAAGCTACCCTGTATTTTTACAACACGGCGATCATGACATCGCAACCGCTCGTTCTCGCACCAGCAACTCCTTCAGAGCTTTTATCACACATTGCATCCTACCACAGATATCCCACAACACTAATAATCGGCTCCTCCAAAGCTGAGTTCCACACATCTCTCGTTGAGGATGTCACTCGTCATCTCACTCTCCAAGAAGTTGACACAGAGGACTCAGCAACAGAACCCTCTCATGTCCTCTTAAAGCCATCGCTTTACCAAATCGCCATTTCTCGCCATATAAGGATTCTATTTGCACCAACAGTCACACATCTGCGTGCTTATCTTTCCGTCTTCACACCCAAAAACTCCTTGATATCAGCACCGCCAAACTATACCCCTGACTCTCATACGCCTCTTCTTCTGGTCTATGGTCTCCTCGCTCTTCATAGAGATGCAAGCGAATGGTCTGCGCAAGGGATCGGGAACTCTGCGGCTTTGCTAGTTGATGCCGCGTCACGGAATGGGTTCAAAGCTGCTGTTATTGAGCCAAAAGGTGTGAGCGGACACGAGGATCTAGAACAGCTTGGAGGAGAGATGATACCTTTACTAAATGGAACGGCGAGAAGGGACGACGGGACATGGAGCGGACGAACTGTCAGTATCAAACAAGTTCTGAATCGATGGTTCAAGTTTGAGGTACAGGAACAACAACACTGACATTTCAACATTCCAATCATGCCAAGTTACATTTCTTGAATCATAAAGTATACTGTGTCATTCATCATATCCATCTGTCGCTGGAAACATTGTATTGCTGTTGTTCTCAGAATAGACATAAACATCAGCGTTAACATTAACATATCGTCATTACACTCTCCCAACGCCGTCCCATGGTATCTATATCCAAGTATCGCCGCTAATCGTAACCCAAAGCACGAGCGAAAAAGAAAGAAATTGTTGCACGAGATGAATTAAGCAATGGCTTGTTCCATCTCAGCAATGTACAGCTTTATGTGTGCCTCCATCTTGCGATACTCTTCGTGTGCGCTGTGAACCTCGTTCTCAATATTCTCCTTCAAGTCAAGCATCTATGCACATGTTAGCAAACCGCAACCTCGCCATAAAACGGGCCAGGGTAGCTTACCTTTTTCTCAGTCTGCTCGATCCTGACACGCCGAACCTCCATCTCCTTGCCCTTTTCCGTGTGCTCCTCGGTAAGCTGCCTGTGAATCGCTCGGAGTTCATGCATCTTCTCCTTGGCCTCGTGAGCCTTGTGATTGCTCTGCTCACGAAGCTTTTCTGTGCGCTCCATCCACTTGGTCAGTTGGCGTTTCAGCATAGTCTCGGTGCGCTCGACTTCACGCGCATTGTTACTGCGCTCCGAAAGAGCATCACGCTGCTTTGCATTACGTGCCAACTCTTCTTCCTCTTTTGCTAATTCCGAGGCAATCTCGTCGAGAATCTTGATACATAACGCAACGTCTGTTGAGACGACAGAAAAAGAGTCTGTAGATGTTTGAAGAGCTCGTGCTCTTCGGTCCAGGGCGTCGATGTGCGACTTGTCGTTGTTGAGAATGTCACGCAACTCAGCCAAGTTCTCCTGAAGATCAGAGGCGCTTTGGAGCACATAAGGTCGCAGTTTCGTGCTTTCTTGTTTCAAAGTCACCTTTTCATGTGTTTTTTGTTCCAGTGCAGTAGTGAGCTCGCCCTTCTTCTGCTTGGCCTCTTCAAGTCGTGCAGCTACCCTTTCTTGGTTCCTTCGAAGCTCAAGGAGTCTCTTCTTGAGCTCTTCGTTCCTCATTGTCTTTTGCTGGACCTGGGCCTCCATCGCCTTGCGGTTGTGCTTCATATCCTCTAGTCGACCCTCGTTCTCCTGGTTTTCTGCATATAGCGTCTCGATACGGGTCTTTGTCGACTCGGCCTTATTGTAGTGTTGGTCGATAACAGCCGTCTGGGACTCGCGGAATCGGACAAAGTTGATCAGGTAGCTGAAGATCTTGACAAGGCGATCGTACGTCGGTTTGTATAAATCGTTGAAGCTAAAATCGGTGATGCCGCACTCGAATAACAACCTCCGTAGCGACACATAGAAGCCCATCAGGTTGCGAGTGTCGGAAGGAATAACGTCTGCATACTCTCCAGCAATATCCTCAGCGGCGGCCCGCATGGCCGGCTCTACGGTCTCGCGCGTCGCATTGAGAAGAAGCTCAGCGAACCATTCGAATATTTGCTGAACGTGGGCGGCATTTGGTTTCTGGAGATCTGCGACGGTGAAAGTGATGCCGATGTCGGTAATACAGCCTACGATCTCGCGATCAGGGAGGCGCATAAAAGCATCAGCCTCTTCCTCCTTCTTTCGCGTGCGCGAGTTCTGCTGAGAGGTCGGAATAATGCTCATTCGCGGATTGTATGCCATGATTGCTAGTGCCTTTGGCTATAATAAAATTCGTTATCCTTTCTTTTCCTTTCCTCTGATTGCGCTTCGGGTTAGTCTATCGTGAGTATTGAAAGTGTTTATCACCAACTCGTTGTTGCCGTGGAAACATTGATAGTACAATCACGTGATGACCCATGAGCACTTCATGGCTGCTCAATAGTTGGTTCTAGAAGATGTGTCAGTGTTGTTTCATATATGTGAAGTTTAAATACGCAACTCAACGAAGTGGCTGGACCTGGCAAATGGAATGGTTCTTATCACTCATTTATTTTTGTTCGTCGAATTCACTTAAACTACGGACTTTTCGCGTCGCATACCTAAAAGAGCAAGCCTTCAGAGTTTAGATATTGAGTCTTACATGACTTGACTTGAAACAATACCCTGAGCCACGATCACTCCTCAGCCTTGCATATCTCAAGTCTTTATATTTGTCTAGACTTATAAATGAGCACATTCGGCGAATATCTAGTGTTTTCTTGAGGGATTGGCATCCTGGTCAATTCAGCACTCACCATATTGTGTGCACTACTAATGATGGAAATCTAAGATGGTGCTCAGTCACATTATTGGCGAGGATCGGTTGGCAATGCTCGACTGTCCGCCCTACACTGCGTCATCTCACTTGCAGCCGTCAAACTCGTATTGTTCGTTCTCTAGCCTGTCAGTTAATCACTCACTTTGCGTGGCTGAAGCACATACATAATATAATGCAAGCAGAAGCAAGCACGGAGAAGCAAGGTGCCGTGATATTTATTCGCTGCAACGTGTGGTGTTCAGCCACAAGCACCATCTCAAGTTACTTTGCTTTGCTTTAGGTACTTTACCTACGCTGGGCTTGGAAGGAAAACCCTTTGTCAACGACTTAGTCCAGTTCCTCAAAGACTCTTCGTCCCACGTTTCCTACAAGATTCACAGCTGCTACGCATGTATCTCAGTCATCCACGTGGCGGAACACCGACACATCACATCCGAACCAGCACGGACCATTTCATTGCTTTTTTACCTTTCCATTGAAGGTACCCCTGAAACGACCAACAAGTCGTCCTCTTTCCGGTATTGTACGCCGTGACCGTCCAGCCTGTACCTGTGCCTGTGCTTGTGCCTGGCAAGGGGGGAGGGGGGAACAGATCTGAAGTTCCGACCAAAAAGCAAAGACTGAACTAAAATCGGAGCACTATTGAAACATCAAGATCGATTGGCTGTAAGGCTTAATCTCCAGAACCGATGCACCCCAATGAAACGCAGCCTCAGGGGACGCCGAAACGTTGGTTACGCTGCCAATGCCATAATTGACTGGACTGTGACAAAGACTAAAAACTAATTAATAGATGTTGGTTTCTGCCGGAAGAGGTCATGATTCAAGAGATGTTTTCAACCCGTTGAATAGACTTTGGTTCGGGAGTTGGCCAGAAACCTAGTCTATTGAATCAAGTAGGCAACGGGAAGCGACATGGCGTACAGCTTGCGGTGGAACACAAACATGTCTTTGGTACCTGATTATTGAAAAAAATAAGCAGAAAAGAAGTCCTTGCCCCTTCTCATGCATGGCTTGACATGCATAGTCCCTTACGGGAAACCTTTCCTTTGGACAGGGAACCCCCGAGTTACAGCATCTGCTAAAGTAATGGAGGGATGGGCCGCCACTTTGTTTCCGCGACGGGCGTCGGGAGCGCTAAGATTCACCTTTCTTTGACGATGAACAAGTCCTTGCAGCATTGTGAGAGTTTGCTGGTACTCGTCGTCGTCGATAATGTTAAATGGGGTCTGCTAAGATGGATGCCATGTCATAGACTGGAAAGAAATGTTGTTTCCAAGGATCTTCCTGTGATCTCATCATCTGAAGTGTGTGAAGATGTCACACGATTCAGGAACTGCAGGCATGGGTGAAGTCAAAATCAATCCGTCTGGTCCCTGATTCGCAAGCGATCAAGGCCCGAGCTCCCCACTTCAACGGTCGCGCGGTTGGAGTGCAGGCAGAATATGCAGGATGGGATGCTACTAATGTTAGAGCAAGGTATGTATCTGTAGGCATGTTCCGTAATACAGCGAGTGAATGACTGGCACTGAACAAACTCCTAACAAGACCATGACACGATGGTGTATGACAAGTCGATTGTGAGACGTTTAGAGCCTACTGCTACCACTGTTTGTCAACGTCTGAGCCGAGATTTTGAGACTAACTGATTGAATTTGTTGGCCATTGAGGAAACCTGAAATGTTGCTGAAGATTTGAACCGGAACTCTGTGCTATGATGACGCTCGATTGTCCATGTTAAGGTTGGATCGACGTTGGAGAGTGGACGAAAACTTGATTCGGAAATAACACTGTCCATGCTGCCATGCCATGTTCCTGATGGAAAGGCCCATGATTTTCTGACGACTCAGCTCAACTTTGGTGATGAACTTGCAGTTGCTACATAATAGTATTACGGGGGTTTCCTTTAATACGTACAGCAACTGACCAGATCTGTTGGTTGTGATGCCAGTGCCTGCTATTTCACGAATAGACTTGTCTAAATTTTAGTGATATACGCGAGATGTGACGATGGCCAGGTTCCCGAGAGAGCCAAGACAAAGATGAAAGTGGCTGGAAATAAGACTCAACGATATGCCTCAACAGTCATCATTTCTAAGCATTCGGGTAGCGGATACGAAGGCCCAGACAGGCTCTCAAGAACCCAAATGTCGGGATTCAAGAAAGCAAAGTGTAAAGATCACTGGAATACGAAGAAACACGCAGGAACGGCGCAAGCTGCGTGGGTCTTTGTCTTGTCTTGTCCTGATGCGAGGTACAGCACACAGGTACCAGTACCTGAAAGACGGGACAAGGGTACAAGATACTGGGATGTGTTGGTATCGTTTGTCAATCCGATAGATCCAAACTTCAATTGCAACGTGCTATGCAGGGTATTCAATTGGCAGCTGCCGTACGTACAGTACAGCATTGTAAAAGCAACATTGCTTTGTCGAATTGGGGGGGGGGGGGGGGGGAGGGAGGGAGCCAGCGAGTCGAAGGGACAGAAGAGGGAGAACAAAAACTGCACCGGGTGGTTTTGTGAGACAACTCTACAACCTAGAGCTAGTCTATTAAATGCTGGAAAGCAACAGCAAGGGGTGGGGAGGGGGCTTTTTTGTTTTGTTTTGGCGTGACAAGCCCGATCGCATGGCGGCGAACGAGATCTTCGGACAGGGCGAGACGATGCCCTTGTGCTTGTGCTTGTATCTATAGAGTAGTAGTTGTTTATTAGTTGCGGATAGTGCAATGCTTGTAGTCCAGTCAGTAAACCTCACGAGACCAATATTCTGTGATTAGGGATATTTCCCTAAGATTGGGAAATAAAAAAGTTCCTGACATGTGCCAGTTGTCTTTCCACTACGAGACGGAAAAGGCGTTTACCTCGATCCTGTCAAATCAGAACTTCCCACAAAGTCAAAATAAAAAGTAAATTGATGTATGAATTGTGGCTTGCAATCGTAGCGAACGGTTGTAGAAGATCGCACACGGATTAGGAGTCTAGCACCGAAGCAAGTCGGTTCCCGTGAGCATACCGTTTTCTCGAGTTGGAGGAACGGCAATGCCATTAACTCGTGCTTTTCAATATTTCCTTCACACCCCATTTTCCATTCTGATATAAAATTGGCCAATCTAAACATTGGACGTTAATGTACCATTGGCCAAGAAGGAAAGAGGTCAGGTAAGATGAGACGCGACGTTGGCGCGAGTTGTGAGTAATGAGCTCCAAGCTCTAGTCAAGTTAACATGTTACAACAAGGAGACCTGAGAGGGCGACGATCGTCGATGGCTCCCTGCGGATGGAAGATCCGAGGGCCCATCTTTCTCACGAGCTTTATTAATTATTGATGATGCAAAGCAAGTAATCATTGCTGTCTTTAGTGATGCATGTCAAGACGAATATTATTTCGAGCTTGTGACACAAAGGCATTGCCATTCTGTATGTGCTGTTTGGTTTGTTTCATGCAATTCCTTCAAAAAAAAGGCCAAAATAGCATCCGCTACTCCCTACAGAGTTAACGTAGCGGCTACTGGACTGTTAGCTGGGCTGCCAAGACTGTCCAGCCTCTACTCAGGACACAAATACCGACCAGGGGCTGAACAATGGACAAGGACCTCTGGTCTAAAAACATAACCACAAGTAGATCAGTAGAGAGAGAGAGAGAGCATGGACTCATCTCGAATATTAATTAATGTAGAAATCAGCTGTCGATGACCTTTTATTATTCTACAGAGACGGATTACTGCTAGTCTTGGCTGCCTCTCAATGTCAGTCATGAATCGTGCTTAGAGTTTCTCCCCGCCTTTTACATCATCTCCATGCCATTGGTACTTCACTCTGGTGATGGCTTTTGGTTTGCTTCCACATAAAAACAAACAACACCTCCCACCAGTAGATATGCAACGTTGTCCAATAACGGGCAATTGCTCGTTTGTCTTTGCGCCCCTCACTACGGACGGGCAGTTTTGACGAGTCAAGTCGATGACCACCTCCTGCTGCACAATATTTGACTTTGAGATGCGATTCATTCATTCATCCATCCGGGCCCCTCCATCAGGCCAGGTAGATCACGAGAGCTTTGGTACAGTAGCGAGTGGTTCATTGCGTACATGTACATATCAATTGTTGTGCATGTCCCTTTTAAACCCAGCTAAGATGGCTCTCGCTTGTCCTATCCATGCTCCATTGCTCCATTACGAGTTCCACCAAGTATTGCGGTGTTGGCCTGTCTGTCCCTCTCAAGTACGAGACTGTCCATAAGCACCTAGACTTAGCCTTAGCCTTAGCCTTAGCAGAGGGAGCCAGCGTCAGTGTCCTGTCGTCAACTCACCGGCTCCTCTTGGACATTTCCAGTGGGTTGAACGCCACCTCATCAGTAGTCTAAACGTCCACAAGATACAATACTGGAAGTCTCCGCCAGAACCCAAGTACAGGTACAGGTGATACTGGACGTTGCCGGTTGGGTACTGGCATCCACTGACTGCCCTTGTAGCGCTACATATGTACCTCGTAAGTTCGCGCTGCAAGTTCCACTTCCTCTAAGAGAGAGACCCGTTGAAATGGCTCCAGAGTGATGGGACCCTTCCCATTGCCACATTGACAAGGGGGTACCTGGGGGGGTTTTGATCCTCTGGAGGGTCTAAGGTCTGAGGGTCTACTAGGGGAAAAAAGGAGTACGTATCGCACTATAGCGCTTTAGCTTGCGAAGGGACCAAGAGGAAAAACGAGATTCAGTCAGTAGCTGTGGGCCTCTCCCGCCCTTCCTGTCTCTGCTCTCGCCGAAACCTGACGTCGACTTCTTCTTTTCCACTCAAACTACAGCATTTCCCGATCATTCATTGGCCCTGATCCATTCCTTCCCTTCCTTGCCGACCCCCGGTGCCCTGAAAAATTGTCCCGCCCCCGGGAATCCGCACGCACGCCCAGTCCCAATCCCAGTCACACTGAAGCACAAGGTCCAACCAAGCACCTGCTGTTCCTTATACTTACACTTACCTTAATTACCTAGCATCTGCTCTGCTTCTGCACTTTGTTGCTTCCTCGAGCACTTGAATCACCACACACCTTTCGCCACGCACCAAACACTCGACAACAACGACCCACGACTACTTGCATTCTTCTCACATACACAATCACCACTTATTTCGACTGCCACTGCAGCAGCTGTACTTGTCTCATCATCGACAAGATTCCGTCGTCCATCATCTCGTATAGGTAGTTTTTGGCGGCCTTCAAAAGCCCACCCGCGCAGCGAGCCGTTCGATACGACCCTGCAGCTCACATTCGCTTCTCCTGATGACCAGCTTGGTTCGACCGTTTTGACGACTCCACGATGCCCTCGTATATCCGATATAATTTAGACGATCTCGACTGTACACCGGTGACGATAGTGGCCAACCACAACTAGCTTCAGTTTCTCAGTTTTTGGTGACGATATTGGAACCATGGCCCTTTGGCCATTTCGACGTCGGAGTAGCCGCAAGCGCTCCCGCAGCGGCGCTGCTTTCTCAGATGTAGAAGGCGCGCCGCTGCCTCACAACGAAGGGGCTAAAGTTGGGCTGAAGAAGCGACGTACCGAGCCTCCTAAACCTCAACAAGCCACCCGAAAATACAGCTTCTCTCCCGGGCGCCAGGATGACATCCGTAACGAACGAGTCCGAGGCGGCTCACCAGCCCCCGAAAGAACCGGCCGAACGATGACTACTGGTAATCTGGAAGAGCGTACTGGACTCTGGGACCGCACACCCACATTGCGTCCTGCCCGTCAAGCAACAAGGAAACAAAAAAGCAAGAGGAGGAAGGAAGATCGTAACAGGGAGGCCGAAATCAAGGCAATGAGTAACTTTGTGCCTGTCCGGCCTGCTACTGAGCAATGGAATTCTGGCAGGCCCATGAAGAGGGATTCTAAACGGTCGAGAACCAGCAGATTTGGCAAACAGCGAGCTGGACGTGACTCCGACATCTCTCTCCCCGTACCAGGCTCAATCCACTCCAGTTTCTCATCCGATTCGGAGTCGGGTTCATACAGAGTGTCCGCTCTTGCTGCTCTTGCCCCACGACCGACGCTTCGCTATACACCAAATGCCCGGTGGACGGCACCTCATTTACCAACACCTCACAGACAAGGATCACTGAGAAAGAAGCTCCTCGAACAAGAGTCGATTCCGGAAGAGAATACGAGATCACATAGGCGTATCGATTCTTTTGCTGACGACCTTGACGCCCGCGATCTCAGGGAACTCATGGAATTAGACAATCGACGACGGGAGTTCAAGAAGCAGAAGGAGAGACAAAGGATGGAACGACGTATTACACGACGAGCAGAAAAACAACAGGAGGACGACATTCAGGCTAGGAAGGCAGGTACACCTCCACCACAGAATCTCGAGCGAGGCGTCTTGGGCCGTGAGCTGGTTGGCCTAGGAATCGAGCCCGCCTCTGCTGTCGTAGTAGATACCAAGCCTGAAGATCCGGAGCCCATGGATATAACTGATGATGAGAAAGAGCCTGAGTCTTCTACGAGGGCGGAGGAAGCCCTCCACCACGCAGATACAGTTACTTCTGAACAGCCAGCACCTATGGAGGAAGTTGTCACAAAGGATACCTCCTCCATACGGCCACCGTCAGAGGTGGGAAATGTTTCGCCTGGTAACAGATTTTCCGATCTTTTGCGATCAGCCAAATCACGATCGAGGTCAACCATTCGATCTGATCGAGACCGGATGGTGTCTCCTCCCCCGGAGACAATTGACGAGGAGGACGTTCATGTTCCAAGACAAAACTCCCACCACTCCGATAGCAGTAAAAACGGGTTTGCCTCCATCAAGGCATTCCTACGAATTGGCAGTAAGCGACAACGACACGAAGGACCATCGTCTTTTGCCAATACTTCTCGAGAAGAAATGCAGGCGGCGGCAGCCCAGTCAAGGGCACAGGCTCAGGCCTACGCCCTCGCTAAGCTCGAGGGTGAAGACTCACCGAACTCTTCGGGTGTTAATTACCTATCTCGAAAGCCTAGCACCGGCGCTCCAAAGAGGACCCGATCTCGCTTCCGGGAGGATTTGCCTGAGATGCCTCTATCCCCGCCAGCTTCACGCGTACAATCCCCTGAAGCTGAGCCCCCAATGCCTGTTCTCACTGAACAAAAGATCCGCGAAATGGAACAGCTGCGTTCCATCGGTGTACGTTACGACACACCAACGTCAGGCCACCGATCTATCGAGACCAATCGCCTCACACCATCAACAATGGAAAGGGTTCATGTTTCGCCATCCCCTGAGGCTGGCATGTCTATGTCACTTGCATCTATTGATTCTGAGGGTTCGTGGCTTTCAGGAAACGTTAACAGCCGACGTACCGCGATACGTGACAGCATCCGACGTGCCAATCAGCGCGAGCAAATCGAAAACAACATTGATTCCCCAACCAACAGCACGGACGAAGACCTCGGGATCGTTGAGGATGATTATATGACTAGACTTACCCCTCGAAGATCCTCAAACCCTGATATAATGGCGCGCCGTTCTGAAGAAGGACGCCCTAGCAGCGATGAAGAAGAGCTTGCGGACGACCGGGAGATGAAGTGGGGAGCAGTTGGCTCCCAACCCAAGGTGGTGCATAGGTGGACTATGAAGAGCCACGAGGGTCTTCTTGAGATCGAATCTGAGGAAGAAGAGAGCCCAACATCTCCCGTTTCCCCATCGCAAGAGCTTGCCAATGTCCAGGACGCTAGAAGCGTTAATCTGGGCAGAGGTCATGTACGCAACTTCAGCGCTGGGAGCGCAAAACTACTCGATATCACTCCCCGAGCATCTGTTGATGCCAGAGGGAGCTCAGAAAGGCGAGGAAGCCACGTCCTACCAGCTATTTGAAAGCCGAGCTAAGGTTTAACCGTTCCAGAAGAAAAGTCCCCCGCAGCATTAATCACCGTCAATTCGACACATCACACTCCTTTCATTTCCTTATTGTCTCAACTGACCTCAGTCACTCCTTACCCATTTCCTTATCACTTGTCAGCAAAAACCAAGAAACTCTTAAAGCATGGGAAAACACAAAAAAGCGATGCGGACTCTTCTTTTGATAACGAAAAACATTTAGAACTGCTTACTATATGGCTGGTTTGGGCGTACGACTCGCTCTTGATGTATTACACGACCTTGATGACCACGGCGCATTCCGAGTTCCTTACTAGGATTTCTTTTCTCGACTACATATACCACATCTTTTGATACCCCGCGTCGACCGCCAGTTTGAGAGTACTGGAAGACTCGACGCGTTTGATTTACCACTTATTAGTGAGGGAGCTAGCATCCTTTATCCGGACCTTTTTCGTGCACAAAAGGCACAGTCATTCATTGGGAAGCCGGTACTGATTTCCTTGTCTGCGCGAGGAGGAGACCATTTTACTTTCTATTAGCCTGGGTTTATGGGAGGCGGGGAAAAGGGGTTTGATTTGAGCAGCTGGGATTTGCTTCTGCATTCAGGTCCAGACACACAGCCTGGCAACCTGGCATCGAGCTTAGCGCGAGAGTGGTCGACTGCATGAAATAATAGATATCTTGCGATGGCACACAAACATCAATAGATAGCGTGAGGTTGGCAAAGTCGATGATCGGCTTGCACTTGCCCACTTCAAGGGAGGAAGATATAGATGCTTGTAAGCTGATGGGCCAATTGACCAAATCGAACAACATCTTAAGATTAAAAAAGTTGTTTCACCGTGCATCAAGTGATTTGATAAGGTTATGCTCAGTCCACATGAAGCGCATGATGAAAGACGCCCGGCAGTTGATGAGGAACATCTGATCACCATGGTTCCTGGGAACTAGCTTGGCCGCTAGGACTGTAGAAATCACCATAGCATAGTGTTCCTTACTGAATAACATTTACTAGATGGTATGAGGGGTCTTGAATTAATAACTACGTTTAGTTTACTCGTTACAGTGATATGTTGTGAAAGGCTTAATCGACGTTGTTGATACTAGTTGTAGGTGTTTCAAGAATGAAACGAGTCGGCTCCGAGATAAAGGTCGATTGAAAGCAATTAACGAACAAGTTTACTTGGAAATTTGAGCAAGTCGGTGAACTAAACAACCCTTGTTTGAATGAGGCTTGCCATAGCTGTTATTAGGTTCAAGAAAAAAGCACAATAGTCATGATAGGAGAATATCGAAGTGTCAGTACAGTTCTGGTGGGTTTCCCATAACCCTTACTCACTAGTAAGTCTATCTTTTGTTAAGCACTCTAGATTAGAGGCATATCACAGTCAATGAGAGATGCAGGATATATCTAACTGCCGTGTTTGATAATTGAGTGACATATCCCTAAGGATAATGGCGCCCTTTCCTGCATGGTCACATCTTCAGTGAAACAATAGAATCAGAGTCTCTCGAAATCCTAGGAGTGAGACTGGTGCGGTCTTCTCGTTGTACAGACGAGGTTCTCATGGTATAATTCACAGTACAATGTTGTTTCGTGAGCCCGAGTACGACTCTGGGGTTCTGTAACTTTCGGTGATGGACATATATCTGTTGTGGACGTCAGTTGCATTACGGTGCATATATGGCTCGTCCATTACTGGCGATCTTGCAACCCTGCAATACCCAAAAACTTGTTTTATTATGCCACTTCTAGAGGTCAAAAACGTGTGTATTCTCTGTGGATTACACATAATTATTGCTCACATCGTGTACTGCGAGTATTGACGTACAGGAGTAAAATATTGGATAGGCCTGCTATCTATTACTATCAGAAATATCAGAAATATCAGAAATATCTATATATATGTCGTTCTCTTAGTCTGTGTAATAAAGAAAAAGAACGAGAGTCATTCTGTGTGATTACAAAAGGAAAGTAAAAAACGCTTTGGTATCATAGTCGCGACCCTATTCCGGTTAATAAAAACCAATCATCAACCCATCAGTCTAGTCGTCATAAATTTCCAAATTCTTCTCCGTCGTATTTTAGTAGCTGCCCTTGCGAGGCTTCCACTCTCGCTTCCTCTCACGTCGCATGAGGCAGAGATGCACAAACCAGTAGATGGCTGCAGCGATCATGAGAGCAGCAGCCGCCCAGGTCAAGCCAAGGAACTTGTTTCCGATAGAAGCGGAGATTCCAACGTCATCACCAACATCATTGAGCTTGTCGACACCCTTCTTGCCAGCCACAGTGACGAGGATGCTGGAAACAAGGAGGACGAGAGCTGCCAAGCTGGCGAAAATAAGGTTGACAGCATTGACACCGCGACGGGAGAAGAGGAAGAAGGCGGCCAGGGAGGCGAGCATAGCGAGGCCAGAGAGTCCAACTGCGATGACGTACAAGATGAATGTGGCAAGAAGAGCCTTGTTGAGAAGGTCAATAGAGTCCTGGATGTCATCAGGCCAGTTGATGTCTGCAAGGCTCAGATCAAAGGGTCCGACTGAGAGTTGCTTGTCGAGCATTTCGGTAAGGTTGAATCGTTCTAAGAGGGTTAGATACTGTCGCCGTAACTACTATTAGGGTTGTGTGGTACTTACTCTCTGGTGCAGAGTTGGTACATTCGGTCACGTTGTAACCAGCACCAGGGTTTGTGGCATTGGGCTTGTATTGCCCATCGCATGTAGCCATAATATGGATCGAGTACCACTCAGAGATACCAATCGTATCGGCCAACTCATCGGCGATGTCACCGGTGACATCGTTGATCTTTCCTTTGATATCGTCCTTGACTTCGTTCCACTTGCCCTTGACCGCGCCAAAGATACCATCATCTTCGTTGTCGTTGGTAGAAGCACTGCCGTCTGTGTCAAGGACATTATGACCGATCATGGAAGTGTTGAGCTGGACTTGTTAGTATAGGAGTATTAGTGTCTGAAGGGTTGTGTAAGACTTACTCGAGCGACGGAGTACTCCTCCATGAATCCCTCCTTATGGCCGGCAAAGAGACATAGCATGGAGAGAATGAAGGCCACCATGGATAACACCATGGGGAAAAGAACGAAGAACCTCGATAACATGGTTGCGGTTTGTGAACCGTGATACTACAGAAGTATGATGTTTTGGGTGGTAGAAAGGGGATAGAGAAGTGAGATTTCTCTCCAAGTATAGATAGAGTATGTAGGTCAAGTTAAGTAAATATAGATAAATGAACGTTTGGTAAAAGGGCTGACGTTGGCGGTGATGGAGGTTGGGGATATATAACTTAGTTTAGCACGTAGCTAAGTTTTAAGTACTAAACCCTGGACACCAATGATGCAACAAGAGAAGAGCGAAAAATCAGTGCACGGCCCAAACAACCATGATTCGCGAAAAAGACATCTTTTGAAGACATGTACCAAGAACCAAAGAATCAGACGCCAAGTCGGTGTTCTAGGGATCTCTGTATGAGCGCATCGCCTTGCAAATCATGACCTTAAACAAAGACCACTTCCGAAACAAGCCAATCAGAGACCAAGCGCTTGCGTCACTGACCCTTTGATACAGGGGTTCGCTTTGTTTCTTTTCTTGGCTGGGAAAACCGGTTCTGCAGGGATTCAACGTCAGCCACTCAACATATCAACAGTGAACGCGTGTGAAACATGTAGAAAAGCGGTTAGATGGTGGGCTGCCAGGTTTGCTTAATCATCGATGTTTCTATGTTTGTACTGTTTGATGAAAGAGGCCTCTTCATTCTCGTATTTGGTGCATTGTTGATGGTGGATTTTTTAATGGAGATGATTCTATTCAGAGATGGACCCTGAACATCTCAATTTAGAGTTAGCCATGCACGCGACTTCCTCACAGTACAGGCGGCTGAGGCTTGCATGCCGCTTGCTCTTTCCTAGGTTTGAGTTTACACATGGGGTTGGTTCCTGCCTCACTTGTTCAATACATTCATACCTAACGGGAAAGAATCAATCGTTCTTCTCTCTGGGACAGCCTCAACTTGCAAGTCTTTACTTACCATCATCAATCATCATCACCTCTCGACAACCTTGTTTATACTCTCTAACGATCTCTACTCAACAACCACGAGCGGGCCATCTGCTCATTCATCCGGTTGGCTTCCGTAGCTCAGTTGGTTAGAGCGTCGTACTAATACTTCATTCCGAGTGTTCGGTAATGCGAAGGTCTCAGGTTCAAGCCCTGGCGGGAGCAATCCCAACGCCTCCCGGATGTTTCTTTTTGTTCATTTTTGTTTGATATACCGATCTCGTGAAGTTTAGCCTGTTGTCTGTCAAGTGACGATCCTTACTTGTCTATCTATTCGGTGCAATGATACAGGTGCGTTGTCAGTGGTCGAAGTTATGGCGATGATAGAGTTGTATCACAAACATACACCAGCCATTCTGTGTTATCGCACCAGGTACGACATGGTCCAGATAGCGCTTTCTCCGTCTAGTAGAATTGATTTAAGCCTCGTTATTTTGCAAGTAGTCTTAAACTTTGTACTTTGGTGTACAGATTTAAACCGAGTCTGATGGTACAAAGTCCGAGATCACCGTGATTACAGCTTTCTCGAACTACCCTGGATCGACCGATCTGAAAACCCAACCAAGACAATGAATACCAGGAGTCATACGGAGTACCCTCAGATATTATCGATTCGGTTGGGCAATGTCTCAACAGTCCACATTCGATAATACTAGAAACACGAGAATGCGATCGAGACTACATTAGTAACTAAAAAGAATGTTGCATTTGTCTGCGGTCCACGTTGACATTGACCCACGTGTGACGAATACAGAGATAGAAAAATGTCGCACAGCTACAAAAAAGAGTTAGACATTTAGTTACATGTAACTCTTACTCAGCTGAAGATGGAAGTGGTACTTGACTCGTATTCCATTATCTTCTGTCCACTCAAAGAAACGTCTTGACGCCTCATCATGCCATCAACTGAGCTTGCGGTCCAGACAACTGTACCATACATGATAGATAAACATTGAGAAGCAAATAGGGTGTCTTATTGTTTTCTTACATCAGAGGGTTTCTGTTGTTCTTTATTTTCGAATCCAGAAGCTACATAAGATCTTCAAATATAAGAATTATCTATTCATAATCCCTGCCATCTCTAACCGCCAAACCTCACGAGCCGCCTGTCAAGCTATTCCCTCTTGGTAGTCTCACTTGCCAGGACGCGGAGAACATCCCCGGAGCCCTTCTTTCCCGGGGGTAACAATCATTGCTTGATAAATTGAGTGAGTGATTGGTGTTGCTATTTTCAGACTCAGCTGCTGTATCTGGGGTTGCGTTGCTGTGCAGATGAGCTTCCATTCCATAGACATTAACTTGACTCAGTTTTATTCTCACAATTCCCTCACACATGATAAACTTGTTACGTTTTTTACTTGCAGTAGAAAAAACGGCCAACGATTTAACGGCTCTTTCGGCAAAACTCGTAGACTTGGCTGGATTGACTTTTTGTAGCGTGGATCGGATATCCACGAAGGCGAACCTAACTGTACACTTTTCACTTACACGACACCCCATCATCACACTGTCTTCGACCATACACATCTTGGGCTCTTAAACACAGTGCATTGGTAGTGACACCTCCCAGATCGGGTTCAACCGTTCAGTAAAAGATCTTGATACTTAGTTTTGCTCTCTTTCTTTCTTTTATCCCGCAGGTGGCGTGTTAGACTTTTCCTTTAAAATCTATGACTTCTTCTAAACTAGTTCCATGGATGGAAACTGCCTCAACGACCAAGAGCCAGTGTCTTGTGTGACTTCTGGTGAACATGTATCGCCACTAGTTTATGGGACTCAAACTGTTGGGAAGCTGAGTATCTCCCATGTACTCCTGGGGGAAAGTCTTGCATCGATCGGGCTTTGCGTGAGTGCGTGCGTGTACCTGCATGTGTAAGCAGTCTGTATTCGTTGTCCCGTCGCCTCCATTCATCTGCTGGATCAGATTCTTAATAATAAGACATTGTTTCTTTAATTCTTGTTGTTTTTCAATTCCTCACCCTCTTCATCTTGTGTGCTCTTATTATTTAGTCTCTGTTCCCACAAGGACATACGTTCGTTAGTAGTCCAAGTTCTCTCATCAAGGCATTTTGCATTATATCTGTTCACGCCTTAATATCACTTCCGCATACCATTCATAATGCCTTCCATCAACAGCCTTCTTACCATGGCTGCTGCCGCCGGCTCTGCTAGCGCTGCGTTCCAGGGCTTCAACTATGGCTCTACCTTTACAGACGGCAGTGCCAAGGCTCAATCCGACTTTGAGAATGAGTTCAACACTGCTGCTGGCCTTCAAGGTACTAACGGTGCTTTCACCAGCGCTCGTCTCTACACTATGATCCAGGGTGGCACACCCAACCAACCCATCTCTGCCATCCCCGCCGCTATCAAGACCAAGACCAGCCTCCTCTTTGGTCTTTGGGCCTCTGGTAATGGCTTCGCCAACGAGATTGCCGCCCTAAAGAACACTGTCGACCAGTATTGTGACCAGCTCGATGGTCTCGTCGCTGGTATCTCTGTTGGAAGTGAGGATCTCTACCGTATCTCACCCACTGGTCTCAAGAACGACGAGAACCCCGGCGCCGACCCTGACGTCCTCGTCGACTATATCAAGCAGACTCGCAGCGCTATCAAGGGCACTTGCCTTGAGTCTGTCCCTATCGGTCACGTCGACACATGGACCGCTTACGCCAATGCGTCCAACAACGCTGTGATAGAGGCTTGTGACTGGCTCGGTATGGATGCCTACCCTTACTTTGAGGACACCAAGAACAACCCTATCTCCGAGGGCGCAAACCTCTTCAAGGCCGCCTGGAATGAGGTCAAGGCTGCTGCCAAAGGCAAGGAGATCTGGGTTACTGAGACCGGATGGCCTGTGAGTGGAAAGACTGTTGGCAAAGGTGTTCCGTCGCTCGAGAATGCCCGAACATTCTACGAGGATGTCGGCTGTCCTATGTTTGGAGACATCAACGTCTGGTGGTACACTCTCCAAGATTCCGCTCCTCAGACTCCCAACCCCAGCTTTGGAGTCATCGGTTCTGATCTCACCGAGAAGCCCCTTTACGATCTTAGCTGTAGTTCTGCTAGCAAGAAGGGTACTCTGGTCAGCCGCAGTGACGACAAGTCTGACAACGTTGAGCACTACTTTGTGAGCCCTTCCTTCGCAGCCAACAACAAGAACGGAACTATCCCTGTTGTGCCTGCTGGAACTTCCACTACTTTGGTGCCAACTCCTTCTTCCACCTCTAGCACCGGTACTGGTGCCGGATCTCAGACTACTCCTGTGCCTGGTAGCGGTGCTCAGCAGCTCAACTCAATGGGCGCTGCTGCTGTTGCGGTTATCCTTGCCGCTGCTTTGCTATGATAGCATGGAGACTTTGAAATGATTTACGGTTTTGGAAAATAGATTATGAATTTAGTAACGAGCATATGGATTAGGACGTACATAGGACATGAACATATATATGAACATGAGCATATATTGCTTTATTGATTTATCATAATACTTGGGTGCCTATAGCCGTGGTAGTACTTGAATAGCAGCGAATGAAGGAGTTGTCAATTGTTGAATAAGAAACATATTGATAATTTAACCTGTGAATCGATCTAGAAAGGGAGATGTTCAAGGGCGATAATAGTCGCGTGACCTCTTGTACCTAGAAGAGGGTCTCGGAATGTAGTCGCCGGATGACAGGTAGACAAACTGGAAGTTAGAGGTTAGATCAATTTATCAGGGAGTCAGCTTTGGAGCTCCCCCTGCATTAAGTGGATGCTTCAGCCTTCAGAGCTGGGGAGAGCATCTTGATTGGTTCAAAACTCACTTGGCGTCCCAAAGCCCCCTCCCCCTGGCCTAGTCTCGATCTACCAAACAACTGGACTGGACTACTACTCTAGGAATTCATCCCCGTTTTCCAGCTTCAACTTTGACTTGACCCATCACAAGTCGAGTTGAGCTGTGAATATTCAACTTCGAATTCACCATTCTTTCACTTCCGTGAAAGACTATATTCCACTTCTTCTCTCTCGTTTCGTGTTTCTCACATACGCTTCTTTTTGTGGAAGCTTATAATCTGTCCTGTTTGTAAAGGACAGATATAGCTACCTAGCTTAGTAGCTACCATGGCGCTCACTCGCAAGAGCGTCGTTTGCTCGGCTTTCTGTCTTGCTCTTCTTGTCGGTCTCGTATACGCCGGCCATGGCCATGATCACCACCATGCAGAGGCTATTGCCGGTGTCAACACCGATAACATGAGCCTCGACGAACTTGATACTCAACTCCAGGTACGCTGGGGAGCTCTCCCTTGGGGGAAAAAAAACACCATGTGCTGACATCAATTCCTATAGACTTGTCCTATTGTCCAGCAGCTCAACTCAGCCAAGCATGCCCATCATGCCGCCGCTCCTTCGTCGTTAACCGCACGTGCCTTCGCTGTCCTTTTCCCTAGCTCTCCTGCCGTCAACGCTCTCCTCGCGACCCTTTACATCTCGGGCCCTCCCAACTTCCTCCTCGCCCTCTGCCCGACCAACATTGACCCTGCTTCTCTATCTGTTATGGTTGCATTTGCTGTTGGAGGTCTTCTCGGTGATACTCTGTTCCATCTGCTCCCTGAAATTTTTGTTGGTGAAGACCATGACGCGGCTGTCAAGTTTGTGCTCGTTGAGCCTAACCGCAACCTTATTCTTGGATTGGGTATCTTGGTGGGTTTTATGACCTTTGTCGCAATGGACAAGGGTCTTCGAATTGCTACGGGCGGGGCTGGTCATGACCACTCCCACGGACATGGCGATACACACGCCCACTCCCACAGTGAGAATAAGGCTATCTCTTCGGGTGTTGATGCCGCAGACGGCGTCGTCAAGTCTCGCAAGAAGGCCAACGAGGACAAGGGCGCTATTGTCGCCAATACGGTTGATAAGCCTGAGAAGGAAATCAACCCCAGTGTCAAGCTGGGTGGCTATCTGAACCTCATGTACGTTGCCGGATTTTGTGGCTTTGTCTTATCGTAACCCTTGCTAACAATGTATAAAGTGCCGACTTTACTCACAACATCACTGATGGCTTGGCCATGTCTGCCAGTTTTTACGCCTCACCTACCATTGGAGCTACCACCACCGTCGCAGTCTTCTTCCACGAGATTCCTCATGAGGTTGGCGACTTTGCACTCCTCATCCAGTCCGGCTTTTCCAAGCGAGCTGCCATGGGTTCGCAGTTCATTACCGCCATTGGAGCTCTTCTCGGAACTTTGATCGGTATTGCTATCCAGGAGTTTGGAAGCCCTGACAGTGATGTTCCCATGGGCCGTCACGATGGTATCTGGGGAACCAGTCTTGTAAGTTCAACAATGACTTTTCTCGATAATTAATTGCTAATTTATGACAGACCTGGGGCGATATGCTTCTCCCCTTCACTGCTGGTACGTTCCTCTACGTTGGAACTGTTGCCGTCATTCCTGAGCTTCTCGAGACTGGCCCCAACAAGGCCAAGGAGTTCAAGAACATGATCATCCAGTTCTCAGCCGTCGCCGTTGGTGCTGGCATCATGCTGTACATTTCTTGGCACGATTAGAGCATATGTGATTAAAGTGTAAAATTTTGAGTGTGTTTGTGGATAGATGAGCGGTTGTGTAGACGCGAGCATTGAGATTGATTTTGACCGGCGTCGTTCCGATAGATGTCTTAACAGCATGGGAAGTGAGTGATATCGAAATACAGTTAAATTGGTGCAGTGTTTAGCCTAGGATAAGGGCCATATTCCAACCTTGGGTTTAGGTGATATTTTACTTGACGTTCCTTCTTGGCTGCCAATCTTTCTCATCCTCATATTTCCACATGTTTCCTTACAGGAGACACACACAAGCATACCTCGCCGTCAAACACTATGTACAGGTTAAAAGGAAAGCACTGAAGCTTAGACATCATCATGACATCGTTAAATTAATACTCTCGTCATACAAAGTGGCTCCAGGATCTATCCGAGGCTTGACATGGCCCGAGAGCAGCAAGCTCCAAGCGTATCTTGCACTGGGTGGTCCTTGTGTGCGTAGAGCACACTGTCACCATGGAGCTCTGTGTATATGTCTATGCTTAGACGTTGCTGGTTGAGAATCGAGTCTGGTAGGAGGACTTGTTCAGGCGACTGCTTATCTACAGACAAGTTAATGGGGATCGGCTGAACCGATATTGACAATAACGCGTCATCATCACTTCGTATCAGGTAGTGGCGAGTTATCTTTACAATATACGAGGTTTACGAATGGTAACTGCAGGTCTACAATATATCGACCGCATGAGGTAGTTAGATGCTTCGAAGGGAAGACTCGGCCAATGGTGTATACTATCTAGGTTTAGGGTAGGCACATTTGGGTCCAGACGATATTATTAGAAACAGTTGATAAGAAAGAATGCGATTTGGCCAAAGATCTTGAGAATGACTGGGTGGCCACTATCTCGCCTCATTCACGTTTCGACCGGTGTAATGGATCCATCGAGTGACTTCTCCTTCCTTCGATGGAGTTACACACCAAGCACTCTTCACGGTATGTATCAGAAAATTTGGCTTCCAAGCTTTGGGGTGCAAAAATAAACGACCAAAGAAGTCTAATCTTGGTAGCATAAACTGACCTACTAATTTCGTCTCTTATATTCCCAGTGGCCAATTTTTTGATACCCTGAAGAGACTAATACTCTAATTGGTGATGGTATCATTGCACTGGACGATCACCAACTCCACAAGCTAACAATCTTCACTGACAAGAGCGACTGATCAACATGGACGACTGTACCTGACTTGAGCCTCATTCCATTAATCAGCAGCACCGCTTATCACTGTTATCAGATCAACGAAATAAGCCTTTCTGCTCGGCAGCAAGACATCTAAGCAACCAATGGTAGACAAAGCACGAGCCCCAGTGTGGCCCTTGGACCCCTAAAAAGGTACCTCAGGCATGAGCCGAAAGTTTTCATGCACGGCGGCTATATCCATACCTTGCCTTTCCATACAATCCTTACAGTTAACATGTGGATCGCGGGTGAGTGACGCAACGCATCACCATCTGCTAAGGTCAAAGTTTCGTTAGTGCGTGTAGCAAGGCATGGATGTTTCCTTTCAATGAGCTTCATTCCGCTATCCGGTTGTGGATATCTCATTTTGGTAGGTATCCAGCACTATTGAGTGTCATGAGAAGATAGAGTAAAAGTGTCAATAGACGAGACCAGGTAGGGCCATGAATGGAGCAGCCAAAGAATCATTTGCCGTGCAATAACACCGTACAGGGCAGTAGCAGTGGAGTTTCAAGGTGCTTCTTCGGGATCATGATCCAGGCAAGAAACCGTACACGTCTGGGTTTGCGTTGAATGTTGGTTTCTGTTTCCATGAGTGGCCACAACAACTGCTCGCCGTAAGCTGAGCATGGCAAGAATGAAATGCCGTGATTCAAAGGAACGTGGATTTCAGATTCACAGGTGAAGCCACTCGTACCGAGATGTGGGCATTCGCTGCCAGTGATGGCTCTTGGCTTCCTAAACAAACCAAGTCTAGGTGGATTGTTCCCACTGACACAGTGGGTCAACGCAGCAGGATTTTCAGGTCTGCTGAGCCTAATGAGGCCCGAAATGCCTTGCCAATGGAGAGAGAAATTTGACTATCGCGAGAAAGGACAAAATGTTAATATTGGACATGGCTCGATAGCCCTCAATGTGGGTAATGAGAATGGGCACAAAGAGATGAAGAGGTGGGAGAAAAAATGAACAGGAGAGAGGGGGAAAAAAGAGGAGAGGCGTGTGCCGAGTCAAAATTTGCCTCACCGACTTGAGACAGAGCTGGAAAAAGCGAAGTTTTAGAGGGGAGAAACTGGGTATCTTCTATGCCGTATAACCACGGATGGACGTTGCCGTGTTGTTTCAACTATCGTGAGATTTGGCTCTTGGTGTTTTGCTCGACCAAAAACATTCGATCAGCAACATGAGTGTGCCTGGCCAAAAGGAGAAGGGATGCAAGGGCCGCTAGCCAACCAACTGACACGATGGGCATTGGCGTCGTGAGACGGTGAGGAGATCTTCCTCGGAGGCTAGCACGCATCTCCAGTTCTGTAGCCTCAAAACCTTACTCAAGCTGCATAATAGCGGACTTACAGTAGCGTGGGCGGGTATACCCAGATGCATCAGACTCACAGCGTTTCCGCTTCGGAACACTTCACAAAAGTCCACCGGGCCTGAGCTTACTTCCCCGTGTTGCTGATTGAAGTTTGCGTTGCCGTTGCCGTTGCTCCCCGCAGTTGACACGATCTGCTTTGGTTTTCTTCGGCCATGATCTTCCTTGTGCATAGTGCATCACAAATGGCTGTGAGAGCCCATAATTACTGTTACAGTTTCCTTGATTTGCGTCGATTGCATAGAAGAACAATGTGGGACAGTGGAATGTTCCCCCGGAAAGAAGATGCACGTCTAGCTGTGAGATTTCCTCTTTGGATGATATCGGGGTCCTTGCAGCAATGGCGAACCGAATTTTTCTTCTCCATCAAGCCACTGTTCCTAAAACAGAGCACGTTGTAGACGCTTCGGCCACTTGTGTCAACGGCATGGCCGTCAGAAATCGGCCATTGGTAGTGGCATCGTTTAATCGTGATGGCCAACTGATGGTGGGAGGGGTAATTGGAGAAAGAAAAAAAGCCCAGTTCACCGAGGAGAAATGCGACGAGAAAAGGGAGGGAGGGAGGGTCTCGACTGGGGGGTGTAGCAGTCGAACAGGTAACAATAACACGTTCAAGGTAAGAATGAGGAAGACGGAAACGAAGCCCACGATGCGTGACGAGGCGCTGCCACGCATCGTGTTGACTGGGTCTTGTCACTCGAGTTGACTCGGGGTCTTCTGGGGTCGAAGCTATGATGCCCTATCCCCAGGCCAGGCAACGCGACACCGGCTGGTACCCAGACTCCATCTCCAAAGCTTATCCTGCACGTTTGGTCCTGACAGGGATAAGTTTGGCTTTAGTCCTGAGGGGAAGCGAAGCTATTCTATCTGCATTTCGACAAACAGAGACAGAGTCAGGCAGGAACAAAAATGAGTTGAGCTAGCTGGGCCGACTCCAGGTTCTCGAACCGGGCACAGACGTCGAAACGGTTAAACGCGAGGGGACCCCTAGCTTGTCGAATGAGTAGGCCAGATCAAATGAGGAATTGTTGTAGGAGCCATCATGTAATGGGAATTCGAAATATGCGACTCTCCCCTGTTTTGTCTAGAACACGACGACCGCCGACTGACCGGCCACGTTGATTCTCACGATGCTTCCTTACCCTAGCCCAGCAACGGAAATGGGGACAGGAAAGGGGACGGGAAGCGGCAAAAAGGTTCTGGTTCTCGTTCTGTAATCAGCTGAAGCGCTTCAGTTCTGACCGCCGGTCTACGGCATTTCCACCGATGAGATGATAGCATCGGTCGTTTGCCCGGAGACGAGCGATGGTATGTGTCAGGCTGATTTGTCCTTTGTTTCTTTCGGTCAGGCGAGTCTGGAGATAATTTTCTTTGGTGTACCCTAATCCGCCTGTAGGGGTTCTTTCTCCAAGTCGAACGCCGTCTGTGAATTTGCCTTAATTGCACGCAGATGGCAAAACGTGGGGAATCATGAAGTCATCAAACTCCAGTTTCTTCCCCAGTCTGCGCGAGTTAACCGTCATGATGAAAGGATCAAGAGCGCAAGCCAAGGAAGTCATCAGGAATTGACCATCATCAGTGACGTGCCCCGATCTCGATACCATATTGTGTTTCCATTTTGGTGACAAGTTTAAGGAATAGAATCTCCGGACCATGGTTTGTAAGGGTGGGAGGATCTCTGTCTAGGTTATGAGGCTCTTGGTGGCCGGGCCGGCTGACAGAAAATGCTAGAACCATGCAACACATGCATGGAAACCAAGAAAGAAGAATGGACTGAATTGTACCTTGCAGTTAGTCTATGTAAATCCGATGTGTCGGCTTTGAACTCGGAGCAAAAACTTGTCGAACCATGATGGTGACTTTGAAGCGGTGGCAGCCGAAACAGACACCGAAACAAATATTTCCGTTGACCGGTTGCTAGGGATCACGAACATGTTCGAAAATGGGGGTCGAGCTCACAAAAGTGCATTTGCATTGAACGGAAATGGAAAGATAAAGATGTTTGAGATTGTATATTCTGAGGTGGTAATTCCAATTTCACTTACAAAGAGAAACACAGTCAAATCCGCGCCAAGATCTGTAGCGTCCTACCTTAACCAAAAGTTAAACCTCCGTTGGAAGGAACAAAGGAAAGAGCTTCCACTTCACGAGCCTCCTCTTTTGCTGCCGACAATCGGATGTTTTATTATTAGCAGGTGTTGGAGATGGTCACACACACACAACGCACAGGCAGGAACGGGATCTGTTGGAGAAGGTCAGAAGGGTGGCAAGGCAAGGGCAGGGGCTATTAGGTGCTTGCTAGGTAATTCATCAAGTAAACTAACCACCAATAGCTTGTGCACATTTACGGGAAGGAGAATGAGTGGCAGGAACGCCTTACCACAGCTGGAAAGGGAAAGGGAAGGGGACCCCTTTGACTCTTTCTTTCCTTTGGACTTGCACTTGCATTTCGCATTTGGATCTTTCGGCACTCAAGACCGGACCCGCCTTCCACGCTAGTCATGCACGATTTGTCGAACCCCGGTCGAAGAAAGAAGCGTCTATTTTTTTCTATAGTTAACCCCCCACTTGTCGATTTTTTCTTCCTTCTTGTAAGTGAAGGCGAGGAGCTTCGTGGAGTCAGGTACCGGTACCGCTACGGAGACTCTGGTAGTCATCGTGGGTATTCCTGAGGTAAGAAGAGAGGGTCTCATGTTTGATCTGACTCTTTCAAACACGCTCTGGGTGTGTAAACATTTCGTGTCTTTTATTGACGAGGTTAGGCATGTCGGTGCTGGAAAGGGAAACACGGCAGCAAAGAGTGCAGGCTGACTGTCTGATATTGTTTTCCTTCCATGTGTTGTAAAGTTTTCGTGGCATCTGGTGATCAACACAATCCGTGCTCCCGTCCTGACTTACTCCAAATTTGATATTCATGGTTTAATGTCTTCTCCAACTCTCATCTGACCTATCGCCCTAAAGAACATGACTTGGAAATAAGGAGAAAAGAAGGACTCTTCTCCAACCCTTCTGGATCGTCAGGACATGGCTAAAATAGTGTCTTATGATGTGCTCAGCGTAGCATCCCGATCTCAAGCCACCTGCCAGCACGCATCCCTCTCAAAAGGTTGTGCAATCGTGATGGCAACCAAATATAGCACGCGTCATTATCCTCATTAATTCTTAATTTGCTGAATCATCAGTGTCTTTTTTCAAGGAAAATCGATATGGATATTCTCTGCCGTCCCAGGAATTACAAAGCCCAGGAGAGGTAATTACATGAAACGTGCGTCTTCGTCTCAATATCCGAATTAATAAACCATCATCAAATTACTCACAGTCTCGACCACGATCTAACAATAATTGCAGAGTCTCCAGACCCAGCAACAAGAACACGCGCTCCCTCTCCCCCCCTCTAAGGCCCACCGCTGGAGACTCACATACACACACCCCTGTACCTTCAACGCCCCTCCCCTGTAACGCAGCTCAGCAACCCAGACAGGGCAAGCTCGAGCACGAACCAAAGTAACGGTACGGTACCGTGAACGGACCTGGAGTCGCCGCACTTTTATATGAATAGTATATATATCACTACAGCCCAGCGCCTCTTTCTACACATATCATATCATCAACTATCCCATTCAGCTTCAAAGCATCAACTCAGTATTCTCGCTTTCTCGCGATACTACAATGTCCACTCCTGCTTCGGACAACGGACCTCGGTCTAACAGGCCTCGTCCTGACCCTGCCAAGTCTGGTATCGACATCAAGCTCGACCAGCACTGGTCCTCAAAGTCATACACTTCTGGTTCCAAGATCACTGGCAACGTCATCATCAACACCCAAAGAGATGTTGCCTATGATGGATTCGACATCTTCTTCACCGGCATTGGTTACACTCGTGTTGACTTCCTCAGCCAGTACTCCAGTGCCAACTATGCTTCTCGTCCTTTCATGAAGCTCCGTATGCCTCTCAGCCCTGCAGACTTTCCTCGGAACCATGTTTTCGAGGCTGGTCGTACATACACAATCCCCTTCCACTTTGTGGTTCCTCACCAGCTCACTCTCAGTGCTTGCAACCACACTGTTGAGCATGAGGGTATTAGGGACCAACACCTTCAGCTCCCTCCCACTATGGGCTTCTGGGAGCGCAACGACCAGTCCCCCGACATGTCTCATATCGAGTATGGTATCCGCGCCGTCGCCACCAAGAACAGCGCTGAGGATGGACGCTCTGCACCTTTGGATGCCTTCCACATGATCAAGGTTCTTCCTGCAGTTCCCGAGGATGCTCCCCTTGAGATTGGTCCCGACGATGAGCGCTACTGCCTCTCCAAGACCAAGCCTATCCGCAAGAATCTCTTTACTGCTAAGCAGGGCGAGTTGACCACCACCGCATCCCAGCCCAGTGCTATCATGCTTTCTGGCAACTTCCTCAACGCCAGCGGCACCAACTTGAAGGTCAACTTTGAGTTCAAGTCTACCTCCAAGGATGTCACTCCTCCCAAGATCAACTCGGTCAGCGCGAAGCTTCACTCGACCACTTTCTTCAGCAGCACTCCCATGAACCACCTCCCTAACCTGGGTGCTCGCATCAAGCATGGAAGCACCCCTTCGCTCACATACTCCACCACCACACCTGTCCCCATGCGCGCCGACACCCAGCTGGTTTGGGAGAACGAGGCTCCTGCCTCACGACGAGACTCTGGCTATGACAGCGCTTTCTGGAATGAGGGAGAATCTTCCGAGTCGGACGACGCCCAGCGAACCAAGAAGGCTAGCAAGTACAACGTCCGCCGCTATGCTACCCTCGATGTCCCCTTCAACCTGCCCACCAGCGGCAACAAGCTTTTCCTGCCAACATTCTACTCTTGCATCAGCGCACGCGCATACATCATTCACCTCACCCTCTCGGTGGGACCTATGAACACCAACATCAACCTCAGCATTCCCGTTCAGATTGCCGTCGAGAACACCTACGACCAGGCCGACGATGATGAGCTTCCTTCATTCGACGCCGCTATCGCCGAAGCTGAGCAAGGCGAGATCGACCACCTGCAGTCGCGCCTGATGCAGATTCCTTCTGATCGCTATATGGGCAACAGCATTCTTCCTGGCTATGAGGATATGCGAATGCGTCCTGTGGCAGTTGCTTAAAAATTGTCGACAACAGCAACAAGACAACAGCAACAACAACAACAACATACACTTAATGGATATTTAATGGAGGAGGATCTACCATCAAAAGTTCTCATGATACCACGTTTTCCAGATATAGAGGAGGATTGGAAACATTTTTACGACTTTACTTTTTTCTTCTACTAGATTAGATGCATCATTCAGCAAGGAGTTTTCGACATTTTTCAAAAACGATTCGATCTTGTCAAGAAATGGTTCTTGGCTTTTTTGTTTAAGGAGTTTTGGAGGATTTGCATACACATTCACAACAAGCATCAACATGGGAATTCAAAAGGGGAAAACCAGGCAAAGCATTCCTGGAAGCGACTATTTTACTATGTATTTACAGAAGACGTGGTTGCATGACACCACAACACACTACTTTACTTTTTTGTTATAGAGGAATGATAACATCTTCACAACATTACTTATGTCTCATTGATGGTGATGCAATTGTCTCCCGTTTCCGAACCTTATTGAAGATGTACATTGACTTGGCTGGTGACGACTGCTGAATTAAAAAATTACGTATTATAACCTTGAATAACACCACTTTTGAGTCATTCATCAACGGTTTCCAAAAAAGGCAATGCACGGGAATTGTGATCGAATGATGGGACACGTGGACGTGTTCGGCCAAAACCGCTTCCAATTGTAGGATATTGTAGTCTAAAAGTCGCGTTACATTTAAAGACGAAACTCTTTTCCATACTATTACCGCGGAAAATCTCATGATCTTCTCGCCTTGCAGTATAGAGACAAGAGAGTCTATTTCATTGGTTGGAATTGGGGAAGGCTAGAAGCCAAGTCGGGATCGTGCAGGACGGGACGGAAGGAGCGGGCTTTGTCTCTTTTTTTCTGACTGGGGTTTTGAGAGGTTCTGATTGGGTCTTTTTTAATTGAGAGTCAAGAGATAAGATTGGGCATGGACATGGATTGACAATAAACACATTGACACTGTAATAGTAAAAGCATGAATAACGTCCAGTGATGGCAAATGGCATTCTCAGCGACGTTAGTTGAATTGGCTTATTCCATCAATGTATCTAATAGGATGCTACGGAATAATATGTAAGGATCCTAGCTCAACCATCCCTTACCCGTCCGCAACAACAGAGAACAATTTAGTAGAACAAAGGCAACCAACACCACCCATAACTAGTTAACCAGCATACCGGTAACCACACAGGCCATGATTTCGGAAGGCGAAGAGGCGAGCCATTGTTCTCTAGACGGCGTAATACTAGACACAAACCAAGCCTCAGCCTCAAGAGCGGTGTCGACGAAACAATAGAAGATGGCACAACTTCATATCCAAAAGACAAAGAGAATCGAGAAACGCGATTTGAAACTTATGCGGATCTACCAGACTAGATGGATAAAGGTCGACAGGAGGTTCACGGTAAGGCTGATCCCAGCGTTACAGGCTTGGTATTGTTCGTTGGTTTGGTGGCGTTGCAATGTTTTGATACCGTTGAGATGGCTCGAGACAGGAATAATTGATTGCCTAACATACCTATATGAAAAGCATATATTGGGTCAATATCTTTGGTCATGATAGAATAGATAGCTCCCATGGTAATGGTATGATCAAGTTCCAAAACTGTTAAAATAAACCAAATCAAGCTCGTCTCTTAACTAACACGAAATTATGTCTGTTTGCTGTTCATGTCAGCCCTCATGCATAGAACAATACCAAGAACTTTAGATCCGACCCAATCCCGAAGCCATGTTTGCCCAGTCAAAGCTACCAACCTTTTCCCACTGTAATATAGGCCCCCTAACCACTAAAGACCATTGGTTAAACTCCACGACTACTTCGTAATTAAGCAAACAAGAACAATTCTTTCAAGGGTAGAACAATATTAAACTCGGGCCAAGAGTTGAAGACTCGCCCCCAGAAACAAGTTCAAACAATAGTTGGAGACAACAGACTAACCTCAGTAGAGGAAAGATGGGAGACGGTCAAAAAAAAAAACCACCCTCGGTTGAATGAATGGATTGGGTGGGGGAGGCTAAACTCCAGATTTCACAATGGGAATGGACACTAACTATCATTCTTTACTTGAGCTGGGCCTCTAATATTGATTGATTCTCTTCTTTTCATATGTACTATTTCGATATAAAGACGGACAACGTTCGCTTTTCAGCATTTCATTCATAACCTCAATAACTCTCATTTAATCTTGGACTCATATATATCCCTCTCATACTTTATAATTAACATCATCTCATACTACATCATGGACGCTCAGGAATTCCGCGAGGCTGCCAAGGCTGCCATTGACGAGAGTGAGTTATACCCTCATTCAAGTCAAAACTCATACTAATCAAACTTCACTACAGTAACTGATTATCATGAAAATGTCGCCGATCACCGCGTCGTCTCAAACGTCAAACCAGGCTATCTTCGTCCTCTTCTCCCCTCCGCTCCCCCCATGGACCCAGAACCTTGGTCCGCCATCCATCATGACATCCAGTCCAAGATCTTCCCTGGCATAACACACTGGTCAAGCCCTCGCTTCATGGCTTTCTTCCCATGCTCCACCAGTTACCCTTCCGCTCTGGCTGAGATATATTCCAACGCCTTCAACGGTGCCCACTTCAACTGGATCTGCAGTCCTGCCGTCACCGAGCTTGAGACCATTGTCATGGACTGGCTTGCGCAGGCATTGGGTCTTCCAGAGTGCTATCTCAGTGGTGGTTCTACTCACGGAGGAGGTGTCATCCATGGGAGTGCCAGTGAGGCTATCCTCACTAACATGTGTGCTGCGAGGGAAAAGTACCTCGTTGCTGTGACTGCCCACCTCCCTGATGATAGCGAAGAAAAGGAAGATGCCCTCTGGAGCCACCGAAGTAAACTTGTCGCTCTCGGCAGTTCAGGCACACACTCGAGCACCAAGAAAGCCGCCCAGGTTCTCGGCATCCGTTTCGCCACTATCCCCGTTTTCGAGGCCGATGGCTTCGCGCTCAAGGGGAAGGCTGTGGCCGCCACTATCGAGAACCTGCGATCTCGTGGCCTAGAGCCCTTTTTCATGACCGCCACACTTGCAACCACTGATGTCTGCGCTGTCGATGACTTTGAGGGCATCGCCCAAGCTCTCAAGCCAACCTTTGACACGCCTCAGGATGTCTGGGTTCATGTCGACGCTGCCTATGCAGGCTCGGCCCTCGTTCTCGAGGAGAACCAACATCTACCCAAGGCATTCTCATCGTTCCACTCGTTCAGCTTCAACCCCCACAAATGGCTGCTCACTACCTTTGACTGCTCTGCTGTCTGGGTGCGTCGTCGCGCATGGCTGATCCAGGCTCTCAGCATCAAGCCTCCCTATCTACGTAACCAGTTCAGCGACGATGAACTTGTCACCGATTACCGTGACTGGCAGATCCCTCTTGGTCGCCGTTTCCGCTCTCTCAAGCTATGGTTCGTCATGCGAAGCTTTGGCATCAGCGGTCTTCAGAAGCACATCCGTCACGGTGTCGAGCTTGGTGAGAGTCTTGAGGCCAAGCTTGCATCTCGCAGGGACATCTTTACTATCTTTACGCCTGCTCGGTTCGGTCTCATCACGGTTAGAGTCAATGGTGCAGATGATCAGGAGATGAATGACCGTACCGAGGCGGTGTACGAGGCCATCAACGCGGCAGGCGAGTTCTATCTTACGTCTACTGTTGTGAATGACAAGGTTGCTATTCGTGTGTGTACTGGTGTGACTACGGTGGAGGAAGAGCACGTTCAGCGCATGTTTGACATCTTGGTTGAGACTGCCGAGGCTGAGATTGCAAAGAAGGCGTAAAGAGGTAATTAGACCAGTATTATAAAACGACTTAGATATCCAAGAGCGAGCAATATGTTAAAAAGTGGTCTCTGTGTGTATTTGCCTGTGTTGATGCTATTGTAATGCGAATCTAAAATGCAACCATTTCATGTGCTCCTTGTGTTTGTTTCCCCATGCCCCCGTGTTTACCGTATTCATGTCTTTCGTTATAATCGTCATGCCACCATACTATCCTCAACGACTGTACCCTCTGCTGCGTCGATCGTAATAATAATCGTCATCATCCTCGTAGTAGTCTGGACGTCGACTGCTTGATCGATACCTCCTCCTTCCTCGGCCATCATCTCTGCTTCTGTTGTCCTGGGAGTCTTCATCGCGCCATTCGTGCCTCTGCTTGTACTTGTCAAAGTCTTTGCTGAAAAAGGTGACAGCGCCTATGAGGGCGAGAACAAGGCCTGGTGTCCAGTCAAAGCCTCTCTCTTTTTGGAATTGTTTATGTTCGCGACGAGCCTCAGGTTGTTGTCGACGAGATTGCCGGTGGCCTCGAGGAGGTTCAGAGTATGTATCTCTTCGTCCCATGGTGATGGCGGTTGTGAAATAGTGAAGAATTGGGTTGTGGAGAGTTATGTTTGTAGTGTTATAAGAGACTCGAATGTAAATAGAGGTTGTAGTGTATGATGAGTAATAGAATGCTATTAAAGGCAGGCCTTAAGCATGTGTCATGTTATATCTTTTCAGAGTTGCTTTGTATGCAGCTTGAGCTGAGGAAAGATAAAAAAGGAGCAAACCTAACGGTAATAATAAACTTGCAAGACCCCAAAACCAAAGGCCTTGGATCTTAAACCGTTGAACCTTGTCCCCGCTGCCGCTACCGCTGCCAGATGGCATACCCGGGGCCACTTAAACATTCAAAGGGTGAATGTCATTGCTCCATCGTCAACTCAAGACCCAATGAACAGGGGGGCCAAGTTGGGGGGTGACGTGCCCTTGGGTTACGTGCCAGGGTCCAACTCGAACGACAAGTCCCAAATGATGTCACCCATATCGTCATCTCCCCTCACGCTTTGCCCTGGGCAGACCTGGCATACTCAAACAAAGCAATTCTTCATACCCAAAATGCATCTTCACGTAGCTCTGCAGTACCAAGACCCATCGGGTGACTTAAATCGGCGAGCATTGATGATTGTCTAGATTGGGCTTCTA